GGCTACACGTCGAGGAGGTGAATGATGGCGACAGATAGACGGCGAGGAGGCGGAATGACAGTGACGGGACGGACGGTGAGTAGGCGGGATGACGGCGACGAGACGGACGGCGAGGAGGCGGAACGGCGGCACGAGGCGGATGGCGAGGAGGCCTAACGGCGGCAACGGGACGGACGGTGAGGTGGCAGAATGGCGGCCAGGAGGTGGACGGCGAGGAGGCCGAACAGCGGCAATGAGGCGGACAGTGCAGAGATGGGAGGAGAGAAAGAGGGAGATCAAGTTAATAGGGGAAGAAATAGAGGGAACGAAGGGGTAAGGGATTCTGGCGGAGGAGAAGGAAGGAGGAAGAAGGGAAAGAACGGGAGTGAGAGGGAGAGAATGAGAGAGAAGGGAGAGAAGGTGAGAGAAAGGGGGACGAACGAGAGTGAAAGGGACAACGAGAGAGAGATGGAGAGAGCAAAAGAGAGAGGAGAACGAGAGGGAATGGGAGAGAAAAGCAAGACAGGTTATTCCAAACTCTAAAAAATAGTTCTCCTTTCATATGGCATTCCATCTTCAATTTATAAGAGATCGAAAGAGGAGAGATTCAAGAAACGAGGAGAAGAGATGGAGAAGACAGAAGGTAGTTGGGTCGAGGTGGTGTCTCTTGGAGGGGGCGCACCTTATCCGTAACCTATGGCCCCATTAAATGATGGACCTTCCTATATGGGCTCTTCTTTTTCTTCTTCTTAGGCTCATTAGATAGGTGAATCCTCTTGTTGGTACTAAGGGATCCATTAGAGGTTGACTCAAAACTCCACTTGGGATCTACCAAAGGTGGCATCTGCCAGTTGGCTTGAATTAAATTGATCCTCACTTTAGGGAGGACCCTAATTCGGGCTGACCTTCTTGGGAGGAGAGGTCTTGATGTTAGAGGTTCCACTTGAGGTTGATCATGTTCTTGAGTTGGCTCCATTGAGTTGACTTGAGATGAGGAGTTGATTGGTGCAGTCACTTCATCAGTTTTAAGACAAACAAACACTCAGGATCAATCTCTCACACTTTAAACAGTAACATATCATCAGAGTGTGTGGACTAAACAATAGACTCAACAACAATATCCTAACTTGACCTTGAAGATAAGTATATTCATTGATTAGTTGAATATCTTTAAACACAATATCAAGGATAGTATACTTATGAGTTGAAAGATCTAAATAAAAGTATGATCTAATGTTAGAAGCATGAATTATAGATGGTAACTCATTAGTAAAAGACCCAAAGATAAGACAAACGATTTTCTCTAAGCATGACTCTAAAAGAAGAAATATTTATAGATCAATATGAATCTCTATAGAAGATATTGTGAACAACTATCACCATAGTTGACAGCTTAAAAGTAAAAAGTAGCTAAAGGTCATCAAAGCACTATCAGAGTAACGAAAAGATATCCAAATTAATGTAACCACTTTTAGATATTGAAATGCATGAATTTATTAGGGTATCAATAGAGTGAATTGAGGACGAACAAAGCTAATGCTGAATGAAGAAATTTTCATTCACATGACTCCCACAAATAAGAAAAGAAATCTTACTCAAAGAAGGACGTATTAAAGCTACATGATACTAGATCATCTACAAAGACGTATGAATCAAACAACTGCACTAAACGTTGTCTTTCTCTATCATATTCTAAAGTAACTTAGGTGGTGAGCGGAGAAAGGTAAGGTTAAGGTACATGGCATTAAGAGTCAGGAGCTACCCATGAAGGGTGTGATTTTTTGAGGTGTATTGTACATTGACTTAAGCACATGGTGTTATGAGTCAAAACTTGCATATGAGTGATGAAATCTTTGTGGAGCTCAAATAGTTGTGTTGTCAAAACTAAGCTTGTGAAATTAACTATATTTCTCTTGAGAAATAATAGAAATCTAGAAAATAGTTTATCTAATACTAGACATAGCACAAGGAAAGGTGAACTAGTAAAAAAAATTTGTGTTTACTATCACTAAGAGTTTGAGAGAAAGAAACCAAAGTATTTGAATGACCTAGATAAGAACCATAGCTTAAGTTGAATATAAACTTCATAAATTACTTTAGAACATGTGTCAACATATAGAAAAAATTCACCCCTCCCCTACCTCTTGATACATCACTTAGCCACATCAAACCCAACAAGACTCCTCACCATAATAGAGTAGTTAAGAGGAAAAAGAAGGCTTTATTTGATTTATCTAGAATCATGTTGGTTGATAATGATCTTCTTAAATATTTTTGGGTTGAAGATGTTAACACAGCATGTTCTATTGTAAATAGAGCCTTGATTAGATCAAAATTAAAGAAAAATCATATGAACTGTTGAAGAGTAAAAAGGCTAACATGAGTTATTTCAAACCATTCAAATGTAAGTATTTTATTTCCAATAATGGTAAAGAAGAGTTAGAAAAAATTGATATGTGAAGTGATGACGGAATATTCTTATGACACTTTGAAATTCAAGAGTTTATAGAGTATACAATAAAAAAACTTTAGTAGTTGAAGAATCTATCGATATTAAATTCATAGAACAACTTAAAGTTCATAAAGTTATACCTTTCAAGAGTGACAATGTTGACATAGGTTCAACAGATATTAAAGAAACTGAAGAAGAACTTTCTCATCTATAATTGAACCCTAATCATGAAGATTTAACTAAAACTTAGAAATATGTTAAAAGTTATCTAATGAAAAATGTTATTGGAAACTTAAATGATCAAAATCAAATTTAGGTCAAAAATAAAAAAGCATATTCACATGACATTTCTCAAATTGAGCTTATAAATATTGATATGCTCTTCTATATTCTAATTGATTTTTATTTTTATTTTTTTTTTATTTATTTTTTTTATTTATTTATTTATTTTTCATCATATTTGAGGAAGGTGATTGATTTGCAGTGAGTTGAAAAAGCCTTTGAGTTTATGAAAGTTGGAAGATCTGCTCAACAGGAGTAGGACGAGAGCTCCATGTTGTGCGCCATGCAATGTTCCTGCAAGACAAGAGTTTGTTGCAGTAAGTGGTTCTAAGAGATAAATACATTGATATAAAGTGGTGAGAAAAGAGTGATTAGGGCAGTGAGGAGGATAGAACTATGCTGAAGCATGACAATAAGCCCAAATATGAACTTGCCTTGCTAGTGTTGCACGCGCCTAATCCCTCTGGCCAAGATCTTGTTAGTATCATCAGTTGCCGTACTTCCTCTAAGTAGGTAAGGGACCTTTCACCCCACGAGGAATGACTTGGTCTCTGGTTCTAACTCTTTTCTTTTCTCTTATTCTCTCTCTCTTCTTTCTCTCTCCTTGAGGGCCTCTTCTTTTACCCTCCACTAATGCCCATTATTTGGTGTACATTAGGCTAGTGATTAAGGGAAGGGAAAAAGGTTGCCCTTTTTTTTTTTTTTTTTGTTTTTTGGTTTTAGGGCCCTTTCCCTCACCCTCCACTAATTGTCTATGATGGGCTAGTGATTCCGGGAAAAGAAGTAGGCTGTTTTTTTTTTTTTTTTTTCTAGAGAGAGAAAGGGAGGGAGAAAGAAATAGAGAATCGAGAGAGAGAGAGAGGAGAGAGGGTCAATCCTATGGATATAGATCTTTACCTTCTCATGGGTTCAAGCTGGCTGATGGTACTAATAAGATCTTGAGAGAGGTGCTAGGTTGCCGATTCACAACTAGTTTGGCAGGTCTGATGTGCTATAGACCTATAGTTCAAAAGTGGGCCGATGCCAACATATGCTGATAGTTCTATGTCCTCACTACTTGAGCATGATAGATAGTAGATGTGATGTGATTATGAGGAGAGTAATGATTGGAAGTAATGTACCCGAGTGGATTACGATGTGCCTTGTTGTCCGTGTTGTGTTGTATCTCCATTGTGGTCTTCAGCGGCCAATAGTAACCATCCCTGATCTCCTCCAAGCAATACGCCACTGTCGTGGAGAGGCCGGTAGTGGAGTGCGGTGTATGCGTAAAGAGGGTATGCTGAGTCGCTCAAGTCTATGAGCACCTCGGGCTTCCAGGGGCATGTCCTGCCAAAAAGAGAAGACTGTCCTCCGACGCGATCTGACTCCATGCGCAGCAAGGGCGTCAGCTGTCTGATTCCCTTCTCGGAATTGATGCGTAATAGTTGTGATGCGTCCTCGACATCGCATGATGTCTGCCCAGATATTCTTGAGCCTCCAGTGAGGACAAGAGTCTGCACGTAACATGTTCACTAACACTTTGGAATCAGATTCTAAGACAATGTTAGTAATATTTTGCTCCTCACAAAGAAACAAACCATCCTGTATTGCCATAGCCTCTGCCACAGTATTAGTTTGTATATTATAAAAGTTCGAAAAGGCAAAGAGAATGCATCCTGTACTATCGCATAAGATACCGCCTCCTCTAGATGATCCTGGGTTGCCTTGAGATGCTCCGTCGACGTTGAGTTTCCACTGTCCAGCCCTCGGTGGTGTCTATCTAACAGATCGGACAGTAGTCCAGGTCTGTGTAGGTATGATATGGAGTCCCCAAAGCCCAAAAGCCTCACAAACAGAACGCGAGCGTTTCGTTTTATTTGGCACTAAGGAATGAGTACTCCGAAGCCATTGTGTTACGTGCCTCATAATCTCTGTGGCACGCATCACTTGGCCTGCATATCGAGATGAGTTACGTCCCTTCCATATTTCCCATAACATATATGCTATGGAGATACGGATGAAAGGACAAACATTGACACTCGTCGGTGAGTCAAAGACTCTCCTAAAGACCTCTAGTGGTGGTCTCGTAGGTCTGTACGAGAGCATTGGAAGCCAATTCGCTAGAAGTTGACGCCAACACTCGACAGTGATATCACTATGGAAAAATAAATGTTCCATACTTTCGTCTGTCGTGATGGAGCAACAATGACATTTTCTTTCCACCTCCTGATCAGTGACAATCACTCGATCGTCGGTGGGTAGTCCTCGGTGCATGAACTTCCACAGGAAGAACGAAACACGAGGTGTGATGGCCGGATGCCATATGAGATTTCCCCAAAATGTCTTTGGGGAGCGGTTTCTAAAGTGCTCCCAAGAGGAGCTACAAGAGAAACTGCCATCTATGGTAAGTGTCCAGATGGGTTGGTCCTCAATAAAACTCATCTCAGTCATGGTGATGGCTGGTAACAAGTCCGACGGTAGTCCATGCCTCTCAATAAGTAGACGAGTGTCTCTTTGGAGAAGCTGGGCTACCGTCAAGCGAGGCCAAGAAGATGTGAAAGTGGTAAAACAGGCCAATGGTATGTCATCTAGCCAAGTGTCGTACCAGGCACTGATCTCGCCTCTCCCCACTCGCCAACGAATAAGAGGCACCATCTCTAACCAATGTCGCTGCCAGTCTACCCATCGTTTGACTCCTTTGATGTCGGCCGGCTGTCGAGCCCACTCACCATATTTGGCTGTCACAAAAGTACCTAGCACCGATGGTGTGGTCCTCATCCTCCAAACGAGTTTCTTTTGAAGCATGTTAAGTACATCTTGAGGGCGCCTAATACCTAGGCCACCCTCATCCGTAGGTCGACATGCTTTCTCCCAAGAAACTCGGCGTTGACGACGAGGTCCCTCAAGTTGTCCATCCCAAAGGAAGGACGTACATATCCGTCTAATAGTCTGTAAGACGGTGTCTGGTACCTCATGGACTGCCAAAAGGTGTAATGGCATACTCATGAGGACATGACGTATCAACTGGATCCGTCCTCTAGGGGATAGAAGTTGTAACTTCCATCCTGCTAGTTTCTTCCTCAACTTGCCCACTAGGGCGTCAAAATAGTGTATGCGCCTACGGCCGAGGAAGATAGGACATCCTAGATAGTCAAAAGGTAAGTGTCCACGAGAGAACCCTGTTAGGCCCTGGATACGTCGTATGGTCCCTATGGGGGTAGAAGGGCCTACTATGAAGCTACTCTTCGAGGCATTTACGAGTTGACCTGTAGCTCGCTCATACCTCGAGATAATACTCATGAGCCCTCTAATGGATGTCTCACATCCATTGAGGAAGAGTATCGCATCATCAGCAAAGAGGGAGTGTGAGATGATCGGGCAACCCTTCTTCGAGTAGTATGGTCGGATAAGTCCTTGATTGATCGCTCGGGTGAGGGATCGACTGAGGACTTCTTCAACTAAGATGAAGAGGGTGGGTGATAGTGGATCGCCCTGTCGTAGACCTCTCGTGGCCGTGAAGAATGGTGTGGAGCTACCGTTCACTAATAAAGAGAAGTGATTCTCCCTAACACATGCATCGACTAAGTCAATGAAGTCATCGGTGAACCCAAAGCGTCTAAGAACCTTAATGAGGAAACTCCACTCTATCCTATCAAAGGCCTTCTCCATGTCTAATTTGATGATGATGTTAGAGCCTCGACAATCATGGCCAAGGGACTGTGCTAGTTCATGTACTAGCATGATGTTATCGTGAATGTACCGTCCCTTGACAAATCCGCATTGTTCTGGAGATATAAGTCTATCAAGGAAACTACTCAATCTACGTGTAACGATCTTAGATACAACTTTATAACACACGTTACACAAACTGATAGGTCGAAAGTCTCTAAATGAGGTTGGGGTAGTCACCTTCGGTATAAGTGCAAGGAAGGTGGCCTTCCAACTTCGTGTAAAGAGTTTACGACGAAAGATTTCCTTGATGGCCTAGATGAGATCAGTGCCAACAATATCCCAACATGAAATGTAAAAATCAACTGGGAAACCATCTGGCCCGGGTGCACGATGTCTACTCATAGAAAAAACTACTTCCTTGATCTCTTCTCCCGTGGGTATGGCTGTTATGAGAGAGTTCTCACGGTGAGTGACCAATGACGGGATCGAAGTGAGCATATCATCAGAAATCTCAATCGACTGAGAGGTTAAGAGAGTACGAAAGTACTCAACCCCTGCCTCCTGCATGCGGGAAAGGTTATGATCATATGTCTCTAAAAGAGAGGTATAATCTGAACGTGAGCGATGAGCGACCGAGGCATGAAAGAAACGAGTGTTTCTATCACCCTCTTGTAACCACTGGATGCGTGATTTCTGGAGATAGAATAACTCCTGTCGTCGCACAACCTCATCAAGCTGGTCACTCACTCTACTCCTCCTTTCCCAAGCAGCATCTGAATATCTAGCTTGCAGTAGTCTTTCAACTTCTGCTAACTCTTTTTGCAATGCATCAACTTGGGTATGGACATTCCCGTAGATATGTCGGTTCCACCATTTAAGGTGGAGTTTGAGATTCCTTAACCTATAGCTAAGGTTCTCCATAGGAGAATCTGAGATCTGTCCGTACCAGTGATTCCGTACGAAACTCTGAAAGTTTTCATGTTGGAGCCACATGGTTTGAAATCTGAAGGGGGGTCTGTGGGTGCTCATACTCTGTTTAGGGAGTATGAGGATCGGGGTGTGATCTGACCTATAACGGGGTAATATCGTGACTAATATGGGATGTCGCATCATGGCGATGCTGTTGATGAAACAACGATCGATACGCTCATAAATCAAAGCGTCCCCTCGATTGTTGCTCCACGTCCATGCCTTGCCTGATGTAGGTGGCTCAATAAGAGCTAATCGAAAAATACAATCATTGAACATCTCCATATTACGGGCCCTAGGGATTCGCCCACCTTGACGTTCACTAGTATTACGGACACAGTTGAAGTCACCTGCTAGGTACCAAGGAGACTCAACTAGTGTAGGGTAGTCCCTCACGTATTGAACTAGGTCCGCCCAAAGAGTTTCTCTTTCTTCGGATCTATGTGATGCATAGATGACCGAGAAGGTGAACTCTTGGGTGAGATCTCGAGCCGTCATAGTGATATGCTGGGGTCCCTCGACTAGCAACTCCATAGAGTATGGTCTAGTCCAAAAGATCCAAATATGATTCGTGGGGTTGGAGTGAAAATGATCCATACCTAACCTCCTAAGTAAGGGTTGGATACGATCTGATGATATCATAGGCTCAATGAGGCCTACTATACCTAGTCGATACTGTTTGATAAGGCTAGCGATATAGAATTGGGTTTCGAGGTTGCCTATACCTCGACAATTCCATATGATGCTAGGTATCATGATCTAGTGAGTGGCCCCACGAGTCCTAGATCTCGTGGAGTAAGGTGAGCGTCTAGTGAGTCGTGTGGTCCTAACCTCCGTCTGATATCCCTCCTCTAGGTAGGTAGTCTCAATGTCAGTCTCAGAGCTACCATCCTCATGGGTACTAGTCGTGTGGCCCGTAGTATCATGAGCACTAGATGAGGAGGATGGGTGTGGTGCTTGACGATTCGTTAAGCACTGTCCTCTATCGGGGCTCTCCCTAGAATCAGCGGGTGGTGGATCAAGTATAGGAAACTGATCTGACGGTTGTAATAGGGGAGAGGGGGGGAGGGTATAAGAATCAGAATGGGGGGCTACGTAAGATGTTCTAATTGATTAATTGCTATGCAAGAAGAATTGGAAATCTTTGAAAGACATGATGTATGATAGTTGACTATAAAACATAAACCTATCAGCAAAAAATTTAGAAATAAATGCAATTAACATAGAAGAATTTGGATAATAATATTATTCATTGTTAAAACCTATCAAAATATTCATAGTCAATTTCATCATGTAATTTCTAGAAATTAATAATATAATCATATAAATAAGTTTAATATCATTTTTTCTAGATTAAAGTAATTTAGAATTTTTTCTGTAAAATAAAATAATAACTGATAAAATATTAAGTATTTTATCATGTAATTAATTAGAGTTATCAAAGGTGGATGTGAAGTCGGTGATGTAATGTGCACAATAGAGACTTTTAGATTGGTTAATGTACTTCAACTATGTTTCACGTTTTATCTTTGCTCTATGTTTTATAGTGATGTGGGTGACAAGCACACAATAAAGTAAATTTTTACTTTGTTTCTTTTTATTTGATTTTCATGTTTGCATTCAGGACAAGAACAAGATTTGAGACTAATTTAATTCCACAACTTAGTTTACTCTATGGTCAAATGGTTTGTTTTATTTCAATATTGTGGTCGAATGAAGTTATTTAAAACTCTCTCTCTCTTCTTGCACTTTCCTTCACAGTTGTCATAAGTAGAGTATACATTAAAGAGCATAATTTTGGCATTTAAATTGGTAGCCATCTTTGAGGACTAGCCTAAACCCACTAGACCATATAATCTTAATTTTCATTTTGTCAGTAGCTAAAATATTAAAATTTACATCTCCTTCAATGACTAGAAGATGAATCACATATCAAAAACTAAAGTTTCTATTGACAATGGTTCATAGTGGGTTAATCTTCAACACTTAACGTGCCAAGTGACCAGAGATAGTAGATATAATAATAGGCAAAGTGTCATGATACTGAACTTAAGTTTTCACACATATCGACACTATAAATATAAAGATAATTTTTGATTATCATCTAGTAAAATAGAGATTATCGATTATCTTTAAAATTTTGACAATAGTCAAGAAGATAGCATTCATTCTTCCTCCTTTTACATGATCAACACCTTTGACAATCAACAAGCTTGATCATTTTTTCCACAACTATACTCAAGGGCTCCAACAAGTGGTCAGCTCTTACCTTCTCTCCCTAGACAATAGTGACAATGTGGTCAACCCTCTTTTTGGTGAATCTCTTCAACATGTGGTGCAGTATTTTTGAATGATACCTCTATGATTTTTAGTGTGCCTATAGCATGTATGGACAAAACTAAGCCGCCACACCAATGTCTTTAGTTGCCTATGAGGCAAACTAAATTTGGACAACAATTTCTTTCCTATTTTTAATGTTTATTTTATATGTTTTTGTCATTTATTTATATGTTACCACAAGCTATTTATATTTCATACATGTTCTAATTGAAATAAGTAGAACATATTCAAATCCTGATGAATAATCTTTGTTCATTCTTTGAATCTTCTAAAACTCATCTAAGATCAAGTTAAGATTGTGTCTAACTTATTTTTTATTTTTTTTATAATAAAATCTTGAAATATTTGTGTTCTTAATATTTCAAGAATAATAATTATTTTTCTTATTTAAAACATAAAATTAGTGAGATTAGAAATTGATTAATGAGTGTTAAAGCATTAAAATAAGGTAGAGGCATTCACGACTGACCTCATGCTATATGTGTGAATTCTTGAACACACATTCATATTATAAACATGGTAAACTCAAGTTACACATAAAATTAAATCACTATAAAAAGAGTTAACTATTATTTCTCTCTCCTAATAATTCATCCACTTTTCTTTCTCCATCTCTCATGAGATTTCTCTCTCTTGATCTCTCCCTCTCTTTCTCTCTCTCATGATCAATCTCCTTCTCTCTCTCTCTCTCTCTATCTCTTTTCATCCTTCCCTTCTTTGCCTTTTCATTTTCTTTTCTCTCACTTCTATTTTATTCTTTATGCTAAATAGTGCTAAAATATTAAAAGCATTCCATATATAAATTAAATTAATTTTTCATGATGAATTAATTGTTCTTATATTTTACTTGAGACTTATAGCTATACTAATATCTTATTAAGTTTTAATTATAAATATTATTAGATAATAGGTATTTAAACACAATGATAAGTGCACATCACTATGTGACAATTACTAAAGATGATTTCTTGACCCAACTCATTGATTTATAGACTTTGCAAGAAGATCTTAAAATCGTTCACATCGTCTTTGTCCAAAGAGAACTTTAGACATTTTAGACATCATACAACAATACTCTTGAACATAAAATTTTGGTGATCATTGTCACAAAATTTAAATCCTACCTTTCCTACTTTAAACTTAATTTTTATTTAATTTAGTGATAAATTTTGTAATTTTAAATTTTATAAACCTTCTTCATGTAATTATGATTTTTCTAACTTTATATATTTTAATTTAATTAATTAAATCTTATGTAATCGCTTATGAAAGAATTACTTAATTGAACTCTATTTTCACCCTATTCTTGTTCGTCTAAGTGTTTACATCATCTTGATGTCCACACCTTAATTTTAATTTTTTAAAATTTTGAATATATTTCATCTTCCTCATATAGTCTAAAAAGTATAAAACTTGTATTCTTTGAAAAAAATTCTTAAATATTGTCATATATTATTTTACATCCCTATGATTGACTTCGAAATATTTTATTATTTTTTAAACCTTTTAACTAATTATAACTGATTTATTTGTTCTAAAAAAATATAAAATCTAAAATCTAAAATCTAAAAATTAATATTTTCTAGTTTTATAATTTTTAAATTTGTGATTTATATTCAATAATTAAGTCACATCAGTTAGTCATTCTTTCTTTAAGTGGCTAGTTTAAGTTGTCATGCCATCTCCTTCATTCAACCATTTTAACTCGTCATGCTACTTCTTTTCTCATAATTTCTTGTATTTTATTTTTTTCTTAATTAAGAAGATGTAATACAGAAATCTCACAAAATATAAAACATCCACATCATTAATAACAATTAGATTTAAGTTCACATTATCTTAAACACCCAAATATTATCTAAATAAATTTCTAAAAGATAAATACTTTGTTCACTTCTTATATGTTCAAGACAAATTTCCTAACCAATAACTCATGTAAAAAAATTTATCATGTATTAAATTTATAAAACATATTTTAAGCATAATTCGTGCCTCTTACATGAAAATTAATCAAATAATAATAACGTCATCCTATATTGAAATTAAGATATTATTCTTAACAAATATAATCAAAGTATATGCATATAATCCACATCTTACAATATAAATAGAGTTATCACACATGCCAACTTAGTTCATTGCTAGTTCCCTAACAATGAATTAATTTAATGCATAATTTAGATCTACTTCTCCAAATCCTCATATAATTACGTCAATGAAGAAAGGTTAGAATGACGAACTGATAATTTTCAAGATTAGAGGCAATAGTAGGCACAAGAGGAACAAAAGTACCTCCTTATATTAATAGAACACACTTCATTTGGTGACCTAGACAAACACTCTTACTAAAGTAAATATATTAGTATACCAGTTTGACCCAGCAAGAATGCCTAACATCAACCTCCCACTTGAATCTTGTAGTTAGTTATGAGTTCTGCCAATCCTTACTTTCTCTAATTAATATAGGTGTAAAAATGTGGTAGAGATGTGTACTTAACTTTTTATTAAGACTGAATGAGTTTTGAAACATTGATGGAATATGGTTCAAAAAATGTTAATTAGAAAACATGCAGGTTTTATGCAAGATATATATATATATCACGTTCTCTCATAGTCTCACCCCTAAACTTGAATATAGCATTGACCCTAATGCAAAGAAATCGAAGGATAGCAATAAAACATGTTCAAAATTTAAATTGCAATGGTTAAGACAACAAGGAGTTAAATTCAGTGCGACCTCCCACTTACCTCATTGCTATCATTGAGGACATGATACACACGAATAGAATTATATATCATGCATATACATTGCAATGTGATATATTTATAACTTCAGAATGGAAAGAATAAAAAAATTAGGAGAATAACACCTGATGTACTTATTTTCTTCATCATTCATAATGATTTATAATGAGGCTCTATCAAACCTTTTTTGTCTATGATCTCCAACTCAGTGGTTTACATAACTAAAAAGAAACATACACCTAAAGAAAATAGATAAAAATAATAATAAAAATTAAAGAAAGGATATGGTTGGGTTGCCTCTCAACAAATGCTTGATTTTATGTCTCTAGATAGATATAAAATAGTTTCCTACCTTAGTAAAGGCTCTATAAGTTTTATCCTCTACCCTCCAAGAGATTCATTTTCTATATATGGTTTTACCATTGACCATTTACTACAAAATCTTTACTATGTGAGGGAATTTCAAGAAGAACACCACCATTGTCAAATACCTTTATCACAAAATAGGGACCAGTCCATTTGGATTTTAATTTTCCAAAAAAAAGCTTAAGTCTTGAATCAAATAACCATACCTTTTGCTAGGGATAAAAGTTTTTCCTTAAAATACAATGATCATGGAAATATTTGGTTTTAGCCTTGTATATGTTGTTGCTCTTTCTAATTTCTTCAAGTTATTCAACATGTAATAAATGCTTTTTCCCTACTTGAAATAAATCAAAATTGACTTGTTTAATTGACCATAAGGTTCGGTGTTCTAACTCTACTAAAAGATGGCATGCTTTCCAGTGTACCAGCCTAAAAGGCAAAGTACCTATGTGTTTTAAATGCTGTCCTATAAGCCCAAAGTGCTTCATCAAGCCAAGATGATCAATCTTTTCTATCCAGTCTAACCACCTTCCTTAAAATTCTTTGAATCTCTCAATTCACCACCTCCACTTGCCCATTAGTTTGAGGATGGTAAAGGGATGCAATATGATGAGTAACATCATATTATTTTCATAAGTTCTCTAAAGTGATGATGTATAGTTAAACAAAAACTAATGATACATTTCTAAATGAAATGAGGATTTGGCTTTCAAACCTTATTCAAACTACCTCAAAAAAGGTATAATTTTTGAGTAGATACTTTGAATCATAATTTCAATTGATACATAATACTTATGTGAAATTACAATTTTGGTGATACATAATATTTTTAAAAAATTATTAAATATTGATCAATATTTGGAAAAACTTGCATTTTAGGGTGAACAATACAAATTTAGTTAATTAATTCATATCAAAATCATTCAAAAGCCAAGATCTAACATCATGAATACATACTAGACTGAGTAAAACTTCATACTCCTATTTTTTTCAAGAAATCTCATTGACTTGATTGTGTTATTTTTTACTTTATCAATATAATTGATTATGTACTTATTGATGATTTTCACACTAACGTACAAAATAATAATTCCACAAAATAAAATATGCCAAATTTATAAGTTTGACATAATGTGTCATGTGTTCATTCCTTGAGTCCTTGGATATTTAATATTATATTTGAATTATTCATGAATTTATATTCAATTAAACTCACATATATGTATGGCAATAAAAAGTATAGTTTGGTCTTTTAACTAAACCTGTAAGTATTTATCATATTAAAAAAATTAAATTTAATGCTCCATCAAGCCCCCTTTCAAAATATTATATTTTGAACTTTTTGATGATATAAAGAGAACTAAATGGTCAATATAAATAAAGGAATATTAGTTAGTACTATATGGCTTAATGTTTGATACTCTCAGGCAGCTTTAAAGCATTCATCTTACATTATTTCCTCATCAAATGCTTCTATGTTGCTTGTTCCAATATATAACATGATTAATTTATGTAGAAACTAGAAGATTTTAATGAGATAACATTTCTATGTTGGTTTGGAATTCCCTCTCACTTTTTATTATCTAATACTATTATAAACCTAACTTATAAGGAAATGATTGATTTTAGTGGCTAATCCATTGAACAGTACAAGATTGTTAAGCTATGAATAGTTAATGACAATATGTGATTTGGCTCATTAACAAAATGATATATATCAGTGCCACATGGTTAATCTGCCCATTCCTATCAGCAAGAAAACTAGAGTTACCTATTTTGTTGGATTTACTAGATGCAAAACAAACAATGGATGGGATATTGAGATGGTTCAGTCTTTTTTTAGTACAATCCATAAAATCAAAATTCTCATGTGAAGATAACAAAACAAAGATTTTGTATTTCCCTGAAATTTCTTACATTTAATTTAAACGGACAGTAGTAGGAGATATCGGGGAAAACAAAAAAGACAATAGTCATTATCTAGGCTAATGGATGAAATGACGTCTTCTAAAATTGTTTAACTTATCCCAAAATAAAGTTTAAAAAAAATATAGCAGAATAAATCAAGCTCGAAATTATAAAATGCACAAGATCAGGTGTGCCGATTCCAGTTACAAAATTCATCAAGAATATCACAAATCGAAGTTCCTCATTTTTCTCCCAACAGATCATAAGTCTTGTTAGGACTCCAAAAGTAATGAAGATTTATTTGCGAATGATGAAAATTATTTCATCTATTGTCTGAGATCTTTCATATCTATGTTTATTTTACTGTATTTACTAAATGTTGATTGATTAATATATAATTTAAACCAATATAGTCAACATCATAGACTCCTACAGGTGGGTTATAGTCTAATTATTTTTGGATTATCAAGAGGTAAAAGCTTTCATTTTTCTAAGATACCGAATGTGTTCTTAACTTCAACACGAATTAATCAAAGTTTCAAACAATCAATATTTTAATTGATAAATGCTTAGTGACAAGGTGCAGAGTGGAGACAATCTTTAGACCATGGCGAGCGACTTGCACACCAGTCTCTTGCTCGTTGTGTAATAAGTTGAGTAGAAGGCCTCTCCGGCCAATCGAGAAAATCCCCATCCGGAATATAACGGGAAAATTACCTGGGCGACCTGAAGATATTACTTCAGACAGTGACACAGAGATAAACAGCTTCAATGGGTAGGTGAACCGTCCCTATGATCCACTGTATATTGGCTCACCCCTCCAGCTTTGCCAGTCACTTGTCTCCGCCGGCCCTGGAAACGCCAAAATGGGACGTCCATCCCCACAACACTTGCACGTGCAATCCCTACTTCCCTTTCCTCACCATTTCAGTGAATCAACGTTTCGACCGCCTTATTTCTTTCCTTCTCGGAATAACCAGAGGCATCACCCAACCCCCCCAACTCCCTCCCCCCTTAAAAAAAAAGGAAATGTTCCCTCTCGGAACACATTCTTCTCCTTTGCTTACTCGCTTCGAATCCTTCCTGTAATTAATACCAACCAATTCTCTCCCTCCCTCTCTCTCTCTCTCTCTCTCTCTCTCTCTCTCTCTCTCTCTCTCTCTCTCTCTCTACCTACTAAGAACAGTAATAAATACCATGACCCCCACCTAGCAATAACACCAGATTGTTGATCGTCTCCCTCTCAACATCACCATCATGCAGAAGAGCTCTCCTCCTCTCCACAGCGCGCCAAATAACAAGAGGTTCCTTCCACCACCATACCCCTCTCTTTCCCTCTCCTCGGCCGCAGAGGAAGACGATGGAGGCGATGATCACCACTTCCGGCTCACTCTCGGCCCACCCGGAGCACCCTCCTCTCCTCAAGGCAGAGCTTCCGAGCGCCATCAACGACGCCTCCAACTGGAACCCGAAAATGAGCATCCCATCGACGATGCAGCGATCACCCTCCGTATAGGCCCCTCAAACAAGAGCGGTGCAACAGCAGGCAGCAGCTCTGGCGGCTGCAGCGATGATACTCAGATGCAGTACTGGATCCCCTCTCAGGCTCAGATCCTCGTCGGCCCAACCCAGTTTTCCTGTCCCGTTTGCAACAAGACCTTCAATCGCTACAATAACATGCAGGTGGAGACCCTCTTCCCTGAGAGTTTTTCTTGCACCCTGGCTGTATTTCCTCTCACTTTCGCTTGTGATGGTTACCAGTAACGTTACCTCGAATGTGATACGCTAAACCCGATCTAAATTATATAAGTTTAATGAATATGTTTATTGGATTGGAGTTAATTTTATCTCTCAAAAGGGTATGCTTGAATAATTCCGCATCAAATAATTAAAACTATTGGTATAGGATTATGAACTGGAAAATTTCTTATCGATTATCTGCGAGTGGAAGGACCCAGTTATTTGTGAGTTCTAATATCTTGATTTTGTTTTGCGGGCGTGAAGATGCATATGTGGGGACACGGATCGCAGTACAGAAAAGGGCCAGAGTCGCTGCGGACGACGACAAGGCAGGTGCTGCCGTCGATGATGCGGCTACCGTGCTACTGCTGCGCGCCGGGGTGCAGGAACAACATTGAGCACCCGCGAGCGCGGCCGCTCAAAGACTTCCGCACGCTGCAGACACACTACAAGCGGAAGCACGGCTCGCGGCCATTTGCGTGCCGGCGTTGCAGCAAGACCTTCGCGGTGCGAGGAGACTGGCGCACCCATGAGAAGAACTGCGGCCGCCTCTGGTTCTGCATATGCGGTTCCGATTTCAAGCACAAGAGATCGCTCAAGGACCACGTTCGCTCCTTCGGCAGTGACCACGCGCCTCATCTTATCACGGGCTCTCACTCTAGTGGCAGCGGCGGAGGAGGCGATGGCCGTCACTATGAAGACGATGGCGATGAAGACGATGGAGAATTGGAGGACGAAGAGGGGTGTAGCAACAACGACCAAGGACACGGTGAGTAGGGGCAGATTGTTGTCAGAGGAAGCAACTGGCCGTGATCCTGTGAGAGTTAATGTACCGGACACTTGTGAAAGAAAAGACTATCAGTTCGAAGAATGAATACGATATCTGAGACAGTCAAATAGAAAGAGAGAGAGAGAGAGAAACTTAGACATTAAGATACAGATAGAAAGCCAGTGAGTGACGGAGAGAAAGAAAGAGAGAGAGAAAGAGAGAGAGAAAGAGAGAGAGAGAGAGAGAGAGAGTCCTACTGCTGGGCATGAGAATCTCAGATAAGTCACTATTGTTACTGCAAGTTGATCTTAGCTGTAGACCTACTTTATATGTTTCTCCTCTAAGTTTACTCTCTCCCCGCTCTTTTGTTCGTTCTCCGTAACTCCCAATCCAGCCCTTGCTGGCTCTCTTTCACATGCTGATGAGTTAAGACGGCAAAAAGGAAATAACGTTCTCGCGCGTAACGTCTTTAACCATACCACAGTAGGCAAGCTTTAGCTTCACGACTTTTACGAAACGTCAATCATCTGTCACACTCGTAATCCATGTGGCATTATGTATAACCATAAGATTATCTTCCCTGAAATATTCATGCCTCACGGGTCAGCGAAAGAGGTGCTCATGACCACAGCTACATGTTTATAGCTATAAATATATGGATACATCGGGAGAGAGAGAGAGAGGAAAGAGGATGAAACAAGGGGATTCTCATTGCTAGAATATGCACTGTTAGTCATACGTTCCTTCATCTTTAAGAACAGGCTGTGCTCATACTTCTTACATGTGCAGTGTTTCTTAAAATGCTGGTGAGTCGAGGAGTCATGTGAAATTGAAGTTTACGAGGAGAAAGGGAGGGAGAAAGCGAGAGAGGGGGAGAGCGCGAAGGAGGGATTGGGTGTTGGAGGGAGAAGAACCGATATCCAATGGCTGTGTAATTGAAGGCAAAGTCTGAGACGAGCGTACTCCTCTCTGTCATGGCCTGCAAGAACCGAGCTATTAACGTACTCTTCTCTCCTCTCTCACTATCAGTCTCCACTCTTTTATTCACTACCCCCCTCTCTGTTTCTTTCTACCTCTGTATTGTTTCTCTGCTGCGTCCATCCAGCATACACCGGTCAGAGCTTTGCCAGTACTTAGCGAGGACCACTGACGACCGCCTCTGTCTTCTAGGGTTTCACCCAAAGGGGAGGGACAGAGTCCCCCGCCACCTCATTTCCTTTTAGGAGTATCCGACAAGCACAGACCACGAAAAGAGGAGAGCTTTCCTTTTACCTTCGTCCTCCCGCCTTCACCTGCAAGGGAAATGGTGATTAATAATAGGTACCCCTCTCTGAGAGTTGGCCTTTCATGCACCTTCATGGGAGAAGATCACGAAGCTGGCAGACTCGCACGAAGTAGTCTTCTCTACGTAATGGAGCTCTGGACCAGGTATTCTGTCTCCAGCGGGAAGGAGATATACAATAGAAACACGAGACATCAACCCGGAAGGTTGTCTATGAGAGATGGATCTTCTCTCCGATTGGTTTCTCATTTGGGAGGAAGAGGACAGGAGAATTGAAAGGAATGCGCCAACGAGTGAACAAATTTTTCGGTTGTTTGGATTACGCTAAAATGTGAAGTTCGCTCACACTTGTTCAATAAAGATGTCGGTAGAATCTCTGTCAGTCTATCATCAAACTGCATTAATGCGGGCAAAGGTTTTTGATATGTATTCATGAAAAACGATATCCCAAAGAAAACATGGATCATGTCGAGATAATGTCATGTCATCAATGTATACAAAATGAAGATGTTATCTCATTTTATTTATGACGACTTATCTGTGCGATTATAACTCGACAACATTATCTCCTTTATAAAATGAAGATATTGTCTCATTTCATTTATGACAACTAATCTGTGATATTATAACTTGACGAGTGGTTGGATACCAGAACTTTCATCTGCAATGGCAAACCAATATCTGAATTTACAAATGGAGCATTTTTCAGATTTTTGAAAGTTGGCTTTGAGTGGGTTATGGTAAATCTCTTTTACCGGATTAAGCTTGGGAACGTCAAAAATGAATAAAGCAGGTCTTTTCATCACATAAATGTTCATCTTCAGTGCCTACAGAGTTTTTATTTCTCGAATAAAGTCTTGTCATTCTTGTTCAACAATGTTCGTGACTCTTATTAGATATATTTAGAATCTTTCATCCACGTAAAAAAATAGAACCTATCTTGGTTGCGTTTATACGAAATAAATGAAATCAAAAGTAAGATATCCTATGTTGTGCCTTACCATTCCTATTTGGACACTTCATATATTTGATTTTACTATATTCATGATTTTCCAACTGGATTCTTATATGAAAATCGGAGCCCACCTTCTCATTAGTTATTTAATGTTAGTTATCCTACACAAGCATCATGATAGACAAGTTTTATCTCTTCTATAATTTGAAATCTATTTGAACTCAAAAGTCTACATCTCCTGAAATATAGGAACATGAATAATCTATGTTCAATATTTATTTTTTTAATGAAACTCCCTATAATATATAGCTTGATGTTTGTTTATCAAAAAAATATCTGTGCTAAAATAAGATAGATTTCCTAGGTTAAAGGATCATTAATCTTAAAAAATAATTGACCCATCTCATTTTATTATGCATCAATTTAATAAATTCATATTTAAAAAGTGATTGCTTTCAACTTTTTGAGCACAAAGTGTCATTATCTTTTCTCGAACTTGAGATAGAGATTTATATTCTCATCTAGGTTTACATGAGCTGTTACATGAGCTGTCATTACCTATGTTTGTATCTAATTAACAGCATATTACTAACACTTAAACATAATTTTGCATTTATATTTGTAGTACTCATGATTAGTCAATAACCAATAGATGTCTTGAATAAATTATCAAAAAAAAATCCATTTAATGTTATAAATCCAATGTGTTTCAACTTTGGGCTTCCTAAAGAGAAAAATAACACAGAATAAGAGAGAAAAGAGACAAAAAATCCATTTCATTACAAGGAGTACAACAAAAAAACATGTGAACTTTTTGATCTTTTAGATCTAATCACCACCATCATGCTAGAAAACCAGCTCCTATTTAAAGGAGTGAACAATATGCACACTAAACCCGGGAGAATTTGTTTGTGTGATCATTTTCCAAAGGTATGTGCAGCATTTTGTACCATGAATATGGCATTCCTCATTTTCTTTTCATATACTGCTAGGTATATTTTTAATACTGTTAGTAGTGTAAGATACTTTGGTGTGATCATCATAAAGGTATCGAGCTCTTTTAGCATGATTGTCAATTTCTCTTTTGAGAGTCCCCAACAATTGGCCTTTCATCTTAATTTATCCACCCCCTGGCATGAGTTTCAATTGACTTCAGTGCCATATTACTTCTCTTCATTGCTGATGTAAAAGATCTTTTTACAGAACATCTTGAACTCCCACATTGGCGGCTACCCACCCTACCTTCTCGTGCAGGGTACCGAACCTCCATTTCCAGTGGTACCAAACCTGCGCGACCCAAAAGAGACGAGAACTTAAATTTGACAATTAATATAGTACGTAAAGGATGAAACAATAGGCCAGATGACCGGCCTCTTTCAAAACCCAGAACTGTAGAAACCTACCATATGTCACTTTGTGTCCTCCAAATGCAATTCTAGCGTTGTTCTAATACTAACTAGATATGTCCTGTTATTCATCGATAAATTGATAAAATGTAAGATGATGCGAGGATGACTAAGAAGAAGAAGAGTAAGAGGGGAAGAAGAGGATAATGCATGAAAAATTGTTATCAAAAGGAACAAGCGTCTGATGTAATCACGAGGACGACGATGCCGATCCTTGATGTTTGACGAAATATAGCGTCCCTGCAAGCCCAAATGCTTTGGCGATCAAATCAATAGAGAGTGGACGATGAGGATTTGGAGAGGATAGCTCAAAGGGACATTTTTTCTTGGTAAGAGCACGGAGTGTCGCAGAAAGGGTTGGGTAATCGCTTAATTGGATATCCTTTTTATATCATGGAGAGTTACTTTTGTCATGTTTTAAGTATTACGGGTTAAGATTATCTACAGAATATCTACAGAACGTCTACATCACTCAATGATGGCATCCTTATCCACATGCCTCTTCTGCAGTAGAGAATATTCTAAGTCAGTTAAAAGGTGGAAAAAATGTCCTCCCACGTCACGTTTAGTCAAGAACCCCGGCAAGAAACAGACCTTGCGATTCTTAATTCCAATGGCGTTGTAGCCATTAGTGACCTTTCCAGATCAAATGCTGCAAAACAAAGACATTAATGCACCTCTGTTAGAATGAAACCCAGCAATCAAAGACTATCTTTTATCTTTAAGTTTTCTGAAAAGGGTCGAGCTTTAATGTTCGACTTCAACCATTAACTCAGTTTCCGTAACGGAAGGAGAGAAGGGGGGGAGTAGGTCCCCGTGTATTGTAGGGAAGGATTCGAGGGAGGATGATGAGCCTGGATGGTAGGCAACGGTCGAGCCCCATAGAAAGCCTCACAAAGACAAACAGTTCTGATGCAGAATAGAATAGATTGGAAAGGGGAAGTTGAAAAGAGGAGAAAGGAGCCAAATCCCAGAAAGACGGGGACCCAAAAGAACGTGGACTTCGAGCTCTTGTCTCCGCCGGAGGGAGGAGAAGACGACCATGATCAGAGAGCAGAGTGGAATGGAGAGCCCGACCGACCTTGACTCCTGCAACCACCGCACGCCACGGTATTCTGCGGCCGGGTCATTCTTATCCCAACCGACTTGGGACCCACGCGGGGGAGCCCCCTGTTCATGCTGCCAACAGCTGTCTCGCTCGCCCTTCGACTTTCCATAGCCCACGCCGGAAGCCGCCAAGGCTCTTTTTATTGTCTAGCGACTGTCTCTCTGTTAATGACTCTCTCTCGCTCTCCCTTCGCCCTGTCTCTCTCTCTCTCTCTCTCCCCTCCCCTCTGACTATCTTCGTCATGCAGCCTCTGGCATGCTTCGAAGCCTTGACCTTGAATGTCTTTTCCTCTCTCCCGAGGGAAATAGGTACTTCGGGGCTAGAGCTTCATTTTCTTTGTGCCTAGAGCCTGGCAGCGGTATCTTGTACGTCCGTTCCCTCCGATTGTGTTCAGCTTTAAGAAAGAAGGTCTGGTGTAGACAAGGAAACAGATTTTGCTCTGAATTTTTCAAAACCATACAAATTCGAGGTTATATTTCCGCGGTCTCTGTCTTTGAATCTCCTTTTGACAAACTACCCGTACGTTGCACATTTATCGGTTCCCGGTTTCTCTCTCTCTACCTCCCTCTCTATGTGTCTCAGGTAGGCTTCGAAAGCCGCGTGCTTGTAACTTGGATACCGCTATCCCAGTTGGAAACCGGATAATGCTGCCATATTACAGATATGTCAAGATGAGATGGGGTAAACCATTTTTGTTTACCTGTTATTGGGGGAAAATCCAAACCCCAGGCTGCTAAAAATATGCCATAATCCCAGAACGCCCCAACCCATCGCCATGAACGTTTTTTCTTCCTCCAACATGATCATCATCTTGCCCAGAATGTCCCTGCTGTGCCCTTAATGTTCTAACTTCATCTTAGGATTTGTGGAAGAAATGAGCTCACTAATTAGAAGAGTAAATGATCCGATGCTCATGAGGGATTCCCCATAACCATTGGGAGAAATGCAACCTCGGTCGAGAGCCATCTCACAGAATCTCGTACTCTTTTAGTTCGACTGCTTGCAACAGTGGAGGGAGGTATCTATGAGGAATGAAACCCCTTCAAATAAGGTGATCTCTTGAATTGGGTCATGGATTTGGTTCTTTCAAGAATGCGGGCTTATCTGCGCTAGCCACGAAGCCATGACCCGAGTCCTGAATCTCGTTGTGAGATGAGCCATGGTAAAAAAGTAGAGTACGAAGAAGCATTTGACTTGTTTACTCTGACCATTCACCTGCTTTGCATTGATGCACCTAGGAATCGGTTTCACTTGTAATAATTCAATTATTAATTAAGTTGAATACAGATCCAAAACCCAGCTATCCTACTTCGCAAGAAAATCAGCCCCCCATTAAATACCAAGGCAAACCCTTGGATACCCGACGAACATGCCGACTTGTTTCTCGATTGGTTTGCCAGTGAATAATCACAATTCTTATGCGCTGTGACTTTTCTAAATTATTCTGGTAAACACCCTCCTATATTCTCTTGCATGCATAGATGCGCTGTCTGGGTTCAACCAGGCCTAGCTGGTGCGCGAGAAGCAGCTCCATAGGGTATATTTTGGCCCTCTTTGCCCAAAACCACCTGGTCGATTCCCGGACCCAAATAGAGACGTTGCTCAAACGGCTCCACCAAGTTTACACACTGGTAAAACCTCAAACGAAGGGTGGTGGCAGGCTGCCTCTGCTCCGCTGCCAGCAGCATTAGGAGTCGGCATGTAGTTTGGTGATAGGATTTTGGCCCAAGAGCTTGTCAGGAAGTGTTTTCCGGGCTTCAAGGCTTACCTAGCCCATTGACGTCCCCCACGAAAGCAGGAGCGCCCCGCGCAGCCTGGCCTAGGAGAGAGGACAGTACGGTTCATGATGTACGAGCTTTGACCCCTTCACTTATCAGCACAAGATATTCACCAATCATATATTTAAGCTAACACCAGAGAGTTCGTTCCAAAACTGAAGAGTGTGGGTCTTCCCCTGAGCCCTTGTAGGCTAGAAAGCAATGGTGGGAGTAGCAAAGCAGTCCTGTAACATGCACCGAGTTTAGACAACTTCGGCCTCCATCTCTCGCTACACTCCTCCCCAGGAGGGATCGTCAATGCAGCAGCAAAGTCCGGTAGGAGTGAGGGTGGTATCATATCATTTACATTGGGAGCAAAAAAATTAAAATTTACTTACACCAATGAGGACGAACATTTTTGTGATGCCGTCCACATGATATTTGCAGGACCAGAGGGAAACTGAGCAGATAGGTTATTGGACGGAAGAAACGGAGTACCACTGTAGGGAGAAAGCCATTAACTTGGTGGAGTGTTGGAGACTAGACGAACTTCATAGGTATCCTCATCGCCTTTCCCTGCACCAGAAGTATCAAGCCCGCTGAATCCAAGTGGAACAATGTGATGGAACACAGCATATAAATCCGACAATTTGATTACAGTGACTCACCAACTTGGGCAGTCACTCCCGGGCCAAAGAACGATGTAAATTTTGCCTGAAATTCCATGTACACAAAATTTAGAAGGTTACCCAGCCGACTAGCAACCCAAGGTAGCTGAAATTGCATCATGCAGAGGCATTGGGTAAAGGAGGGCTTGGGTAGCAAGAACATATGAGATACTCCAAGCCTCATCATGTTCTGGAGTGCCTGGCTCACTAAAATGCCTAGAGTTCAGGATAGTCTCATATTGATTTTTATGGAAATAACCCTGTGGTTGCCAAAGTCATGGGTTTACTTTATTAATTGGCAACTAGTTTCAAGTTGGATAACCTAATGAGTGTAGCATAATATCAGAACCACTGACTGCCCTTGGGTACCTAATGAAATTGCTATATTAAGAATAATCCCATAGTTATTATTATAGAAATAAACCTTTAATTACGAACAAGGGTCCACCTGATTCATTGCCGATTAGTTCTGAGTAAGATGACCCAACAATTCTAACACTCGAGAACTCAACAAGTAGGTGGTCATCACATTATGAGGAAGGCACGAAAGTTTTAGCTTGTCTTAGAGATACGATCACAACAACTCCAATCACTGCCTATATGTTCTTACCTTGATCTTAGAGACCTGGAAAAACTAAGATTTGGCCTTTCAGCGTTAGCTAAATTTGGGTGATACATTTATATAGCATTATTGAAATTAATCTCAAAATAGATTTAAACAGGAGGATTTATAAATAAAAGGGTGCGGGTGCATCTACCTGTCTCTGCTCGAAATCAGACAACTGCAAGGCCTTCGCTTCAAATACAAGAACAAGAGAGTACTTTCCATCTTCAATAACCTTCAAGGAAAATATAAAAAAACTAATCAAAATCGGCATTCAATGAGTAGAGGAAAATAACAGAAATCACGGGCAACAAGTTTATAACCGATTCATAATTGATGGAAAAAATTCTTTCTCTTCAAGTATAAATAGCTAAACATGTAAACGAGAAACGCCATAACAGTGTGGTCCCATAACATAGAGATAGATAGCTAAAGAATGTAATGGTGCTCCACGTGCACTATGGATGTAGAAAAGCAGCCTTCCATGAACATAAAACAACCAGTTTACAGTCAACAAAGAAATTTCCCAATGATAATTTTTATATCAGAGATCATAAGCTACTCAGCCTCCTGACTGAATAATCAACGAGGAAGGATCCCAAGGAACACAAAATTTAAAAGCTAACTAAAAAAAGAATTCTATCATCCCTCTCTTCAATTATATCCCAGATGATATGGTGAGGAAGCTTTATCACAGGATTCGTACTGGCATTTACATATGAAATAATTGGTCATATTGGCATTGTGTGCTGACTAGATCGCTGATGCTCTCAACTCGAAAATTAAAACGTTATTACAGAAAGCCTAGATGCCAAATGGAATCGACCAATTGTCGGATGATAATCATGAACATAGTAAGTGGTAAAGGCTTGCTAACTGCGTAACAGTCCCCATAATCATTAATTGACTAATAATTATACCGTAAGCATGCAATGCTCACAAGCCCTACGCTGAAATGATATATTGGCGCATTAGCCACCTAGTCTTGAAGTGTTTAGCAGAAAACATCCATAATTCAACCAGGTAGTTACAATATCACTTACCAGTTACAGTTCACCAATCTGACTCAAGTAAATAAAATATTAGCATTAAACATTTTAAACACGATAGTATATATAAATCATAACCATGTCAAAAATATTACAGTACGAAATAACATACACAACAATGTATCATAAGAACATCTTCATATGATAAAAATTCATCTGTACATGATGAGAGAAAAGCAAATAATGAAGAAATTTCCGAACTACGAATTAACTCTTTATATAGTCCCTCCTATCGATTAAGCAGGGGAAAAAGGTGGTCACGGCATAAACAATATAATTTATTAAAGACTCGAATTTGGTTCATTCGTTTGAAAATTTTCAGATTGGAAATTTTATTCATGTCAATTGAATACTAAGATTATCACCTGAAAACAGATCATTTTACGAACTATATATGGTCCAAACCATCCAGTTCGGTATTCAAAGAAAACCTTTTGATTAATAATTGTCTGACATCAATCAATGATTACACACATGTCACTTTCCATTATCTAGCATATTTTGAATTTTGAAGATACTTCTTCAAAAAATTAAACATTAATAACAGTGCAACACAATCAACACAACCAACCAGTCCAAGCCAATTGCTATCAAGGACCTGGATCTTATTCCACATCATTATTGTCACGTATCCAGAATCCCTAATTTCATATCTTTCTCAAGCCTCATCAAAAATAAATAAATAAGTTTCCTTTCCCTTCTAGATTCCTTAGAAAAATGGCGATCATAGAGCAACATATTTATCAATATTTTTCTTCTATTTCCGCCACATCAAATGATATTTATGGAACATACCCTTGATAGCATTTTGAGAATGCAATTCAAACATAAACATGGCATGACTGCAATTCACGAAATGACTCTAGTAGAGTCATTTGAAGCAGATTCTATTTTCATCTTTCCAAATTTTCACCTTAGCATTTTTCTTTCAACAACCCATCTCTCGGCAATGTGACTCTTCCCTAGTAACTTAACCTTCTGATCTATATTCTAGCACTGACCTAATCGTCATTTTTTTACAGCCTAATCTATCCAAGCAATTGCAATCATGTAACTACGTCATCATAATTCTTCCAGTGTGAATCATCATTTACACTGTCAACTGCAGGATTGGCGTAAGGAATCAGGTTGCTGTCAGACAGGACATCCAGTTGTAAAATGTTTTTGATATTTCATTCACATGAAGTTAACAATTAGGAAAGAAGGCGTATCTAATTTCCAGTATCTCAAAAGGTTATGGAACATTGAAAAAGCCCATAAACTCAAAGGAGTCTTAATCTCTAATCAGGCATGGAAATCAAGAGTCATATATCTTCATAAAAAGATACTCTGATATCTAAGATATCATGTAGATTTGATTAAAGGAAATAAAATCACGATTTCTAGTTACCAAAGTTCAAACCTTGAATAGTTATGATAAGCATTGCGAGGTTTATAAATAAATACACGAAATTCCTTCATAAACCAGTTTCCATTTTACATTATTTGAAAGGTAAAACTATTCAGACACATAAACTTCAGTATCTGTTCTTTCACTCGAACACCGCAACAGTAAGATAACTAATGTAATTCCACGTTTTAGTGGATAAGCTTAGCAACTAGGAAGAAATCGAAACATAACCACCAAACTTTGAGCTTCTGAATCTTCATTGGAATGTAACAGTGACATGATTAGCTCATTACCATTTGACAGAAGATAGAATCAACAACAAATAAGATTTTAAAATACTCGGATCAACGAAACAAGTTAACAAATAGAAGATTTACTTCTTCACGAATCAATTTGAGTGTAGGTGCACTTCGCCGCGGAATTCCACCCCCCTGGAAATCCAGTGAAGAAAATGTCAATGACAATAGGGGGAAGAGGGGGCAATTTTTCAAGTTATTCCAAAACACGGTTTCTAGAAACCAAGCTATCATCACAAGAGCATTAACAATTACATGAGCACAACTACAAGCTACACCAAAAGTAAGAAAAAAACTAATTCATTTGTCAATATCTGACATGAGCTGGGGAAGATGGACGTCCGAGGATCAAATCTGTCTAGAGACAAGGCTATTGAAAATTGGCTTGTAAGCTTTGAAGTGTCTAATTTAAATATGTTCTCCAAGAAATTAAGATTCAATTACGATGAGTCACTTGAGAGGTGTGCTTGTTTTCTTACTATGGCACCTTTTACTACTGGAATTTTCAGGTGATAAAAATATGAACTTACCATGATAAACGTCGTTTCTGAATCCCACTTAGGTAACTTATTTTCCTGACAATAACATGATAAACATAAGAAAAAATCAACCCCATTTTGGGGAACACATCACTGAGACATCCCGCCTTTCTGAGGATATATGCAAATAGCCTCCGTTGCATAATTAACTCTATGAAACCCTTATGAAGGAAATCCCTTTTGAAATGTGGCATACAAACCACTTATTGGTGATTTAGGATGTAATGACGAGAATGCTTACAAAACCATGTTTACATATAGTGGAGGGAATTTGAATCGTTAAGTAACCATTAGATATAAAAATGGTATGAAGACCATTTAATAGATAGATAGACGAATGGGAATTATTTCAAAAATTGTGAGTTGAAATAAATTTATGAAAATTATGATATGCAAATACAAATTGCCTGCATATGAACACAGCCTGCTGAGAGAAGGATCACTCAGCACGATTGGATTAATTGGGAAAATTGAATTTCTACCTAAACCAGATTGGATAGGATAGATGAGAAAATTAGGAAGTGAATGGGCTTATTCTAACTTTGAAGAAAGAAAATTTCACGAAAAGAGAAAAGGGAAATAAAAAACGAAGACAATTTGACAAAATAGGACAACTGATAAAAATAAATGTGAAAATGCTTAGGTACTTTTTTGACACATAAAGGAAGACAAAATACAATCAGAACTGCTCTCAGGTGGTTTCTTCCTTGTGAAGATGAGCAGGTAGCATCTTTGTTGCATCCAGAAAATATGGTTTCACTGAATCTGAGAGGCACCAGTGGCACAGATCCACCAGTGGATGACAGTGAACATAATTCTGTACCTCACAAGGAATCTAAAAATAGTACACTGACACTCATGACACCGATAAAGTGACAAAAGGATGCTGTGCATGGACGGAAAAGCAAAGGAAGAGGAGATAGCTTGAGATGGAACTTTACAGAGTGTTGGAAAAAATAAGGTAATGCCACCTCTCCATTTTGGCAACAACTCATGCCAACCAAAACTATACAAAGCTAGGCTTTAAAACTTGCTGCTGGCTTTCTCCGGTGCAAATTAGCTTAGCTGCGCTCAATAGACCCTAGTTGGTTTGGTTTCCTCTCTTAGGCCATCTTCCTTACCTTACCCCCTGCAACACACCCACTCCAAGCTATGTCTGCTGAGCAAGATGCATTGCGATTTCCTCATCTGTGGAGATGATGTGGACACTTCTGTACGACACTTGTTTTTTTTCTTTCCTCTTATGTCATATATTATTAAAATCAAATCCTATGAATACTGAAGAATGTTCCTCCTCGATCTAGCAAATAAGCTATTATTTGTGGGAGACCACTGTTGGAATTTAAGATCGGTTTTGTTGACACAGCTGTGTTAGGGACAAATTAGAATAGGAAGTGTTCTGAATATGAACTCAATATTCAGCATCTCCAATGTCTCATACTACTTGATCCAATCTCAGTCTTCATTAGAACTTGATTCACGTTTGCACATGTTTCTTTTAAATTTTGGATCAGTTAGGCCTGATCCTACAAGTCGGATCATTTTATCGACTTACTCCAGATAGAATTACTAAAGGTGTCCATAATTCTTTTTACCAAAAATTTTAGAACAAACAGCACCCACAGGAACCTCAGTCTCAGACAATGGGCATCCAAAAAATATTGATTATCAACTCCAAGTGTGCCAAAACATATCATAAAATTAAAGATAAAAATTCTGTCAGGAAACCACTTTTGGATTCTGCAATTAAAAAAGGGACATAAAGATGGACTAAAAAAGGTAACCGCTTTGAATTAGCAGGTAAAAGGGGACAAAAAAATTAAGCATTAAGCATCATGAAGAAGTTGATAGTGGATTAACAAGCATTACCAGACCATATTGGAAAATCCGTTTTAAGGCCTCCTCCAAGTGTTGTTCATCTCCATAACGGTATCTTGTAACATCACTCCTAACCTAAAGATCAAATACTTTCAGTGTGATGATTTCAAATCCAATAGTGCAGATATATCATGCAGATTCTAGATATAAGAGCAGAAGTCACATCAATCACTGTTTTAATCACATTTAAGTAAACCATACATTTGATCATTAATCAATAACAGCTAAATGAAGAGAAAAACCAGATTGAAAGAGAAATTAGTAACAAATGAAATAGCTGATTGGATATAATAAACTTATGTTGGCGTCACGATTAGATGAATACCATGCAAAAGGCAAGATTGCTTTCGCTATGCAAAGCATGCTAAGTCCCAGAAGCGGACACTAGCACTCGAAGAAACTGTATGGCAAGAATGTCAACCCACCAACCCATATTGTCCTTTTTGTGGTATCGCAGAATTGATAGGCAGAAGTAAAACGAAACAAGGTAGGAGAGAGGAATATCCATAACATCTTGAACGCTTGATTTGGATTCTGACGTCTGAGAAATGCCAGGAGTCCATACACCAACTGTTGCTTTCTTCACTCTTGTAAATGATGTCTATGCCTAGGCAAGATCGCCAGCCCAATGAATAGTCCCTAAGAGCCTCAGTTGAAGACTACACCATTTTCGTCTTCACATTTTACCTGCTTGGTAAGTTAGTAATAGTTGAGAGGCTGGCATTAACCTAATTTGAGATATTAAATGTATGCCATTTCGTGGTTAATGGGTGTACTCAAGAATTCTGAGGAATTACACTTTTCCTTAAAAGTCCGTTACTTACAGATAAATTAAAGTCAAAGGCACATGAAAAACATAAATACCACGAATGGTTCTGCAAAACATCAATTAATGATGAATACATCACAAACCAGCACCGAGCAAAGAAGAAAAGCAAGAGAAAAAGTGACACTATGACTGCTGCATGGTCGATATGTTCATGAAATCTGTGGAAGACAGCAAAAGACTTAACCAGGAGCTAATATCCCTGATATTTCAGTGAGCATCGGTATTATAAAGCTTTAAATTCACGATTAATCAGATGTTATGTTTATTTAACTTGAATCCAGCAGACACTTGCCTTCTGAATACTTAGTTTAATAATGTTTTCAGTTAAATCGCTGATGTCATCTGAAGCACAATCTATGAACTTTCAGTTCCTAGAAGACCCTTTTCTGTGTCATGTCCAGTCCAACTTGCATAAACCTTAAGAATAAACGCCACGAATATCAATTTCTAACAGTGTGACTATTCTAAAGCGTTTTCCATTCAACACTGTTTTCCATTCAAGTAAACTGCTACAAGGATAATACTCACCTCAAAGCACTAGTAATGATTGACGTCATTTTGAACTTACTTTGTCATCAAAAATCATAGTTTCATGCTTCTATCCCCCTCATGCTTTTATAATGATATCACGTCTAGTATGCAATCAAATCCATTGATAAAAGGAGGAAAAATTAGTCAACATGGATGGATCCAGTTCGGAATTGGAAACATCTTCAAACCCACCTGTTTGAGGATAGGAGTCGCACAGCTTTCCCTCAATGTTTGAGCATCAGAGTAAGTTATACAAGGCACTGGTTTCAACTCTGCATACTGGAAAAAAGGTTAAGGTACAAAAACTGTAAGGAGTTATTTTCCATGTCTCAAAACTTGCAGCATTCTAATGTTTCAAACGATGTGAAAATGATAAAATATGTTGAATTTCCTGGATTTCAAGAAAATGATTTCTTCCTGATATATTTTTCTGTAATGAAAGCAATTGAGTTAAATAATTTTTGAAAGTTTAGCACAATGTGCTATGGTCAAAGTGGTAATGGAAAAACAATGAAAATGATATGACGAAGAATGCAGTGAATCTTAGATTGTTCACCACACAAAGTTTGAAGAACTGGCTGAATGGCACTTGAATCGGATGAAGCACACTGGTATTAGATGAACAATGGTCATCGATTGTTCAAGGGAGCAAATCCTCCAGGTTCCGACCCTGGAAAGGCAAGATCGAATCTAGGGCGTGCTGTTTTAGAACCAAAATTAGAGTGAGAGCAGAGTGACTAGGCTCCGATCTGGAATCATATCCCTAGCTCCGAGCTGTTATCTTCTTAAAGAAAACGAAACTTCCAGGGCTGGAAGAAAGAACTTAGCCAGCCACCCCTGTCAGTCTATCCCCAAACATTAAAAACTTGGAAAGAAAGAAACCAGTAAGACAAAACCTGGGACCTTGATGCTTCAATATAGAGCAGCTATATAAACAGGATACCACGTAGATTAAAGTTACCAAAGTCTAGCCTTACATTTTCGCTCAAATCTGTGATGGATTCGTAATCATGTTATTTTCTTTCTGCTCATTGTCCTTACAAAAAATTCAAGGCAGATTGCAATTATTTTCCATTCAACAAATTAATAAGCATTTAGCATATACTGGACAATACCTGATGCCATACAATTATTATGAGATTTACATAAAATTATAATTTATACGAACAAAGATAAAATACGTAAACAACTCAGATGTCTGACATAAAGCTTTTGTTCAACTCGTGAATATGAAAAAAATTCATGGTAACGCACTTTTGATTTGCAGCCAAGGTTGAAACGCATAAAAAATATTGAGCAATTTTAGGGTTCAGATGATATCCTGGTTATCCAGTCACTACACTAATATTTGTAAAAACCGAAGTAAAAGAGAGAACCAGTCTACCTTAAGAGCCATACCAATGATGGCAAGAGGAAAGCCATATGTTAGCATCAAGGCAGACCATTCAGACCCAGGAAAAACGGTGAAATATGCCCCAAAGCCATACCTAGAAATTTTTCATGGGCCACAAGATAAAAATAAGAATTTGCCATTAATAACTTAATAATTGCATCAGACATTTACTTACGAAAGAAGTGCAGACCCAAGACTTAGCCCGATAACACCAAAAGATATCTGCAGCAAGAGATATCTTATGTAATACACTGTGACAGTATTATCAAAAATTGGAAGGATACAAAATCATGAAGCCTACATACCTAGGCCCAAAAAATCGTAGTTCATTAATAAATCCATGTGAAATTTATAAAGCCTAGAAGAACCATTATCTAAGAATAAGAAAATTTATTTACCTTTCCAGATGAGGAAATAATTTATCCCCAATGTTCCAAGATAAGTGTGTTAGGAAGGCAAGAAAAGCGATTATTTTGCTATAGCTATGTCTCCCCAGAATCAGTAACATGTATAGGCCTTATAATGAAATATGAATAATCATGATAACACGGACTAACCCTGCCACAGAAAGTTTGACAGTTAACGTATCATTTGTAGTGTGTTTTAGAGTATTCTAATCTCACAATACCCACCTATATCATACTCAACCTAGTCAAAGGAAAGCAACACAAAAGTACACGCAATAATAAGAATTTTAATGTGTTTTTACCCGTGCTTCACTTTTTCTGTGATATGGGATAGGGGATATTAAAAACAGTAATTGAAACTTGAAAAAATACCTCAAGCTTATCAAAGTGAACAGTTCATGTGCAGGAAGAACAGATAACAAAGTCTGAGTCAGCAACCAATCAATAAGTTGTTAGTGCCACGGCATGATTTCTAAGACTATGTGAAGAACGCTCATAAATAGGAGTAGAAGAGAGGAGGCATAATGACGTAGAATGTATAAAGTTACGTACCAATCTTGGTTATTTTTTTAACAATACTAACAACCGCAGTTAGAACTCCAAACAGATGGGAAAGATTTTGGCAATGTTCTTCTAAATAGATTGGTTAAATTCATATTTCCTCCGAGATTATTATTTTCATAAAAGAAATTGTGAACAACCTCAGCCAAACGGAACTGATAGTTCCTCCAATAAACAAATAACCTTACAAGGCAGTTTCACAGATGACTAAGATTATCGCTTACTCAACGACTGGGAATTCCAGGAATTTCTGCGCCGGCGATGAGGAAGCACACCCACAGGTTTCACCAGTTCCAGTATCAAAACAAGTGCAGCAGGTAGATAACATGAAGAGAGGTATGAATGGATCCTACCTTGGCCAGAGAGAACTCGTCGTCTTCGACGACACTCTTCTCCGGAACCGCAGCCGCCGAGGAAGAAGATGAGGGCTGGGTTGAATCCACAGCTTTGGCAACCACTACAAGTCTGGAACGGCTCTGGGACCTCAATTGCCCCCAAGGCCTCCGAGTAAGAGAAATGACCGCAGTAGCCGAAATCGAACGAGGGCACTCAAACAAGAGGCCACTGGAGCACAAGAGGATCCCTCCGCGGATAGTCGACGAGGTTGGCGGTGGTGGTGCTACTGTCGTCATCTCTCCCTCTCTCTCTCTCTCCTCCCTTTCTCTCCTCCTGTCTCCTCCCTCTCTCTCTCTCTCAACGCATGCCGGCCAAACCCTGTCCTTCCTGTCTATCCTGTTTGAATGAAGGGTCCTAGTGAACCTGAGGCGCAGCCAGACAACTAGAGAAACGGTTGCCACAGCCGCCAAATTACCGCTTTGACTTCCCGCTAAAATGATCTCTACAGCTTCCAAATATAATTTTTCTCATTATTTTTCAAATAAAGTAAGACCAATCAATATTCAACTATTATAATTTTTCCGAATTTTGTGTATCATTTCCCGACCACTCTGCCAAATATTTCCAATCATTTTTTTAATTTCGGATGGTTCCGATCATTTCTCCTATTTTTACGATGCCCTCCGTAACTATCCTAACGTAGTAAATTAATATTAACTATTATAATTACTATCAGGCAATTTATCTGAATTTAATTACAATGTGGGGATGTAAAGGACTGTTTATTACCATGGTTCGTTTTTTTTAGAAAAATTATGCACGATTAAGATAGTATTTAAACGGGGAACTTGGTTGATAATACAATTTCCCAACAAGGCAATAATACAATCCCCAGTACGGTTGCCTTTTTTGCCCTTACAGTATTATTTGAGACCCTTGAAAGTCCATCAAAATCAAGGATTAATTATTTTCGGAATTTTTAGTTACGACCGGAAATTAATTTGAATTAAAAATGAAGGGATATGATGTCCGTTTGTAAAGATAATAGCACAAACGTCCATTTTCAGAATGAATAATTTTAAAGAGCTCATGTTAAAGTATTTATCTTACCTTAGGGAGACATTTTTCAAAATATTTTACACAATTAAATTAAATTAAATTGAAGGGGGAAGTTGGGTGGAGTTTTGCATAAAAATGAGGGCGAGGGTAATTATTTTACGGATATTTGGATTTTTTTCTTCCTAGGGAAATTATTAGAAAGGTCGTGTAAAAATGAATTGGGAGAATTTGATGGAGTTCTGTACAAAGAATAAGGTTAGCTATGTTTTCTGGGTTTTTTTGAAATTTATTCCAGGGGAAATTATGAGAGAAACCCTATCAAAATCGAGATTGGGGACGGAGGGCCGAGTTGATGCGCTCACTCGGCAGTTCTGACGTAAAATTACCTGCGGCGCCACCGCCGTCGCGGTCGACGACGAAGCTCGTGCTTGATAAAATGGATCTGGAGAGAGAGAGAGAGAGAGCTCCGACGTTGAATGCCTTCAGCAACCCCACGTAGAGAGAGAGAGGTTATGCAGGCTCACAAGCTCCATCTCCGCCACAAGCGCTGCTCATTCTCCCCCTTTGCTGGCTCTCCTTTGTCTGCTGTCTCTTCGCTTCTTGTGGAACCTTTCTCTCGCTCCCTTGCCCTCAAGCTTTCTGACTCCTCCTTTCTACTCTATCCTCCCGTTCCCGTTCCATTTTCCCCGACAACCTTCCCTCTCCCCACCACCATCTCCCCGATCTCTACCTCCGCCTGCTTCATTCGACTCCTCCGTAGCCCTGGCGCTGATATTGGCCGAGTCCTATTCCTCTCTGCCTCCTCTCAGGGCGCTTCTGTCCTCCTCCGGGGCTGGTTTCTCCTCGGTGGGAGCGGGAATGGCGGCGAGGGGTTCATTCCTGTCCAATTAAGCTCCAGAAAGGACCGCATGAAATCGGAGCTCGTTCTCGATCACCGTCATGGTTTCTCGGTGACGTTGGCAGGATCAGTCAACGTTTTTGTTCTGCATTCGCCAGCGGAGGGAAAGATTTTAGTCTACGCCGCGAGGCTGTGTGGCGAGGTGGGGGAGGAATTTTGGGTGGACCTGATGAAGTGCGCTGTGATTGAATGTACCTCGCCAGTCTTCTCGATTCAGCTATCTACCGGGTTTCTGCTTCTGGGAGAGGTGGCAGGGGTCAGAGTTTTTCCTCTCAGGCCGCTTGTCAAGGGGAGGGCTGGGAGTAGGAAGAATTCGCGACGAAGAAGGAAGGAAGACATGATCGAGAGTTTTAACAGAGGGCTGATACAGTTTCGTGGAAAAAACCTCCCAAATGGAGTGGTGACCGGCGTGGTCGCTGGAAAGAATGGGCCTTGTCAAGCGTCCATTTTCCCTTCTGAGTCTACAGCTAGTCTCTGCAACTCCGACGATGGTCATTCGGTAGAAAAGAGGCATGATGCTGCACTTGACTATCCGCTCACGGGGAAAGTTGAACCTGAAAAGGCTTCTGGTTAGTCTAACATTGGCTTTTTTTTAATTGAAGTTGCTCAAATTTGCACGCCAAGGAAAATAAGACCTGCGGCATGCTTTGGTAGAAAGATTTCGGATCCCTAAAGTATAGTTACATTTCTCCGATTTTCTTGTCGCACTTTCATGCGGAATGGGAATTTAGCCTTTCTGTCAGTAACACCCGCCAGAATCCTGTGGGAGCTTCAGCTGAAGTGCCCTGTAACTATTATTCTATATCAAATGAAAACTATTATTGACCATCTTTTTATTGCTTGTCAGAAAGAGGAGTATGTTTTGATGTCGCGTTATGAGATAGAATTGTTTCACCAGTAGACCATTTTTCTGGGAAATGAGCATTTTCAGGCTTTGATATTTTTTATGGTAGTAATATGGACCAAAATCGAAAGGATATAGGAGGCTAATCTAGTAGAACAGTACGGGACAAGATCTAAGGTTCTCAGCGAAAAAGAATTTTAACTTCCCAACATTCCAATGTCGTATACTTACAATGGTTCTCTATTCTTGCTTTCTGAATTTATGATCTGATAATTAATACCTGGACGGGGGCTTGCATTGTATACTTCAAGAGAAAAGAAGGGGAATGATTCGACGGAGAGTCATGAAAAAATGTAATATTGGTGATTACAGCGGAATAATTGGTGTGTTGTTATGCGTGTCATGGGTGCTGCGTGGCTTAGACTGGTTGTCGTGACTCTCACAATCATAATGAGCTCTAATGCAGATTCTACATAGTATTTTCTTCTAGATTCTCATAGCTTTTTCATACGTTTGGAAAAACTATTTGAACATAATTGTTTGCTGCAGAATTTTTAGTGGTAATTATGACAGGCATCTCTTCTGTTGAAAGTTCTGTCTATGAACTTGGACGCTTTTTGAGTGTTCCTGGGCAGGTTTCATCTCAGGAGACCTTGTCAAGTTCTAGCATCGATCATTAGACTATGGTGGCAATAAATTCATGGTTTGCTTGTGATGCATATATGTTTCATTCCTGTTGCGGTACGTACGTTGTTTAAATAATGCCTATTATCTTCTTGACTGTTGTAGGTTACAAACTCTGATCTGTTGATATTTTTATTCAGCTTGTCACTCTGCATCAAATCCAATATCACATAAATCATTACTTACTGGTCCACCGAGTCAGCTTGTTTCACTGGGTTCAACATTTTTTTCAGATAATTTCTGATGATCCACTGTTTCCGCAGTTTTCTCTTTTGTTGATCTAATGCTAATTTTAACTGCTCTGGTATATTAGATGTTATGCAGACCATGTGTTCGTTCTTCATGTTTCCTATCTTAGTCCATTTTCTCTTTCATGCAGCTAAGCTCAGGACAGTAAAGCTCAGACAGAATTCTGGTGAACTTAGCTCATATTTTGTGGCTTTTGACAATGCTGAAGTGCAAAGCCCTAAAAAGGTGTCATTGTCACGATTGCCTGTAAAAACAACATCAATCCATGTCTTGCCACAGAGAAAATTTCTAGTCTTGGATTCTATTGGAGACCTTCATCTGTTGAGCTTGTGTAAACATGTGGTTTCAGAAGCTGACTCCACTGTTAACACTGTAGAGTCCTCTAAAGAATCATACATAGTGCGCCTGGATTGTACTATCAAAGTGCAAATGCTGGCTGCTTGTCCTGACTTGTCCACAAGTAGGTTACACTTATTATCTTCTTCCGTTAATGATCTCATTTTTATAGACCGTTCCCCCTGAATCTGCAGGAGGCCAGATAGTTTGGATATCAGATTCACTCTATTCTGTTCACGTTATTAAATTGATGGACGTTGGTGAAAATGATGAGAAAACTGGGAAAAAGCTAGCTCAAGTATCAGGTCTCTGAAAACCATGAATATTTATTTTTTTATGCTGTTGTAGGCAGAAGCAGAGAACTTTAGTTTTTCATTAAAAGTTTACTTAACTTTCTGGCTCAAAATCCGGAATATTTGAACCTGCCTGTCTTAGTTTTATGATGCCGTGACTAATCGAATGTGTACTGTTCCTTCTTAGCTATTCGTGCAATATTTTCAAGTGAAAGAATTCAGGATATTGTTCCACTCACTGAGAATGCAGTTATGATTCTAGAAGAAGGTATGTCTACACGATAGATTGGAAAGTGATCCTTTTCTCTTGACTTAGACGAGGAATCTATCTTTTATTTTTCTTTTTCCTTTTAGTTTTACTTGCTGTGACATTGATCCGATGTATGTTTACACATACATCTATGTGATTGCATACCCACAGGAGACATATATGTGTACGAGATTGATTGACGTTGAACGTGAGCATATATTAACACTGAGGTATTCCAGCCTTATAATGAATCTCTCTCTCTTACACACATGCATGTGCGTATATAGAGATGTATGTTTTTTTTTTTGTCTTACGGTATCTTCTGCCATCATTTGCTTCCAAATATTTTGTTACCATTGGATCTCATTTCGATTTCGATTGTTCATGATTATAGCGCCCATTCTTCCATCAAGATGAAAGAATGGGCAGTATAATAATGACGAGGGTCTATAGTATTCATTGAAAAAAATCTGAGCAGCTGGTGTAATTTTCTGGACCATATAAGGGCCCAATGTCTCACAGAAAAAAATATCATGAAGTTTTTAGCCTCGACAAAATTGAGAACTACCTTCGGACCAAACTTCATAAGGCCTGATTCCCTCATGGCCTGAATTACACCAGGCTTCTTTGATCATGCAAATGGCAATCAACTGTGTTAAGCTACCCTGATCCTGTTCCAACTCTGAATCTCATCATTTAGTGAGTTTTTCTACCTTGGCTTAACCTTACCCAAATTTGGATGCTTGCCAGTCACAGGGTCACCCTTTTGGGAATTCCTATATAAGAAATGAACCTGTTCAACAATGTGATTCGTAACCAAATAATTTTAAGTTGGGCAATCCGATTATTGGGCACGATAATAGAGTTTAGACAGCCGGAATCCATGTGATGCTGCATGCTGGAGTAATCCGCGGTGGGAAGGACCTATTAGATCATGTGATGTATTAATGAGCCTACTCTTCTCACAGATAATTCCGGATCAGCATAGGTATTATCTATGAAGATAACACCTATGATTGGGTTCTATGATTGGGTTGTATGAGTCATACAACCCAATCATAGGTGTTAAACTCATTCGTTGTATGTCTTTGGTCGGCTTTGCACCGTAGATCAGCATCCTTGGCTTCAATGATGATCAATCTATGCAGATCTGTCCAGGAATTATGAGCATCAAATGGGTAGAAAAAGGACATGTATTGGAGATGCAAGTCTTGCCAATACTGTTCACTAAAAAGTTAACCATGGCATGAGACGATATGAATTCAGTTAGTCAATAAGTGAAATGAAAGTGCAAGTTATGTATTGAATGAGTCCATCTTGTTTACCTTAGATATCTCGATCAGATGAAAATTTTAATTGATCTTATTGTGCAAATGGGGGAAAACTGTGATGCTTTACCAATGGAATAATATCTAAACCCCTGTTCCTATAGTAAGCAGAGGTAGGAACCTGTTAAATAGGGATCCTGTTCTGGACGTGGATGATGTTGGGTAAAAGAAAATTACTGAAATCCACAAATATTTTGTGGGCAGTAAATGTGAATATTTTGTTTTCTCATCATCTTTTCCACTACTCGCACAGCCACTAGTTGTATTCTTCAGGACTGGACAGCTTTAGATAATGTTGATTTGTTTTTTTACAAATTCAGTGGTCTGAATTCATACCAAGATGGAATTGATCACGAAAAGTTCCTGATTAGTAATTGGTTTGACCAGAGATATCCAAAGAGTTCAAACATATTCTGGGGTTTATGGTTGACGGATCTGGGGATAATTTGTTTGGAGGAAATATATCTTTATATTAATCTTTCTTTAACTAATTTTTTCATTTCATTCTTCCTGAATATGTTTCAAAATAGTTTGACCAAAAGTTCGCTCAGACCTTTATTGCCAGATTAGAATTCTTGGTTGTAGGTTCACTCTGCCGCCTGAACTCAACATGATAAGACGGCTAAGATGATTCTTTTTCATTACTAAATAGTCATCGAGCTTTTGAACAGGGTCAGTTAATTTTGTGCGGAGGACAGATGCAGTCCCATAAGTTATTATGTGGTTTGCACTGGGGATAATTTAATGATTTGCCTTGTCTGTTAATCATCATCTGAATGGCCATTAATTTCACCAACAGGTGTCGCCTCGGCCGTCTTTATTTTTCTTGTTTCACTTACTATACCCGTCTCAGACCACTTACAACTTCTTGTCATAAGCTTTGGATCCCCATACCTCAAATCATCTGCACTTTTAGTCAACTCTTCTTCAGGAGTTTTAAGTAAAAAAGAGGGGTAGATAGACGGTAAGAACTAAAATATGACGTTAGGCTTAACTCCATAGTTTAACTAAACTAATTATTGCGCTATGTTACTTCCAAACGCAAGTGTTGTCCACCTGGAACTGATCTCTGACTTTGCTTCTGCAGGAATCTTATTTGAAAGCAACAGCCGTTCTTTAAATCGGTTGCGATCCATATTTCAGTCTTGTCTAATGCAGGGTAAAGAAAACCTTATCAGATGTTTCTTGCATTTAATGCATTCCCATGGCTACTTGTGCCTTGCAAAGCTGAGCCTGTGCTTTATTATGCTACATCAGTTGAAGCTCGGTTCCTTCTGAACTACCTGGCACTCCTTCGGTCATCCTGCCCCTTGGGAACTCCGGTACCCGTTTTCAACTTCATGGGAATTCAAGCTTACGACTTTGAAGAGAGAGAAGTCAAGAGCATACCAAGGTGAGGCGAGCTCATACCCTCCTTCCCCCTGGTCGCCATTCCTCAGAAACCCCTGATTATCTGGCTGACGTGGATGCCATTTCTGCGCGTGATCTTGGCAGGGTTGGGCATCTGAAGGATGGCTTCTCTCTCTGGGCCTGGGCTGGACCTTCAGAAGAAAGCTCCTCTTGCGATGCTTCGGACCGAAGGATCCTTCTGTTTTGGATGTAGAAATAGAGACAGTCTGGACCTGTGAGTCTCCACTCGTTTCCTTTCTCTCACTTCATTCAGTAAAGATTCTTTCTTTCAGTGAATCTGGTCTTTCTACTCCGTGGCTCTTACAGTGAGAGGTTCCTTGTCAAGTGAGAATTCCTTAGAATAATTTGCAGGTTTATCCCTCTGTTATTTGCAAAAACCTATAACCTTACGAATCATAGCATTTATATCCGATTTCTGAAATTGGATCGGACCTATGAGGTTTAGCATAGCTTCCCCCTGTCCTGCCGCCGCCGCCGCCGCCACCGGAGGAGGCGGAGCAGGTAGAGTCGTCAGCGGCAGCGCCTTCTTCCTGGGACTGTGCCCGGTTGTCGCTGCGGCAATCCATCCTTTGCGGCAGAAGATGTCGGGGAGAAGAGGACGAGAGCAGGAAGGGAGATGGCCGAGCAGGCTGCGGAAGTATTGTCAGGGGAGCTACAGATCGGCGGAAGGTCGATCAGCAGGCGCCATTAAATAGGACGACGCAGACACGGGCTCAGGAGAATAAACCGTCCGGCTGCGAAGGGGACGGCGCCGCCGCCGGTGGGCATGGACACGAACCCCGGAAGGTGATGGGCTCTGCTCGTCCGGTGGAGAGTGCAATGGCCGGCAGCGGAGCTGAGGTGCTGCGATTCCATGGAGTTGGCCCGCCTAAGTCGGCTCCGGGGAGAGGACGTCGTAGATCTCTTTCTTCTTCCCGGCCCAGCCAGAGCCGATAGCGCCATTTACACCGAGGCGGCTCTGCCGTCCTCCTCGTCCGTCGGCGCGGTGAGAAGGAACGCCCGCCCGCCCCCCCAACCGATTCTGCTCATGCCTTTAGCGGTCGTTTCCCGAACGGGCAATCTTGAGGGGTTAAATTGATGGCCGCTCTCCGCGAGGAATGAGTCGTAATCTTGAGGGCTTCTCTATTCTGTTCCTGCGAAGTCTCCTCAACGTTCGGAGTAGCCCCGGCGATTCGATGGGGGACGGCGAGGCGGCGGCAGAGACAGAAGGGAAGATGGAAGCGCCCACCGAGGCTAGGGGCAGCAACTCGCCGGAGGTGAAGGAGAAGAGGAGGTACGGTCGCTGCGTGCGGGTGATGTGGAAGGAGAAGCTGAGGCTGATGAAGGGGACGGCGCCGATGACGGTGCTGGAGAAGAAACTCCTCTCCGCGGACGTCAGCAAGAGCCATGCCACACTACTCCTCCGCAGGAACAATGACGACGGGGAGGAGGAGAGGAGCCCCATGGAGCTGCTACAGTTCATGACGGAGGCAGAGAAGACGTCGGCGGCTGCCAAGAACGGAGGGATGCCGGTGGTTCTGCTCGACAGGAAGGGGGACGAGTATCCCGAGGCCAAGATTACGTACTTGCAGAGCATGGGAGCATACGCCGTCGCTGGTGAGTGGCTGAACGTCGTCTCTAACAACCAGCTCCGCTGCGGGGACGTCGTCGACATCTACACCTTCCGGGTTCCGCCGCAGGCGGCGGCACCCTCATCCTCTTCGTCTCCGCCCCCAGCTTCTTCAGAGGAAGGCAACGGCGGCGGCGGCACACATAGCGAGTGGAGGCTGGGCCTCGCCGTCTGTGCTCGGGTACCCGCCGACGAGATTGTGAGCAGGCGGCTCGCCAGCTCCTGTGACAGCCAATGCGCGTTTGACAGGTCCAGCGTAAGCAGTGAGGAGTCCTATTGCTAGGACGCGCGGCGGCCACCCCACAAACCATCGCCGCCTCCGATGATCTTCTCCTTCTCCGATCATCCTCTTACATGACTGTGCATCGATCGGAACTACCACTTTCCGAAAGTGACAGTCTCTCTGATCTTTCCACAACAATAAAACTTGAATCATGAGGACGACGACCAATTCCTCCACGCGAACGATTAGTCCTGAATTGCTCTCCCCAACAATCAAACTTTGACATTCTTGATTGAAATCCGATCGTTCTTCTGGATTGACTTTCTTGATGGTAAATGCGATCATCTAAATCGGAATTCTCGCCCATACAACATCGAGAAGCCGCCATTAATATTGTCTTACACCTATGTTAGCAGTCGCTATTCACAATTTATGGGCCCAGGCGATCCCAGAGTCGGCAACTGGAAGAGAGGCCTTTCAGCTCCGGCAACACTCGGACTCTCTGTGGTCGGCTCGGACGTGCCTGAGGGACGAGGGAATTGGACTTTGGGTGGGTGGTCGCGACGGCGAACAGCTGCGCCATCGGCGGTGGAAGTGCTGAAGACGGGAAAACCCTTCGAGATGACCGTTTGGGTGGCGGCGGAGTGAATAACCATTCAGGAAACTGGTGCTCAGGGGGATGAGTGGTTGGGGTGCACCCTGGGCCGGCGAGGTTTCCTATTCGACGGCACCAACTTGCCGGCCAGTTCTTCGGCTTTCCTTTCCCCGCTCCTTCTCTTCCCATCTGAATTCCCATGGCGAGCTTATATAACCCGGCATGCATCTCCACTACGGTAATCACCGTTTCAGCGGGTTTCTTTCTGGCCCGTCTCTCTATCTCCATCTCTGCAAGCCCCTCTCTTCGTTCTTTGTCCTGGTGCAGTTATGGCGGAGGGCATGACCAAGACGGCGAGGCACTCCTTCCCCCTGTTTGTGCCATAACCGATTCGCCCAATCCAGGTCCGTCGCAAGAGAAACCGGAGGACAAACGACGACTTCTGGCTCGAACTCACCCTCTCCACGTCTCCTCTCCTCCGCAAGGCCCCACGCGTTATCCCCCCTCCGTCGGCGGTCCGGAGAGCGGAGCAGGCGGGTTCGTCGGATGGCGGCAAAAACCTCTGCCTCGAGCTCTGCCTCTGGCCGCCTTCCGGCCTCAAAAGCGCCCCATCACAGATGACGGAGGAGGAGATGATCAGAAGCAGCGACACCGGGCACAGCCGCACCTCACCGGTCGTATGTCCTCCGTCGGCCTCCGGCGATACGAAGGTCCCGGAGGAGACGCTGCCCGGCGGGGATGGAGAGGCCCAGAGCCGGAGAGGGGGGTGGATGTGCGGGAAGTGGGAGAGGAAGGCAAAGATGCCGCCTGGGAAGAAGAAGCAGAGGAAGAAAAGGCAGATATGAGCACCCCACCGACGACCATGGAGAAGAAGCTGAGGTCCATGAACGGGACTGTGCCTATGCCGGTGCTGGGGAAGAAGCTCTGCGCCACCGACGTCAGCTCCGGCCACTGTCGGCTCCTCCTCGCGGAGAACAACGGAGACGAGGGCGAGCCCAAGCCCGAGGGGAGAGGTCCCGAGGTTCTGCTCGGCCTGCTGACGGACCCCGAGAAGGCGGCGGTGGCCGCCAAGAACGGGGGCCTGCCGGTGCTCCTGCTTGACCGGTGGGGACGGGAGTATCGGGCGGCAAAGCTGAGGCTATGGCGTAGAAGCGACTCCTACGTCCTCCTGGGCAAGTGGATGGACTTCGTCCGCCAAAACGAGCTCGACCCCGGCGACGTCATCGACGTCTACTTCTTCCGGCTTCCGTTCGCAGAGGAAGGCGACACCGCCGCTAGGGTGGGCCTGGTCATCTGCTCTCGAGTCCCCGAGGAGGAGGAGGAGAGGCGGCGGCGAGACGGCCCGGAGGCGAGGAAGTGGCGGCGCGAGGAGAAGGGGAACCAGATGAGGAAGCACAAGCGGCGCAGGTGTTAGAACCGCGAAGCCGCCAGCCAAACTCAAGAACCAGCGGCAGGATGCTGCCGCCATTGAGCCCAGTCTGTACCTCTGCATTCCTCTGTGTAGCTCTACCATTCGTCTTATTGATTTCTATAATTCAACCCCATCCAGTTTGCAGACCGAGCGAGAGAGGTGAGAGAGAGAGAGAGAGAGAGAACTTGGTTGGAGCCCGCGACGGTGATGGAGACATAGCATGCCTGGCTATTGCTTACGACCAACAGGGAGGCTTCGGAGGCAGCAACTGCTGGGTAGAGGGGAGGCTGGGCTCTCTCGTCATCTCTGTAATCTGGTACCCGCCGGTGGCGGCCCCAGAACCGGTAGCTCTTCCGATTGTCGTTGTACATGACACGCGGTCCAAACACTAACTCTCCGAATCTACAGTCTCTCCTACTTTGCTCCACGCAGAACGCTCGGATCATCAGAACGACGAATTAGCCCTCCACCCTTACGATTAGGATCGAAATACAATTTTCTTCGATGAAGTCCGATCTTCCTTCTTCATCTTTTCACGTACGGAAATTTCAAGGTACAAAAAACAAAGTTATACAAGATGAACAACCGATTCGCCTTAAGAACGGGTGAAAAACCCCCCCGCTATCAAGCACGTCTCTCTCCGGTGCCACAGAGGACTGCTCCCTGTTCGTCTCCACACCCTCTTCGGCAGCTTCACCCCCATGAACCCATCTCAGGGCCCTCAATCCCTCTCCCAGGTGGATACTCCACATCCTCCGAAGAGGGCGAGAGACGAAGATAGCACATCTCATCCCAAGAAAGATCCGGAGTTTGGAGAGAACATCGGGCAGAGGCCATTAAAAATCGCGACTGAAAGCCACCAAAAACATGACCCACAGAGAAGGAGAAGTCGATCCTCAGATAACTTGGGATCGAAACGAGAGAGCTGACAACTCGCGGTTTGGTGAAGACAGGGAGAGGCATCTGAAGAAGGGTGATACTCGCCTAGTAGGCGCGGTTGACGCCCCACACCCTGATGACGCCGTCGGTGTACCCGGTGAAGAGGGTGCTCCCGTCCGAGCTCCAGCTCATGCTGGTGCAGTACAGCATCTGCAGGGAAGAGCAGAGAATGAAAGAAGATTATCGTGTAGTCCACACAGTTGATCCATGGTTTATGGGGAGGGGGGAATAAAGGCCACAAGACACTCCATTCCCATAGGTCTGAGTAAGAAATCCGTCCAGAAAATTTTAAAACCCAGATTGTCATCAAAGGGCGATACGATGTTGTTCATGGTGTTCGCACTACAAGACTTTAGCATCAGCAGATTACTCAAAAACAATCTCAACAAGTATCTATGACTAAATAATTACTACATGAACAATAAGCCTAGGTGGTCGCATTTAGAGGAAAATGCAAGATGAGTTGCGATCCTGATTCTATCCAATCTATAGAGGGCACGATGCAAGATGAGCTTTGCTGTTCGCAATAGGTGACAAGAGGGCGGCATACCTGGTTCTTGCCGGTGGTCACTTCAGGTCTGAGTTCCTGGACAATGACCTTGCTCTCGAGATCCCAGATCTTAATGCTATCCTGGGTGGCTGCGCAGAGCCAGTATCGGTTGGGGCTGAAGCAGAGGCCATGGATGATGGAACCAGCGTCGAGAGAGTAGAGTTTCTTTCCCTCTGCCAAGTCCCAGAGGAGCGTGACCCCGTCTTTGCCGCCGCTGGCGCACAGAGAGCCGTCGGGGCTGACCGCGACGGTGTTGACGTACCCGCCGTGGCCGGTGAGGGTGTACCTCAGCTTGCAGTTGCTGAGGTTCCAGACCTTGACTGTCCGGTCCCAGGAGGCAGAGACGATGGTGGGGACGAAGGTGTTTGGGCTGAAGCGGACGCAGCTGACCCAGTTCGTGTGGCTATCGCCATCCTGGATGGTATATTTGCACTCTCCTATGGTGTTCCAGAGCTTAATGGTGCGGTCGCGGGCGGCGGAGACTATCTGCCGGTTGTCGACGGAGAAGGCAACGGAGAGAACGTCTTTACTGTGGCTGACGAAACGACGGGTGGTGGCACCGGTGTTGAGGTCCCACAGGCGCAGCTCGCCGTCCCACGATCCAGAGAGGGCGAACTGTCCGTCGGAGCTGAGGACAACGTCCTGCACGAAATGGGAGTGCCCCGTGAGGCGACGGCGCGGCACGCCGTAGTTGGTGGAGCCGCCGCCTTCAGCGGAGAGCCCCGAGTCCTTGGTGAGGTGCCAGACGAGGATGGACTTATCCCTGGAAGAGGACACGATCATGTCCGAGTTGTCAATCGGAGTGGCAATGGCGGTCACCATGTCTGTGTGGCCCTTCATGACGCCCTTCAGCACGATCGTCTCCGCCATTGCTGCTCTCCTGCTGATCTGCGGAGCCGGCACACCTAGCCTCTCAAGAGTATCGCAGAAGAGGAAGGAGACGAATTTGGAGCGGTCCAAATTTATAGTCTTGAAACTAGGGTTTGGGAAGTCGGGTCTCATCCCCGTTGAATTCCTTCTTATGGGCCCTCCATCGGGCTTCATTTACTGGGCGGGCCTCTTTCTAACTCTCTCTCTCTCTCTTGCTCTCTCGCTCGCTCGCCCGCTCAGTGGAGGATCCCAGTTCCTTCCACCGCTATCTCTACGAGTAAACTCCCCAGTTTCCCTTGTTGAATAGGGAGAAAGTGGGAGAGGAAAAGTGGGTTTCATTCAAGTAATCCATGCCCTCCCCTTAGGAACGTTATAGAATAATGCCCTTGAACAAAATGAGCCAAATGGCATTCCCCAAAAGCTGGAACATCATAGAGATCTCTCATGTTCAACTTGGAGTGAATAATCTTTAGTTGACGATGAAGAAGTGACTTGGTAAAAATATTTGTCAATTATTCATCTGTAGATAAGGTGTATAAATGTTCTAAGACATAACAATATCTCTAATAAAATGACAATGCACTTCTACATATTTTCTGGCATAGAAATATTAAAATATTAAAGAATAAATATCACCTAGTAGTGTGAAATATGAGCTATGGCTCTGTACTCATATTTAACATTGGATCCTGAAATAACACTTTACTTTTTGCAGTGTCAAGTAACAAGGTTACTTTCAAGGTATAGAGAAAAAATTTGTAGTGGACGTCAAGACTAGTATAATCTATATTAGATTAGTCCCATACATTAATGTGCACACGAATCTTAGAATAAAGACTATTTCATGGTAACAATTTCAGATATCTATGTACTTGACAAACTCCAGCCTATGTTGCAAAAGCTAACTCAATCATCTAACTACAAAAGTAATGTCAAGCTATGTGACTGTCAAGTATAAGAGTTTTCAAAATAAGATTTCAATAATACATCACATCCAGAAACTAGTAACTACCAAACTAGCTAAGTGGAAGTTATAGGTCAAGAAGAATAATAGCAAGCCTCTAGTTGATGATATTCATCTCAAGAAAAAAAATTAAGAACATACATCTTTTGAGAGAGAGTCAGACCATCATCAATGTGGCTGGCCTCAATATTAAGGAAATAACTAATAGTGTTAAGTTCCTTGATAACAAATTGAGAGTGTATGAATTCTTTTACTACCATTATACCATCTTGATCATTGCTTGTGAGTAAAATATTATCAACATACATAGTTATAATCATAAAACAAGAAGAATGTACTGTAAAAATAAAATGATCACATGAAGATTGTATAAATCTAAATTGTTTTACTGCCCTACTAAATCTATTGAACTAAATACAAGGTCTTTGCTTCAATACATTAATAAATATGTTGAGTTTGTAGACTTTTGACCACTTCTCAAAGAGTTACATCATATAAGAATCATTTCTAATATTAGGTTGTAGAATCTTTCTATAAGAATTCAACACAATTTAAAGTAAAAAGTTCAATTGACTATAGAAAAAGTCTTAAAATCATCAACACTATACGTTTGTGTAAAGTCTTTGACCAGCAATTGAGTTTTGTATTTTCAATAGATCAATTCAATAGTATTTGAGGCTAAAGACCTACCCACACATGAAGCCAACTTATCCATCTAAAAGCAATGGACAAAACAAAGCACAATCAAACATGTAAAGAGACAAAGGAAAATAAACTTTACTACCAAAAATGATGATGAGACTTAATTTATAAGAAAATATATATTAAGTAAATCATCAGTCCAATAAGATGAAAAATATTCATTTAACATATAATAGGGCATGCCACATAAAGAAATGACATAACCTACATTTTGTTACATCATTTTACTAAGATGTTGAATACATGAAGTTTGATGAAGTATTCCTAATAACTTGAAGAAAGTGGAGAAGTCATTTTTTACAAACTTGAAACAATCTTCACTTCTAAATGCACAAATAAAATTTGAATACTAAGTTTATATTTTTGAGAAAAGGTTTTCAATAGTTACATGAATTTCAAAGTTCTCCTTAAACATATAAACCCAAGATATCTTGGTACAATCATCAGCTAAAATTAAATAATAATGAAAACTCTTAACTTTGAATTTAACAAAAATATAATAGATTATTAAGTACTCAAGAAAAATAAATAATTTCTCTTTTATTGACTAGAAAAAGAAAAGAAGACATGATAATTGTCAAGTTGACATGCTTCACACTTCAAGGACTCAACATAGTATATATGGGAACTGTAATGAAAGACCATTATGCTAGGGTGATTGAAGCAAAGATGAAGTTATAGAGTGTTGTGAGTAACACAAAAAGATGACAAGTATTAGGATGAGAGAAAAAGATAGTACAAACCATCTCACACAAATCCTCCACTAATATGCTTTTAAGTTTGAGAGATCTTGCAAGACAAAAAAATACTTGTAAAAAATAACTTGAAAATCAAGAGACCTTGTTATTTGACTAATAGGCAATAGACTTATAGAAAACTTGGGTGAACATAATATTGGTGAGATATAGACAGCTAAAAATTAAAAGTTTTCAATTTACCAAGACAAGTGATAGAAAATAGTGATCAATTAGCAACATGCACACAGAAAGATATAAATAGAGATTGTAGTGACTCAAAGAAAAATACATTATAAGTGATCTATGATGACATGACAGAATTTGTGATGTAATTAGAATCCCAAAGACTTATAGAAAGAACATTAATATTTGACTAACCAAAAACTAAGGCACTAATAGAGGAGAGGATAAGGTTTATCTACATAACCATTATTCTCATTGAGACTTTGTCTACCATACTCTTCTCAAGAAAATGATAACCTTGATTGACTCTTTTATACTAGTTGATACTTATTTCCTTAGGGTATTGTACATTCACTTAGATAGCAATATTTGACCCAACATTAGTCAAAATAATAGTTAGTTATATGATAGTGCTCATAGAACCATCTATCTCTTTCATGGCCCCTACTAAGGTGTAGGATTGATGCCCTCTCTCTATGTTGGAAGATGCTTATTTACTTCATCTTCTAATTGTACTCATAGTTGAAGAATTTGATTAAGTAATGGGGTTACATTTTAAACTAATGTGTACCTGTTGTTGTGTTTAAATACTCATTATTTAACAATATTTATAATGAAGACTTAATAAAATATTAGTATAGATGTAAGTCTCAAGTTGAACATAGAGCTATTGATTAATTTGTCATGAAAACTAATTTAGTTTATAAATATAGTGATTTTAATATTTTATCATTATTTAATAGAAATAAGAAAATAAAAAGGTGAGGTGAGAAGAATAAAAGAAGAAAAATAGAGAAGGAAAATAGAGAGAGAAGAGAGAGCTCTCACAAAAGAGAGAGAGAGAGAGAGAAGAAATCTCTCACAAAAGAGAGAGAAAGGGAGAGAAGGAGAGAAATCTCACATGAGATGGAGAGAGAGAAATGGCTCATGAGAGAGAGGGAGGGAGATCAATTGAGAGAGAGAAAGAAAGAAAGATATAGAATAAGAGAACTCACGTGAGATAGAGAGAGAGAAACATCTTGCAAGAGAGAGAGAGAGAAAGGAGAAAGGGAGAGAAGAAGATCTCACAAGAGATAAGGAGAAAAGAAGAGATCTCATGAGAGAAGAGAGAGAATAAGACGATAATAAAGAAAGAGAGAAATATGATTAAGCTATTTTCATGGTGATCATAGTTTTAAAAGAATGTGTGCTCAAGAATTCACACACTTGACATGAGGTCAGTTGTGAATGTTTACACCTTATTTTAATAGTTCAACTCTCATTAATCTATTTTTAATCTCACTGATTTTACATTCAAAAATAGAAAGATACTTGTTATTTGAGAAATGTTAGGAACACAAATATGTTGAGATTTAACTGTAAATATTAATGAAAAATAAGTTTGACACAATCTTAACTTGATCTTAAATGAGTTTGAGCAGATTCAACAAAAGAATGAAGATCATTCATCATGTTTTTACTAAGTTCTACTCATTTCTATCATATATGTATGAAATAGAAATAACTTACCATAAAATGTAAATAAATATTGAAAGCACATAAATAAATAAAATAAATAAATAAAAAAGAATAGTCCAAGTTTAATCTACCTCCTAGTCAATTGAAGACATCGTGTGATAACTTAGTTTCATCTAAATGTGCCACACTATATTAGAAGTCACAAAAATATCATTTGAAAGTGTTGTGCAACTTGCTAGAGAGATCCACTGAAAAAAGGGGTTGATCACACTATCACCGTCATCTAGGGGGAGAAGGGATGAGCTGACCACTTGCTATAGACCTTGAGAGTAGTCAAAAGAGAAAGGAATGAACTCGTTGATTGTCAGAAGCATTGATCGTGCAAAAGGAGGAAAGAATGAATTACCATATTTGCAACTATTGTCAGAATTTTAAAGATAATTAATAAGATCTATTTTACCAGATAATAATCGATTATTATCTTAATATCTTTGATGGGATACATGTGATAGCTTAAGTTCTCGATATTGTGGTACTTTACAAGCCACTAGATCAGATATGCTTGGTCACGTGGCACATTGAGCGATGTAGGATTAACCCACCACAAACCACTTATTACCACATAAGTTGTTTATATCTCTAGTAACATGGTGCCTCCTTAGTTGTTAGATCATCACTTATGATCACGTGCATGCTAAGTGGTGTCAAATTCACGAACCACCAATGGATTGCTTTACTCACTAAACACTACTGGATGACACTACACTCTATATGGCTGCCCTGAAACACACGACAAACCTTAGTCTCACATTGAAAATATTTTGATGATTAAGCTGAATATAAATCAAAGTTACAGCCTTTTAGTAGAGATCCTTTCTCCCAAAATAAAAGAATATCCAAGACTGAGGAAGGTCAAAAGATGATCTACCCTCATGTGACTCACATGTATATGACACTCCTTGCTCCACAATTAGTTGACCATCAGGATGTGGTAGGGAAATGACACACACATACACAAAGCAAGTCCTTCGTCACTCTAGCCCAACTCATGGCTTCCTCAATCTTGGTCCACCCACTCAACCGCAACACTCCTCTAAGTCAACTACTGACTTGTTAGTAGGTGGCGATAGTTTTATATTTTATTCTTTTATTTTTTCTAAAATAATCAAAAAAAATCAATGTATTTCAACTTCAAACTTTTACAATTAACATTATATTTCTATATTTATTCTACAAGCTAACGCACAAAAAATAAAATAAACCTAATTAAAACACAAAAATCAAGCTTTAACATAAGCAAAAGTAGGAATCTACTTGTGTCATCAATTGATCTTACATCACTTTATACTCATGGCCAAGAGCTATTAAGAAATATTGACTACATAACCCCTCATTGTTTGCATCCTAGTATTATTAGTCATGACATATTGCTAAATGTATTGCACTTCCTACAAGTTCTTCAAAAAGCTATTACATTCTACCAACATCTTGATTTTTTTCTTGAAAGTGCTGATTTGCTCAATTATCTTATGAAAACATAAAAATATGAGATTCTTGTGGGAATGAATCTCATGTAGCACTTTCCTTGCCTTATTTGTCAATGAATATGATACAACTTTCTTCGCAATTAATTATTTCACATTATTCAACATACAATCAGCTACCTAGTCATTTTCAACTTCTAAATCTTCACTCTTCTTTTTAGCTCATCCTTTCCAGGGACATATTTCTTCTTATGAGATCTAATAAATCATACAAAGAAAGTGGACTCAAAAAGAAAATTAATACAATTGAGTTTGTTAGTGTTACCTTACATATAATGAGAGGTGCTTGTGGTCTTGGAATGCCTTATAGTCTCTAGAGAAAACATTTTCCTCTTCTATCCCTATATGACTTGATAGGATAATATGTTAGAAATACTTGGTCAATTATTTTGAGTAAAATGCTAAAATGAAATTTCAAAGAAAATATAACAATCAATAAATGAGCAATCATTACATAAAGATGTCATTGGAGACTAGATGATGAAGATAGATCATAGGTATTCGAATCTCCATAGAAAAATAGGATTTTTGAATGGATTTTAGACACCTCAGTAGGTTATTGAGAAGCTGTGACATCTTCCACCATTGAAAAGATGATGTTGAAGAAGGAATTTCTACTAAAAAATAGAGTGGAGAGATCCTCCTACCTGAAAGGATCTTCTACCAATGATAGTGATTACTCTAGTGATTTCTACAAGGACAATAGAGGAATAAAGTGGTGGTGGTTGCTAATCTACCTTCTGGTAACATATCATCATGTTCTAATACTATGTTCAATAGAGAGAAAGAGGGAGAGGAAAACTCAATTTCATTCAAGCAATGTGTCAACTTCCCTTATGGTTAAACATCTTAACCTTAAGTATATATTTTATAATTATGCCCTTGAGGTAAATGAGCCAAATAACACCCCTTTACATCTTTCTTCTGTTGTTGGCCTCCTCATGATTGTCATCAGTGGAGACTATGTCTTCCTTACTACTTCCACAAAGCTAAATCTCAAGTGGATCACCACCCACCACATGGTGGAGTAGGTGGAGTAGGTGGAGCTTAACGCTTGGCCTGGGCACCAGCTCCATCACCACCCATGCCCTAATCTAATTAATGATTTATCCAAAGAGGTGAGCTACTAAGCATTATCATTGGGATCTCTATTTTGAAGTAGGCAGTTGCATAGTGTTGTTGTGAGCACATTGTTATCTGACTTTGCCACCAACCCATCCATTGACAACATTGATAAGGTAACCTCAATCTTACCAAGGGGCACTGTGGCTCACTGTAACAATTAAGCATTAAAATATAGATTCAAAACTTAAAGTTCTAAGCAAAAATAACACACCTATGTTACCTAGAAGAGACCTTTAGTGTACAGCCACTTTGTGATTTGCAATAACAGGATTTCACTTTTTACCTATAAGAATATACCCCCTGAGTAAATTGTTTTGTCGAAGCATAAACACTTTTCAAAATGTGACAAGATTAAATCCAAAGAAAAAGTAAGAAGTGACACACTTAGATTTATTTGGTTCAAAGAAATCCTCATATGTCTACATAGAGAGCTATAGATATTTCTTTAAAGTACAAACGAATGAATATTTTTCTATGACTCAGTAGTCAAATTTATTCCTTTTTAAGTAGAAGGTAATGACCAACATATAAGAATTGGAATCCCAGTCTTTTCTTAACTCGGCCAACCCATAATCTTCACATTCTCAACCCTCTCACCAATCTCTACAACTCGTCCCTCTTACCAAGTCATGTGATACTTTCTCCCACTTATAGACGAAGAGGAGGGAGGGGAAGACTATGGAGAGCAAGTTACAATGTTCTTGTCATTGATTGGCCTCTTCATAATGAATAGGGGTGTTATAATGGCCTACAAGTTGAATGAGTCAACAGACAACACGCCAGAAGATGATCAAGAGCTCTAGCAGCCTCTCCTTCATCATCATCAATGAGATCAAACTCGAGGACCAAATTTCCGCTACTAACTGCACTGTTCCCTTTGCTAGCAGCACACATTGGCCCAGCTGAAGAGGCTTTTCGCCTTGTACAAGGAGCGTGAAGGGAGGCTAGAGACTGGCAGCATCGTTGAACTCTTCTTCGACAAGGACCAAGGGCATCTAGCAGGACCTGCACAATATTAGTGATGAGATCCTCAAGATCACCAGTCTGGTCAACCTTGACGTCTTCCACGGCATGGTCTCATCAGCGATTGCTGCCGGGAAGGATGTCGTCACCGCTATGAAGAAAGCCAAGAATCTACCTCCATGAAGGTAATTTTCGTTAACAGTCGGTTTAGTGGCGTATGTTTTGGGAGGTCATAGAATAATGAGCATAAATGATCAATTCTCTAGAAAGTATCAGGGCCCAGGTGGATGTAGCCAACTTTCTATTTAGGCCTGGCACAGCATGGGGCTCCCACGTGAGAGCACCGAGGTGAGATCCAGAAACCGCCGGCCTCCCGCCGACCCACGGGTTCAGTACGTTCCTTCCGTTCCCCTCCCGACGTTTATATACACCTCCGGTGCTCAGAACCGAGTCGTTAATGTGAAGGGAAAAGGCGGCCTCTGGGAAAGCGACGGAGCCGAGGTTTCTGACCGTCAGATGTTAATTGGACGGCTATACTGGCTCCTCCACGATTCTCCCGCCCCCCGGCAACTGCGGGCCCGGTTTCCCCCCAGGATCTGTTGCTGGGCCCGCTCAGTCAAGGATCTCAACTCGCGCATCGACGTGTCTCCATCTTTGCCACATGGCGCGTTTTAATTGGCGGCGCATGAGATGGGTGTCTCAATATTAAATAAAAAGAGGTACTCCGCGCGCTTTTTGTGCCGCCACCGTAACCTCTCTTCCTTCCACGCTCGACCGTCGTCGTCTGCCTTCCTAAGTCGGATGACAGTGTCTGCCCACACCGACTCCATGTGCGTAGCTGATGCTTCCATAAAGTCTGTGCTTCGTCTCTCTTCTCCATCGGCCATCGCCCTGGGGAATCCTACAGGTTGGGGGAGGAAGTTGCAGGAGGAGGCGAAGGACCGTGGGGCTTTGATCCGCGGGTGGGGTTTAGAGGGAGGGGCCGGGGGTGTGCATAATTGTTGCCCCTCGGTTTGATCTTCTGCGTTGTGGATGGAGCTTCTATCATCGGAAGCAGTCCTACTGTGCTCCCTTTTCGTTTGGTTATCTATGGCTGCGGGTTCCGGCGAGTTCGGAGCCGCGGGGATGGGATTGGACGTCCCGGCGGATTCCGTACTAGGTTGGACACACCTCTTCCTTGCGCATCTCTTGCGTGAATCCCTTGATCGGACTGTCACAAGCCCTGGCATCGACATTTTGATGTCCCCGGTTTCCATTGGTGCCGTTACTGAGCGGTCCTCCGCAAAATAATTGGCGATGCCTGTGTTTATTCACCTTGCTGAAACCGTTCTTGCTCAGAAAAGAGACTTTAATTTTCGAGAGCTTTATTCAATAAGTGTCCATTTTTTAATCTTTTTCTTTCCCCCTATGACATTTTTAATGTTACGATTTCACCATCATTCTGGCTTAATTAGGAAAGAAGAACTTGGCTCCGTGGGCAACTGGCCTCCTCAGGTACTCTCCTGGGGGGCCCGAGCTGATAGCTCCATCCCCCAGCGCCAGGTTCCCGCTGATCTTGGCGGCAACGAGGACAAAGAGGCCAGATTTACTGAACAGATTTAAATTTTATAGAGGAGGTTGGGACATCACTAACAGGCATTACTGGACGGTATGAACATAGACTCATTCGTAGTCCAACTATCAGTTTATTCCATGCAGCTTAGCAGATCCAATGAGTCAATGGAATTGTCTGTTGTTCCCAAATATTTGTTCACCAAGTTGAATGTGCCAATTCTTGCAAGAAGCAAAAGCTACTTATCGCTATGACCAACAGCATTCTCATCATCCTCTTTGAGCGTATCACAGTCTGTAGAATATAATGACCGTATTTCTCTGGATTTGGCATCTATCAGTGGTGTTGTATAACCTCTTTCTTTTCTTAAATACAGATGAGATATCTTAGGATAAGAAAGTATAAGTTTCCAGTCATCTTAAATGAAATCTTTATGGTAATATTGGGTTTATCTTGCAATTTTTTATTAAAATACTATGGTAAATTTTCGCATGAAAGATTAGACATTATCTCCTCTGGAGTTGGATTCTGTTTTGCCTGGCGCTTGAATGTGATATTCCTTATTTGTTTTCCTGGTGCAGTCCATCGGGTTTACAGGTGCTGCTGGATTCATTCTTTCATTCATGTGGTTCACTTTCTTTGGAGTTGTCTTACTGGCAAGTCGCTGCTCTAAATGGGGCATAAACATGAAACATAAGAAGTTGTCCTCTTATGGTCGTCAGATTTATCTGATGTTGCTTGTTATATTCACATGTGCTGCATTGTAATGCTCTCAACTCGTTGGAAATTTCTTTTATTTGGTAGACATTTTCTCATGTCTGAATGTCTGGTTCAAGTTGCTATGAGTCAATGACGTTTTGATACCAGTGAGATTATTAGTGAGATGACCTTTATTTGTATGATGAAGAATCATACTTATTATTTAATTTTGTGGAACGTTTGAGTTGATGAATGAGGTAACTTGTTATGTCAAATAAAATTTTCTTCGGTGAATAAATTCAAGCAGAAAATATATTAGATCAGATGAAGTTAAAATAAAGGACTCCCATTTAGCAGTCATCAAACAAAAGAGTAAAAACAACAGGCCATTTTAATATGTTTCATCAATTCTATTTGCCCGTGATACCTTCAATTTTTAAATGTTTGTAACTTCGATCAATCATAGGTGAAACACTATGCAATTCAATACTTTAAAATGATATTTTATAAAATCATGTTATACATAATATCTATTCATTAGACATGCTGTTGGATGAAATGGCTTATCCTTAGATGTGTCAAAGACCAATACAATTTTTGGGACGATGTTCTGTCTGACATGTGCAATGATTTTTTTAAACACTTTCTATCTATTTTGGATGAAATCCCTGTATATTTTTTCTAAAATTCTGCAATGCCTTATGTGATATTAGATGGCTAGTTTATTCCTTAGATTCTTGTCTAATAATATTGTATTTCGTGGATTTTTTCCCCGCACTCATTTTCTATTTTGGATTGTACCAGAATTGGATGTATTCTTCTTTCTGTTGGGCAGGATGAATTCCATAAAGAGGTCTTGGATACCTTGAATTTTGTCGTAAACCAGTCAGATTTTACAGTTCAGATTCTTAGGAATGTTACCGAGTTCCTGTTGCTTGCAAAAACTGTAAACGTGGACCAAGTTATTCTTCCACAAGATGTCCCTGGAAAACTTGACAAGCTGATCGTAGATTTAAACCGTGCAGCCTCTATGCTATCAGAGAAAACAACTGAAAATTCTGGCAAAATAAGACGTGTCTTTGGTGATGTGTACGTATTTACAATCTTGGCTGTGATTCTAGACACTTTTATTGGTTATCTTCTTTTCTAGTTGTGCTCCTAGATTTAGTTTTTTGTTTTTATGTTTGCAGGCGATGCACGCTAATTGCAGTGGCAGCAGTCATGCTTGTGCTGGCCTCAGTTGGATTTCGTGAGTACTTTCCACTTTCTTTAAAAGAATTCCATCTACTCCCCTCGTTTTCATTTCCATTTCTTGTTTCATCGGCCATGGTACATCTGATCCCTGTTTTCTTCTTCCTCTGCAGTGCTTTCGCTCTTCCAAAACCGGCAGGCTATTTATATGTACGTTCACTCAATTGAGGCTTTTAAGTACACGTCTTGCAAAAAAAAAAAAAAAAAAAAAGAAACCGCTTGCATCACTCATAGCTGCTAAGAAGCCTACATATTTATGCTTGACTTCTTATTTCAGATTTGTCTTCAGCGGCTGGCTACTTGTGACGGTTACTTTAGTCCTGTGTGGAGTTTTTATAATCCTCAACAAGTAAGGCTCTAAATTTTCTCATAGTGGCATCTTTTTCTTTCCCAACTATCATCTGATACATGAATACTATATTTACTATCGTTACTTTCTAAACGTAAATTTACTGGGCCATTGTCCTTGCTCGTGACTCTAACCCGTATGCATTGTGAAGTGAACCCTGCTTAGACTCTCCTCATTGCATCAGAATGTTATTTTACTATTTTCTGTTTGGATCAGTGCCATCTCGGATACGTGTGTGGCCATGAATGAGTGGGTGGAGAACCCTCATGCTGAGACAGCTCTCAGTAGTATCCTTCCGTGCGTTGATGAGCGGACATCAAACTCAACCCTGCATCAAAGTAAACAAGTTGTCGTTCAGCTTGTAAATGTCATCAACACGGTGATACACACAATCGTGAACGCAGATCCATCTCAGTTGAACTCTTCTTCGTACTACAATCAGTCTGGTCCACTGATGCCTGCTCTTTGTTCCCCGTTCGATTCCCAGCTGGATGATCAGCGGTGCCAGCCACCTGAAGTGTCCCTTGACAATGCATCCCTGGTGAGTGTTTCTTTTCTACTTTTATTATTTTTTGCGGGTATACCATGGTAAACTTTTCTGAACTGTGGCAATGGTATAGTTGAAGAAATGGCAGTAATCTCTGCAGGTTTCTCTCGGGTACAGTTTTCTTCTTTTCGCAATATTTCCGCAAGATTCCTGCTGGTTTTTCTGTGTTAAAAACCCATTAGAGTCTATGTGCTGGGCGTTTCTCGGGGAAAATGTTTGTCTTTTATATAGACGGACTATATATACTCATAGTTCATTTCTAGGTATCATCCTTTAAGCTTGGCTCTAGTTTGCTTCCAACTCATACGAGTCTATGTGCTTTCCTTCGGATAAACGCTCCGCTCTCGTCCTGTAGACATGACCGCAAAACACTTACAGTTAATCTATTTTCTATTATCATGTGAAACTCGGTCTTCGTCTGCATTCAACGCATGCGAGTCGATGGGCTTCTCCTTGGATCTATGTTTCTATCTCTTTATGTAGTTTATTTTTCTTATAACATCTCTCCATACTCGGCGCGTTTTCTGAGTTCAACCCTTGATAATAGCCCGTGGGCCTTTTCCTTTTGCAAATAATTCTCTCTTCATGTGGACCAACCATATAATTTTCTCTTCTCTCTTTTCACTTCTCTCTTCTCGCTTTTTACTTCTCTCTTCTCTCTTCTCTCTCCTCTATTCCCCTGCTCTGCGATGGTTAAATAACGACTTCCCAGTCTGTCGTCTCCTCTGTTGTCCCAGGTCTGGCAGAGCTACGCATGTGAGGTCACCCCATCGGGCTCCTGCGCCACCGTCGGCAGGATCACCCCCGATCTATACCGGCAGCTAGTGGTGGCCGTCAATGCGAGCTACGCCCTCGACCACTACACCCCCTTTCTGCTCAGCCTCCAAGACTGCAACTTCGTCCGCGAGACGTTCACTGCCATCGGCTCCCTTCACTGCCCCCGCCTGAAGCGCAACCTGCCGGTGGTGGAGGCGGGGTTGGCCATGACATCGGCCGGGGCCATGCTCTGCCTCGTGCTGTGGCTTCTTCATCCAGACAGCCCCCGAAGGGAGGAAGCGTCTGTGAAGCCCGGCCCGGCGGTGCCCCTGTAGATGAAGATGACGGTGCCATACAGACGAGAACCCAGGTGGGTCGGAGCGCCGCCAAGGGAAGTACACATACATAATAAGCTCTCTCTGATTGATTCCCATGGAAAACACTAATCTGGAATTGCCATCAACGTCGGAAGAAGAGTAAGTACCTTGGCAGTGGTTTAAGGGATGTGAATGGGACTGTGGGGGAGATTAGAATTTAGGAATGGTCTCCATCTTGCGGATGAACTCATCCGTTGACTACTCTCTGCGTCACGGCCCAATTCATGTGAACACCACCATCAGCAGCGAATTTCTAGTAGGGAAAGGTCAGGTGCCTTTAGGGTGTGGTCAGCTTGGGAAGGACTGAGGTTGTTTGTCTTCACCTAGAAATCGAGAGGGGCATCCTCACAAATAAGTGGGGGTTTGAGGGTGGACAATATTCCTGACATTCTTCTGAAATTCATTAAATCGATTTTGTTTTAACTTCCAACGTGCGTGGTCTCGCTCGCTCCTTTGGGTATACATTTGTTATTTACCTATACCCCCCCCCCCCCCCCACTACTTTTTCAACTTTTCATTTTCATATGGGCATGGACATATGTGAAATTTTTATTTTAAAGTATACGTTTGGGTTATTAAGATATTGTTATTTAATGCTTTCTTTGAATGAGTTAGGGGTATACATTTAATTGTAGAAAAAAATATATGGTTTGATTAGTCTGCGACCACGACGCCATGACGTGCTTGATTGAATTCCGGTGTGGCTGATCCGGTGAACCGGTCAGCTCGTGGCAAACGTGCACTTTGCGGTTGCGGATGCGGTCCTTCCCTTTTCCCCTGCCAGACCAACGCCGCTACCCACCCAGAACCAGTCATCGTCCCCACCTCCTCTACTCTCTCTCTCTCTCTCTCTCTCTCTCTCTCTCTCTCGCTAGCTCTGGTCTGGTTCACAGGTAGAGAACGCAGAGGAGGGCGGGGTGCTGGGGAGGGAGCAGAGAGGAGGGAGGTTGGGAAGGAAGGTGCCCGTGGGGGGAGGTGTTCTCTCTGCTGCCTCGTGTCCGCAGTCGAGTCTCGGGAGGGGGAGGATGGTGCAGATGTGTCGCGTTTTATATGGTAGAGAAGTCATGGCGGAGGAGCGAATTACGAAGCTTTCGGGCAGGGGATCTGCACAGTAGCTTCTGGTTGTAAGACCCGCAGCCCGCACTCCATCTCTTGCTTCCTTCTTAAACCCTCTTCCTCCGGCTCCCCGCTCCTTCCTTCCCTCAGTTTCTCCGCTTCATTTCTTTCTCTCTCTAGCCTCTCATCCTTTCCTTGCGGATATCCGATTCCAGCTTTACAAGTCTTCCGCTCCCGCAGGTTCCCGTCGACCTTCTTATTCCCCTCCTCGGGGCACCGCCCTGGCTGGAGAGGAAGAGACGAGGAGCTGCTTTCTCTGCCCGTAAAGCGGCCGCCTCTTCTGTCGTTCTTCCGAGGTTTCAGATTCCTTGCCCTTTCTTTCTCAAGGTGAGTCCCCAAAGCTTCTTCTCTTTTCTTCGTCGCTGTTCCTCTTCCCTCCATTCTACCTTGTTTTCTCCGTTCGTGGTCTGCATTGAAGCTCAGACGAGTTCGAAGGAATGGGCATCTGGGAATGAACTGATCAAGATTTTCTTTCATTCTTTTTTCTTCCGTGATCGATTCTCTGGTTCGATCGCCTTGGGGCCTGACTGTTAACTGTTCTCGGACAAGGGAGCGCGATCATGGAGATCGAAGGTCTGCTCGTTGAGCCTGGGCTTTTCTGATACGTTCTTCCTTCTTCCGCGGATCCTGTGGCCGAAGATGGGCGACCATTTTGTTCTGCTGGTGGACCATCTGCTCACCGAGTCCACCTTGGGGGCCGCCATCGCGAGCAGGAGCCAGTCTCCGGCAGGGCACACGGCGGCGGTCTGTGTGCAGTCTGAACCTCGCCGTCCTCCCCAGAAGATGGCTGTCGAGGATGACCGGAAGGCCCCGGAGCTCGTCGAGTGCCGAATCTGCCAGGACGACGACCTGGAATCCAACATGGAGACCCCCTGCTCCTGCCGCGGGAGCTTGAAGGTGAGAGGAGACTCGACCTTGATCTTCCTCATCTCAGGAAGCTTAACCTTCCTCTGTTTGAATTCCGCGAACTGTTCTTCCCGCCTCCTAGAACTCTTATGAGCTTCATCGAGGAATTAAACGATGAAACAGTAAAAAAAAAGAAAAAGAGGAAGGGATTACTCGGTTGCTCTATGCTCGGTTTCATGATTTTCATGGACTTTTTGACGCTTGTCTCGCAGGATGCTGATCTCATAACTTTTGTGGAATATTGACATTGTTACAGTACGCTCATCGGAAATGTGTTCAGCTGTGGTGCAATGAGAAGGGCGACACGGTGTGTGAGATCTGTCTGCAGGTGGAGGCTCAACTCTGTTTATGCCCTAATCTCTGATCCGCGGCCCCATATTCTGCTTAACTGATCCACTGCGGTGGAGCTCATTAGATTATCTCCCCTCTTCTGCTCGTATCCTCCAGAGATTCAAGCCAGGGTACACCGCTCCTCAATTGTTCCACTACGGTGGCTCGCCGATGAACTTCAGGTACGAATGACCTCCAAGATGATCCCCATTTTCATTTTCCGGCAGAGGAAGCCGGAAGAATTTTCCATTTCTTCTTATCCCGTTTTGAGGAGGGATCTTGCTCTGGATGAAAATTTTCTTGGAGATCATCCGGCAGGGGGAACTGGGAGATCTCCAGGCGCGATCTCCGGGATCCTGGCTTGATGACGATGGTCACGACTGAGCGGGGCCTCCTCGCTGTGGCCTCCGGCGACTTCGCCGACGCGAACAGCAGAAGCGTGTTCTGCCGCTGCGTCGCCATGATCGTGAGTAATTTTCTTTCTCTAGGGCGAATTGATTCAGCTTGAGCAGCCTCCGATGTTCGTCATCTGCCTGCGTCCAGTTCACGGTCCTTCTGGTGCTCCGGCACGCACTCCCTGTCATGATCGCTGGTGGGGACGAAGACCATTACTCTGTCGCTGAATCGACGGTAAGACTCTACGCTTCTCCCGCAGCGTGGTGGTTTCTTCTTGCAGCCGTGGCTGAATCCCGCCGTCTCTCTGGTTCTCCTCGACAAACCAGTTGCTGCTATTGAGGATCGTCGGCGTTCTCTTTCCGATCTTCGTGATGGCTAGAACGCTGGCGATGCTCTATCGCCGGCACCGCCGTCATCAGGTTCTCCTCTCTGTCACATTTCATCTGCACACTTCGATCAATACGCATCTCCTCCGATTCACGTCGATCTTCGGCAGGGGGGCCAGGGCTTGTTCATGCCGTCTGCTGGAGAAGGAGAGGAGGAGGAGCGGGCGACCCCGTGGATGGAGCGAGAGTCGCGGACGATTCAGATGGCCGTGCCGGCGCCTCTGTGAGCTGCTCTCCGGCGGACGAAGAAGACCAGATCTCTCTCTCTCTCTCTGTCTCTCCCTCTCTCACCTCGCTTGCTTGCTCTGCGAACTGGATGGGGTTGAATGATAGAACTCAATGAGATGAATGGAGTTATACACAGGAATGTAGAGGAACAGACTGGTGGTGACAGCTTCCTCCCGCTGGTTCTTGAGTTTGGCTTGCAGCTTTGCAATGCTAACACTTGCGCCGCTTGTGCTTCCTCATCTGGTCCCCCTTCTCCTCGCACCGCCATTTCCTCACCTCTGGACCGTCGCGCCGCCGCCTCTCCTCCTCCTCCGGGTGGACCCGGGAGCAGACGACCAGGCCCACCCTAGCGGCCGCGCCGCCTTCCTCTGCGAACCGAGGCCGGAAGAAGTAGACGTCGATGACGTCGCCGGGGTCGAGCTCATTTTGTCGGACAAAGTCCATCCACTTGCCCAGGAGGACGTAGGAACCGCTGCTACACCATAGCCTCAGCTTGGCCGCCGGATACTCCCGTCCCCACCTGTCGAGCAGGAGCACCGGCAGGCCCCCGTTCTTGGCGGCCACCGCCGCCTTCTCGGCGTCCGTCAGCAGGCTGAGTAGAACCTCGGGACCTCTCCCCTCAGGCTTGGACTCGCCCTCGTCTCCGTTGTTCTCCGCGAGGAGGAGCCGACAGTGGCCGGCGCTGACGTCCGTGGCGTAGAGCTTCTTCTCCAGCACCGGCACAGGCGCAGTCCAGTTGATGGCGCTCAGCTTCTTCTCCATGGTCGCCGGTGAGGTGCTCATCTCTGCCTCTTCTTCCTCTGCTTCATCTTCCCAGGCGGCATCTTCGCCTGCCTCTCCCACGTCCCGCCTATCCACCCCACTCTTCCGGCTCTGAGCCTCCCCATCCCCGCCGGGCAGCGTCTCCTCCTGGACCTTCGTATCGCCGGAGGCGCGGCTGTGCCCAGTGTCGCTGCTTCCCATCATCTCCTCCTCCGTCGTCTGTGATGGGGCGCTTCTGAGGCCGGAAGGCGGCCAGAGGCAGAGCTCGAGGCACAGGTTTCTGGCGCCATCCGACGAACCCGCCTGCTCCGCCCTCAGAGCCGACGTAGGGGGAACCAGGCGTGGGTCCTTGCGGAGGCGAGAAGACGTGGAGAGGGTGAGTTCGAGGCAGAGCTCGTCGTTTGTCTTCCGGCTTCTCTTGCAACTGACCTGGATTGGGCGAGTCGGTTGTGGCACAAACAGGGGGGAGGAGTGCCTCGCTGTCTGGGCCATGCCCTCCGCCATTGCTGCACCAGCACAAAGAACTAAGACAGGGACTTGCAGAGAGATGGAGATAGAGATATGGGCCAGAAAGAAACCCGCCGGAACGGTGATGCCGTGGTGGAGGTGCATGCCGGCTTATATAAGCTCGCCGTGCGAATTCAGATGGGAAGGGAGAGAGCGGGGAAAGGAAAGCCGAAGAACCGGGCGGCAAGGTGGTGCCGTCGAATAGGAAACCTCGCCGGCCCAAGGTGCACCCCGACCACTCAACCCGTGGGCACCAGTTTCCTGAATAGTTATTCACTCCGCAGCCACCCAACGGTCACCTTGACGGCTTTTCCCGCCTTCAGCACTTCCACCGCCGATGCCGCAGTAGTTCGCCGTCGCGACCACCCACGCAAACTCCAACTGCATCATTACTCAAACAATGGGACTGTAGAGAATCCGGGTGTTGCCGGAGCTGAAAGGCCACTCTTCCGGATCTCCAGGGCCAATGAATTATGGGCTAAACGCCCATAAATTGTGAATTACGAGTACTAAAATAGGTGTAAAACATTATTTATTGTGGGTTCTTGATCTTAGATGGACGAGAAGTACGATTTAGATGATCGCATCTACTGTGATGCCCCGTAGAACGATCGGATTTCGATCAAGAATGTCAAAGTTTGTTTCTTGGGGATGATTCGCGTGGAGGACTTGGTCGTCCTTATGATTCGAGTTTAATTGTAGTGGAAAGATCAGAGAGACTGTCAGTTTCGGAAAGCTGGTAGTTCCTTATGATCGATGCACAGTCATGTAAGAGGATGATCGGAGAAGGAGAAGATCATCGGAGGATTGACGGTTTGTGGGCCGGCCACCGGCCGTCCTAGCAATGGGACTCCTCGCTGCTTATGCTGGACCTGCCGAACCCGCATTGGTGGGGATAGGAGCCGGCGAGCGCCTGCTCACAATCTCATCGACGGAGACCCGAGGACAGACGGCGAGCCCCAGCCTCCACTCGCTATGCGCACTGCCGCCGCCACCGCCGCCGCCGCCGTCGCCTTCCTCCGGAGAAGCTGGTCGCGGAGACGAGGACGACGGCGCCACCGCCAGCAGCGGAACCCGGAAGGTATAGACGTCGACGACATCCCCGCAGCGGAGCTGGTTGTTAGAGACGACGTTCAGCCACTCGTCGGCGACGGCGTATGCTCTTATGCCATAGTGAACGATGTCTGGTGGCCGATTGGGATTGCCCCGTCTCCTTCTCCCCCTTCTTCTTCATCCTCCGCAGACTCTCTCTTCCTGCTTTCGAACTCTTCGTCTCGGCGCCCGGCTGCAGCCACCGTCGCCGCTTCCCGGCATCTTGAGAGAGCGAGATGCTTTCTACAATCTTTTCGCGTTTGACGTCGGTACAGAAATCGGCGAGCTGTATATGCCGGCGCCCAATTGCAGTTCTCCGAATATATGAAGACTTGGTGACATCGAGTTGACCTCAGAAAGAGTGGTTTCCTTGCAAATTCAGCTCGCTATTTATTGAAGGAAAGCCCATAATAAGGCATACTTAGTTTTCTAATCTAGATTTAAACATCCCAACTGCCGAAGATATAGATCAAGACCGGATCTGAGCTACGGAACAATCTCTGGTCATTCTTCGCTCAGTTCATAGGAGAGTCACCACCTGATGAACCCAAGAAGCTTGCCACAGTCAATGGAGTGGGGTTGGAGGGGGCAGAAGCTGCTGGTACTTGGGCTTGTTCTTCTCGAGGAGGAGGTACGTTGTCCAATACCAGAACATGAGTATCCGGCCCTGCGCCATCACGGTGTCTCTGATGCGGCTTCCTCCGAAGGAGAGCCTCTCCAGGGCCTAGAAAGAGCAGCAAACGAGGAGAGAACAGAAATAGGCTTCAGAATAGTTTGCAATACGCTTGAATTGCGTCTCGGTTGGGCCACTCAGACTCTGCTGATCATTCCATGGTAGGTGACCGAGCTAGGAATGGGAAGCTAATGGAGCTAGGGTTCCCACTTGGGTTCCTTCATCAAGCGTCATCATTTCTGCAACTATAGCTAGACCTTGAATCTAAATGTCATCCAGGGGAAGAACCGATCTTGAAGATCTATGAAGGATTACAAGGATATGTATTATCACGTTTAAAAATTCAGAAAATGAATAGCCTGATTTCCGGAATATTTATTGATATATATTAAGACTTTTTAAATTTGTCAAAAACGTCAATTTTACGGTAAAAAAAAGATCTCAAAATTTCTATAACCAGAATTTTTTCATAATGAAGTTACAAAAATAAAGTGAATAACCAGATATATTTTCAAATTTTGTCAAATGGTATGAACTTTATGGAATCTCCATAGAGAGTAATCAATGTTTAATTAAGTTAAAAAACAGAATTTTTAAGAATCCGGAATATTCAGGATGTTTATTTAAATAAAATTACCCCTGTAGCATCAATTCTATTACCTAACCTGCGGCAGAAGGATAGATTTTGAGCATCTACTAATGCTTATCGCTTTATAGATTTTGAAAAAAGAAGAACCAGTCACGTTCCTCACCTGTTCCCCAGTTTGAATGTCAAATGAGTGCTGGTGCTCAAACTCAAGGCCATGGAACTCGTTGATGCTTAGGCCTTGAAAAGCCCTGTGATAAAACATCAACGAGAAAATCAATGATTTCTTCCAGAATTGTCTCGAATTATTTATCAGAAAACAAGGAACGCGTCTCTGTGGGGTTACCATCTTATTAGAGATACTCGGGGGATCCACCGAAAGATCAACGGTGTGTTTTCAGCATTCACATAATAGCCTCCGAAGACAATGAAGACGGTCATAAGGGATGGACCCAAAGCCATTGCCGCCTCAGTAGTTGGCACCATTGCTCCAACAGTCAGACCCATTGCAGATGCCGCAAATGATTCAGCCGTCACAATGCCACAAAATTTTACAAACCTAAATTTAGAGTCATGTCAAGGACGGAAGTGGTGAATAATAAAAAATCCCAGGCAAAAAATCTATCATAGTATGAAGAGGAACACAAGTCTGTCATCAACCTAAAAAACGGATGTCCCTCGAAGTTCGTGCACAGTAGGCAATTTTTAAAATGCAATACAGAAAAGAAAAATCTATGAAATATATCTGAGAAAATGTCTAGTTCTTTGAAGTTAGCAAAATGATAGATGAGATGCATTATGGTTCTTCGATGCATATCTGATACGGTAGCATGAGAGAAGAACTCTGGTCAACTTGAAAAAATGTCCCCAGGGAAAACATAATCCATGGTTCTATATCTTAGACTCGAACAAAGGTTCCTTGGATTTTGAACTAGATCCCAAGAAATAAACTGATATCGTCTCAAGACCTTCAAAGCTGATAACCACAATGTGCCCTTGACAACTTCCCCTTTTTGGGATTGAAGGGCAATTCAATCCCAAAATGAGATATATGCAGCCAGTTTTTCTAGCTAGTTAGCCTAAAAAGGAAACGGTAGAATTTGAACAAGCACCATGTTGATCACCCAAGTTGTCAAACACATTTCAATAACCATCGGGCACCCAAACCAATTATAAATCACTATCATCGTCCTTTTATACATTCAGATCCTTGTTATGAATTAATGCATTCCTCAATCATAGTGTGGTTCAGAAAATAAGGAAACGAGTTTACACCCCTGTTCTTCTAAAATGAGATGTACACAGCCAGAGTGAAGTTAATGGTTTACAGGTACGTAGAGTAGAAAGCATCGGGCATATGATCTACAGGAACGTAGACTCCCCACATTCTAGATGGTTGTCGGCTTGACTACTTGTAACATGTATAAATGTACTCACATTCAGTCAATGACAATGAAATTCAAACTAATAACTGAAAAGATGAAAGGAACTTACCTTGAAAGAGTAGGATGGAGACGAGCCATGGGATACAGAATCGTACCAAAAATCAATGGAAACGCAGCACCCACAGGGATCTCAGCCAATAACTTAGATAATAAATACGGTCCTAAGGTATAAGACCCCTTGGCACGTTCTCTATCAACTATTGCCTTCTCCTTGGGAAACACACCCACTGTCTTTGTAAGCGCAGCCATTGCCGTGTTGATTGCAGCAACCTTCAGTAGTAACAACGTACAATTAAAAAGACACTTTTCGACTCTAGGGAAAAAACATCCACTAATGTTGGCATTTCGGACAACATAATAAAATATTTAAAAACTTGTAACATGATTTGGCAGTCCTGTCTCCAACAAAAAGAATAAGTCTCAGGTACAATACAGCGTATGGGATCAAACATACCCCAATATTCTAACAAATGCATTAAAACTTAACACAAAAGGCCAAAAAATTCTGCGAACCTGAAGTAATCCCATTCTGTCCTGAATTGAAGTCTGTGTTCTTCCCATTCTCCAAAACACTGAGCCAAATATCATAGCTGATGCAATTGACATTCTTGTCCGGACTTTGTTTGTAGGTCCATCACGAGAGGCCTGAAATTGATGTCCTTTACAACTAAGACAGCGAGCACAAATCATAAAAGAGAGGGATACGGGAAAAAACACGGTTTCCAAAATTAAAAGCATATATTCTAGTTCAGCAACGACATGATGTTCTATTCTTCCTGTTCCTAAAGGACATGAAAAAACTCATTGTTCACGTAAAAACTTAAAAAACTTTCACAAATTCTATACTTTTCGAGGATAGTATAAAAAATATCAATATTCAGCATACTTTTAGGTGCAACAAAATAAGACCATAATGGTGAGGACATGACACATCACTAAATAGATGAATGCATCAAAAGGGAAATATGCTTTAAAAAAATGTGTCTCTTTGAACAAGGCATTTGTCGGCTAACAGATCAGTTATAAACAAAGATATGAGAAACTGATAGAAAAGAGTAGACTGTAAATAAGAAAAAAGATATGACACATAGGTACCTGCATCCATGCGCGTTTAAGAAGCAACCAGAATTGCTTCCACCAACCACCTCTGCGTTTAACTATGGGCTTTTTTGTGAATTTAACTGAGGTCTTAGAACCGTCCCTCCTGGTGATGGGAATTGTGCATGGAACATTTGGCACAATCTGAGAGAATGCCTCGACAAGGTCATCAATCCTTTTTTGTGACGAGAACACACTTTCAGCAGAAGTATAGTCGACAGAAATAAGATCAGCCAAAAATTCAGCAGGATTGACGTGGTCGGGGCACTGGTACCTGATTTAACTACTGATTAGTGCATTGTGAGGTCATTTAATGAGATATGAGTACGCCCATAATAAGAATGAAAATTTGCTTTTATTTATCAAAAGAATCATTCATCTTTTGATCACTTTTACACGGCAATTAAAAGCTTAAAGTTAATCAGAAAATGATAAACAATCATTCTATCGACAATAAGTTGACTTTTTCAAACATTAGAAGAAGGAAAACAAGAATGGAGTGTCAATGTAAAAAAATCTAATTGACTGTACTTGAGACAAACAATGAAGTGCCAAAAAATCATCACGAAAAATGTTTCAATGCATCATTACCTCATATGGGTCATACTCATGTATAAGTAAAATAAAAAAACACACAAGAAGATTACATGGCCTGTAAATTCATCACAGTCAAACATCTCTTAAAGGTCACATATTGGGATTCTTTAAAGTCGCCAGCACTAACAATAAATGTGGTTCTACTGTTATCTATTTCAGAAAAAATGAAGAATTGATTTTTTTCTGAGAAAATGCGGAGGTGAAGGATAGGCTTTGAAATCTAAGCTGTACATCTTAATTAATTAACTATATTCAATATCTGCCCTGCACTTCAAGGAAAGAATGAGAGTCATTAGCATCTTCATATTTAAAACCCTACTTAAAAATGAAGGTTCATGATGCTCTCTACTAGAGAAATTTACTTTTAATCACATATGAAAAAGTCAATCCGTGACATCTTCAGGAGGAAACCTCCAGGAGATGTCCAAATGGTATCCATAAATCGAATCATTAAAAATGCTTATCCAGTCAAAATTGGCCCGAGTTGATAACCAGCACCCTCTTCATTTTTTCCAAGCCTAGCACAAAGATGCTGCTCCCTGTGTCCAAATTAGATGATAAGCAAATTATATTAGTCCCGATTCCATCTTGTAGATATATGTTTCTCTATTTGATACTTTGCTAGTTCTCAACTGGTCAACTAATCAGCAACATTTCTTATTGGAGCATTCAGTGCGGGATTACTCCCAACATGTTTTATGCATACGAATCGATAAGCTCAACTTTTTTCCTTCCTTCCTTTTTGTGTCACAAGTAAGCAAATAGAACCCAGTTAAAAATCTCCCAAGTGTATTCCCCCAGATTCTTTCAAGTATTCATGGGATAGTCAGACATACATACCTTACTGTACAACCGTATCATTTATCCCTACTACTATTCTGATCAACCTTAGCAGAAAACCATAATGCAAAACCAACTTCTTCAGTTTCAATTGAAGAAATAGACAATCTGCTATTCATTCATAAAAGATCAATTAATCTCAATGACAGTTCTTCTTTAGTAGAAGAACAGAACAAAGCACCAGTCGCTACTACCAAATTCAGAGGTGAATTCCAAGGGAAATGGAGATGGTGGCCAGAATTACTGCTTGAATACCATCGTAGTAATTATATTAAGTTTTTTTAGGAGAATTTTCCCAATTTTTCACATATATGAGGCAGTGGATATATGCTAAGCATTATCAAAAAAATATATTCAACTAAATAGATTAAAAATTATAAGGGAAAGTAATTGAAAACATTTCTAAAAGCGGAAAGGGAAGAAGTGAAAAAACAAAGAGTATAGGGACAACCCAAACTTTGCAAAGTATGATAATGGCTCTTCTTTTGCAGGACCCATGTAAACAACGGAACCTTCTGACAACAATATGATATCATCAAACTTGCTATATATTGAACCTCTTGGCTGATGTATAGAGCAGATAACTGTGTGTCCATCCAGTGCAAGCTGCTGCAGAGTTTCCATTACCTTCTCTGCCTGAAATGCATCAAGTCCTGCAAAATGGTAGCACAAGAAGAACACAGATGTATATCCTTTTATCTCCAAAGACTAGATGTCATAAATAAAATTAACCCTTCACATAGTTATTTGCTGAGATGGAGTGCGAGAATGAGGTGGAAAATATAAAATTAGATCTTCATTGAAATATCCACAAAAAGTATTTCTGCTCGTTGAGATAACAAATCTTTTATAGAAACAGGCTGATATCATCTACAGTACTTGGCAAAATAATAATTACCGTAAGAGGCCGTTATTTCACAAAGAATCACATATGAATGACAGAAACAAGTAGGAAAGAGTAGCCTAATGCATTACAATCAACCAGGAAAGACGCAAGTTAGATGATTGGAAGTGATGATGGACGATTTTAAAAGAAGCGAAAATGATGAATGAATAAAAACTAAATAAGCCACTGAAATGAAATATGAAGTGTCAACTGACTTTATAAAAGTATTCATTGTTGCCGTTATTCTTTAATAAAAGTATCTCTAATGATTTTCATGGGCTTTTACATTTTTACCGTTATTCTTCAAAGCAATTTTGTGGGGGTGAAGAAAAGGGAAGATGAAGAGAGAAAAAAGCTTGAGTGGAGGAGGAAATGGAGAGAGATATGAAAGTATTAATAGGGTATTTTTCCCTTTATCTTCAGAAATGAAAAATATAAATAATATCAAATGTGATGATTACGGATTGGCCCTGATACTATATTCAAATCGCAGTATAATTGTTTCATACTGACACTTTTCACGAATTTCAAAAGCCACCAATTTAAATAAAATAAGAGAAAAGGCGAAACATACCTGTTGTCGGCTCATCTGCAAATATGAGAGATGGGCTGGCAATTAGTTCACAAGCGAGTGAAAGACGTTTCTTTTCACCACCACTGATACCACGAACTTTGGTATCTCCGACAATTGAATCAGCACAATTAATCTGACAACAAGAAAAAGAATAAATTCCACGCGAAATAAACAGCGTGACTTGCTGTACATTGCACGTAAAAGAACATTAAATTGATAATCAACTACATGAATCAACTCGGTGGTATTGAAATATTAAACACTGAAATAGAAGAAAAAGAAAATTCATAGCTAAAATCTCAACCCATGGAGAGACGACCAACACCTAAAAGCATAGTCCTAAATATGAGGTACTAATTAGAAAAATGGTCATTAACAGAGACATCAGAATTTTTTATATTTAATTATGACACTATAAATATATTAATAAAATATGATCAACATGCATGTCAAATAATAACATTATCATGACTGCGGCTCGAATCTCCTCTTTTTCCATGAGAAGACCTAAAGACGATCATGAATATGCAATAAACGTTGATAAAATCGTTTGTGCAATTGGAGTTAGATGAGAGAAAGATTAATGGTTTCTCTTGGTAGAGGTTGATAAACGATAATAATAGAATTAACTTTTTAGATAAATGAAGACAGTTTGTAAGAATTTTTCCATATTCTCTTTAAATGAGTCCCAGCCGATTTAGCTTTTCTAGAGATATACATGAGATAGATTATGTTCCAATCATTTACCTAAGATTGATGACCTACAGAAAAATGCCTTTTAGCTGATGTTTTCATGTTCTTCCCATTTTGATATCAAAAAATTCAGGACTTACCAAGCCCAGTCGAAACAACAGCTTGTTCACGTACTCATCTCTCGCTTCTGCTGACAAGCCATCTGGGAGCTGGAGCTCGGCAGCCAGAGAAAGAGTCTCCCGCACAGTAAGCTGTGAGAAGAAGAGGTCTTCCTGTCTCAAAAAAGCAATCCTGCAGAAACATATTATGAATAAACCCACCATCCACATTGGAGAAACATTTTACATAATTTTCTGGGATAAATTATCTAAACTTGTACTCTCCGCCACTTCTCGGTTGGCCATTAACATCCAGATATCCCGTCAGGTGTAACCGGGGCGAAGCAGTGAGCTGCCCTGCGAGCACATTGATCAATGTGGTCTTCCCTGACCCTGAAGGCCCCATGATTGCCAGCAGTCTTCCTGGTTTCGCCTCTCCACTTACTTCCGTGAGAAGAAACCTCACCTAAAACCACACGTTATTAATCTCAAGTGGCTTTGAAGCTATCCAAATAGGCTCACCATCGTATAAAAGAAATAGCATGCCAACAAAACTGATCAAGAGTTCGATATAGCTCTAGTGTTTGAAGATCAATTATGCCGGAAAAAAATGAAAATGAGTAAAATTTAGAAAACATCCTGCTCCTCCAAAGATTTAAATAAATAGTACCTAACGAAAAGAAAGAGAAAATAACCACTAAGATTGTGAACTCACCACCTTGCCGCGTTTGTCAGAGAGGGTGCAGGTAATGTTACTCCATCGAATGGTCACAGGCGGTACTCCACCCGCAGAACCAGGACCGGCGGGGGCTTCCGGATCCTCCGACGTGCTCTGGGCTTCTTCCCCCTCCTCCTCCACCGGCGCCGCGAGCATCTCGGGACCGGGTCCGGTAACAAGCCGTAGGATAAAGGCGGCGACGAGGCCCCCCAGGACCTGACCCAGGCCGCTACCGGCGGCGACTTTCAGCGCTCGCGCTCCTTTCCCCCTGAAATCCTCCGCCATAGAAACGCTCTTCTGCCAACCCCCACACTGAGACTGTTCTCTCCCGATGCCGATAGTATGCGAGCCCGGGAATGATTATTACCGAAAGCTGGAAAAAATTAACCCCTTCGTCGTGGGCCGGCCAGGTTTGTCAAGTGGGCTTGTCGCGGCCCATTAACTGTGGCGGGTGGAGCCCGTGGTTCAGTGTAATCAGCCCATTTTTTAGGTCCAGAAGTGGAGCCGCAGAAACCCATCTGGTCCATTCCTCTCTCAGCGCTCTCTGATCCGTCGCCGTCGTTCGCCACAGGCCCCCCTCCTCCTTGCCCGACCATCTCTGCCCGTGATTTCGGAGCATGACGGGGATACGCTGGCCACCGGAGGAATCCGATGTTGTGCATCCGTCTCGGGCGCCGGCTGCGGCGCCGGCCACCGATCTGATTTCGGACGACGACCGCTCTGTCGCGGCAGACTCGTGGTCCATAAAGAGCGAATACGGGAGCACGCTAGATGACGAGCAGCGCCAAGTCGATGCAGCGGAGCTCCTGTCCAGCTGTAACTTCCGCGCTTCCTCTGATTACAGGTTAAGCAACGTCTCTCTCTCTCTCTCTCTCTCTCTCTCTCTCTCTCTCTCTCTCTCTCTCTCTCTCTCTGTGAAATACTTGTGTTCTGTTTTTGACGTTTTGGATCGCGGATATGGGTGTCGTACGTATGTCAATACTTCTGATCTTTTGTTTTCTCGACGATCTTAGATTTCTGCTTTGTCATTGGTTCTGCTTCCTTTTGTGAAGCACTCTGGCTTTTTGCTGGCTAAAGGTTCATTCTTTGTCCTTTAACGTTGATTGGCTTGAGTAATGCCGATAAACCTCTTCTCTCCTGCCGAGCAATTTCCAGACTACCTACGTCGACCGTCTCTCTTCACATGTTTCTTTTTGCTTCGTTTGCATGGATGTTGATGGAAAGGTGGCGTGCTTTTGATAAGTTTGTATGTTTCTGAGCAGTTCGGACAAGGATGAGCCTGATGCTAATGAGGTGGAGCCATCGATGTTGGGCTTGCAGAGCTACTGGGATGCTGCATATGCGGAGGATCTTGCAAACTTCCACCAGCATGGCCATGCTGGAGAAATTTGGTTAGCAAGATCACTTCAGAATCTTTGAAATTATTTTGGGGTAATGTTTATGTTAAACACTGTCATGCTATTGCTAGATTTTCCATCTTATTGCAGATTCCAATTGCAGCCTTAGGTACTTTACTTTTTATCTTCATTGACAATATGAAGGACTAAACAAAATTTTGTATATTAGGATTACTGCTTCTGGTCCAGTTTGTTATGCACTTCACACCTTTTCTTTGAACGTAAGCTCTCTCTGGTGACTGCATTGATTTTGTTGTTTGGTAGAACAGATTATACTTTAAACCTTATGCGCAGTTAAGACCCTTTTTCTACAGATTTCTATTTATGCTTAAGGCTGTTGTGCTATTACCAACGGCTAAGCTAGAGTGTCTCTCTTCCCAATTTCACTCTTGTGGAAGAATAACTGTTAATTTTTTCCTGAGTATGATTTGGCAGCCTTGCCTTGAACGTGAAACTTGTTATGCGTTGTTGTGACAGTGGTATTGCTCTTTGACTCTATCAATGGTATCTTTGATGTTTCAATATGATTACTTCTGGAGAAAAAACTCATTTGACCAATATGGGAGGTTTTCGTCCAAAATGTACTTCAAATTACAAATATACCACCAGCAGTAACTTATCTAATTATACCAGACACCTTGAAACAATCCTTATAGCCTCTTCAGACAGCCCATAGGCCCCAAACCCCTGAAGATCTACAGCCTCATGCGACCTCAGAAATCCTAATAAATTTACATGGACGGTTCATTTCAATCCTCCAAATTACTTTGATGTGTCACAGTGCTCTCCCAAATGGACCAACTTGTCAGGGTTCCTGACCTATGCCGGGAAAGCCTGAACTTCATTCTTCAGTGTATGATTGGAATAATTCTATCTGTCCAAGAAATACTTCTTTACTTACGCATCTTTTTTGTTACTATAATTCCCTTTGCATGTATGCATCTCCACATTTTCTCTCCCTCGCTCATTTTCTTTTTTTAGTTTTCGCGTTATTTTATTTTCCTTCTTGTTTGTGCTTTCATTTTTCCTGATGGCCCTTCCTGACAAAGATTTTATCTTTATGATTTCTGACACTGCTTGCGCTAAGTTGTCTATGTTACTAATAGCCAACCAATAATCTTATAATCTGACACACTTAGTTGGTAGTCGTCTTCACCTGCTGGTGACTGCTGGTTTTTTCCTTCCCACATCTAGTGGAGTGTCCTCTTTAGGCTAGCAGAAAATTGGAAAACGTTGTACCTAATATGGTATCCAATCCTGGATCATTTTTCAATATGACTATATTGGGGTTGACAATGAAATTCCTAGGTTACTCTTGAGTGCATGCCCAAGGAGCTGAACCTTTACGATCAGTTTATCAAATCCTACCATGACTCGTAGCTTTCTTTGGGGACAATATAAATGATAAATGCGGAGATTTGTGTTTCATAACACAATTCACTGGAAACATTTTTATGAAATATTTTTTTTCGAAATAATTTATCATTAAAATGGGACCAACAGTATGTTAAAAAGTGGCTTCCAATAAAGGTCAGCTTCAACTTGACGCTCCTTCAATCGTTTACTTGTTTACATTTTTTAGAATCAAGTGTTCTGAAATTTATTTTTTTTGTCAGGTTTGGGACTGATGTGATGAATACTGTAGCAGCCTGGACTAAGAACTTATGTGCCAGCATGCCTCAAAATGTGAATGTAGCAAATGATGTGGCTGTCAGGAACAACTCAGATGATCATGCCGTTAAAGATTTATTCGGTTGGACCGTGCTTGATATTGGAACTGGAAATGGCCTACTTCTGCAGGAATTTGCAAAACAAGGGTATGCTGCAGCTTCCTTTTAGTCTTCTTTGTAAAAAAATTTAAAGCTTAGCTGTAACTGATGTAGTTTAGAAGTGACTGCTTTGACCTTCTTGTTGTTCATTTGGTTTCTTCCCACAAGTCATAAACTATTTCAGAGACTGAACTATTTACCTCTGATTGACCAGACTGATAATTTTCTCAGAAATCATACCTTTTCTGTGATTGGGGTCTATGCACAGGCCACCTCAATATTTTTCATGCATAAGAAATGATGCCTGGCGTCAGTCACTTTCCTTCAATTTTCCGCCAATCTAATGAGTTGCTATGTAGTTTTCTTACTGTCCCATTTTCCCTTATGTTTTCCTAAAGTTGGAAGTCTTTGATCAACACATTATGTGGAAAACAAATGTGATATAAGTTGTTGCTTAGCAGAGCAGCCTGTTACAAACAAAGGGCAACATTTGAAACGAGGATATAGAAAACACACAATCTCACATGGTAAACAGAATGAGTTGATAGTCACCTAATTGTAGATGATTAAAGAAAAAGAAGTGAGCTGTAGCCATTCTTTTGATCACTCTTCAACTTTCGAGCTGATAACTGACAATTGATTATGTGAATTTTCAGGTTTACAGATTTGACAGGAACTGACTACAGTGAAGGAGCGATTGACCTTGCTCAGAGCCTTGCTACTCGTGCTGGATTTTCCAGTATTAACTTCGTGGTGCGCTCTAGATCTGATCGCAATTTTAGCCTTTTACTGCCAGTTTTGGCATGTTCTTACTTTTATCAATTGAAACTTTTGAGCTACATTTAGGATTTTTTTAATCTTTACAACTTGCTCCCCTATCTTAAAAAAATAAAAATAAGAATCCACGATTGCCTCCCTCCTCAAAGCGAACCTGTTCTCCTTTCCCTTCATGAAATTTCAAACAGGGCAAAGCCATGGGCATGAGATGGATTGACGTCTGAATCAGACCGTGGATTTGACCAGTTCAGATACGAAGATATACATTAAAATCATCCTCTTTCTTGTTATAACGTTTGTTCTTCTGTGTTTATATGCGGTTGAATCTTTCTCTCACAAGGATTACACCAAAGTCCATCTCATATACCTATTATGTTCCCTTAGAACTGCGGTTTGAATTCCATGAGCACATCAATATTCTCAAACCCCTCCCTCCATTTCAGGTTGATGATATTCTCGACACAAAGTTAGAGCGGCAGTTCAATCTTGTCTTGGATAAGGGAACCCTGGACGCTGTTGGGTTGCATCCAGACGGTCATCTCAGAAGGTAATACTTGCCAAAATTTTGCTAAAAATATAGGACTGTTCTTTCTTTTCCCCCTCTCAGTTTAATTTCTCCCAGAGATATTGAATGCTCCAATCCGGGCAGTGTAAAGAGAAACAGGCTCTCGATCATTCCATCTTCAATCATCACTGCAAGCATGCAATCTCTTGTTGATTTCATGTTCCGGTATGCTTTCAGGTTAGCATACTGGGAATCTGTCTCGAAGCTGGTCTCCCCCGGGGGTCTTCTGGTCAGTATTCCTAGAGTAATTTCTCCTTTTCTTCCAATTCTCGAAGCAAGGTTCAGGCTTGAATAGATGGTGGGAACAGGCTCTTGGTAGAATCTCGATAACTACTAGACGATTCCCCTCACCATTTGATTTCCTTTAGGTGATCACATCATGCAACAGTACCAAGGATGAACTGATACAAGAGGCAGACAATTTCAACCAAGGCCAGGCCGCCGCCACAGCCACCGCCCCCAGCCCTGCAGAACCTGACCGAGCTCCGTTCTTCCAATACATTGATCACGTTAGGACCTACCCCACCATCATGTTTGGTGGCGTCGAGGGGTCCCGTGTGGCGACCGTCGCATTCCGACGGCGTTCTGTAGTGTGATTTTGCTCTGGGTCGAGCTCATTCTCTTCTCTCTCTTCCTTTCGATTGTTGATTGTTGTCACAGAGAGAGAGAGAGAGAGAGAGAGAGAGAGAGTTGAGCTTTGTTCTCTGCTACAGCCATTCCCTAGGTACTTCGGCGTAACACTAATTTCAGTTTGATATGACGGTGTGAACAAAGTTAGCAGCAGTCTGTACTGCGAGTATCATGTTTTGATCTGCTGTTAGCTCTGAGATGGAAGAGACTTGGAGGGCCCTTCACCGATATATGCAAGCTTCTAACTTCATACAACCAGGAAATCTTGTGTACATTTTTACACCAACACAGGACACAAATAGCTAGAGAGAGAGAGAGAGAGTTGGACGGTCAGAATGCGGTGTCAGTGTGTTAAGGACAAATCGGCTTATGTACTGTGACTTGTACGCCCATGCAGCTCATCGAAGTTCCTGAGTTTAATGGTCTCATGTGGTCACGCGGGCATTAATTAGCTCGCAAGATGGCGATTACTGCCACCCAGTTGACCGTTCAGAGTAGTCAAATCACCTCCATTAGTTTGTTCATCAGATCGGGCGTGAAATGGCATCTGATTGAGATGGCCGAGCAGGATAGAGATCCAGGAGCGGAGCGCTGACTCCCTCATCCCCATTCCCATCCAAATATGTTAAGAGGATACCAGGAGAAGAGGAGGCAATGGCGATCACCAGTAGCTCCTCATCTTCTCGTGGAGATGGTTGGTGGTCTCCTCTTCAATGGTCTCCAGAGAGGGCTTCCTCGACCTGCACGTGCTGAGCCTGCGCATGAAGACCCCGGTCAACGCCCCCTCCACGTCCTCCACGTCTTCCCCCGGCGGCGCCGCGTCCGGGATGATCCTCGCCCCCCCGCCTTCCCCGGCGGGACTCCACAGCGCTGCCATGTCCGCCGCCGTGACCGCCGAGTTTACCCGCTTCATGGGGAGCATCACGTAGAAAGCTCCCGCATCGAGATCCTCGTCGGCGGCCAGCGGCGAGAACCTCCGCCCGACGCGCATCTCCTGCGCGCTGACCAGGAAGTGGTTCGGCGCGTCGAGCATGAGCTCTGCCGCGTTGACAGGCAGGTCCACCCGCCGGACCTCGCCGCCGGGGAAGATCACCTTCGCCGACTTCGAGTATCTCCCATGGCCCCCGGAGAGAGCGCAAGATGCGTAGTTCCCCATCTAGAGAGAGAGAGAGAAAGAGAAACTAAAGAGGGAGGAATTCGCAGACAATGAGGGTCGGCAGCTGGCGGCGGAATGTGAAGTCCAAGGAGGCAAAGCTGAAGCCGCAGTCTTACTAATAAAGAGTTGAAAGAGAGGGAGAGAGCGGGGGAGGGAAGGTTCTGAGCCAACCCAGAGGCCGAAGGTGGGTGACGACGGAAACGTGGGAAAGCAAAAACCGTGTGGGTCCCCTAGAGAGAGAGGGAGAGAGAGAGAGAGAGAGAGAGAGAGAGAGAGAGGGGGGAGGTGGTCTCCGGTTCGCGTGGACCGGTTCCTTGAGCAGGAGGAACCCCCCACGATGATGCTTCCAGCTTCTGCCCGCGCGAAGCCCATCGATCCGCGTTGACTGGTTCCCTGTCAAACCACAGCAGCCAGACGTGCTCGGCCCAATATCAGGAATATTGACTCAGCCCGCGTTTTTGTTGAGTCGGACCCAGTAGAAGATGGGCTGCATGGGTTTGAATATTGATCCTGCGCATGTAGCCAGAGAGAGAGAGAGATCTTGGGCACGTGATTCACTAATTGAGCACATGGCGCGCATTTTCAGGCCGCGGCTGTACGGAAGAACAAGCCATATTTAATGCGGAGAGAGAAACGAAAGAACGGTTCAAGTGGAAGACGGAGGAAACGGTCGAGCACGTTTCCGAGGTGCTCGTAGGGCACGATTTCCCGAAGAGGCCTCCGAACCACGTAATAATAAATCTCTTTGTTTATTTACCTTGTGAGTTTTTTGGTCTATTTACTTACTTCACGTCATATCAATCAGTTTCTAAGTTCATATTAGAGCCAGGTTTTTCAGTTGACAATATATAGTCAGAAAATATTTCTAGTTTGAACTTGAATATGAATAATTAGATAACATAAAAATTATGTAATGACTTGTATGGACCTATACAAAGAGATAGGACATAAGTAGAGGTCACATCAACTAATGATTGAAAAAGATTAATACTATTAACTTCATCAAGTAATGACTTGATGATAATGTTTCCCAATATGTATCCACAAATAGTTCTAAAATCTCTTTAGAAGAAATTAAAAAATCTTTATGAGAGAAAGACACTAGATAACAGGACATTATTGATCAAAAAACATAAAAATCAAAAGTAAAATGAGGGTTATTCTATTATTGATTATTTGATGAGATGCAAAATATTATTAACTAAATTTCTATAAAGATATGTCTTGATGATGAGTTTGAAACATTGTTACTTCTTAATTCATTGTTAGATAGTTAAGAGATGCTTGTAATTTCTCTCTTTAATTCTGTATTAGATGGTGTTGTCACCATGAGTAAGTAACAAATAATTTATTAAATAAGAAGTTAAGAAAAAAAAATAACTAATTCTCATAGTGAGGCACAAATAATTGTCACATAAAATAGATAGAGGTTAAAGTCAATAAAGAAAAATCACTGCAAAGACAAAGTGAGTCAAGGTCAAAGAATGAGATCAATTATTACAAATGTGGTGAAAAGAGAGACTTTTAGAGTCAGTGCAAATAAGTCGAGAACAACAAGAAGAAAGAAGTAGAGAATAAAAAGTCAAAAGGGGACATCGTTGTCACTATTCAAACTAGTTATTATCTAATTATGTCTACTAATAATGATATCTTTTTTGTATTTCTCAAGATTCAAAATTAATCGTTGGTACAAGTGATTTCTATCATGCTACACCAAGGTGGACGTCATTTATCATATATAAAGTTAGAAACTTTGGCATTGTCAAGATGGGAAACTAAGGAATAACAAATATCATTTTCATCAGTTATGTCCATCAAGATTAATCTTGATTAAAAGTTAGTACTGAAGGATGTTAGACATGATACAAATTCGAGACTAACAATAGGAACACTCAATGTTGAAGGCTTCGATGACAAATTTGATTGAGGCAAATGGAAGGTCACCAAGGGTTCACTTGTCGTAGCTTTTGGAAAGAAGTATAATACCTTGTACATGTTGCAAGTTGAGGTTCTGGTGACTAGATAAATACCAAAGGAAAATATTCAAATATGAAATTGTGACATAAGAGACTATGACACATGAGTGAGAAGATGATGCAAACTATTTTCAAGAGAAAAATCTTACCATATTTCAAAGATATTTACTTGAACTCATGCGTTGATTACTTAACTAGTAAACAATAGTTTTTTTCCTAGTCCTCCATTGCCTATATATATAGATATAGTTTAGAGTAATTTTACACAAATATGTGTGGTCTTTTAAGGACAGATAATATGTAACTCTATTAATGTTCATGATATTTATAATATATTATATTTTATCACTTTTATTGATAACTATTTTAAGAAAATTTGGACATATCCTCTAAAGACTAAAGATTAAGTTGTTCATGTCTTCAAAAAGAGTTTTACGTTAAGGTGGAAAAGGAGACTAACATAAAGTCAAAATGTATAAGATCAAATAATGGTGATGATTACATGAGTTTGTTTGATGAATATTGCATACAATAAGATGTTTTTATGAAATGATAGTACTAGACACTCCTCAACATAATGTAATTGTAGATAATGAATCGCACCATTATAGAGAAGATGTGAAATATATTTTTACATGTCAAATTACTCAAAAAGTTTTAAGATGAGGCATTAAAGACAATTGTTGATTGCATTAATCTTTTTCTATATATACCTTTGAATGAAAATATTATAAATAACTTATGAGTAGAAAAATCAATTTCTTACAAATATTTAATGGTGTTTAGTTGTTATGTATTTGCACATATTTCTAACATTGATGGATACAAGCTAGATGGTAAGACAAAAGAGTATTTTTCTTGGTTACTATCATGACAAGTTTCATTACAGGTTGTGAGATTGTAGAGAAGTAAAAGGTATTCAAAATCAAAGATGTATCCTTCTTTGAATATCAAAATGTTGAAGATATAAATTAAGGCAACGGTCAAAAATTATGCAGAAGTTTTTACATATTGACACCAAGTCACCCCTCATGTATAATATGATAGAAGGGGCAGTATGCAAGAGAATAAAACTAAAGTTGATGTAGATTTATTTACATGATGAGATTAGTAAGAAGTGAGGTAGCTACTTACATCAAAATATCATCTTAAAAGGTCTAGTAGACAACATTAACCTTCACAAAGGTATTCACCAAATTAGTACATTATGCTTATTGATGCAAGTGAATCAAATAATTATTTAAGTGTCACTAAAAAGTGAACATAATGAAGACTAATTAGCAACTAAGGAAATAAATATGTTATTGAGAAACCATACATATGATCTTGTGGAGCTACTTAAGGAGAAGAAAGCTTCGAAGAATCAGTAAGCTTTCAAGTTTATGATTCAAGAACACTCTTCATTACAAAAGTATAAGGCAAGATTGATTGTAAAGGGTTTTACTAAGTGAAAGGTATTGACTTTGATGAAAATTTATTATTTTTGTAAAAATGTCTTCTATTTATATTACTCTAGGTATAAGTACTAGTATGAACTTAGAGGTCGAGTAGCTAGATATAAATAAAATAGTTTATTATGACAATTTGAACAAAAAGATTTACATTGAACAATTAGAAGGTTTCAAGGTGTAAGGTAAAGATCATCTCTTGTGAAAGTTGAAGAAGAATCTGTATAAACTAAAATAAACTTCAAGGTAATGGTATAAAAAGTTTGATTCATTTATGATTGATAATGAATATAAACATACTACTATATATCATTGTGTCTACATCAAGTTGTTTGATAATAATTTTATCATTCTCTTATTATATGTTGAAAATGTTTATCTTTAGAAAAAATATATCAACAATTGATAGACTAAAAAAAACTAAATTAATCATTTGTTATAAAGCACATGAGGCCAACAAAGTAAATGTTTAACATGCAGATTTTTTGTATCATATATGTTAAGAGCATATGGGTGTCATAAGAAAAATATATAAAGAAAGTGTTATGATAGGTTTTGTATAAGTAATGTAAAACATGTTGGTTCTCCTTTAGCAAATCAATTTAAACTTTGTATAAAACATAGTCATCAAGTGATGAAGAAAAGGTAAAAATGAAGAAAGTACCTTATGCTTTGACTATTGAAAGTTTGATGTGTGTAATAGTTATAGAGAACCATGCACTTATTGTCTAAGGCCCAAGAAGATAGTGGTCCAACCCACTATGACTAGCCCTTAAAGGCCAAAGAGGGAGGCACAAGAAGGGACATGAAACAACTAAGATACATTGGGTGATCATTCTCCCTCTCTATGCCTCCCTATGTCTTTTGTGCTTGATATCTCATCTTCCCTTCCAAGTGTGTAATCATCGACATCCTCTCTCTTATGAACCACCACAAACCAGTCTCCTTCTTCCCTTTCTCCTTCTTCTCTCTATTTTATAGGTCATACATCTTCTCTCCTTCCTTCAATGCTCTTGTAAGGATGTGACCTTATCATTGGTATTAGAGCTTTCATTCGTGAGTTGATGGTCAAAAGGCTCACCTTATCCAAAATAGAGCATTTGGAGGCTAGGTTTGATGACTCAGCCATTAGCATCCAATGTCTGAAAGACCAGATTGCATCCATGGCCGCCCTACTCTCTAAGTTGGTCCCTAGAGATGTAGAGGGGGGCCCATAGTGGAGTCCTTATGGGGCCCTCGTAAGATCGTCACCCTCACCCCCACCCCCACCCCCTTGTGTTCTAGATGAGCAAACTGTCTGTTGGGACAGCCTCTTGTCCAGCCCTTTGGGGGCATCCTACATACAACCATGCACACTAAGAGTTGAGGGGCACAACCTCTTATAGGGCGGCATGACCGATACAACTACAGCCAATGTCAAGGGGTGTTCTTTGATCTCTTCCACAAGGGTACCATACCCTAACCCCCCTTGGAGGCACACATCTTGAGGGGATGTCTAGGTGAGCTTACTCTAATTCTAGGCTAGGGAGGGTCTGCTCTTGTCATGCCAAAACATTCCAAGGGTGCCACAAGTTCCTTTTCAGGCCCCAAAAACTAAGCATGGTGAGCTTGGACCACCATGTGACCCTACTTTGGGTAACCACAGGTAGATAGATTGGATTGACCCATGGGCTTGATCCCCAGTTCATAGTAGTGTATGAGGAAGAACCTCCTTATGCCCATAATCACTAGCAGGATTGTATCACCAAAATGCATCCACCCTCAATCTAAAGTCCTTGGAGGCCTAGTTTGATGGACAAATCACTTTTTTCATGTCATAGTAGAGCTTAAGAAGAACAACGGCACGCCCATCAATGGCCCGATGATGAAGACAGTATTAGTGGAAGATCCTTTTGGGTATGAGTTGGATGACCACCACAGCTATCAAGACCTCGCTTGGGACTGACCATGGGTGCATCAAGTCCTGCCATGTCCCCCATCAAAACTATAGAAAAAGGTAAAAATATCCATCTTCATGAGGGAAAACCCCAAGGGGTGCCTCCTCAAAGTGGAGCAGTTTTGTCAACTCAACTTGCAAATGCTAACAAATGCTTTTAGACCATCATGACATATTTAGACGGTAAGTCACTCTCTTTGTTCAGTTATTGTGAAAAATAGTTTGGTTTTAGAGATTGGCAAGATTTCAAGTGTCAACCAACTCATCACTTTGGCTATACCCAAGATGACACCTATGAATGTTTATTATGCATGAAGTAAATTGGCTCTATTGAAGAGCTGGTCACAAGCACTAAATGAGTTACATCTCACATCTCGATCAGAACATCCAAATGCAAACATTTCTAGGGGATCCCAAGCCTAAGATTTAAGTTGAGGTGAAGCGCTCTAGACCACAATGTTTGCATAATGTCCAAGATTTTACCTTTGTAGTAAAAATTCATTTTGCAGCTCTAGCAAAAGGCATGAAGCATGAGTGGGAGAGCTCTTCTTAATCAGGGTGACAGCAATACACGCACACACCTTGCACAAGGACAACAAGGCCAAAGATGTGTCTATGATGATTCGGCATCAATAGGATGGGGAATCACATCAGTTGTATGACAGCTCAAGGCATTCACTGTGGCTGACTAAGAGAAAGTTACAAGCTCACATGGTATAAGGGCTATGTTTCTAATGTAATGAAAGGTTCACACCTAGATGTCGATGCATGAAGGAGCTATGCATCTACATTGTGCAAGATGGTAAGGAGGAGGATGAGTTGTTCGAAGACAAAGAATTTTCACATGTCACCAATGACTAAGAGATGGTCACCACTCTCTTTATGATTTGACTCTCTCTACGGTCCACCTTGAGCATGTCTACTAGTGAAACTTTTCAAATACAAGGCAATGTATATAACACTGATGTCAAGGCCATAATTGATGGAGGAGTCACTAACAACTTCATATGCCAAAGTCTCATTGAGCGACTAGGTATTTCCACCTCTCAAGTGACTCCTTATAACATCATATTTGGAAATGTCCATGTCAATAAATAGAAGTATCTACGCACTATTCTTTTGGTGCTTCTTAAAGGCTATATTATTGTCCAAGGCTTCCTACCTCTTGTTCATATTACCATCAGCATTATCATGGGCACTAAGTAGTTACACACCCTAAAATGGATGGACAAAAACTACAAGTTCTTCATATAGCGGTTCTATGTAGATGAGATATGATGTGACCTAATTAATGTATAATAATTCACAATTTTCAATTTTATAAAATTAGAAAATTTTATTTTTTGAATTTTTAAGAAATATTTCTAAAAAAATAAATTATTTATAATTTAATAAAATATTATCAAAATAGTGAGAATTTTCAAGTAGATCACAAAGATAATATCGAATAATATTTTATTTTATTTTAAAGAATAGGAGTTTTTAATTTTTTTAGACTAAATGTTCAAGATAAAATATATTTTAAATTTGTGAAAAAAAAATTGGGTGCAGAGATTAGGATGAAATCAATGTGTAGACAAATAAAAATGGGGTGGAAATAGAATTTCATCTGATGATTCTTTCTTAAGTGATTATAGATGATATAATTAATCAAATTCAGATTCGTAAAAGTCAAAAAACTTCTGTTGAATGAAGAATATATTTGAAATTATAAATCACACAAAATCTCACTAAATTAAGTAAATATTAAGTTTAAAGTAGCAAAGGTAAAGTTCCGACTTTGTAGTAATGATCAGTAAAATATATGTTCCAAATAAGTATTGTGTGATGTTCATTGTCTTTAATATAATTTAATGTATCTCCTTAGACAAGGAGAGCCTTTAATATGATTATAAAAATTATATTAAAGTTAACATAAAATTATATAATTAGTTAAAAAAAATCACATTAATCAATTAAATTTTACTTTTATTATTTTAATATAAATATAACTCTAATTATCATGAGTTAAGATTTTAAATATATTATTAAGAAATTATTAACTCATGATAATAAAGACTTATTAAGGTACGACATATACTTCAAGGAAACTCAAACACGAGACACATGTCTAAGATAGGCAACGCAATAGCAAGACAAAAGTAAATGAGGGACCAACATGCATTGAAGCTTCACTACTCAACACTCTTGGGTGCGACACTAGAAGCAAAGGCAAATTATGCATCTCTTTAATTCTTACATCATCACTTTTTTTATTGTACTTACATGAGTATACACATTGCCTCTAGCTCAATCGACTAATCATATGATTACATTACTCCCTGACTCAACATCAATAAATCAATTGCCATATTGGTACTCTCATTTCTAGAAGAATGAGTTGGAGAAGTTAGTATCAAAATAACTCAAAGCAAGCATCATCCAGCCATCCAACAGTCCTTATTTTATCCTTACCCTCCTAATCAAGAAAGACAACTCATGATATTTTTATATTTACTATAAAGTTTTAAATAAGCTCACTATACCAAATAGGTTTCTCATTTCAATAGTCAAGAAACTCCTCAAAGAGCTCCATGGGTTAAAGCTTGACCTCAAATCAGGTTGTCACCAAATCTATATGCATAAGGAAGATATCCCAAGGATGACATTCCACACCCACCAAGGCCATTAAGAGTACTCAATGATGCCCTTATGAACTTGATTTTTCAACCACATTTGAGGTGCATCATTTTAGTATTTTTTTATGACATATTGGTTTTTAGTAATCCAAACAAAAGCATGAAGAACACTTATATATGGTATTTCAACTATTCATGGAACATCAATTAATGATGTACACCAAGAAATGTTCTTTTTTCCAATGTCACTTAGAATATTTGGATTACTAGAACTTGGCTGAAAGAGTGGTCATAGATAATAGAAAGATCAAGGATATTCAAGGGTGGCCAACTCCACAAAACTTAAGACAACTCTAGGGATTCTTAAGCTTCACAAGCTATTACATCTAGTTTGTGGAAGCTTATGCCAAACTTTCTTGGTCACTCACCCTCTTCTTAAAGAATGATACTTTTGAGTTGTCTAAGTTTGGACGTGAGTTGTTTGAGGACCTTAGGGTGTCATGGTCACCACACCAATGTTGATTTTGTATGATTCTCCTAACCTTTTATATTAGAAATTGATGCTTCAATGATGGGTATGGGAGTGGTTTTGATACAAAAATACCTACTGGTGGCCTATTTTAACAAGGTCTTACCTCCTTCAACTTGTGTTTGGTCAACTTATAAAAGGGAGCTTATAGCTATTATTTTGGTCATTTAAAAATAGAAACATTATGTAATGTTGTACTGATTCGTCATCTTTGTGGACCAATGTAATTTTAAGTATTTATTTGATTAGCGAGAAGTGCATGGTCAATACTACAAGGGGATGTCTAAGCTCATGACATACTCATTCATCATCTAATATAAGGAGAGCCCTTACAATAAAGTGGTAGATGCTCTATCCAAATGTCTCAACCTAGAGTATCACATGATATTTTCAATTTTCACCTCATGAACTTAAATGTGACAAAGTAAGAAGTGCTCAACAACCCATACTTCACCAACATCATCCAAATAATCAAGAAGATATACTCACCAACCCATACTACACATTTACAAATGACATTTTATTGTACAAGTACAAGTTGACATAACCAAGGTCATTGGTTCTCATCCCAAAGTTGTTGATAAAATTTTATGACAAAATTAGATTATTGAAGACATACTTGTAACTGACTCAATAATTTTTTTGATATGAAATGAAGAAAGATGTGAAGGTTCATATCTATCAATGTTCTATTTATTTGTGATTCAAGTCTACACTCACTCTAACAAGATTGTTACAACCATTTTCAATCTCCAACCATATATGAAAAGACATCTCTATAGCCTTTGTTGAAAAATTATCCACATCCAAAGGACTAGACATAATTTTGGTGATTGTTTACTACCTCAGTAAATACAACCACTATATATCCTTGAAGCACCCATTCTCAATCAAAAATGTGGCAACCTAATAACCCCAAAGAATGAAGTGCACAATCTTGTTAGGTGGAATTAAGCTAAAACATCGCCCTTCACACATCCATATGGATGTCTCCATTTCGAGTGGTCTATAGTCAAGACCATTATCATCATCCATTACGGATCTCCACCAATATCATGCGATGAGGTGAACAAGATGCTATTGAAACATGATCATATCCTTGTTCTTCTCAAGATCATTTGGCACACGCACAATCTTATATGAAACTTCAAGTTGACAAGTACTAGAGAGATGTGCAATTCTAGGTTGATGAGGTCATCTACCTCAAATTCAAACCTTACCGGATGTAGACCTTAGTGCAATGTGCAATTGATAAATTAGGGTCATGATATTTTGAACCTTATACGGTCCTTCAAAAGGTGAGACCTATGACATACAAACTCAAGCTACCATAGTATTTTGAACCCTATTTTTCATGTATCACAATTGTGACGAGCCCCATGGGTAGGTGTGCCACCTAAACCACTCCCAATCACCTTTATAGAAGAGAGTGAGTGGCCGCTTGAGTTAGAACACATACCTCCAAAACGTTATCATCTAGCAGGTTATCCTATTCGAGTATAATTTCTTGAACTCTAGCTTGAGGGCAAGTCAGTTGTTGAATGAGGGAGTATTGAATTATGTAATTATTGTCTAAAGCCAAAGAAGCCAAAGAAGGGGCATGAAAGAATTAAGGTACATTGAGTGATCCTTCTCCCTCTCTCTGGCCTCCCTACCTCTTCTATGTTTGATATCTCTTCTTCCTTTCCAAGTGTACAACTATTAGCATCCTCTCTCGTCCATACCACTACAAACCAATCTTTGTCTTCTCTTTCCCTTTTTTCTCTCTATTTTTTGCACATTGTGTATCTTTTCCCCTTCCTACTAACGCTCCTGTAAGGCTAGGACATTATCAAAAAGTATGAACGAGACTAAACATTATATGTGATGGGTTTTACTAATAGATTTCTTACAATTCTAGGAAATTAATATTGGACAATAGCGTGAAATAGATATTTAGATATCTTAAATGAAGTTCTAAAGTTTACTTAAGTTTGGAAAATGATCTTCTTAAATTGACCAGTTTTACAAATGTTGACATAACTAAAGATGTTAGACACGCAAACATCTTCTTCAGGTATAACAATTACTTTTATAGAGTGAGTTATGTCATGGCAATCTAAATTGTAGATGTTGTTTGTCAACCATAATGGTTGAATATGTTATTGTCACAAAGATTTGTAAACAAATATTATAGATAAAAAAATTATCACGATAATTGTCACCTAAGAGTATATAATTTTTTATAATTGTTAAAGTGTCATATATTTGTATAAGAACCCAACATTTCACTTGAAGACAAAGTAAATTGATGTGTCTTATCACTAAATTAAAAATGTAATTGAAGATAATCAATTACATATCAAAAAAATTCACACAAATGATAATAGAACAAACATGTTGACTAAGAGTTTACCTAAAAAGAAGTAAGAGATTTGTCAACAAATGACCAACATGAATGCTCCTTGAAGAGTGTGAGACAACCTCCCTTATAAGTTGAAGGAGAAAGTTGTGCTTGTTAATGACTATGTAAAAGAAGACAAACCACATCTAATGCGAAGAGAGAAGGGGTCATGAGAGAACCGGTCCATCCAACGATTGTTTCTCATGACCCAATGTGGAAGAAGGAGGAACTGGTTTAGATGGAAGAGGGAGGAAACGGTTAATATATTTTCAATGTGCTTGTTGGGCATGTTTCTTAAGGAGACTCATAGTGCCTATAAATAGAGGGCTAATTCTCTCATTAGAGTATCTATCATTTCTTTATTATCATCTTTGTAGAGAGTATCTATTTGGGTTGATGAGTGACTAGTGAGTTCATTTGAGGGTCAAGATCAAATATTTATTCTAGTTTTTGAGAAGTGTTACTCTATACTTCTTTTCACACTTAGTGGAGTTTTCATAGTCGCCTGTGGACATAGGACGCCGACCTCTGAACCACTTGAAAATTTTTTAAATAACTTTGAAATAAAGGAGAAAAGTATCTTGAAATAATTTTGGCCGCACAACTGTCTTTTACTGACTTGTTCATGTGGGCATAAGCGGAAGATCACCTTCTTTTGAGAGAGAGAGACAGAGAGACAGAGAGACAGAGAGAGCAGTCTAGAAGAGTTGTTCCTTCCGCTGCCCTGTTGCCGCTTCCGGCAGTTGGGGAAGGAAGCGGCGATGATGTGGCGGCCCGCCGGAGGAGCTCGCTCAGGGCAACCCTCGTGGAATGGTGGCTCATAATTATGAATTTGGTCGAACGAGATATCTGCATTCCCGCCGATCTGAGCGAACTGGTTCCGACCGCCGCTGGAGAGGTTGCTCCTGTCCAGATCGCCGGAGGAAATTCGAATTCGGTCGAGGAAACCTCCATCTCTTTCTCTTCCCGGCAGACCTGCCGGTGGCTCCCGGAGAAGCTAAGTGCTTCCGCCATTGTCTCTGACGCCGTCGTCTCTCTTGCGTCCTTTCCGCTCCTTTCCATCCCTAAACCTAACCGTGTCTCGGGGATACAAAGACAGATCTGATGCCGAAGACAGCCTGGCCATGGAAAGCACTCGTGCTTGACATATCCAAACCAGTATGTGATCTCTAGAAGCCACTCTTGGCGTTCTTCTCCAACAACCTACCTGCAGATCCCGGTGGATAAATAACGACTGCACGATTTCTTTGCTTCAGAGCTACCGTGCTGGTTCTGCTGCTGCAAGAAGTACTGCTTCTTTTTCCCATTCCACTCCGGCTTCTCTCCCTGCCGTTAATTATTCCTTCCGCATCAACAAAGCAGGTGAGCTATCCTTCATCGACTCCCTCCTCCCAGGGGGGACTTGGATCTGGATGCATTGTTCCTACTGCTCTTGGTTGTGCATGATGTAAACGAAATTTCCTTAGCTCTCTAAGAGATTTAATTCAATCATTTACCGTCCTAGATTTCTTTCTGAGTTATTCAGAATTTTATACACGTTTCATTCTGGTTCTAAAATTTGTGTAAAATTATCCATCCAGATTCTTGTTTCCATACTCCCTTCATCACGTATCCTTTAGTTCCATTCACGCACTCATCCTGTACAATCTACGCGAGGTCGACGTCGTTGGTAATAGAACTCGGGGGAGTGGATGAGGGCATGGTTGGACATGGATCGACAGCTTGATGAATCTGCCTTCTCGATTCCTGCTTCATCACTAGCTATCTCTCTTTCAGGGTCTGGTTACTGTTGCGATTCCCACTACGCCATTTTTCCTCTATCCTCCATTTGGTCTAAGAAACAACTGAATGAGTTTCAGGATCGACTGGGGCCCGTATCAGTCTCCATTTTCACCTTTATTTTGCTTTAAAGACCGGTGTCTTGATTTGGCTCCAGGAATGCCGAACCATAAGGGAGGACGATCTTCTCTGCTATCTGTTACCGCCTGGCTCTCGGGGATCCGCCCGCCGCCTCCCACGATCTGCGATTCTCCGACCGGCCCGTTTGTTACATCACTCAGGATCAAGCTCGAGGATGGCAGGCACCTGGCCTACAAGGAGCACGGAGTCCCAAAGGAGGAGGCCAAGTACAAGATCATCTTTATTCATGGCTCGAACTCCTGTAGACACGACATGCCGGCCCCATCTCCGGTCATACACTCTTCAGAGCTCTGCCTTTCTTGTTCTTACAGATAGAAAGTGGAGTTGGACTGCTCTCGCTTTGAAATCTGTGGATTCGCTGATCATTGTGTGTTTCCAGGAACTGGTCCAGGAGCTGGGTATCTATTTGCTATCCTTTGACAGAGCTGGGTATGGTGAGAGTGATCCCAATCCGAGAAGAACAGAGAAGACCACGGCCTTGGATGTGGCCGAGCTTGCAGATCAGCTGAACTTGGGACCCAGATTCTATGTCATTGGTCATTCCATGGGTGGGCAGGCCGTCTGGGGATGCCTGAAGTACATCCCCCACCGGTGCGGCCTCTCTCCCCCCCTCTCTCTCTCAATTCATCTATCTGTCAATCTATCCTTCTCTCTCTCTCCTCCCTCACGTTCTGCTGCCGTGTATCAGGCTGTCTGGGGCAGTGCTGCTGTGCCCCGTGGTGAACTACTGGTGGCAGAGTTTCCCTGCCAAGCTAGTCAGGGAGGCTTATAATGAGCAGCTGCTGCGAGACCGATGGGCACTTGGAGTTGCACACTATGTCCCTTGGCTGACATACTGGTGGAACACTCAGCGATGGTTTCCTTCATCAAGCGTGGCAGCGGGCATCCCTGATGTTCTCTCCCCCGATGACAAGGTCCTGGCTTCTATACGGTTCCCAGCAAGGCATCAGCATCAGGTATCCATTTTCTCAAAGGCCCTCCCCTGTCTTCAAGTTTTTTGTCTAGAAACTTTAGTTTGGATTGTGATATTCCTTTGAATTATCCTCTCTTGATTGGAAAGTGGCTTTAGACAGAAGAAATCTTGGTTGTGTTTACAGAAGCATGCAAAGCAGCAAGGTGAGTTCGAGACAATCCACCGTGACATGATGGTGGGTTTTGGCACTTGGGAGTTTGACCCGATGGAGCTGGAGAACCCCTTTCCCACCGGTGATGGCGCTGTCCACTTGTGGCACGGCAATGAAGATAGGCTTGTGCCAACCTCACTTCAGCGCCACATTGCCAGGAGACTCCCATGGATTCGTTACCATGAGCTCCCCAGCAGGGGCCACCTCTTCCATATTGCTGATGGGATGTTCGACAACATCCTGAGGGCACTCCTCAAAGAAACCCCCTAAGCCCCGGTTCCACTATCAGCTGTTGGTTCCCCGTCCTGCCACTCCACCTTCCCTTCTCTCTCTACTTTAGCTTCTTAAACCCATCAATTAGGTGGCAGTAAGGTGTGAAAGTTTCTGTGGAATTGTTATAGAGTATCAAAGTTTATTGTGAAAAGTAAATCAAAATCATTCAGGGGAGGAAGAGAGAATGTGATGTAGAGCACCACTCCAAGAAACTAGAAAGGTCCAAAATTGATAGTTTCATAAGATAAGATATCAGTTACATGGAAAGAATTTATCATGTATGCTCAAAATGCATGGATAAGATGTTGGTAGGACTAGCAATTATTTTTCTATTCTTTTTTCTTGTTGTTTTGGAGTTTGATCTGAGTTTTTAGGAGAGCAACAACTAACTTCAACAATTTAAACATCAGTACAATGTAATATTTGTATGTGTGATGATAAAGTCTTTGTGTGTAACATCAGCATGGTATTAGAGTAAAGTTGAGTCTCATATTTGTCTATGTGAAGATGTACTGCAAATGTGATGGAATGAATAATACCAACAACCTTGTTCTTGAGATATGTAGTCTATCTCAAGTAAATTGTTTTGAGTTTCAACCGAATTGTTAGTCAAAACTATTAGAAATTTGAACAATGCGTTGAAACAAATTCCTTCAAAGATTACACTGTTGTACCTTAAATTATATAGTAGCATGGGTTAGAATGAACTGAATCAAGACATCATTTTCATAGATAATCAATAACTAACAAAAGCTTTATGGGCCTAGATTATGTTTTTTTGACTGAAATATGAGAGATTGGTTTGGAGATAGATCCAAAAAACTTCACACAAGAGTTTGTTTGCCTAATTTTCCAGTTCATTTATTAATAAAATAATTATTAGATTGGTTGGCTGAGATTGATTGGTTTTTAGATTGACTTAATTAAGAGGTTGGGCGATTTTTTTAGATTTAAGGAGAGAAGGAAAAGAAATTATATGCAACTTGAAAGGTGACGTATCTACATGGTGAGAGCTTGTATAGGCAACTCATGCTTAAGGCATCAATTCATACATAATTCAATATGAAAAAATAGTTAAAACCTCAATGCCTTCTACTTAACTATGAGAAAAGTTAATACTAACAATACTGACATGACATAATCATTGTATCATAAATCACGTAAATTTAAAATTTATAAAATTAGAAAATAATAATTTTTATATTTTTAAAACTATTTCAAAACAAATAAATTAACTATAATTTGATAAAGGTTCAAAAAATAATAAGAAAATTTTAGGTCAATTACAAGGATGTAAGATAATATGTAGTAATATTTCATAATTTTACTCAAAGAATATAATTTTGTATAATGTTTAAACTAAATAATAAAGATAAAAAATATTTAAAAATTCACAAAAAAGGAAAATTTGGGTGCAGATGTTAGGACGATGTCAATACCCTGATGAACTCAAATTAGGCATAAATAGAATTCTATCTGAAATTTTTTTATGTAAATGATTATATATTATTTAATGAATCAAATTAAGATTTATAAAAGTTAGAAGAATAGTAATTAAATGAAGAAGTTTTTTGAAATCATAAATCACACAAAATCTCAATAAATTAAGCAAAGATTAAATTTGAAGTAGAAATGTTAGAATTTTGATTGAAACTCTGTGTTCGAAAGAATTATTGTGTGATGTATACAACCTCAAAGAATCTTCTTAAATATAAATAATATGAACTATCTTTAAATCTTATTGCGAAGTCTAAAAATTAATTAAATGAGTCAATGAATCATCTCCAACGATTATCACCTAACAGAATAGAAAAATGAGAACTTTTGAATCTCTAGCGACTATCACCTAACAAAGATAAATTAGATGGAGTAGAGCACATTTTAAGTAACTTCATCCTCAAGTCCACACAATAATAGAAGACTTTTCATCGCATCTAACTTACTCTAAAGAGATGGTGACTCATCTCTCGATTGATTATCTTATTCACAATGATGACTAATTTTTTGATCAATCAAAGATGATTTTCTCGATAAATTTATAATTGTTTATCTATAATAATTTGTTAGTTGATAATGATGCTCAACAAATTACATGGATAATATTTTCACTGACTATTAAATAATTATATTGATTTAATCGTTGATCAACACTCTCTAAAAAATATAATAATTAATTAAATTAAAATATAAATTTTAGTTGTAATGAGATTATAGCCCTCATTAGTCACTCCCTTATATGAGAGAGTTAAATAAGTACAATAATATATTTTCTAATGATGTCATATTCTTCTTACAATTTAAGGGTATTTGAGGTATAAAAAAAATAAAAAACTTGTCAAGGATTACTAGCATGAATTTAGTCCTACATTAGTTATTTTCTGATTTTTGAGATGAGTATATAATAATCTCTCTACATGGTCAATATAGCCTCTTACATGTGTACGATCACTCATATTACCCCACATCGGACTTGCCACTAGTGACATAGAGTGAAGCACATGTGTCCCACCAATTATTCCTTAGCCACTTGAGCCTCTTACTCATTGCTCCTCTTGACTATGCTTCTAACCTGCTTGTGGGCCTGATTGGTTGATAGTTCCTCCCTTTTGATATTTTATTATATTTTCTTTTATTTCTCTTCACTTTATCTCAAAAAATGGTTATAGAAATTATATAAATCACATAATTAGCTAAAAAAATCACGTTAACTAACTAAAAATTATTTTTCTCAATTTAATATAAATATAAATATATTTATCATGAGTTAAGGTTTAAATATATTATTAATAAATTATTAACTCATGATAATAAAGACGTATTAAATATTAATTATGTGACCAGATAATATAACTATAACATAATATGTAGTAGTGTTATGATATAAATTTAACTAAAATATGTTTTTAATTTTGAGAATAATTAAATTATAAAGGTGATGACAAGAAAATAATGTCCTATTTACAACTTATCATGACTCATATGTTTGCACCAAAGAATGATGAACATCCTCATAGTTACAACATTTTCAAATGTGGTGCACAATTAACAAAAATGTATATGATATTATTATTGGTATTAGTAGCAATGAAAAAATATTTTTTCAACTATGATTTGGAAGTTAAGATTGAAAATAGAGGCAACCACATCTTATAAAATCAAGTAGAAAAAAAGTGTTTTAAATAAAAATAAAATAAACTTATATTTTAAAATAATAATTATTAAAATTTGTTTCAAAGAAGTTGAGTATGATATATTCAACATATACAAAATCAAATCATTCTAGGAAGGTCCCATTAATTAGTGTGACGCCCCCTAGCTCAATAGATCAACATTTTGGGAGCAGAACTGCACCACAAATGTGAGGTCTGGGTGGTGTGATCCGTGTGGGTGTCCATAGTTTTGACATACTGTGGCACACATATGAGCTCACAATGGTACAATCCAATGCTATACTGTGCGTGGATGTGCATGGCTCAAGCATATGGCACCACCGAGTCACTCTTGAAACAGATGTGCTCTCAAACCTTGCAAGTAAAGCATCTATGTTTGCATGATTTGCACATCATCAACATATCATGACATGCGTGGAGGTGCACAAGGCAAGATTGTGGATGCACGGAGCTCAAGCTGGCGGAGGACACTCCCAGCAAAGAGAGGAAGCTGGGCTGATAAGCACATGCATCCTCCAAAGGCCAAATCTAGTTCATTATCAATAAGAGACCAAAGTTTAAGTTTGACCAGTATTGTAGAGTAAAATCATGATAGGGGTAGATACACAAGACTCTTTAATGTCTCTTGTCATGTCGACTATGCTACATATGGATTGAGCTCTCCCCACATGACTCGAGCTCCATATGAGCATTCATGATAAGCTTCTTTAAGTGGAATGTGGTTGACTCCAAGAATTATTCTTGGAACATGCTCCAAATGTGCCCCCACCATCCCTCCTTTTTTAAAAGACTAGCTAATTAAAGTAATCCCATAAAGAAGATATGTCAAGGAGAAAGACTAGAATACCACATGAGGGTGTAACATCAATCTCTAGCAATCCAGGGAGTCGGTACAAACAACAGTTTCCACCAAAGCCTTTGACTTATACCATAGAGAAAACCTCTCAACATGGGCTGCTGAGGTACATTGACAGTGATCAGCTTAGTTCTAAAGTCAACTGGGTTGACCCCAGTTGACCCCATGAAATCGGCGGTCCACTGTGTGACTCGTTTTTGGCGTGCTGTAGGGTCAGATGTTGGATTGAATGTGGGTCCCCACATGCTCGCGCGCCCTTCAATGCTCACATAATTACGAAAATACCCATTTCTGCGTTCGGCTCTCTGTTTCTATTAGAAAAGGTCAAGGGACGAGGTCCGAGAGTTTTCCACGACTCTTCGAGTCACCTCTAGGGAATTTCGTCTCTCCCGTCGCTCCTCCGTCCTGGTGCAGCGGAAGGTATGCCCGATCTCTTCTCTCCTTTTTTCCTCCGCGTCTTGCTTCGCTTTGTGTGCCTTTTCCGGATCAAGAGCCTCCGATGTTTTTCTATTAAGCGTCTTGATCTACTGTTTGGGATTTGAATCTGAAAGGAACTCTCCGACGCCCGCCCTTGGGTTCCATCCTTTCTGGTTTATTATGAGTTTTTTTTGTCAACAAGCTCTTGGATTATGGCGTCTTTGTTCCGAGGATCGTATTTCCGGAGCTTCTCGATAGAGATGGCCGGAGGGACTCAGCACTCCGTTATTCTGTCGATTTTTGAATAATCCGTGTGGAAGTTGTCGCCTTGAGGTTCTAGGGTAGGTACTACTGTGGCTATTTTTAATTTATTTGCTTGTGGGTTTTTTACTCGCTCTCCTCAAGCCCGCTGTCCCTCCGGTGCTACTTGCACAATTATCGTTTACGTCCTCCCCTCCCCTTCCGTTTTGGTTCCTCTCCCTCAGGGACCCCCCCCCGGCTTCCTCCTGAATTCCCTGTTTATTACGAATATATGTGCAAAAATGTTGAGTATGGAAAATTCGATTATATTTTTGCTTGTTCGTATGTAGGTTCTCGTTCCACCGTGGGAAGGAAGGGGCTAACAGGAGACTGGAGAAAGCCCCGCGATTCTTACTCTAGGTAGGATTTTTTGTAGCAATTCCTTGCCTTCCCGTTCTCGTGAATCATTCATTATTTGATGTCATTGAAGAGGTTTCTTTATATAGTTTTGGATTCAGATATAATGTCGTTTACTTCAGAGGTGAATGCTATTCTGCATCGTCTAAGGCTTTTTTCTTGAGTAGTTATGAAGCTTGTTATCGTTAGATAAAACTCTGAACAGTTCCATTTTCTTCTGGAGGAAGAAATTAGCATAGAATTTTCTTTTTCACAAGTATCATAGGTATCTGTTATACATCGCGTGTCTTGCATTTGCACATTCTTTGTATGCTTATTTTTGTATATACTTGCAATAATTTCTCAAGAAAGCGCGATTTGTTGGGGATTTGTAGCTATATTAAGTGAGAGGATCGAATGTTGCAGCAGAAGCCATATGCTTTCATGCCTGAGATTCATACTTTTAAGTCTTTAGTAAGGTCAATAGAGAAAGAGAGTAGCAATTAGGAATTAATTTTTATCATATAAAGCGAGAAAAGAAATTGGGGCATTCCTGCTTGCGCACTTAAAATAGCCTGTAAAACACCTGCAAGTCCGTAGGTCCGTCTCACTATGTGGTCTTCCTTTTATCCTTTCAAATATTAAATCTATATCCTCGGTGGGGGTCATCAATCAACATGAAAAGATGAAAGATACTATGGAAAGTTGCATGATATTTGAAGAAATGTGTGTAACTATGCTTTATTCGGGTGCCTTGTATTGGTTCCTTTTGATTTTCATAAGGGCAATCAGCCAGCTTTTTTTCCATATTAAGAAGCAATGGGGAAGATAAGTAAGAGATAGAACACTTGGTAAGATGACAAGACCATGGTATGTTCATAAGAACAAGCAAATCTGCTATTTTTTTTTTTTTCCAGATTACGGACATATTGGTTCAAATAATTAAATTATGGGCCCTCTTTCAAGGCAACATGACATGTTTACTATGCACACTATTCAATTAAGTGTCCTATCTTTTGGTTTGTTGCCTTATTTCTCTTTGATTTGGACGCTAGCTGACTTTCTTACTCTTCTCAACTTGGAGAGGAAAGAACTAACTGGAGGGAAATTTGTGGCAAAATTAAACTATAAATTATAAGTGTGAAAAATAAAACCTCACTTTCGGCACCATATATCTTGGAAGGAGGCATTAAGATAAAAAAAAGTTCCCCTCTTTCTCTTTAGATGAAGTAGGAAATCATTATGCTGCCACGCTGTTTTGGCCCACCTCTCCTATCCAGCCATCGTTTCTTGGTCCAATTTGCTCCTTTAATCGGCCCCTCTCGGCAATTTTCGTGTGGTGTCTTCTTTTCTTTTCTTATCTTTTGCTTCCTTTTGTTGCATCGGGTTTCTTTCTCTTCATTGATGATCTGCAATATTAGTGTTGGCATTTCTTAGATCCATGGCATATTTAGCTCGCGGATTAGCTTACCTCTTTTTTAACTCATGCAGCTCGCTCTTTTGTTGAATACAGTGTTCTATACTTTACCTATTTGTATAAATTATTGTCGCTCTTTTGGTTCCATCATGCTATAAGCCATGGGGTTGATTCAATTTTTTTGTCTTAGGATCATCCTAAAATAATCTCTACAATGTTCTAGCTCACACTGAAACCCAAACTTTGTGAACACTGCTTGAATTCAGTTTTTCAAGAACATTCTCTAATTTACCATCTCATGGATAATATACACTTTATAATTAGAAAGATAATGTTAGGCATCTCAAAGCACTTAAGCTATAAGATTTTGCTCTGGCCTCTATGAGTAGAAAGAAGTCTTTACTCCGTTTGAACCTCATCTCTCTCTCTCTCTGTCTCTCCCAACATGGATATTGAGGCCTTTTACTTGGTATTTTTACAGAAAGGGCAGCGAGGATACGACTTCCATTTCCTGTCTGTAAATCAAGACCAAAGCGCGTAGACAAGGTAAGAAATTTGATCAGCAAATTATTGCTTGCTCTTCTATGAAGGCCCTCTTTCTTTCGGTAGCATTTTTCCCTTCATATTCCACTTTTTTCTCCATGTGGGAGCAAATTTAGGAATGGAGAGGTTGAAGATCTATGGATGAGGCCAATCCCCACAATTTCGGAAGAACTAACAGTATCTATTCTCTTTTGTGAGATGCACTTCCTGTCATCATCTCACCAAAACGCAGGCATAGAGTCGTTTTTCATCGGTAGCCCTCAGGGAGATGGACTGCAAGAGGTTCATGCAGCTGGTCGAGGAGAAGAAGAAGAGGATCCTGGAGAAGAAGGAAGCCCCACTTAGATGGGAGCAGAAGCTTGAAGCTGCTGCAAAGATGAAGGCCGACGCCGAAGCCAAGGAGAGGAAGCTGACGAAGGCCGAGCGCAAGAGGAAGACGGCATCGGCATCCAATGATGAGGACAGTGACAGCAGAAGCAGCGACAGCAATAGAAGGACCGCCAGAAGACACCGGAGGCATGCCCACGACGATCCAAAGACCGGCAGGAAGTCTAAACGCAGGTTGAGGAAGAAGCACGGTTCGTCCAGCAGCAGCGAGGAAGAGAGCAGCGGCGACGATTATGGGAGCGGATCGGAGGATGAGCGGCAGAGAAAGAAGCGAGCCCATAAGAGGCGGTGGCGCCGCCGCCACTCCATCAATGGTGGGTCAGATTACTCTTCCAGTGATGAAGATGACGAGAAGATCAGGAAGCGCCGGTCACGTTTTGGCAGCGACGACTCGTCCTCCGAGTTTGAAGGTCGGCTAAGCGTTGAATGTTCTTCTGATATGGTGGATAATCAGAGCCCGCCGCCACATGGGAAGTCTTCTGGAGGGAGCCAAGATGATGAGGCTGAGAAACCCAGCAGCCATCATCACCGCCGCCACCACCACCACAATCAACATCATCATAAGCACCACCACCGCCGTCATCAGGGCAGTGGAGGGAAGCACGACCGGCGGCGCTCGGCAGAGCCAACTGGGAAGACTGAGGATGCTTGAGAGAGAACAGATGATCTGGCTGCTTACCGACTTAATGGCAGACTCTGCTCTTTTTGGGTTTTGTTTCTCTTGGTCGGACATGCAACGTGCTTCTTTATAATTTATGTATGTGACTCCAAACCGATTGCCCATAGTTTTCTACATGATTTTGATCCGTTTCATCCGACCTTGCCCATAGTTCACTCTGAGTGAGTGAACTGGAACGAATTTGTCAATAAGAACCTTTCGACCTCATGCAAAGTTGAGGCCAAGAGACTGAGAAACCACAGAAAGGAAATGCTAAGCATCTTGATTCAGTCAAGGAACAAGAAATACCTCGAGATTATTATTACCATCATCATTGGCGTGATCATCATCAGGCCCCTGAATTCTAAAGTTGCCACCCTCAAACCTTACCCAGTGAAAGATCGTTCCTCATTAAAATGAACAAATGCCAGCAGAACCTGACCATTAAAGGAAAGAAAAATCATGCTTAGACGCAGCAGGTGTTGCCAGGCACAGGCCGGGTTATTGACAACGACGAGTTTAGGAAACTTGGATCAAGCCGCCGACTCCTTGGCGATCTTGTCGGCCTTGGCGATGACTTCCTCAATCCCTCCAACCATGTAAAATGACTGCTCGGGGAGGTCGTCATACTTGCCATCCAAAACACCCTGCGAAGAGCACATGGGGATCGTCAGTCTTGATTACCACATTTACAGACCAAGAAGAAAAGGAGCTCACAACTAGACATTGATCCTATGAACCCTGAATCAACATGATACTGAAGGAAGAGAAGGATCCCACGGAGAAGCTTGAAAAACTTGTAAATCTGATTTGTGCTTGGAACCTGTGGTGCCCATTTTTGGAAAAAAAATATATAATTGTGGGTTTTACGTGAGATCTGATTATAGAAGGATTTCACAGACGCTAATCGTTATTTTTCTAGATAGAATATCAAATTCATGACATTGGTAACAAGATTCCTATGAGATTTGTTCCGGTGAGAATAAAAGGTATGAGTGAAATCATGCCCATCAAGAATGAGACTACGATTCACCCCAGTTTCCGACAGTCTTCATTCAGCAGACAGAAAGTAATGCCGGCAAGCATCAACTAAGTTCCCCAAAGCTCCCCTTTGACCATGGTCAAAATGTGACCGATGGGAGGAAATGAGAATGCATGTTGATAGAGGTGTCCAGCCGGAAGGGAACTTCATAGCTTAAGGTCCCGTGGTGAATTCCATACGAGTTCCATTTTTACTCACTTAATGAAAACTTGGAGTTCAATACTTCTAAAAGCAGCGTTAAATAGTATGAAACAAAAAGTGGCAGAAAGACAGAAAAGATAGTTACTGCGAGCATTGTTAGAAGTGAGACAACCTTAAAACAGAAATCCGTGAACAAAGTCATTTATATTACATATGAAAAGGAGAGACCAAATGAATAATTTTACTGAGATTTATAGAACTGAAGTAAATATAGTTTACCGTATACTAGGAAGGATAACTATGTCCATAATCAAGCGAGTAACTGGAGATGGAGCTCGGCATCACAGAAAGGGATCTGAGGAACCAAACACTGGTCTTTACCCAACATATTTTTTGGCTCAGTCGAAAATTACACAAATCAAATCAGATTTGAGCTCATTAGACAGGTAAACAATAGAGGACTAAGAACCAACTGATTCCATGGTATGAATATAGTGTTTGAATTCAATGAAGGTCCTACCTTCATCAAAAAATAAATATCACTCAAATGAGAACGTAGTTCTTCCCTAGGAACTGGAATTCCAGAACCTCTAATAGGCCCATTCCAGCCCAATGTTACCTCAATCAGTTATATTGTTAGCCCCACCTCATAGCAGACCAGAGACCAGTAAAATCAGATCAGAACTATAGGGACCAATTCGGTATAAGGCTCATAGCCCATGAATGATCGGTTGATAAGTCCAACTCAGACCTTCACTGAAAATTAGCATTACGGGAAAGACAACTTCCACAGGGTATCAAAACTCAAATGCTGCATAGCTTCACCAGCACACGGTTCAAGTAAGACATTATAGATGCCCTATTGATTAATTTGGCCTCTTCATGAAGATCACTGTGGAGCTTCGTTAGGGTTAGGAACCTAGCTTCGACAGCTAAACAATGAAAGCAATTGGCTTTGCTTTTCTTATGCCATGAAAAATGAAAGGAGGGTAGATTTATCTATACAATTAAACTACAAGATAAGAATATTACTAGTATTTTTTTTCACGTGGAAATAAAAAATAAAGGGCTCACATAGATCCCATATCTATTTGTGTGATATACGATGGCAATCCCTAAACTATAAAATAAGAGGAAAGAGAAAATAAAATAACACATCATGAAATGCAAGGATATAGGAGAAAATTGATGTGAACCACAAGAGAGCGATGGAGAAATATTAGAATATGAAATTTAGTAACTAAAGTTCAAACTAAGAGTGGGTCCTGCGGGAACCCTTACCTTTCTTGATGGAAAGTTTCTTCAAGAATCCATTTCTTACATTGTTAAATCATATACCAGTAGGAAAAATGAGTTTTCAAGCATGAAGAATTAAATTGCCAAATCTCAGCTAAAGATTTTGATGGGAAGAAGAGGGGAAAAGAACAGGAGGGCCCATAGAATTCCACATACAATAGTGTCATGGAATCAGCCCATGAACATCAGAAATTATATCTCTTTCATGTTTCATTTTGTCTTTTATTGAACTGAGTCTTAGAGACGCTTCTTTCAAACTGTGGCAGGTTCTAAAAACCTGCTAAGTTCAATAAAACCGCAAGAGGTTTTAATGAATGTTCATTAGCACAAATGCAAAAGTTAGGAATAACCAACAACAAGATCAAAAACCGCAGGAGGTTGTTAAAAAATTTGAATGTGCATATATCCATTAGCACACATCCATCAGTGGATCCGGATCTAAAAACATCAATGATGGATTTGCAGACAAGTGAATGGCACACGTGTGTATGCATTGCTCAAGAAGAGACTCAATAAACAGAGGAGAAAAGTAAAGTGGGAAATGGAGAGATAAAAGGTGGAGATGACAGACGATACTCACTCATTTCCAACAAAACAAAACAAAAGCAAAGACAATCGTGTTGAGAAAATCTCAGAATTATCACCTGAAAGCTATTAACACTCTCTTTCAATTCGACATATTTTCCAGGTGCACCCGTGAATACTTCTGCCACATGGAAAGGCTGGCTAAGGAATCGTTGAATCTTGCGGGCACGAGCCACAGTCAACTTGTCATCTTCACTGAGCTCGTCCATGCCTAGAATTGCAATAATATCCTGAAGATTTTTGTAGTTCTGAAGAACTTTCTGAACACCACGTGCAGTATTATAGTGATCTTGTCCCAAAATGTGGGGAGAAAGCATTCGAGATGTAGAGTCAAGAGGGTCAACAGCGGGATAGATACCAAGCTCCGAGATCTATAAAGAAAAAAGAACAGTTCATACGAAATGGTACCAAAAGTGTTGCTTCTTCTTCACCTGTCCTCCATGAAAGAAAAGGGACAAGAATCAGACCTGTCGTGAGAGCACGGTTGTGGCATCAAGATGGGCAAAGGTTGTTGCAGGAGCAGGATCAGTCAAATCATCAGCAGGCACATAAATAGCTTGGACAGATGTGATGGAACCCTTCTTTGTTGTTGTGATCCGCTCTTGAAGTCCTCCAAGATCAGTGGCCAAAGTAGGTTGGTACCCAACAGCAGATGGAATACGACCAAGCAAAGCAGACACTTCTGAGTTTGCCTGAGATGTGGATCAGGAAAGACGCCAAATTTGACAGGATATTAAAATTCGGAAAATTCGTTAGGTGAGAGTTCTATTCTTGCCGACTAACCTGGGTGAAACGGAAGATGTTATCAATGAAAAGAAGGACATCCTGCCCTTCAGCATCTCGGAAGTGCTCTGCCACAGTTAAGCCAGTTAATCCAACACGGGCACGTGCACCCGGGGGCTCATTCATCTGCCCATAAACAAGGGCGCATTTGCTCTCACTCTGGGAAAAAAAGACAACATTTGACTATGAGAAAGTCTTTAAAAAAAAAAAGAAGCATCAAATTAGGACAGTGTGAAAACGTTATTGAATAAACCTGCTTTTCACCAAGCTTTATGACACCACTTTCAATCATTTCCCTGTACAAGTCGTTACCCTCTCTGGTGCGCTCCCCAACACCAGCAAAGACAGAGAAACCACCTGATCAAGCAAAAGTTGTGGAATGCATAATCCAGTGGAAAACAAAAGGAAGCCAACAAAGCATAGTCAACAACCATGAGCCTTTGCAACATTGTTGATCAGTTCCATAATAAGCACAGTCTTCCCCACACCAGCTCCACCAAAAAGTCCAATCTTTCCACCTCTCTGGTAGGGTGCAAGGAGATCCACAACCTTCAGCATGCAGAAAAACAAAAAAGCGTTGCGAATTTTCTATTATATCATGACTATAATCACAACGAGGACCATGTACAGTCCAATCTACTTTTTATCTCCCAATAATCTGCGACACGCAAACCTTGATTCCAGTAACAAGAATCTGTTGTTCAGTCGCCTGTTCAACAAAAGCAGGAGCTTCACGATGGATGGGAAGGAAGTGATCGGTTTCTGAAACAATTAAAACGCAATGCAAGTTAGAAAAAGGTAGGAAGGAAGCGATTTCATTTCTCCTATTAATTGTAACTCTTTTTTGTTTCAGTTAACTTACTTATATCACCCTTCTCATCAATAGGCTCACCAATAACATTCATGATACGCCCAAGAGTAGCCCTACCAACAGGCACCTGGCGATGAAGTATTAAAAATCAAGTAAATTAACAGACGGACTAAAAAACAGCTCAACGCCTAGATATAATACACACATTTGCACCTCAGTGTACAATATAGAATGAAATTAAGTGCCTGATAATAATGATACTAATGCCATTTCAAAACACCTGAAAACCAAGATAATAAAAATCAAGCATTTTGCAAGGCTCAATCAAAATAGATATTCAAAATGCGAAAAAAATATTTCCAATAATCTGAAATGGCAAACAAAAAATTAGTGCACCTCATCAATAATCTGAACAGAAGACATTTCAAAACCAGAAGATAACAAAAAAAACAGAGAAAAGCGACACTCTCAAACGACCCTCACCAAGTCAAAAAAGAAGATATCGGATAAAACTGCATTAGAAGATTAATCTGGCCCTAAGCGTCATCTTCATTTGCAAGATGAGCGGTACTCAAAGTCTGCAATATCCAATGCATCGATCTCCCAACACAAAAATATGACCCAGGCAAGACTGTCATTTGTGGAAAACAGAGGAAACACTTACGGTTATGGGAGAACCAGTATTTAACACTCTCTGCCCGCGGACCAGCCCCTCGGTCCCGTCCATGGCGATCGTCCTCACCATGTTCTCTCCCAGGTGCTGTGCCACCTCCAGCACCAACCGGATTGAGTTGTCAAGCACCTCAAGTGCAGTGAGGATCGGTGGGAGGCCCCCCTCATCGAACCGGACGTCCACAACAGCCCCGATGACCTGGCAGACGCGCCCGATCGCGCCAGCCCCCGTGAACTCGTCGGTTATCTTCCCCCCGGTGACATTGGCAGCCTTCCCGGCAGGCGGCGACGGGGACGGCGCCGCCGCTGCCGTCGCATACTCAAGGGCCCGGGAGAGGAGATAGCCCGCAGGAGAGGGGCGCGGCGCCCCCAATGGCGACCTCGAACCTGGAAATGGCGACCTCGACGGCGTCGGGGAGCGGCGGGCAGACCTTAGCAGGGAGGAGAGGACCCTGCGAGAAGCCATGGCCTTAGGGTTTCTCCGGAGCTCTGGTGCTTGGATCTGATAGTAGAAGGGTGGAAAAGGGGGAGGGTTCTCTACATCAGGGTGTGTAGGATGGCAGACCACAGTGAGCGCTGCGGACTTAAAATTAATTTTAAATTATATTTTTTTTTTGCTGTGAACCCACATCCCTGATGTGAATAACATTAAATTTTCCCGATACTGACTCTTATTATATACATATTAATATAGTTAACCGTTCAATAAATTTCCTTTCGATTTTTCTCAACCAATTATGTTTTATCAAATAAAAATACCATATTGAGTTATAAGTATTTTTGTCCAATTAATTTAGATAAAACTGAAATTAATTTCAATCCGAATAGCATAAAAATTTCCCCACAGTGCCTTATATATATAACTTTGAATATTCTACCAATTTTCCATCCAAAAATTCTCAATTTATTACGGTTTACTTCATTAAAATGCCACATACAATTATAAACATTATTATCCCATTAATTTAGATAGAAGTAAAATTAAAATTAAGTCCGAATAACATAAAAATTTCCCCAGGGACATACATTTAATTGTTCTACCAATTTCCTTCCAGTTTTCTCAGATAATTATTTAATTACTTAATTAAAACGCCATAATAAATTATAAATAGTATTGTGTAATTAATTTAGATAAAATAGATATCGTGCATCACATATTGGACCATATATTATCATAATTTTTTATTTGATATTCGATTAGTTGGTTTCTCAAAGGGAGGGAGAGAGAGAGAGAGAAAGAGAGAAAGAGAGAAAGGGAGTCCAGGTCAGACTGCATGGCATGAGCTTGGAACCGCTCGTCAGAGCTTCCGGTCCAGGAACACCATGACCTGGACGAGCGACGCCCCACAGTGACGTGGTAGACCTGCGGACGACGCCGCCTCTCTCTCTCTGGGGTCACCAAATAACGGTCACCTCGTCGCAGCCTCTATTTCTCCTGCTACGGGGGCCTCTCCGGTCCACCACGTCGTCATCAAAAACCGAAGCTTAGCTTCGGTGTGAGAGAGAGTGTGTGCGCGAGTGCGAGTGCGAGTGCGTGTGCCCCTCCTGCGTGCGTCTGTGCGAGTGCGTGTGCCCGTCCTGCGTGCTTGTGAGTGCGTGTGCGAGTGCGTGTGCCTGTCCTGCGTGCGTGTGCGTGTGCGTGTGCGTGTGCGTGTGCGTGTGCGTGTGCGTGTGCGTGTGCGTGTGCGTGTGCGTGTGCGTGTGCGTGTGCGTGTGCGTGTGTATGTGCGCGCGCGTGTGTGTGTGTGTGTGTGAGAGAGAGAGAGAGAGAGCGAGGGGCAGTCTCTCTCTGATTTTTTTTTCCAGAGAGAAATACTGGCGAAATTACGAGAACAAGATAGAGAGACAGAAGAGAGGGGCAGTTTCTCTCTAAATTTTTTTCAGAGAAAAATGCTGGCGAAATTACGAGAACGAGAGAGAGAGAGAGAGAGAGAGAGAGAGTCGTCCAACTCAAACCCCGACTCCTCGTCTTCCTACTATTCCACCACCTCCTCTTTCCTTCCCGGGGGCGCGGCCCTCTGCTCTTTCTCTCATAGTTTTCCCGGGGAAATCCCCTTCTCTGCACAGCGACGCCGTGGAAGCCTCCGTTGAAGACCCCGCCTTGCCACGGCGGCGGCGGCGGCGGCGGCGGCGGCGGCGGCGCTGCCAACTTAGAGCAGTGGGGGAGTCGGATCCCAGCCAGGCGAAGTCGATCGCCGCCCGGACGGAGTAGACGGGCTCGGGGGGCGACGGAGCTCTCTCGCCGCGGAACTGGTGGCCTCGGAGAATGCGGTTTCGTAGGGTTCCCCCGCCGCGCCCGGCGTCTCCTGGTCGCCGGGGGCGAAGAGCGGCCCCCCTCCGGAACCTCCGGTAAATTCCTAGAACCCCAACGCCGGCCTGCTGCTCATTGTGAGAACAGAAGGGAGAGCGGAAGCCGAGTAGTATTCTGGTGTTCAATCTTCCCTGAAAGATGCAGCACGACGACGTGATATGGCAGGTCATCAGGCACAACCACTGCAGTTTCATGTCCAAGTAAGCCCGACTTTTCTCATCTGGTTTTTAATCCAATCTGCGTCCGATGATACGAAGAGGAAAGTGCTAATTATGGTGCATTGCTTTCGATGCCGGCAGAATCGTCACTGGAAATTTCTGTCGAAATCCGTATAACGTTACGGGAATATGCAACCGGAGCTCTTGTCCTCTTGCCAATAGTCGGTACGCCACCATACGAGATCACGAAGGTTTTGAGCTCCATCCGATATCATCACTCCTTTAGGTTCATTCTCTTTCTTGTACTAGGGTCAGTATCTTCGCGACTTTGATCATTGATTTGTTTATTTCATGGGTAATCGATGATGTACTGGTTTATCTTTGTGGGGTTACTTTGTGGTTGGCTCATATTAAACATTATCAATTGAGACTCGTCATTGATTTTTGGGAACTAGAGCGGTGCTTTGCAACGATTCTTTTGAAAACTCAACGGCTCGCCTCCTGTTCCCTCCCCATTTTTTCACAAATTCCATTTGTAAATGGCTTCATGTTTTCACATACAAGCAACCTCGAACTGTTCCATCGAGAGAAGCCGAAGGGGGATGATTACGTTTATGGGTAGATACTACATAATTTGGGGGTTTTAAAAGCTAAAACAAGGAAACAAAATACGCCTCACTCATTGGGGAAGAAGCTCATAAAGGCAGCTTATTCAGTAGAAAAGATATGCGAAGATAGGCATCGGAAAAATCTTTTGAAAATCTGTTCTCCGAGCTTATTTTTGGAAGATCTTAGGTGCCCTTTCCCTCATTTAACCAAGAAACTCACAAATTTGTTCATAATGTGTCGTATTATTTCTTTCAGCTTGTTCCACGATTGGGTAGCCTGTGAGCATCCTTCCAATTATGTTTTAATTCACTTTTTCTAAAGGGAATGCTTAAATTAAAACGTTTTCCCCAGTGGACTAGAGATATGTCCTTGTTAGCTTTTAGTAAATACTGATCCTTAACCTTTTGGCCTCGACACTCATAAATCCGGTTTCTGTCTTTTGTTTTATGTGCAGGGGTTTTTTATTTGTACATGAAAACTATTGAAAGGGCCCATAAGCCAAATGATTTGTGGGAAAGGATTAAACTTCCGAGAAACTATGAGAAGGCTCTGGAACTTATTGATAAACATCTGGTATTCATCTTTTAGTCTTTTAGAATATTTGATGTGTGGTTGAAGGAATGTCTAGATTGACATATCTCTTATTGAACAGCAATATTGGCCTAAATTTCTTGTTCACAAGAACAAGCAACGTCTCACAAAAATGACCCAGTATCGCATTCGCATGAGGAAGCTGGTTCTGAAAGTGAGGTGTGTTCTCTTTTTCATCTGGTGGTGACATTGGTGTTTTCCCCCAATTTCAATATGATACATCCTCTGATGGGATTATGATTTCATTGTTCATGAGAGACTTTTATTGGGATTTGAGAAACTATTGTTTACTGCCTGTAAAGTAAGACGGTTAAGAAAACATTTTATTGTTTCTGTGATACACATTGATAAGAAAAATTGTGATTGCGCTCGTGCTTTAACACATCATGAGGGCTATAATAGTATTCACATCGTTAAATATCACACTGTGACGCGCTTATAAAATAATGTTATCTGATGCTGAAATCATTCTGTTTCTGTTGCATCAGTTTTTTCTTGGAATCTTAATGCTTTGCCACCATCTCAGTTTCCCAGGCAGCCCGTGGTTGGTGCCTGATTCCCTGACTATCCAGGCTAGCCTTTATTTGTGATGTTCTTCTAGGCAGCCTGGAATATCTGGTTCTCATGTCACTTAAGTGTCGTCCTGTAAGTCAAGATTGCATTGTTTTGTCATAATTGACTGAGTAGGATTTGTTTGCTGTTTATACCTTATGTAGAGGATATTGTAAGCTATCTACCCTGGAAAGATACGGTAGATGACTTCTGCTCCAAATAACACACAAAATTTCACACCTAGCCGCAACATGAAAACTACTGAGAGAGTACAATTTTAAAAATGCGTCATTATACAAATCAATTATTGTCTTTTATCACAGTAGATAGAAGTAGGGCAAGAGAAAATCAGAGAAAATTAAGCGAAGGGAATTTCAAACTTCTTAAAGAGAATCAGAGACCAAACATAAGCTGAAAATTAAATGACGCAGCATTTTTTAAAAAGTAGCAAAAAATAAAAGAGAGTTGCAAATATGATCAACTGAATAATCTTTGATAGTGACTATTTGAGCAAGGTAAAGAATAAGGAAAAAACTTTTTTTTTTTTCTAGCTATTAAGCTCTTGTTTCACACCCCATAGGTGGGAATGAGACTGCTGATGTAAACAAAGTCATCCTGGGTTGCTAGTTAGGTACCAATCCAATGTGTCCAGTATCATGTTTAATGGGGACATCTTTTGTTAGCAACTGTTGGGCATTCTGAAAATAGGTTCTTTTCTGCAATATTCTTGCACCATATAGTCTGCTGATCGTTTTCTCTCTTGTTTCGAGTGCAATTAAAAAATAAATCCCATTAAAAAAAAAGGCCTTGTGAGTCCTATTTGAAGTAGATTTAAGACGTAGGCTTGGACACCCTACCCATGTTTTATTTCTAGTATTGTCCAAAATGCATGCGTACTCTTATTTAGACATCTAGTATATGAAGAGTTGAGGAGATGTTGATGTCAGACACTCTCTAGAATAGTTATTTCCCTTGTGCTTGCCTCAAGCCATATCTACGTTACTCTTGAAAATAATATTTTCTAATTAGAATTATTTTTTGTATTCATTATATGCATCGTTTTATTCCAGGGAGAAGATTGTGACGATGCCAAGAAAGCAGCAAAAAAGAGAAGCCAGAAGGGAAGAGAAAGCCGAGAAGGCTGCAGTCTTGGAGAAGGTCAATATCTCCCATTAACCCTTTAAATTTGTGGTTCTTTCCTCTATGCGCATGCTGATACCCGTTGAGTTTCAGAGCATTGAGAAAGAGCTGCTGGAACGCCTCAAAAAGGGCGTGTATGGGGACATATACAACTACCCTGTTGAAGCATATGATAATATTCTCAATATGGAAGAAATGAAGGTTGCCGATGTAGAAGAAGAGGAGGAAGAAGAAGTACGCTGATAAACCCGCTAAACCCCTCCTCCATCGCCTCTCATTTCCTCTTCCTTTCCCTTTTTGGCCAAATATATGCCTCACGGAATTCCCTAATAATCATGTGAACAGGAACCTGAGATAGAATATGTTGAGGGCTATGACGACCCTGAGGAGGAAGAGGACATGGAAGACTTTGGTGGCTTCCTCCAAGGCGGTTCTTTTGACGATGAGGAGTCTGGTAAGCCGATTTCTTTCCTTCATCACCTTCTGGTCACTGAAAACATTAACGAAACAAAAAACGTTAATGAAAGCAAGCTTCACAAGTGTATACATATAGTTACATTCATGTACTAGTCACTTGCCCATTTTTAGTTTCTGCTGTGGGTTATGCTTTCTACCATTGGTACTGTATGACTGTGAATGATCTTGGTAGAAGATAGAATTTATGATGCATCATTGTTAAAGATATAAATCTTCATATGCAGATGAAATCAGCGATGATGAGGATGATACAGGTAGAATGGATAAGACGAGCTTAAAAAGAAAGCACAAGGATAAGCTCAGAGGGGACACCCCACATTCAAGATCGGGGAGACGGGGGCGGGTGGTCATCGAGGTAATCATTTATTTTTGGTTCTTGCATTATTTATCTTTTGTTTCGTGTAATGGAGATGATAACGCCCATATGCTTGTCTACCATTTTTTTGTTGAATATATTAGTTAGATATAAATGAAAGAAATCAGATTCGTAACCCGAGGATGCCCTGTAAATTGGCTACGGGGTGGACATCGTGAGCCCCGACTGTGTGTAAGTTAGTGAGTGAGTGAGTGAGTGAGTGAGTGTGTGTGTGTGTGTGTGTATGTGTGTGAGAGAGAGAGACAGAGAAAGGAGGGTGCCGCCATCAGTGGGTTTAATTCTCACGACGGCTAATTCTTTCTTTTTCTTCCATTTGGCCAGGTCGAGCACGACGAGGGCGCGGGCGAGAGGAAAAAAGCTCGCCACTGATAATCCCTCAAAGACACAAGTATCTCTCTCCCTCACTCTCTCTCTCTCTCTCTCTCTCTCTCTCTCTCTCTCTCTCTCTCTCTCTCTCTCTCTCTCTCTCTCTCTCTCTCTCTCTCTCTATCTCTCTTGATATTTTTCTAAGTAAAAGGCCTCCACTTTTCACTCTTATCATTTTCCCTCGACCCTTATTTTTGGGAAGCAGAGAGTTACCTGTGGGATGAGCAGTATACCTTCATCTCATCGGCGCCCATGGGACCCACCTCTGGGTGCGAACTTGGGCGTAGTCCCTGTCCGGGTGGTAGAGGACCTCCTGCCTGCGGGCGCAGTTGCACTTGGCGCACATCTTCGCCGCCTACTCTGACGGGTTCTGATACGCGAAAGATTGCTGCCGTCTCTTTCTCGTCTGCGTCGTGGGTTTCTTGACGATCGGTGGCTGGGTGGGGTGGATGGGCAGGAGGAGGGATGGCCGCCTTCGGGGAGGGTGGCCAGCGAAGAGTCAGAGGAAATGGCGAAGTGCATCAAATGCAAGTGCGACCGCAGGCAGGAGTTCCTCTTCCGTCCGAACAGGCCCTGAGCTCCCGTCTCTTCCACGTAGCAGAGAAGAAGATCGATCTGAGTGTGCTTGTCTGTGAGAGAGAAACAGGGCGGGAGATGTATATATATAGATAAAGAGAGAGCGGGAGAGAGAGAATGTGGGGTACGCGCGTCCTGAGCCCGCGTAATCTGGTACCCAGTTTCGCTTGGGCTCAAGTTCGGTCATCTCTCTCTTCCTCCGGATTAAACCCAAGCCCAAACCTGGTCCGAGATTGGGTGGGCTCAGGACTTACGTAGCTCATTCTCTCTCCCTCTCCCTCTCTCTCTCTCTCTCTCTCTCTCCCCCTATCTATTTATCTCTCTCTTGGAGGGCATGAGGGAAGTGACGACGTGCAAGACGGTGAAGAAAACAGGAGGCCGATTTCTGGACCGTTTATCCATTAAAGTGATCTACAAATTTCCTTCCAGATTTTCTCAAATGATTATTTTTACTAAATTAAATACCATATGAAATTACAATTGTTAGTCCGATTAATTTAAATAAAACTGGTTTTTATTTTTAATCTGAATAGCATGAATTTTCCCCCACTTAATTTTTTTATTGATACACACTTACTTATTCTACAAATTGCCTTCATGTTTTTCTCAAATAATTACTTTTACTTAATTAACAGACCATATTAAATTCTGAATATTATTTGCATTAATTTAGTTAAAATAAAATAAATAACAATCCTAATGTGATAAAATTTTCCCACATTGAATTATACATATTTATATATCTATTAATTTAATTATTGCAGAAATTTTATTCCTATTTTTATAAAATAATTAATCTTAATAAAAAAAATTAATTATAAATATTAATCTCCATTAATTTACATAAAAATAAATTAAATTAAATCCGAGTAACATAAATTTTACACCCCAGTGACTTATATACATATTTATAAATTTCATTATTATGTCATTTTCCTTCTAGTTTTTCAAAATAATAATAAATTAATTAAAATGCCATACTAAATTATGAATATTGTTGTCCCATTCATTTAGATAAAACAGATTGTATATATATATATATCGATTGAGCGTGGGCTTCGTAATTTCGGTTCTAGTGAGACCATTACTCGTTAGTCGTCAACCGAACAAGTGGGCTCCGCTTGCCTACTACCGGCCCACAATGTTGCGAACGACCAACGGAAAACCCCACCTCTCTCTCTCTCTCTCTATAGTTACCAAATAACGGTCACCTCGTCGGAGCCTCCATTTCTCCTGCTCCGGGGGGCTCTCCGGTCCACCATGGAAGGCCCCTCGTCGTCAAAGATCGAAGCCCTAGCTCTGTCATCATCATCCCTCTTCCTCGAGGCCTACCGGTCCTTCATCTCGCTCTTCCCCCAGAATTCCTCCCCTCAACCTTCTGTCGTTGGCCTCCTCTCCTCGGGCTCTGTACTCCCCCCCGTGCCGCCGAGCTTCCCTCGGCACAAGCTCATCCCTGGAACTCGCTTCGTCGTGGATGGTTTCCGCTCCCCCGGTGACTTCTCAGTGTCCTACTTCCTCTCCCACTTCCACTCCGATCACTACGGCGGCCTTGGGGCCGCCTGGTGCAGGGGTGTTATCTACTGCTCTGAGCTCACCGCCCGCCTCCTCGTCGATGCCCTGGGCATATCCCCGTTGTTTGTGGTCTCGCTGTCCATCGGTCGGACCGTCCAGATCGACGGCTGCGATGTGACGGCTGTCGAAGCAAACCATTGTCCGGGGGCCGTCCAGTTTCTGTTCAAAGTCCATGAGGATGAGGGGCGGCCGTGCGAGAAGTATGTCCACACAGGAGATTTCCGATATAGCGAATCTATGAAGTCGGATCCATTTCTCTGTCATTTTGTTGGGGCCGACGCCGTGTTCCTGGACACAACGTACTGCAATCCGAAGTTTACCTTCCTATCCCAGGATGAATCTATTGAATATATCGTCAACACAATAGGGAAGATTATGGGCCGAGAAGAGCGTTCCTCTGGTTCTGTATTGTTCCTCATTTCTACTTATGTCATAGGGAAGGAAAAAATCTTGCTCGAGGTTTCACGACAATTAAACTGTGCACTGCATGTAGATGCTCGGAAAATGAAAATTTTGCGCGCTTCAGGACTTGGTGACCCAGGGATATTCACAGAGGATGCCAAGGGTAGCTGCATTCATGTGATTGGATGGAACCTGTTGGGTGAGACTTGGCCGTATTTCCGTCCTAATTTTGTGAAAATGAGGGAGATTATGCTGGAAAGGGGATATTCAAAGGCAGTTGGGTTCGTTCCTAGTGGATGGATGTACGAGAAAAGGAGTCGTGATTTTCCTGTGCGAGTTAAGGACTCTCTTGAGATTCATCTTGTCCCTTACAGTGAGCATTCCAGCTATGAGGAACTGCGGGAGTATGTGCGATTCCTCAGACCAAAACGTGTTATTCCGACAGTAGGGATGGAAGCATCAAAGCTTGACAGTAAGCATGGCCTCTTAATCCAGAAGCATTTTGCAAACCTTGTAAACGAGACAGCAAACAAGAAAGATTTCTTGATGGGCTTCTTCCAGAGGATGAACGATGCCGATGGAAGGGATGAAAATCAGCCGGTGGTCCAAGCCATTGGTGGTGAGGGTGGAATAAAGGATAACAACCACACCTCACGCTCACAGGATCCGAATATATTGAGCAATGATGAAATGGAAAGAAACATGCAAGAGTTGCGAGACTGTTTGCCACCATGGGTGACCCAGGACCAACTTCTCCGTCTGCTTAATGATTCGAGTGGGGATATAATTGAAGCAGTTTCAGGATTTTATGAATGTGAAACAGAATTGTATAAGGAAGCCAATGCAGGCATTCAACCATTTCTTAGTTCCTTGAAAAGCTCATCTGATTGTTCAGCTGCAAGTCCCGAAGTCAAGTCTACACAGAAAGATCCAGATTCTAGCAGTCAACCTTGTTTGGGTCGGAGCAAAAATTTGACCGGAAGGGTACTGGACAGAGTGAAACCCGCATCTCCCAGTAAAAGAGGAACTACAGTCTGCAATAAGGCAAAGAAGAAAGGAAGGGCAGGTTCCAAGTTACAACTGAGTGGATGCAATCAATCTACCATCACAGAATTCTTTGGGAAAATTGTGTCAGACCCCTCTCACAAAAAAGACATTGAATCTGAAGCCATTGGAAAGCATCCTACCAATGGGAAGGGATCACAAGTTGGTTCTGTGAATGAGTTGAATGATTTTCTCCTTATAATCAATGGAGGCATGCCCCGAAATGCTGCAACTGCTTTGTTGGAGAAGACAAGGTGGGACATTAATGCAGCTCTTGATCATTATTACACTGATTGTGTTACAGTAACTTCTGATGATAAGGAGTCAGTTTTGTATAATATGGTTAGTGAACAGTGTGGTAATACTATCTGCAAAACTGAAAAAGAAATCAATTCCTTGGAGGGAACAACAAACTTTCCTTCTTTGGCTGTCAAGGAGATTTCCACAGAAGAATCAGTTGAAGCTTTTATATCTTTGCCTCTCGAAAAGTATTCCCCTGTTGAACATGGTTCGTCCTTCTTCAAACTTGTGATCAAGAGAGATATCTGAACTAGGTTCTCTTGTCCCAACGTTGTAGAGACTTATGTTTGTAAATTTCTTGTATAGCATGCTGGAAAGCTGGTGAGCCTGCACCCTATTTACACTTGGCTCGGACTTTCAATTTGGTTGAGAAAGAAAAAGGCAAAATAAAAACTATTTGTATGTTGTGCAATATGTTCAGGAGGTGAACTGTTACTTCGCTCTCACCTTTTTTTCCATCTGTTCATTTTGAAGTTAATTCTTTCATGCCAATGTGTCTATTAACTTGACTTTTAAACAGCTTACTTGCATTATCACCTGAAGATGTGCTACCTGCTGTTTATCTCTGTACAAATAAAATTGCTCCAGACCACGAAAACATGGTTAGTCACGATTTTTATTCCACCGACTGAAGTTCTTCATTCCTGTTCACTAAATATGAAATTGTTTCTTTTTACATGTGCCAAGGTTCTTGAATATGATCTTCATCTCGCTTGATTTGTTGGTCAGATAGTTTTCATTAAGGTGATTAGCTGATTACAGAAAAAAAAGTGTTTAACTACGGCAGCAAATATGAAAAACCTATAAGAGGTTCCTTACTACCCTCTTTGCTCATCTGAAAAGATTTAAACCGGTAAAATACGTGCCAAACATTCGTCCTTCCTGATCTTTGGTAATGAAGTAGGGTGTGGAGCTTCATCTATCTTCTTGATTTTATAGCATTTTTCCACATGCATTATAGCTTTCAGGGCGAACTTATAAGTCTTTGAATTCATGTTTACATTCTCTTTCCTCTCTGATAACAGCACTTTACTCATATTTGGGACTACCATAATACGACTGATCCGTATGTATGATAGCATCATTATTAGACATGTCTATTAGCCTTATTATGTTAATCTCAGGAAAATAGGCTGGTTATGTTCTTTGAGTATATTACTAGTTGTAACGCCCCACGTGTGTTTTATAATCTTAATGGATATTTTACCTAAAAAGTTTTATAAATTGACGTATGTTTATACCCTTGTATGTCACTGTGACTAACTTCTTGAATATGGCCTTATATACATCTATCCCATCTTGATCAATGCTATGTTAATTTCCTTAATTAGCTCTTACGTTTTGTGACAAAACTGGAGGTTATCTATATTAAAACTCCCAAATCATGGGAAGTTATTCTTTGGTAATAGTTTTCGGCTTAAAATCTAAAAATACTTTGAGAATCTTTCATTTAACTTGTGTTTTTTTAACTTGTGTATCTTTTGTTAAAAATGTTGCAAAAGACATTCAACTTTAGACATTTAGATCTGGCACTTATGAGAGTATCTGAAGAGAATCAGGGGAGTATTAGGGTGATTTTTACTACTCAAATAGTTAGACTGACGTCCTTCTTTCAAATGTCTTAATATATCATGAGTAATCGGTTATTGGCCTGTCGTTTCTTGGTACTATTCTACTTTTTACGTTGATTTCTTTTTATGCTCTCCTCTTTCATGTCAGTTTTGCTTTTTCTTCACATATGCTGTGCACTGAAAATAGTTTACTAAATATGTTAACCTATTTCTTTTGAAATGGTCATGGTTGGCTTTACTTCTCATTATGGTGCAGCCTAATTTCTCTAGGAACTTAACATTGGTGGAGGACTGGTTACGACCGCATTGGAGCAGACGTGTGGTATAAAGAGGTCAAAAATAAGGGAGCTGTACAATGAACTGGGTGATCTTGGTAGCCATCCATATACTAATGGTTTCCTGCCATTTCCCATGGCACATATCTTTCTATTTTGAAGAATCTCGCTAAAGTCAACTCTTCTTGCAGGTGATGTTGCACAGTATTGTCGACAGACACAATCTCTACTGATTCTTCCACGTCCACTTTTAATCCAGGACTTGTTTTCTGTCTTTAAGAAGATAAGGTGAATCTAACGTCCATGAAACTATGATTTATATTCTAATCGTTTGTTTAAATATAATTTTGCTCCGTCTTTCTTCATTTCATTTTAGTTAAAATATATCATTGTTATCTATTAGTTGCCTTCTGAACTTAGAAAACCGATCCTCATCTGGGTTGATGACATATTAACATTATTATTGATTCTGTCCTTGTTACATCATCTTCTACTCCCAATTTTTCCCTCTCATCCATCATATGCTTTGAATTATGCTTCTTTAAAGAACATTCAATCAAATCTCAACTGAAGAAACTGTTCCACACCCTCTCATCTGCATGCAATCTTGGTGGAGGATTAGAATTGTATGAAAGAGAGACATGAAAAACATTAAGACAACATTTTTCTAACTGATCTCTACTTTCGTGGGCAATGGGTTCATCAATAAACTAACTTCGGGCCAAACAGTACTAGTATCTTCATGAATATCATCTTATCTCATTAATGCTTGTCTCGATCCATGCTATCGCAGAACAAAAAATGGGGAAGGCATCATCTTCAACCTATATGACTAACAAAGGTTTAAGGACATCAGTGTGCTGATTTTAATGCTATTCATGAGTGACAACTTTTAAAAACGGATCCAATTCATATGAGTCATCAAATCGTGGCCACACTTATCATTGAGTTTTCAAGCTTTTCACTGGCTGGATTCTGCCCATTGGTCGGTAATTATTCGCATGGTTATTTACAGATATGTCCTCCATCATCTGATCATGACTGTTCTCGTGGAATCTTTCTTATACCATCATTTTGAAATTGAGACACTATTATGATTGGTTGATGATAGTTGATGTGCTTGTAGTTTCTCAGTACCAGAAATCAGATCCGTTTTCAAAAACTTTCAATGAGGCACATGCATGGCGATAGATTGAAATTGTGTACTTAGTCATTTGCCCAGTCATAATTAAATCACATATTTCTTGTCATTCTTCTGTAATGTAACGATAGCCCATTTTCTTCTGTAATGTCGTTTTACCCATCCCTTTGACAAGTTTATCAGAGTTTTTGTTGTGTCATAAAAGCCTTTGCAGTCTTACATTGTCTTCTGGCTTTGAAAAACTTGGTTATGTGTTTGATCTTTCCTCCTTTGAAATAAGATAATAGTCTGCTACTTGTTTTATGCCTACTTGATTTCACCAGTCTAGAAACAGGCAGCGGAAGTCTTACTCGGAAGAAACACCTTATTCTATATCTAATGCGCTCCTGTAGAGAAATGGAAATGAAGTTCCTCGTGCGGACATTGGTAAGGAAGCTCTAAATCGTCTTATATGTCTCCCGCTTTGGCTTTTCCTTTCCCTCAGATGCTGCCAAACAAGTGCATTTGACTGGCATCCTGCTTCTTCTATATCTTACAGAACTGTGCTCTATTTGACTCTTTATCTGTCTTTAATGTTTTGGTTGCTTACAGTTTGGTAGCTTCATTACTTTCATTCACTTTCGAGCGAACTGGGGAGAATTTATTATGTTGCTTGCTCGGCGAGAGTTGATTACTGTTCTGCAAACTAGGAATTTTTTGTACCCTGAATAAAATGTTTCAACCATTAACTGACCATAGATATTGTACTTCTATCCTTCCTGGCTTCTTTTTGGTCTCTGGCAGTCTTTTTCAACCAGCTTATTTTCCTGCAGTCTTTCATATTACCTCCTCTGTTTGATCCACTGTAGGCCGTCGAAGATTCCACTGTGATTTTAAATGGCATTTATATCTTTCCTTTCTCACTGTTGAAAGTTGTCTTTGAGCTAGATATTGCTAGCGACATGGACTGAACTGAAGGAAATCTCTACCCCAGGATAAAGGCCAAAAAACAAGTAAAAATGAAAGGCACATGGGCTGATTCATCTTCTTGTTCCATTGTATAACGCACCAATCACATTGACAGGAAACATAGTCAAGCTTATGTGATGGAGGTTCAAGGCTCACTTGTTTCAGTGCCTGCAATGAGGCGGCCTGCCTTATTTATTGAATCTCATCTGATACTACAGAGATAATCGTGGATTTGTTTTATTATTTTTTAGTGTGGAATCTTGCTTATTGTTTGTTTTTTTATTTTTTCCTTATTTTGATAATGCAATTTATCTTTTTATCTGAAGTTTGAGCCACAATGGTACTAGAATCAGGCATTCATTTGTAAGACTAATGATTGAAAACAACCAGAACCGGGCTGAACTTTGTGTCAGTCAGCCCAGAAGAAGGGTTGCCACCTTGCAGCCGGCTTTGTTCTCCATCTTGACCCTTCTTGGAGTAGATTGATGGCCCTCCAGTTATCCATTCCGGTGAAATTTATGAATTCAATTTTTTTCAATACAGATAACTCTATTATTTGGGTCTAGGTCAGTTTGTCATGTAAGGTTTAGAAAGCATCTTGAGTTTGGGCTCTTGCTGATAATCCTTGGGTCCTTCTAATTCAAGTTTCGTTTGGTTTAACAGCCATCATTTTCAGTGGGTCAAATGGAAGTTCACTGTAACCAGAATCTGGTCCAAGACTTAGACACTTCGTGTAATGATCTATCTGCGGTATGAAGGCTATTACGAGATGAAACATATTGCAATGCATATGTTTGACGTCTCGAAAACCAAGGGAGAGGGATGAAAGGAACAAGAGGAAAGAAAGGAAGAATGAGGGAAACAAAAACTGAACTAACTTCTCTTACGGTGGCTCCTTTAGGTTAACAGGGGTTCCCAATCACAACAGTTGAAAAAGGACTCTGTACTCGAGGACAAAAATGCCCTTGAGGACATGTTTCTAACTAATTCGTTCTTACAACATGAAGCATGTGTCATTGTTAAATGACACCAAGTTACTCTGAGAAAAGAGTTTGCAGCCCTTGGTCCAAATTTTCTTGATCAAGCAAGATATTAATTTGTGACATGTTTATGAATGCCCTCGTTGTCCAACTCTGTTTCTGAATAATTATTCCCCAAAATTCTTTTAAGTTGATGCCCCCCCTGTACACTATTTTTCTCACCCTGGTGGTAAGTCTGTCTTTCGATTAGCAACATGCAAAGTTCCCTCTTCTAATTACCCAAAGCTTTACAAATGAGTGGAACTTGTTAATGGGCCCCACATGTACCCCCGATTATTTTGATATCAGGACAACTTGTCTTCAGTCAAAACTTTCGAAAACTGTTTATAAGGGAATCAGAAAGACTTCTGGTCTGCCTTATTTTATATGGGGACAATAGAAACAAAAATACAAGATGATCTCTAGTTCTTGCGCAATCAGAGAAGAGGATAAATTTGTCCAGCGTTTAAATTTTGTTTTGTTCAGTGGTCGAGCAATTGTTGCGTAGTTTAGTGACAGTTATAGAGTTTGCATTTTACGCATTTCTTTTTCTAATTCAACAAGCGAGAGCCACGAAGCTACTCCAACTTGTTTATGCTAGATGCTCGTCATTCTATTTCAGAGAACTTCTCAAAGTCAATTCACCGCTTTATTTTCTTTTACTACACCCTATTTTTTCTTTCATGTGACATAAACCTATTCATTTTAAGGTCCGGAATTTGCGTATTGGAGCCATGATGAGAACTATACTACCAGCTTTAGCGCAAGCAGTGGTATTGAATGAGCCCTTTTCCTTGCTTCAGAAAGGATCAATAGACAACCTAAAAGTGAAGCTTCAGGTTAATTTTCCCATTTAGCCTGCCTTGATATTCATGGGAGGCATGTTGAATATTGATTTCATTCTCTTAATTATTATATTTTCTGTACCACAGAGATCCTTCTAATGATCTAATTTAGATGAAAATCGCATTTTCCCGTTCAATGAATATGCAGGCTGTACAGATAATGCAGTAGATTGATATTAGCAATTACCGCTGCAGTTGGACCCTATGGATATCAAGAAAATTGATTTCTGATTTTTTTACAGGAAATTTCGTCTACAGTTGCTGAAGCCTATAACATACTTCCGAATTTGGTATGTATTTCAACTCTACCTTCAAAATGCACTACTCTTATCTACTACCTTGTCGATGGCGATTCCTTTCATTCCTTAAATGTAGATAGTTTCCACCTATTCATTACAATAAAAAAATTAATTAAGAGATACCCAAGTATATGAACATCAGTTCTCACAAAAGCTATTTATACAAGAACGGGGTGTAGAATCGTCTTTGTGCCAAAGCTCACAAAATGGTAAAGAGACATCCTTACAAAACACTCAAGCCCATCTTTTCTGTTGCAAAAGAAAAAGGAAAGACTATCACTTGAGCAGCTTCTGCATTACGGCTATGATTTTGTTGTTCCTCTTACGAATTGAACCCCAAGGTTAATACAAAAGATGAATCAAAAAGTTAAAAATTACCTTTGAGTGCCCTGTTCATCTTTCAACCTCTCTGTACCTGCTCCTAGCTGTTGGAATGTGCCAGCTAATGTTTAGCATTGTGAGAAAGTTATCCCAGATCTGATGATAACAGCATCTTGGGAATGAGAGATTTATGGTTCCCTCCTCTCCAGACAAGTTACAAGGCGTGGCGTGTCTCTTATTTTTCCTCCCGGCTACCTTTGCTGATTCTTTCCCTTCTTCTCTTTCTCGGACTTAATCTTCCTTTTAAGCTTTTATCTCGTCTTCTTCTCTTCATTTCCATTCTTTCTGGCAACTTTTCCTTCCATATTCTTCAGTTGGTTTCTGAAATGAGGATGTTGTCTGAGACGTGCTCAGACTTTGCTGGCTCGTCAGGTGTAGATCCCCTTCATCATCTTGTAGCAATCCAGTTACTTCACATGTGAAAGTCCGTTGTGGACATTCTTCTGGCGAAGCTTTAATCAGTCTTTGTTAAAGGAGATTCCTTGAGATTATCAATCTCCCTGGAAAACTATACCTATAGTGAATGATTGCAAGATAACTTGATCTCAACTCATTTTTGAGGCATAGATGAATTTGATGAGATCCTTAAGAAATTTCTAGATCCATTAGAGTTGTACAATAAACCTCTGTTTGTCTACTTTCATCCAGAGTAAAGTGTCACATGAGGAAGAGAACTAGATCTTTAAGATTTCACATAGTCCTGCTTATTAAAGTATCTATGCAGTTAAACAGGCATGAAATTTCGTTAAGATTTTTGAAATGACTTCTGCTTCTGCTGACTCGCACAAGTCTGTTCAATTCTGGTATATAAGAGATGAGTTGAGCTTTTACAACTTTTATGTGCCTTCAATCAGACCTGGACCTGGGTAAACAGTGTAAATCGCTATTATTCTGGAACGCTAAAACCTGTATACATCAGGGGGCAGAAACACTTCAAATGCAATGACACAAATAATATTTTGCATGTTCTGTGACTATTAGGTTATGAATCTATTTAATATTATGCAAACAGGATTTGCTTGTACCTGCGCTGCTGAGCAGAGGGAGTGATTTCTCATCTAGTACCTTAGAAATGGTACCGGGTTCACCTATTTTACCCATGCTTGCTAAGTAAGTGCATTTCTTCAGTAATCTTTCTCCAATAACTTAAAATTCTGACGTTCCTCTGGGTTTCAGAATTGCAAATGGGGTCCCTCAAGTTCTGAAGTTATTCAAGGATAAGGCTTTTACATGTGAATACAAGTATTCTCATCCTTCGAATCTTCGTTTGACTTGATCTTTGATTAGTTTTATTTGGGGGTATAGATTTGTTAGCTCTTTGGACCATGCAGTTATTGCTTAAATAAATTATAGCTTTATGAATTTTTTTTCTACTTAAACGTGGACATGGTTCAAATTAATGTTAAAGCAAAATGATCGTTATCTGACAAATTATGGAAGTATTCGTGATTTTAATTTTCTATTCTCACGTCCTATATTGTCATGACCTTCTTTCCTTATGTATACGTCGTCATTGGTGATGACTTACTGTTGCTTCTTTGAAACAGCATTTTTATCAATGATTTGAAATAGAACATTAGTCCCTTGGTCTGCGTGTCACCTTAGGTTTTTAGCATCTGTATTCCCTTTCAACCAAAAGATATCTTAATGTGTTATCATAGTTCTGAAATGGCTGAGATGCCAATGGAGCTTCGCTTGAGCATTCTTCCTATGATAGGTTTCCTTTCCATAAATATCTCTTACTTAAGCACGTAAGGCTACATTTCACTTGCCTTACTCACCCTATCGTTGTTTTTTTTTTTTTTTGTTTGCTCATTATTCTACTCTCCCAGAGTAGACTAATGAGTGAAAGGATTCAGATTAATTTATGACCATTTTCTCCAAAGAACACCAATGAAGTCATTCTAATTACCGCTGTTAATTTCCTCGTTTCCCTTTTAACTAAGTACCTAACCTTCTCATTAAGTTTCCAGTAATCCTGATAGAATGCACATGTACAAGGTTTTAGTAACTCACAGTATAGTATGAGAGATTTTCAATATATCTACTAGGCTATGCCCTGTGAAGCCATTCCACGTCATGATGTCTCCGCATCAAACATGTATGCTTGTAAAAATGGCCATTCTTTGTTAACTTCTCTTTGATGCATAATGCAAGTAAGGAATGAATTTGCAGGAAAATTTTAAATTTTATTTATTGGAGTTCTTTAGAGAAAATGGACGTCATAAACTGATTTATATTCTTTTTACACTTTTATTAAGAATCTGAAAATGAAGCTCTATAATTTATTTCGTTCACGAACACGGCTTATCCTCCTGTCTGTGTATTGAATAGTATTTTAGCCCATACATGTTTAAGTTTGATTGGTGTCTTTCCTTTCCCCAAAAGGTGCGATATAATTTTTCTAATGATTAACACAGCGAGAATTATTTTTTATTACATAGTCCCTTTATTATGCGTTCCAAAGTAGTTTATGCTGCCATTTATGTTATGCTATTTTTGTTCAGGTATGATGGTCAACGAGCTCAGATTCATAGATTGGCAGATGGATCTATTCGTGTATTTTCACGAAACATGAGTGAAACAACATCTAAATTTCCTGATTTGGTTAATTTAATCAAAGAGTTGTGTAAGCCTTCAGTGAGTACATTTATTTTGGATGCTGAGGTAAGTCTCAATTGGATTGAATTTTCCTGGTCAAAGTTTATGTTTATTATTGTGTTGGATTATCTTTTAGTTTTTGTCAAATTATCTTTTCACTATCTAATTGGGAACATTTATTCTTCAAGGTTGTTGGAGTTGATAGAAAAAGTGGTAACAGACTCATGTCTTTTCAGCAATTATCCTCTAGAGAGAGGGGCGGCAGAGACTCTGCCGTCTCATTGGAGACTATAAAGGTGTATTGTTTTCCTTCTCTTTAGAAGTTATTCTCATTATTCTTCTAATTTTCTACCTTCACCCTTATGAGAGATGGCCTGAAGCATTATCAAAGTCAACCACTTTCCTTTAATTTTCATATCCTCTGATGTAGGACCTCATGTTATTATTTTTCAAAATATTATTGCCAACTTACTAAATTTTAAAAAAGTGATTGTTTTGTGAATCAAAAGTTCCAATTTACTGTTGCGAATTCATCGAGAGTTATTAAGCAGTGATTACTGCATTATTGTTTCAATGGAGTTTTCATAACCCGTTCAAAAAGTTTCATGTGGCTTACAGATCATCATAAGGTAAATGGGGGAAATTGAAGGGGCTTCTTTGGGAAGTATTTATGACATCGCCCTAGACATTATTTTCTCCTTCTGGATTGACGTCCTCAGAGCGAATTAATGTTGAAGGGAAAAAAATGCATAATAGCAGAAAAGATGACTTTTATGCATCTAGCAGCCTACCACAGCATGTTTGGTTTTTATTCTTCAAAGGTCCTCATGTTCAATTTGCTCAGGTGCACTCACTAACATTTTTCAGTGATAATATCTTCTCTGTCAAGTAGTTGTTGGAATTTTGAGGGAGCTACTTGAATTTTCCCAAAGTGGTTCTACTAACTATTAAAAAAAATGATTTCAAAGTATGAAACGGTAATGCATCAAAAACCAGTTTCTCGATGACTTATCTACCTATTGAGCTCTGTCACACTAGAAATACCGGTTTTGCGAACTAATTCATGTTAATATTGGCTGATTCCTTGCTCATAAACGCTAAAATAGTGTAAATCGATGAACTACAGATCTAATACTCTGTTTCTTTGACGGATGGAGGTTACTTGGGGTCGTGAAATTTTTTGCCACCGTGGAAATAAAGAGATGAAAAATGAGTTAAAAAAGGAACAAAAAAGATCAAATGTGCACCACCTGCTGCTGATGAGGAGCAGAGGAAGAAGAGGAACCTGTGGGGACTGGTCACTGCATCCAGGCATGTTGGACTGTGATGGGCACTGGAATAGATGGAGCCGGACAGTCATCTTTTCTACGTCCTTATCGGAAATGCTGTACCTAGGAACCTTATACTTAAAAATATTTCATTCAATTTTTTATTATTTTGAGCTGAACTGCTGGTTTGTTTTGCAACAATGTCTCTGACTCAGATGCATTAAAAAAAACTGGCCGGAACTTGTTGATTTCTCATCTAATCCAAGGATACTAACTCCCTCAAAAGGTTCTGGACTAGAAACCTTGAACCAATGGTGATCCCATGTTAATTGTGATGGTTTTGGAAGGAAACATATCTTGGGGATGCCAATTTTTTGCGTTCTCGTACTTGTCTCGCATTATAGATTATCAGACGTCATTTCCTTAACAGCACATGCTATAGGTGCGTACAGACAGCTATATGAAACCAGATTGTCGGCTGATTCTTTGCCTTTGCATTGCGTATGTCAGAGCTAGAGAATATTTTATCAGGTTGAGATGGTGCACAAATTGAATCAAAATCGCTCAATGAACATCTGGGTTCATTCAATAGGTGAGAACATGTTAGTTTGGATTCTGACAAACACTGGTCAACCTTTGTTTTCGTATTAAACCAGCCCAAACCAACTCTTTCTTAGTTTCTCGAGTTTCTAGGGCTTGTATTAACGTTTTTGTATTGATTTTATTTTAAATAGATCCCCTTTTGGGACATCATTTTATTAATTCTATGTAAAATCTTTTTATTATATCTGATTTCAGACATCTCGTAGGATGGTGATCCTTGCCTGTCTCCACAGTCCAGCTTGGTCTGGGCCAGATTGAGTCCCTACCTTAAACAGACTCGTTTTAAACGGGTCTTAGGAAACTATTTAGAGAATATTTTTTCTAGGACTAAAAGATAGAACTTAATTGACCTAAAACATGCCAAACCAGTACCCTACTTTTAAGTAGCAAAAATAATTTATTGACCTGAACTTATTATCATTCGCTGTTTGTTAATTGGTACAATATAGTTTCAAATGTGTAGTTGAATGAGAGAGTGTTTTAATAATCGTCTGGTTTGACTGGAATGAACTGCTTCGGATTCCTTTTTCGGGATCTTATTCTCTGACAAGATCTAGTGAGCTTGATCCCCGGGATGCATAGCGCACCTGCTTCAGATGCACAAGTGCACTTTTATGTGGATCATAATTGTACGCAGCTGATGCTATTATTCGAGGTCGAGTTTGTGATAAATATACATAGAATTCGATTTCTCCACTAAAACTAGTTTTGCAAGGGTTGATGCTGACACCATATCAGCGATAAGATTGGACGGCCAATTTTTCACACTATATCACAAACATCTCGGGCTACTTTAGGATCAGATGGTGCCCTTAAAGTATCCGGTATAATGTATCATGTAAGTTTCAGTTTAAGCCCACTCCTAACACGACAGATCTGATCAAAATAGATCAAAAGTATCAGTGGGCCGATAGAAATGTTGGGTCCACAGGTTCTCAGGGTGCTCATCATCTCTCACCCACTCTCAACCAGATCATTATCTTCTTCCTTCCTGCCTGCCTTCTCATATTTTAGACTCTTGTTGTTGGTCCAAGTTCAAGCCCAAGCTGATTAAGGGATCAGGGTCATCTTTAGGCTAACCACTCTCCTGCGTTTCTCATTTGCTGAAATCCTTCATAAAAATGTGGCAATCATAATGATAAATTATTGCAGAATCAGTAATGAATCAAATCAAAATGTAAGGGACCCAATCAGGAGGCGACATGGATGTAAGCTGGCAATTTCCATGCATTGCTTCTGCTAAGAAGCTGCAGCTTTTATTTTGTGATGGCCCTGTACATAATTATGGATGTGGATCAATCTAAAATGGGGATGAGAAAGGGAGATGTAGATTTCCTGCATTAGAGGTACCTATTCTATTGTGTGCTGCTTTAATTTAGTCAAGTACTGCATCCAACAATGCTTCTTTAATGATGGGAGAATTACATATTTATATTCAATTGTCTCCCACCAATTCTACTCCAAAATTAGTGTTTATTCTTACATAAAGAAAGTTCAAATAAAAGCAATTTATCTGACCCTTTCATTGATTAAAATGGCATTATTCCTATCACATCAAAATATAAAAACTCATAAAATTTTCCTTCAAATATTCATCTTCGTATCTATGGAATTGTTCTGAGTACATGTCAGTCATCACATGCGCAACCCAAATGTACAAAATATCTGCATAAATACCTTTGCATCACAGGATTGATGAATCATACTATCTTTTAAAGTACTAATAAGAGATCCTATCTCAGTGGTTGCGCTGAATGACATGAGGAAATCTCAACTTCGATGCCATCATTGATGAAACTGATACTATCCCTTATAGGCCTTCTCCAATCTTCTCTTCTGTGCTTATCTTACCCCTCATTTCTCCTCTTAATTCCTATTTTTACCTTGTTTTGTCCTCCGAATTTTTAAAAAATATAAAGGGGTGCCTCTTCTTAGTCACGTAATGCCATCTCATGGCATGATTCCAATAATGCAAAAGGTGGAAATCAACATGTTCCCAAATAACAATGACGGGAATTGTTCTTTTATCGATGTGTTTGTGTTCTGTTTGACACCGGCAATGAACTTTGCTTATATCGATTTGTTTTCTACCTGTTTCCTGTTCTCCAACGTCACATATTATATGGGAATGTAAAAACGTTGTCATCATATCTTATGTGATTTTGTTTACTGCATCTGATATCCCTTCTTTTATTATGTTTCAGAGGAAACGAACTAACTATGCTCTTCTTCATGCAGGTTGACATTTGCATCTTCATGTTTGATATCATGTTTTATGATGGAAAGCAGTAATAGTCTAACCACTGATACTTAAGTTAATTGAACGCTTACAAGGATTTACTGTTGCTATTTTGTCTAGTTAATGTGACTGAAAAATACAGTTACCCGCTTTTCTCCATGGTGTGCTCTCAGATATTTATGCATCGATTCTGGGTTCTTCTGTTTCCGAGACACCAGTTAACTAAAAATGTTAAAATGGGTGTAATGTGTAGAAGATTTGAATCTGATCCGGTGCGCTGACAGGTAACCATAGTGCCCCTGGAGAGAAAAAACTTATATTATTTGATAAAGGAAAAATTCTCTTACAGAGTAAGCGGGATCTGGAAGGTTCTAGGCACAAAATTAATACTACCAAAAACTTAAGGTAAACTAGACAGTATATTAGACATATTCCGACAACAATATGTCAAGGGATGACAATGTTTGGTCTAATCATGTATCACCATCGTTCTACTAACTGAGGTTTTGTCGTCTTATGTATAGGCCACTCTATGAGTTTATGGCAAAAAAAATTCCATCCTCTCGCATTTCCTCTTTTCCTCATTGAAGACCTCTTTTATCCTGATAAAAATTTAGGTCCTCTTTTCCTTTTTACATGGACAGTACCACATTTTTACGGAATATTCAAATGAAATGGGGCACAAGTGCCCATTGTCATTACACTCCATGGCATATCCAAGATGTCAAAGATCATGCTCCATCCTAAGTCTCTCAATATCATATTGGATGAGTAACAGCGCTTCAGGAGCACCACTTGACTCTGACTCGAGGTTCATTATTATCTCGTAGAGGTCCGACATTTGTATTGTCAATGATATTTAAGGTATTTTATTGAAAATCTTACCTAGGAAATTCTTATCCTTAACGTGCGTCCCTTCGTTTGCAGCCATCAGAAATGATGTTTCACCTCCTAACAAAGAAGCCTAACCTCTAGGAAATGGTGTTACTTTATACAATATCCTTGGAAAGTGGGAATGAAGCCAATTTCCTTCTTGTTCCTGGGGAGAATACTTTTGAGTTTTGATTATTACAAACATTAAGTCTTACCACTTTTTGTTATCTGATCTATCTTCCCTGATATCACCATAAGCTTATGTATCCTTGTTTGTGGACTCTAGGTTGTTATCTCTTCCACTGCGCCAAAGGAGAAAATGTATGCATCGTCCACTTGATCACGTTCCACTTTTTGCATTGGATTATGGATCTCTAAAATCTTCTCTTGTTAACTATCCAGATCTGGAAGAATTATTTCATGAGAAACCGGGTTATCTAGAACACGCCAGGGAAATTATGGTAACTGCATTTTCTTACTTCATTTTAAATCCTGTATCTTGAAATTGTAATAAATACTGTTCTGGCAGATTGAAGCAGCTGAGGCAAGTTTTGATGATAAAAACACGCTGGCTAAGATGAATTCCTTTCTCGAAGGTGCATGTAAATCTTCATGTGAAGGAATCATTGCAAAATCTTTAGACGTCAATGCTGGATATGCTCCATCCAAGCGTTCAGATGCATGGTTAAAGGTGTGTACAAGACTGCTTACACTGTGGCGAACATTATTGTTCACGATTTTCTTTTTTGTGATTCCCCTGTTCAGGTCAAGAGAGATTATGTGGATGAATTAGGAGACAGTCTTGATTTAGTTCCAATAGGAGCTTGGTATGGCAACGGGAGGAAAGCTGGATGGTATAGACCTAAGAAGTTGTGTTATAATTTTACTACCGTCAAACCATTCTTTATTTGAAGGAATTATTTCCGTGCTGCCCATTTCAATCTCGTGTTTCAGGTACAGTCCGTTTCTCCTGGCGTGCTACAAGCCCAGTACAGAAGAATTTCAAAGTGTGTGCCGTGTCATGTCTGGTTTCTCAGATTCTTTTTATATCGAGGTAAGATACTATCTACTCCTGAATGTTAGGTTTTCTCTGAAAAGTTATGGGATCCGTGGGAATGGGAAGTAGCTAAGCTGAGCGTGCGTGCATTTAGTATTCATTAATCAGAAATTACAAACACTTGATTTAATCTATGGAAAAATGGGGAAAAAGGTAATTCAGCCGAAGAACAGATTCATGAACGGTAATCACGGTTTTTTTCCCCAATCGCTAGAATGGCACCATTAATTTCCGTTATTAATCATTTACGCATTGTTTGACACCCCTCGAGCACCCTGTGACTCATTTACTTAGGCCAATGTGGGTCATTCACTAAGCTCCAATTCAATCTTGGCATCTGAAGGAACAGGCACGAATGCAATATCTTCTCAATGAAGATTACTTATGATTCTGATTTTGAGATTATCACCGCATTGTAAGTCCTCAGGCCCTTGATTTAATTATTTTCAGATGAAGGCCTTCTTCTCGGGTGATAAGATTTTGTCGAGGAAGCCCCCTTATTACCTGACAGACGAGTCACCTGATGTGTGGTTTCCTCCAGAACTTGTGTGGGAAATAAGAGGCGCAGGTACAAGAACGCCGGGCCCATTCTATGCTAAATTTGTCGATCATCAAACCCATGTGTCTCTGACCCCTCACCGTACTACTCCACCAGACATGACTATTTCTCCAGTTCATCATGCTGCAATCGGGCTGGTTCACCCTTCCCGGGGCATCTCAATGAGATTTCCTAGATTCATCTGCTCTGTGCCAGACCGAAGACCAGAGGATTGCAGCACCGACATGGACATAGCTGACATCTTTGCATCCCAGACGAGGAAGATGGATGTGAGCCTGGAAGAGTAGAGCTCGCTCTCATCTCTCTTCTATTATTTTGATTTACTCAACTATATATAGATAACTTCCCACTCAATTTTGCCCCTGGCTATTCCTGGTAAACCTTTTTGCTAGCTTCAACCTTTGTTTATAATAGCCTTGGTTTTATTTTTTTCTTATTCAGGGGGAAATTTTAAGTACAACGGAATAGCCTGTAATTAGAAACCCTTCTCCTCTTAACCACCCTCTCTGTTCATAGCCCTTTTCTTAATTTTTTTTTGTGCCAGTCAATTTTTTGGGGGGGTGGAAGAGAAATGTAAGCAAGTGGGCATGGACCTGCTTATTGGGCCTAGACTGCTTGGTGTTTGACAGCCTTGTAAGCAACTGTAAGAACTCTTTTTCATGAGTTTTACCTCAAATTTTCCTTGAACATAAATGTTCTGTAACTGAAGATATCCCCTTATTAGAAGATACGGCAGGAATCAATCACAGACCTTATTTTGCTCAATGCTTCAGTGTATCAGGGAGCCATTATTCAAGGTGGTGTCTGGAAAAGGTAAATACCGTTCTTCCCAGAGTTGTTCTAAACTTCCTTACGCTGAATGTTTTTATCAGTGATTTTATTTTCAGGGAAGAAAAAACGAAATCTTCAAACTCCTGTGTTTGTGCTTTAAAGGTATGGAGAAACTATATGGGTACTACCATTATGTCAATTTGTAATCTTTTTTTGAAGTCGTTGCTTGACAAGAAATTACTGATCTTGATGATGCATTTGTTGGCAATATCTTGGAAATCTCAATGCCAGTTTTTACTAAACTTCCACCTTATTTTTTATTAGAAATTTCTATAATGTCCAATGAAAACGTAATTATACCATTATTTTGTTAGCTTTTCTTCTTACCTTGTGTGTTATTGAATGTATTAATTCTGTCATGAGTCAACCTTCTCAAAAAAGGAATTTTTTATGACAACATTCATAGTGTACACGCAACAGAAAGGGAGGACACGTGCAAAGCACTCGGAGAAACTTCAGGACAGTTCCACAGATCAGATGACTCAGATGAGAATGACTGAGGATTAGAAATGGAGTGCTGAGGAACATGATGACTGACTAGGGCAGAGGATCCTCCTGAACCCCATCCACAGCTTACTTTTCTTTTTCTCTCCTCCCATTCACTCCGACGTCCCTACCTCTACTACTTTGTTGCCGGATAACCTGGTCAATATAATTTGGTTCCCACCCAATTCTCCTGATCTGATCCTTCTAAAGAGGATCGTATCATTGGGTATCACAGCCAGCAATCCTGTGAACACACAGCATGGCACTGAAAGTGGAAGACGCCCGATTCAAAGCTCTCAAAGTAGACAACCAAAGTCTAAGAGTGAATCAACAGAGAATAGCTGAAGATATGCAAAAGTCATGAGAGGAATTAACATATCTGATATGCCAACTTTTATAGAACATGCAGCATTTTCGACTTATAGTATGTGTTCATCTCAATGCCTTGGAAAAAACTGATATCTCTAATTAATAGATGGCGGCACCATTCTATCAAGTTCTTATGGAGTATCAACTAGAGGTACAATCCTCCACTCGTCCCCAAGAAGCTTCACCCAGCGAGCCAGCCAGCCACTAACCATCACATTGTCCAACTCGTCATGAAAGGTGAGATACCAATATTTTGAGGTGAAAATCTGGAAGGCTGGCTATGATGTATCGAGTGATTTTTCAAGTCAAACAAGATTGACAAATGAGATCAACTGTATTATGAAAGATGAATGGTATCCTTTCAAAAATTGGCATGAAATTCAGGATACAATTGGGGGAGCGTTTTGGTACAACTACCATGGGAAACACCTTTCACAGGTTTTTAAATAATACGAATGTCTATCTTCTGACCTTCTAAAACTTCATATATCAAGGGTTTAAAACCCAAAGACTAAGCAGAGCTGGCTCTCATGAAATTAGTCTCATTGATGAAAATTATGGATGCCTCAATGGAGGCAAAACAACGAATTCACAACCTACAGGCTGCATGAGAACATCACTTGACAAAGTATATGTACTCCATTTAGAGTTGTTGACCACAGTTTCTCTTCCTTAATTGTGATAAAGTTGGAAGTGCACTTCCTTAAGATGGCATCCCAAGAGCAACACCCCAAACTTCTTGTGCAATAGGGTACACCAAAGTCATTGTGAATAGGGTCTATGCATCCGTTGTGATAAAACATTTGGCTTGGGACACCTTCGTAAGAAGCAACTTCAGATATTGATAGTTCACAAAGATGATCAATGACCCAATGACTGGATTTCACATGACTCCAACACTAACAAGGAGAGAACTACATAAAAATGATATTTATTCACTTGATAGGTGTGCCTCAATTCAGTCGTGAGACTCATCTAGTTGATACCCATGGAAATGAAAGGAAATGTTCAAGGATAAGATGTTACAATTTTGATTGATTTAGGTGTGACTCATAATTTTGTGTGGTTATTATTACATGCACAACTTAATCTACCTCTTTGCAAAGTAATGAATTATGATATTATCATGGGTAATGGCTAGTCCTTACAAGGAAATGGTCTTTAAAAAGGTATCTTCATAGAGGTTCAAGGTTTAACCATCGTATAAGATTTTTTGCTTATTGCTTTGGGAAGTACATATATCATAAGATGTAGCAGTTGGGTTTAGTGAGATGGATGAATGTGCATTGGGGAATGTTGGTCATAAAGTTCTTGGAAAAAAGTGTGATCAGAACACTTAGAAGAGACCTAAGATTGTCTAAATTAAGAGTCTCACTTGTATGCTAGAAAGAGTTATTAACCAAAAGCCACTTGTCCTCCTCGAGCTACATCAAGTATAGACACAAGAGATAATGGGGTGTGGCTCTATTATTACTTCTATCACTTCCCCTGCATGCTCTTATTTTCAAATAAGATGAGATCATTTGATTACCATAATCCCAGGCATGGGCCTTATGATGTACAACTACACCCCTACTCTTATTTTCAAAAAGATGAGTTTGAGAAGCTAGTCCATGAACTTATGTTGATGGGCCTTATGCAACCATCACATATTCCATATACAGGCCCAAATATATTAATAAAAAAGGACAACAGATGAAGGTTTTGCATTGATTATCAGGTTTTAAATAGGGAGACAGTTTCAAAGAGTTATCTTATCTCCATCATTAATGAATTGTTTGACGAGTTACACATTGTGAGTATCTATTTCAAATTGGATTTGAAATCCAAATTTACTAGATTCGCATGAAAGAGTCAGATATTTTGAAAAAAAAAGTATTTAAAACCTATGATAGGCATTATGAATTTATTGTTATAGCCCTTAGGCTGTCAAATGTACATGTGAAAGTTCAATCTCTTTTGAATGAAACTATTTACACTTATGTTCAGACATTTTGTGCTGATCTTTTTTTATGACCTCTTGGTTTATAGTTGCAATAATTAGGAGCATGAAGAACACATGACACAAGTTTTTTATATTCTATTTACGAATAATCTTTACCTCAATCTTAAAAAGTGTTAGTTTGCCCAACATTGTATTTGGATATCTTGGTCATTGGATCTTAGAAGAGGGGGTTACTGCTGATCAAGGTAAGATTTCTACAATGCTTGACTAGACCCACCGAAGAATGTCATCAAGCTGAGAGGATTTTTTTTTTGGGGCTTACAAGATTCTATAGAAATTTTTTAGCCAACTACAATTCTATTGCATCCCCCCTTACTCACCTACTAAGGAAAAATGCTTATAACTATAGTCTAGACACTCAAATAGCGTCATCTGACTAATGTAAAAGGCAATATCAACTATCCTGGTGTTATCTTTACCTAGTTTTTTATTACCATTTGTGTTGGAAACAAATGGCACGAGTTATAAAGTGGGAGTGGTTCACATGCAATCAAGAAGACTAGTAACTTTTATAGTCAAGTCCTTCCTTACGGGAACAAATTCATGTTAGCTTGTGAGTGTGAGATTATTGATATTGTGAAAGTTATACAAAAGTGGCATTATTACATGATTCATCAAACTTTCACCATTCAAATCGATAAATATAATTTGAAGTATCTCCTAGAATAATGGCATGTACACCTACAATATCACAAATGACTTGGATAAAAGAGGAAGACTCAATGTAGCAGTCAATGCCTTATCTAGGGCTTCACCTCTAGTTTACTTGGTTGGAACCTTGGTTTTTAAATCAAAAATATTAGATCTTGTTATTTTTAAGAAAGAAATCTTGTAAGACCCATAATTAAAGTGCATTATGGACGAATTAGTAATGGGCTTTGACACATCCTCATTTTTCTTTGCATCACGTGACATTATTATATAAGAATAGATTAGTGATTCCATTTTTGTCAACACTTTTTCATCTCTTATTAAAGGAATCTCGTGACTTACTAGTAGGAGTTCATGGTTAGTTTCTCAAAACATACAAAAAGCTATCATAGGGTGTGTAATGGAAAGGTATGAAGAAGATGATCAAGTAGTTCATAGATGAGTGCTACATCTGCCACATAACAAGACCTTATCCTTATCCCTAGCAGGCCTCTAGCAACTATTACCAATTGAACATTAGGTATGGGAAGATTTTTCCATAGATTCTATTAAAGACTTACCATGATCTAATGATTTCAATACTATTCAAGTTATGGTATCTCAGCACAACAAATATAGTCATTTTATTCTATTGAAATACCTATTCACAAGACAACACAATATATTTTTTTTGCAAAAGAGATCATTCACTTACATGGTCTACCTAAGTCTACTGTACATGTTCGTGACAAGGTCTTTGTGGCCGTTGTTTTGTGTGAGTTGTCAAAATTGCTAGGCATTCAGCTTCAAATGACCTCTTCTTATCACCCTAGTCCAATGGACAGAAATAGGTCATCAATAGATCACTGGAGACTTCTTGCATTGCCTTGTTTCAGATAAGTCCAAAGGACTAGAGCTCCTAGTTTTGTCCTACAACACTATGCACCATTTTTTTATTAAGATGACTCCATTCAAAGTGGTTTATCGGCATAATCCGTCCACAATCATCAACTATGGGCCATTTCTTTCTCCCCTATCAACTATGGATCAACAAGTACTTGAACGTGAACACATCCTCCACTTGCTCAAATCACATCTTCTATAATTTTCAGAGTCATATGAAATGCAAGGTTGATCATCATCATTGCCAACCGAGTTTCAAATAAATGATAGTGTCTATCTAAGTTTGTGCCATTTCAAGATGAAATCTCTCACTTACAAGGTAAATGAAATACATTCTCCCATATTTTTTGGTTCATACAAAATTATCTCAATGATTAATTAGGGTACAAGTTGGATCGTTCCACTTACCTAGCAATACATATGATATTTCACATGTTGCAGTTATATCGGGTCGTAATATCTAGTGATCATCATCAAATCTTACATGTTTCACTAGCTCTACATATGGGATGAAAAATAAACCTTGGGCGATGAAGAGAGAATGGACAACACTTACTGGCCTAGAAGTTCCCATCCAATGCATAGATTTACCATATCACTAAGCTTCATGGAGTTGGTTAGTAATATTATTTGCCAATTTCTAAAATTTCGCATAGAGGGCCAAGTGAATCCAGAGGGAGAGAGTATTGTTATGACCCCATGGATAATGTATGCAAAAGAAAGGAGGACAGGTATGAAGCACTAGAGAGAAACTTTGGGAGACTTTCACATATTAGACGGCTTAGATGAGAACTAGAGTTCTGAGGAAAAAAAATAAGGGAGGGAAGTGAGTTAGGGGGTCTTCTCACATCCATCCCAACCTTACTTTTCTTTTTTTTTCTCTTCCCTTATTGGCCTTCTAGCAGAAATTATCACTTTGATGCCCCTACCTCTACTACGATACTATCAATTAACTAGATCAATGTTATTTTCCTTAATCCGATCCTTCGAAAGATCATATAAAAAAAATCATTTTTATTTGTAGAACTTATACAAAGATTTTAGCATGTAATGACTATATTTGTCCAATGTCATCATTCATGATCAAGTGAATTAGCCACTGATTGATTCTGATGACTAAAATGAATATGGAGTTTGGAGGAACTTTTAATTCAAATAAAATAAAATTATATTGATTAATTTATACCTTTATTTAAGAATTAGATCATTATCAATATTTTCCCATCTTTATTAATAGAGTAAGAAAAAAAATAATTCCACTTTGAGTAGTACGCAAAAAAAAATTGATTTCAAATGAAGATTTTAGCCTTAGAAAATATGAATGATGATTGCTGAAAGTGCAAATATTGAAGCACATCTATGTTTCAACTTATTTAAACTCTCACTATGTCTACTAATTAAATATAAGGACGTGACAATACAGCTTGGTAAAATGTGCAATTGATCCATCACTTGAATGCATAGATATTATCATAATTTTTTAATTTTTTTCATTTTGAGAAAAAAACGTGGTAAGATATATACAAAGGAAAATTAGTGCTTAATAGCATTGTTGTAACTCAAAACACTTTGAACTGAAATAAAATTGATGAAAGCTACTTACTAATAATGCTACTAATACTACTACTACTACTACCACCACCACCACCACCGCCGCTGGGGGAATCATTCCAAACAGGTTTTCAGCCTGAAAATTTATTGTGCAATTTATTTATATATATATATATATTATATTTTTGGTAATTTAGGCATTTTCTACTCTACTGGGAACTCCGGCACACAAGACCGCAGCCAGTAAGATAAGGCCACGATTACTGTAAAGGAGTGTCCACCTTTGAGTCGTCAAACCCAAAACCCTCTTTGAGCTCCGGCAATCTTCTCTCCACCTGCTGGACGGCGCAAGGCCCGCAGAAAAGAACAATGCAGGGCGCCGCACTGTCAGCCTTGCGGCTCCCCTTCGGTTTCGCTGCCGGCGGCGAGTACCATCGCCGGCGCCATTGCAGGAGCTCCGGGGGGTTCGGCGTGAGGATGGCCCTGAGGGAGGACGGGCCTTCGCTGGCGATAGTCGGCGTCACCGGCGCCGTCGGGCAGGAGTTCCTCGGCGTGATCTCCGATCGAGATTTCCCCTACCGGAGCATCCGGATGCTCGCCAGCAAGCGGTCTGCCGGCCGGCGGCTAACCTTCGAGGGCAACGAGTACGTCATCGAGGAGCTCAAGGAGGAGAGCTTCGACGGCGTCGACGTCGCCCTCTTCAGCGCCGGCGGGTCCATCAGCAAGGCCTTCGGTCCGGCGGCGGTGGCGCGGGGCTGCGTGGTGGTGGATAATAGCTCGGCGTTCCGGATGGACCCCGAGGTTCCGCTCGTCATCCCCGAGGTGAACCCGGAAGCCATGGCCCACATCAAGGTCGGGTCCGGCAAGGGCGGCCTCATCGCCAACCCCAACTGTTCCACCATCATCTGCCTCATGGCCGCCACCCCTCTCCACCGCCAAGCCAAGGTACTACTAAAATGAAACTAGAAGAAGAAAGTCATTCTCCCTTTTCTGTGTGGAGAGTAATAAACCCAGGAGTTGCTTGGAGTTTTCTACCAGAGATTAATCGTCCTTGATGGATGAGAATGCTTCTACTGGTCGTTAGAGCTCCTCACTTGAGATAACCTTCGCTAGCTTTCTACACAGAAAAGGAGAAAAAAGTTACTGCTGAGAAAAGAGAAAAGCCACCGATGAGGCCCACCCATTTAGTTTAAGGAAAATATCAGCCTTCTACCATACGATCGATATCACATCGAAGGTTTTGTGCTGAGTCCCCCTTCTTGGGTTCATGAATTATCCAGGTGAAACGAATGGTTGTCAGCACCTATCAGGCAGCTAGCGGAGCTGGTGCTGCGGCCATGGAGGAGCTTGAACTGCAGACTCGTGAGGTCCGGCTGATGACAATGTTTATATCTTTTAGAAGCCATCCTTTGTTCCCAAAAGCAGAGCTGGATGTGGAAATTCCTGATACTTTTTATCGTCCATTAACAGGTTCTTGATGGCAGACCACCTACTTGTAATATCTTCAAGCAGCAGGTTGGTTTTTTTTCCTCTCTCCCTCTTCATTTCCTTCTCTGGTTGACAGAAAACAACATATCCTCAGAACTCATGTTCTTGATTTTTTATATTGTATTCATCAGTATGCGTTCAATCTGTTTTCACACAATGCACCAGTCCAGCCGAATGGTTACAACGAAGAGGAAATGAAACTAGTCAAGGAAACAAGAAAAATATGGGTAATCCTCTTCAACCCAATCAAGATGGCATAATTTTTTTTTCGTGACATTTGGAATCGTAGAATGAAGAAGAAATTAAATTTATTCGCGGAATAAAAATGCGGGCATTCCTTTGCAACCCAAAAGAAGATTTTTTATTTTTTATTTTCTCTTAGTGATCTATGGAGCTTTTTTATATATGGAGTTTTTCTTCTCCTGCAGAATGATGAGGAGGTCAAGGTGACTGCCACCTGTATTCGGGTCCCCGTCATGCGTGCACATGCTGAAAGTGTGAACCTCCAGTTCGAGAAGCCTCTGGATGAGGTGATGCATGAACATTATTGACTAATCAATTAATTAGGAAACTAATTTTCAGTTCTCCTTGGTTCTTAGATCATTTTTGCTAATTTTACCCGCGTGGACCTGTTGATACTTTCTAATCTCTCCCATGCGATATTTTATATGATGATCGACTCTTTCAACGAATTCGAACATCATGTCAAGACCTGGTTAAGAGTGGGGTTGACCTGGCTTCCATGTTAAACTCACCAGGACACTGCGAGGGAGATCTTGCGGGGAGCTCCTGGTGTGGTCGTCATTGATGACCGGGCTTCCAATCACTTCCCTACTCCCTTGGAGGTCTCTCTCTCTCTCTCTCTCTCTCTCTCTCTCTCTCTCTCTCTCTCTCTCTCACACACACACACACACACACACACACACACACACACACACGATGTCATCTGGACTAATTGACGACTTGCAGGTGTCAAACAAGGATGATGTTGCAGTGGGACGGGTTCGGCAGGATATTTCCCAAGAAGGAAATCATGGGTAACTGATCCTACATTATTCGAGCCGCTCAGGTTTTATTCTCTGCGGATCTACCGTCGGTCTTAGAGGGAGGGCTTTGTTTCAGGTTGGACATATTCGTGTGCGGAGATCAAATACGCAAAGGAGCTGCGCTCAACGCCATCCAAATCGCGGAGAGACTTCTCTAGGTTTCCTGGCTGCCGCTGTCTGATCTTCTTCATCTTCTGTTGCTTTTTCTGAGAGTGGAGATTGCTTTCAATTTTGCCCCTTTTTTGGTTTCCTGACGCAATAAGTTGCGTGTAGATTTCATTCCATGAGACCCGCAAGTTTTTTATGGTAAGTTTTCCCTGAGGTTTATAAGATACTCTTCTTCCATGTTGTCGTTAATTGGACGAAGGAGTGGCATTGGGCAGATGGGGATCTCCCCGGATGTAGAGAGAGAGAGAGAGAGAGAGAGAGAGAGAGAGAAGAATATTTAGCCAGAATCCAATCTCCAAATCACATCAACAGTGTTTGCTGGCTTCCATGACGAACCAAACTCATCCGTATACGGAAACAAAACGACCCTTCTCTCCCCTCTCCTTCCTTGGCAAAGAGCGAGAGAGAAGAGAGGATAAAGGAACAGTAATCATCAACACCCTCTGCAACAAATTCGATAAAGAAAGAACCTCTGAAACGGGTATCACAAGTTCATCATCTCTGAAAGCTGCAAAATTTTGATGGGTTTGGGGCGAGGAGGGGTGGTCCTTAGATACTGAAGCCCTACAAAGCCTCCAAGATCAAGTCTTCCTATTTATATAGACCACGATTAGAAGGCTATGAGCTCCAATACCTTCAACTAGATTCGGATCTCTTCAAAGATCCAACACGGTAGACAAGTTTTCCAGATTTTTCCTCTGAATAATAAGAACAAATTAGTCTTCAATCCTCAACTTTGTGGCGTCTTTTCTTGGCTGCTTTTATCGGTGGAGGGTTTCCTTTGCCCACATCACAACCATTGCTTGATTTCTGCGAAAAATGGAAAAAAAAGTTTTTGATAAAGTCAACCAGCCTTAATGAACAGGCAAATTTAAGGGCATCTCGAAGAATAATGGTTACCAATTTCCTTCTTTCCCTCTGACGTTGGCGCCCTCTTTTTTTTCTCTTCGGAGCTTCAGAATTCTGAAAAATAGAGCATAAAGGGCTAGACCTTAATTGAGCATCCCAATTATTTATTTATTTACTTATTCATTCATTCGGGAGGGGGGGGGGGGGGGGGGAGGAGAGGGATGGGTTCTCAAAAGTCAACCTGTACAAGAGCAATGGTCCTGGCATGCCTTTCGGCATGGGTCTCTTGATCCTCTTCAATCTCTCCATCACTGTTTAGCATCAGCTTGAGTCTGCCATCCCCCAATAACTTCTTGGACCTGGCATGCCGCTGTGGAAGGAGAAGGACTTCATGTTACATGACTAAAGATGGAGATATCCGATTCACAAGTACCTCACTTATGCGGCAAGATCCAAGCTAATTAATCTACGAGAAGCTGTATTCATAACTATCAGAGCAGAAATAACAGTAATTAGAATAATCATAAAAAACAAGTGAGAATTCTGAGGCAATCGAAGATATTCATCTCGTCTATGACAGGAATTTCCTCTATTTTTTTTCAAAATAATCATGTATCTTCATCGATTGTGAAGAGACTAGACCAACATAGGCAACCCCAGATGGGTAGAAATTTGCAACCCGACTGGATTTCATTCAGAGCCAGACCATCCAGAGTATCATGTCCTGGCAGGAACAGGATTAGCATATCATTATCTGGATCCAGTGTTTCATGTATTCACAGAGAGCTTGATTGCAGGCCCTCATGGTGGGTTACCTTCGATTTAAGATGTGCCAGCAGAGTGCTCTCAGACAGGCAGACGATTCTTGGGCAGATCCTGCACTTGAAGACTGACTTGTGCTTCAGCACGCAGTTACTCATTTCAGACTCGATCAGCTCTTCTGTATCATCTACCTCGGCGTCATTTTTAGAGGCAAATCCTGCAGCTTCACCAGGACGGCCTTCATGAGCGCGTTGACTAGATCTGCGGCTTTCCTTGTCTTTTCCACTGTCATCTTCATTGTCATTAACCGGTAAACCTGAGCAGATCAGCAGATCTCCCACGTCAATTTTGTATAAAATACAATCATAAAATATATCTTAATAAGAGAAATCTTGAATAGTGTTTAGTTAAATCTCTAATCTAGATTTTAAAAAAATATATAAATAGGGGAATGACGAAATACAGAATATAGGCACAAAAAAAACGTCAGAGGATAGTAAATTTCCGACTCCGAGAAGCTTTTTACACGAAAAATGAATGAAGGGATAGTTTCAAAATTAAATGAGTAATCATATCATAAAACAATTTAAAAACTAGATATCCTGGAAGAACTTTGAGTACTCCAGGATAAACTATGCAGAGGGAAAGAGAGAAAAACCTGTCGAGTCACAACTGATCTCATTTCCTGAGCTATCCTCGCTCTCATATCCAGATGCTATCATCAAGGGAAAAGAAAACGAAATGTGATCAACAAATGTATAGCAAGAACAGGAGTTTCAATAGCATAGGGAATCAAGAAAAGCAATAAAATAATGTAATTATCGGAAGAAAGAGACCCCAAACTGTCTTAAAAATGCCACACAGGAAAAATATGATTAAACGATCAACGAGTTACATAATCATGTCGCCGAAACCCTAGAAAGGAAGACTGTTTCTGCACACAGTTCTGGACGTAAGGATGAAGCGTCCATCTTTCCCATGCCCACTGCATTATGCTAATGGGTGGAAAAAGAACGGGCTTCATTGAAACGATAGTATATTAAAATGAAAACCTTATTTCCCGTCAAGCAATTGATAGGCTACGAAAGGGGAGATGTGGGTAGGCCTTCTAGATGAAGGGACGGAAGAAGAACTTGCTCTGATCCTCTCGAACGATGGGCTCCTCGAACAAGGAGATTTTATTTTCAGTCTTCCTCGTTCCATTTCGCCAATATATCATTTCATTTCTTACAATTTATCATTGCGAAAACATGAGGTGAAATGAGATGCCAAGCTGTGATTTAAACTGATCAAGAATTGAGAAGTGAGCAGCAAATTTTGTTACCAGAGACAATCCAGTCACTCTTATAAAAAGAAACATAAATAAATTTCAAAAAGTCTATAGATAATAAATCAGGAGATGACATGAAACAAGACTGTGAACAACATATGAAGCTCTGAGGCGATGAAACTAGAACGAGATAATCAGTAGAGAACTGACCAGAGGAACCGTCAGATAAGGAAAACCGTTTCCGCCACTCGTCCGCCGGTACTTCCTTCTCCTCATCCTCTTCTTCCCCCGGCGTCTCTTCCTCCTCTCTTTCCTCTACTTCGTCATCGGACTCCGAAGAGGAGGAGGACGAAGAAGAACCGTCATTGTCGGGGTGCTCTACCTTGTAGAAGCGCCTCTTTATCATTTTCTCTGCAGCTGCAGCGCTCGGCCAGGCAGCTTCAACCTGAGGTCCGGCTGGCGATGGAGGAGCGGCTCCGCCGCCGCAGGATTGGAAGCCGGCCGGAGAAGGGGAACCGCCGGAGAGGGAAGGAAAACCTCGCGGACTTGTGAGGGCTTTGAGGTTGTCGAAGGAAGGGTCATCGTGGCGGTGGAAATAGGCTCATGGGCCGTATATATCCGAATAATGGGCCCAGCCCGTTAACCACAATACGTTCTAGGCCCAACTTAGAGTTTGGGCCACGTAGTTTTGGGAATGTCTTAATGGGCTTCACAGGGCCTTTGCCCGTCAAGGCTAGCCCACTCAAGTGGGCCGTTGGACTGGCCTAAAAAAGCCTTTTACCCTGGCCTATATATGGGCTTTTAGTGAAATACGTACGATGCATTGATTTATCTTCGTTAATAACTTTATTATTTATTAAAATATTTTGTAAAAATGTTACAATTATGTTAAAAAATGGAATAAACTATTTCCTCCAAAAAATGAAATTTAAATATCAGGACGATGACGTATGCGATGATGTTTACAAATAAGTACCATCTGTCGCGTCGTCGCTGATGGTGCACCGACACATCGGTGTAGGTGTCCTTAACGGCCACGTGTTCCTCGTACTTTATAAACCTTTAAAAAGCCTAGATGCCAACCGGCTGCATCGCACCTTGTTAAGGAAAACCTTCTTGTCGTACGTAGCGATACGTATCCGCTTGCCGATATCCGCCTGCCTCTCGCTGAACGTGGCGAAATGGAACTCGTACATCCTAGTTTAAAACGCACCGCCGAACCATCACAACGATCATCCCCTTCGTAGAAACAGGTTCCACATCACAGTCTCCATCTCTCTCTCTCTCTCTCTCTCTCTCTCGCTCTAGTTGTCTCTGTTTCTGCCATGGCAGAAGGCTACTCCGCTGCCGGCGAGGCCACCGTCGACGGCAATGCGCTGGCTGCTCGCTCTCTGGCCCGCGCTGGGGTGCAGCACATGTTCGGAGTGGTGGGGATCCCCGTGACATCTCTTGCCAACCGCGCCGTCGCCGCCGGCATCAGGTTCCTGGCCTTTCACAACGAGCAGTCCGCCGGCTACGCCGCCTCCGCCTACGGATTCCTCACCCACCGCCCCGGGGTCCTCCTCACCGTCTCTGGCCCCGGATGTGTCCATGGCCTCGCCGGCCTCTCCAATTCTCAGGTGAATACATGGCCGATGGTGATGATCTCCGGTTCGTGCGACCAGGCAGATTTTGGGAAGGGGGATTTCCAGGAGCTGGATCAGATCGCCGCGGTGAAGCCGTTCGTGAAGTTTTCGGTCAAGGTTACTGATATCCGCCAGATCCCCGGTCTAGTTCAGGAGGTCGTCCGCCACTCCTTGTCTGGTAGGCCGGGTGGATGCTACCTGGATCTGCCCACGGACGTCCTCCACCAGACGATCTCCAAATCGGAAGCTGACAAGCTGCTGCTGGAGTCAGAGAGCCCTCTGATCGAGCAGATCCGAGAAGTCCAAGCCCTGGATATTCAATTGGCTGTGTCTCTGCTTAGGAATGCCGAGAGGCCGTTGATTGTGTTCGGGAAAGGTGCGGCCTACTCCCGGGCGGAGGATTCTTTGAAGAAGCTCGTTGAGAGAACAGGCATTCCCTTCTTGCCGACCCCAATGGGGAAGGGTTTGATCTCCGACACCCACGAGCTCTCTGCCACCGCTGCAAGGTCTCTTGCAATTGGCCGATGCGATGTTGCATTCGTCGTCGGCGCCAGGCTCAACTGGCTGCTCCACTTTGGCGAACCGCCGAGATGGTCCAAGGACGTCAAATTCATACTCGTCGATGTCTCTGGAGAGGAGATTGAGCTCAGGAAGCCCCATTTAGGGCTAGCAGGCGACGCCAAGCAGGTTCTAGATCTGGTTAATGCAGAGATTAAGGACGATCCTTTCTGCTTTGGGAAATCACACCCTTGGGTGGAGGCGATCTCCAAGAAGGCCAAGGAGAATGTGGCCAAGATGGAGATGCAGCTGGCGAAGGTTGTAGTGCCTTTCAACTACTTCACTCCCCTGAAGATCATACGAGATGCGATTCTCGCAGAGGGATCCCCGGCCCCGATCTTGGTATCAGAGGGTGCAAACACGATGGATGTGGGAAGGGCCGTGCTGGTTCAGACAGAGCCGAGGACGAGGCTAGACGCAGGGACCTGGGGCACGATGGGAGTTGGTCTGGGCTACTGCATCGCTGCTGCCGTGGCGGCTCCCGGACGATTGGTGGTTGCTGTGGAAGGGGACTCCGGATTTGGTTTTAGTGCCATTGAAGTTGAGGTACGCCTTCCCTCTGCTCAATGCTCCTCATCTTGGATTTTACAGCTCCTTGTTATCTGCTCTACCCTGATATTGCCTCCAGTTGGCAATCGGATGTAGAAATATGTTTATATGTTCACACAGATATCATCAATAGTTAGTTGCCTATTGGTCGCACAATTGATGCCCGGGAATAGCAATTTTCTTTCAGAGTGTTGAATTCTTCACGGAGTTTGCAGATTTACTGCGCAAAACCAGAAGTTTGGTCCAATTTATATAAATCATCAATGATTCCTGAATCGAAGTTTTTGCATGTATGAAGGGAATTTAGAAGCACCTGTTCCGGTGTTCTGGTGTTCATATCAATTAACTGATTAAACTTCATTTATAAACTTTAATAGCCCTAGTGATATCTGACTTTGGGTTAGATCCCGCTGCTTCTGTTTCATTCTAATCCGACAGATGCTTTGAATCTTTCAGTAGTTCTTCAAAATTTCCTCACTAACAGACATCATCCAAATGCCATCCTGGGCCAATCAATCGAGTCCTCTTTTTTTTAACCGACTGGTGATCAGCTGCCATGTCTTGCTGATATCCTCTTTTGCAGACGCTGGTGAGGTACCAGTTACCAGTGGTGGTGATCGTCTTCAACAACGGTGGCGTATACGGTGGCGACAGAAGGAATCCCGAGGAGGTCACTGGACCGTACAGAGAAGACCCCGCTCCAACCTCCTTTGTCCCTGGAGCTGCTTATCACACCCTGATGGAAGCCTTCGGAGGCAGTGGCTATCTCGTGGGGACCCCCGAGGAGCTCAAGTCTGCCCTCGCCGAGTCCTTCTCTGCTCGCAAGCCGGCGGTGATAAATGTCACCATCGATCCTTATGCTGGATCAGAAAGTGGAAGGATGCAGCACAAGAACTAGAGGTACCCTCGCTTTCGATAGTTTCCCTATAAAGGAAAGAGCTCCATAGTACACAGCAAAGCCTTTGTTTTAATGTGGGAAGATGAAGTCAATCAAGATCATCTCGCCATCATTTGACGAAATGCTGCATTGGCTGCTCTGAATCTGTCCTCTTACGGCTGCAAAGCGTGAATAATATTCTTTGAATGATGGCTTGTATGTATAGAGTTAGTTCAAGATAATTATACATTGGGTCCGTTAGAGAGCGGTGTGCTGACTTTGACTATCGCTGACCTCTCTTTCTCTCCTGAGAAATGCGTGCAGGGGATCGTGTGGGCTTTTCGGTGGCCCAGCCAAGTGTTCAGTCTGAATAGGCCTATTGGATCGGATTAACCAGGTTGATCAATTATATGGAGCAGAGTTAATGGGCCTATACAATGGAGCAAATGGGCCCATAAGTGACACAACCCATCTGGATAGGCAGTGCCTGTTGAGGTGGCGCAGCGCTGAGCATTGAGGTGGTGCAGTGCCCCCCCTGCCCCATGCCATCTCTGGACACCGTCTTCTACTAGCTGGTGGCTGAAATAGTATCTCCGCCATTGGAGAAGCTGCATCCAAAGAAATAGTGCTCCGCAGTGGACGGGAGCAGGAGGAGAAAAGATGACAGAGAAAGATGTGGAAATGATGAAGAGCCCATTGATCGTCGCCATGGAGGTGCCATCAACCTCTTCCCAGACCTGCTCCCAACTGCCCCCCTTCCCTCAGCAGATTGGGGGGGGGGGAAGCCTTTCCTACGTGGGGTTGGATTCCCCCTTTCCCTTGATAAAGAGGTCTACAATCACCTCAGCAGCGGCAGTCCTCTGAGATAATGTTTCGCTGGCCAAGGAGATGAAGGGTCTCTAAGGAAGATGAAGAGCCAATCAGTTGCTCTCACGATGGTGGTGACTCCATTGCCGCATCCATCTCCATTAACATGGGAAGAGAAGGCATTGATGTCATCATCTCAATTTTGATACCTCTATTATCCCTCAAGAACTTAACCAGGTAGAGAAGTTTGCTTTATTCATTAACTCTTCTTTTTATCTCTTATATCAAGTTGAGTTTAGAATGAACTTTCGGAGCATTAGATTTTGCAACATATTGCTTCTCAATTGAAGAATGTTTTGATATCTTTGTGAATGGTTCTTTGTGGCATTCTTAATCTATCAAGTGGACACCAATATTTTTGTGAATATGTTTTGATTTATTGAATGATCTGAGGTGGACACCATTATCTACTTTAAATAACATAGTTACAAAATTTAATAGAGATTTAAATATTGGAAAGTTCAAAATTTATTATCGAGTGTTCTGAAAAATGGCAAGTTTTTAAATGAGAATTTAAGACTTTGAATATCAAGTAAATTCGAGAAACTGTTCAAAGAATGATGGCTTACTTATAGAAAACGATCTGATAGATTGAAAAATAGCTGAACGCATGAAAATTGAAGAATGAACATCAAGCTCTTCCTGCTGCATGCACCAACAACATACAAGAATGTTGTAGTCTCTTCATCAGCTGATTTCGGTAAATGAACAGCTCAAGTATCATGGTCTATATTCTCTATCAGGTCCTAAGTTGATTAGGTGGTGATGAGATAATATTTTGAGTGAAGTCGTGAGATGCTAGTAGATGTAATTGGCCTCAGAGGGACTAGGTTTATGAGATGGACTTAAGGTGTATATGCAGTTGATCCCATGAATATTAGCATGTAATTAGTGAATACTAGAGTGAAGTCTCCTCTAGACTGAAACTAGTAGGGTGAATGACAAACAAAAATAAAAATCTTGATGTTCCTAGTGAGAGAGAGGTGATAAGTCTTACCGTGATACATGCATATTGACACATATATTGAGACATATAGATATATCTTACTTAAATAAAAAAATTGATAGAAATCCTAAATACTTGGTGTTTTATCTAATATTATAGTTCTAATAATGTTACGAAATACCCAAATATATTAAGATTAATATTTTAATACACAAAATTTATATTGTTGTGAATTTTTTTTATTAAACTTCATAATAATATGTAAATCTTAGTATCATACTACTTAAAAAATAAGAAAAACTGAAATTCAAAATGAAGAGAGAAGGAAGGGCTAACAATCAAATATTCACATAAAGCTAATCTACCAGCCTAAGTGAAGACATCTTGGAGAAGAATCCTACTTATGAGTTTAATCTCTATCGATAATATTGTAGGGTGCAGATGTTATGAAATGAATTTATAATTTTTATGTCACCAGATCAAATTATAAAAGGTGCTAGAATTAATTGTAGGAGGAAGATCTAATTTACTTTCTCCATGATACTATTTGATTTAGAGAAATAGATGTCTATCACTGATAGTAGATGTCAATGGACCCTTATTTAGAATGGTGATCTAACACTAGATCTCTAATGTTTATCTTACTATAGTTGTATATCTAAAATTAGTCTTAGGGGCATCTAAGTCTTCAGACCTTGCATTCAACTTTTGTACTCTTATGTGGATAGTAAGTTAGGATAGTCAAATTACAATGAACTATGCAGTTCTCTTGCACGATTGCCTTGATTATTCATATAGGGTCAACTAAGCTCAATTGCAATGTCCCTCATCTAATGTATTAGGCTCCTTTTAGCTTTAGGCTGCTTAGAAAAAAGGACGAGTTCTCCCCCTCTCTTTATACCTAAATATTAGGCTTAAATACTACATTGGTCAAATATATATATATAGTAATATTAATATATATATATTACTATTTCACAGCATATTTTTATACACTAAGATATGATGTTTTATGTATTATACTAATCTTCAATATAGATTTTTTGTCATTAATAGAGTGTTGTGAGCATCAACACCTATTTTTGGTTTGAAAACTGGAGAACTGAAGCGCTAGTTCAGTGGCACAAGAAATGTAACAATATGAGGTATTTAGTGAAATAAATTGATATATATATATATATATAAATACACATCTAGGTTGTGTGCATGTGTGTGTGTGCGATTTTTGAGAAATAAAATATATAACTAACCGCATATTTTAAGTGAATTATATGACATTTTCATCAAGATTTTCATAAACTTCGTTGGTTAGGGGGAAATTACAAATAATTTTTATGTTGAATCATTTTATATTTATGAAAAACACAAATAATTAATCCTAATTATATAAAAAAATCATATTAATAAGAAACTATTGTGCCATTTGTGCATTGTATATAGCCGTGCAGTTGCACTGAAAAAATCATGGTAAATAATATTTCATTCGCAAGTTATCATCGTTCTGGTGGAGGTAACTTAGTCTCAATCCAATAAACGAGTCTGTTTATATGTGGAAATATTTATTTTATTTCTGTTTCTTTAACCCGATTCTACCTATAGCCGTCTCTCCGTATGAGGACGGGGGAGGTTTTACGGCGAGTCGCCGAAGCTCGGTGGAAGGGCTACCGTGGGTATTCCGCCGCAACTGGTCTCCAAGCCGCCGCCGCCGCCGCCGCCGCCCTGATTCAGGAAGGGTGGGGAGATGGGCAAGGCAGCGAAGAGGGAGCGCCTCTTTAGGTCCTTCAACTCGCACGCTCAGAGCATCCATGAGACCTTCCATGTGTGCACCTGTAAACCCTACTCTCCCTCTTTTGCGCTGTTTGGAATTCCACTGACCCATTTGGGGAACCTACCGCACCCATCGCAGCTTCTGGATCAGCCGGCCGCTGCGTCCCTCGAGAAGACGGACTGGTCCGAGGTGATGAAGCTGGGGGACGAGATATCCAAGCAGGCGACGATCTGTAAGCTTTTTCCTTCCCACGGATCGCCTCAGCCTCCTTTTTCCTTGGAATCTCTCTCCTTTCGTCTCTGAAGAAGGATCATTGAGTAACTCAGGATTTATTTACGCTTGAAAGAGGCAACAGCCGGATAATTGATTGGTTTTGTCTCTAAATACAGCCACCTTAGAAAATCCTCAGAGCCAGCTCAAGGATTTCTCGGTTTTTGCAAAATGGGGACTTGCTTCTTTGTCCAGAATGATGATCAAAATGTGTTTTTTATCGTTTGGAATTCCCTCAAAATTGTTGAGTTATCAATAAATCCCCCAAAATCCCGTTTAGTTTTCAGGTTTAGAGTTTAGAGCCACGTAGAACCCTAGTTTTTCATGGACATGAACCTAATGATCTTGGTTTTGGCCCCTTGCAGCGGGGATGCTTTCCACTGGCGGGACGTCAGAGGTGAAAGAGATGGAAGATCATATCGGAGCCTTCTGCAACATGCTTCAGGGATTCCTGCTGCTGTGCCAAGGGAGCACTGTGGGTGCTGGGCCGACTCTCCATGCTTCTATCCGGGCATTGGCCAAGCAAGTGATCGACCAAAGCCTGTCCTTGCTGAGGGAGACAGTCTCCTCTTACGGTTCTCTCCTTCCCCTTTTCATCCGCTATCTCAGCCCTAATTTGAACTCTGCGTTGAAGCTTTTAGCATTTTCCCCAAGTGCAGTTTACCCTTTTTGGAAATCCCCTTGATCCAGGGAATCTATTTAATCCTGTTCATGGTTTGAAAGCCCACTGGTTGACTTGAGCTGAAGAAGACACTCTTGTGTTTCCATGAAGCCCATGTGCCCAGGATCTTGCTGAAGGGTCTGACCTTTTTCATGGCTACTGCGTGGGAATTTTTGGCTTTTTACCCAAGTCCAGTATACCCTATTTGGAAATCCCCATGATCCGGGGTATTTATTTCTTGCTGTTCGTAGCTTGGAACCCCACTGGTTGACTTGAGGTGAAGACCCTCTCTTGTGTTTCCATGAAGCCCATGTGCCCAGGATCTTGTAAGAATCTGCCGGAGGGTTTGACCTTTTCCTGGATTAGGTGGATGTTCTACCTTGGATCAGCCCCGTCGGGTGTTGAAGTTTTTATTTTCTGGGTGATTTATTTGTCATTCCTTTTCTCTTCCTCGGTGGGTAGAACGCGTAAGGTTTCTATCATTAAGGGTAGTAATGGATGCAGAGTTCTTTAAGGTTTATTCTAATCTCATCCTCTTCTTTTTCTGAAAAGGTTGACCGGCTGATAGTTATGGAGTAATTTTCTATTTCTGTCCAGCTGATTATGGAAAGCTTCCCCCCGCAGGAGCAGCCTCGAAGAAGAGAACGTCCATCCCACGGTTATCCGGCTCAGTCTGGGAGGCGTGCGCCGCCCTGAAGAGAGCTCCCACCACCAACTCCATAGCTATCGGGCGAGCGTTGACCCAGGTGGCGGTGTCCGTGAAAGACGTCCTCCGGGAGCTGAAGGGGCTCCGGCCGGCCGCTACCGACCCAGTTGGCGACGACGACGAGCTCTCGCCGGAGGAGATGGAGGTCGCCCGCTTGGCCATCGGCGTGGTCTCCGACGCGCTGGTTGCTGCGAAGGAGGCCGTCCGGTTCGTCGCCGCCGCCGGGGAGGGCCGCCGGGTTGAGCTTCTGGAGGGGCTGCTGAGGAGCATCCAGGCGGCGGGGGCCCAGGTGGACGAGCTCGGGGCGTGCGTTTTCCCACCGCAAGAGATTCCGCAGATGGCGGCGGCGGCGGCGGAGCTGCTGCGGCTCGCCGCGGAGGCCCAGGAAGAGGTCCGAGCCGCCGCCTCTGATGATGATGGCCTGGTGGGGTCTCTGGAGGCGTTTAGGGGCTCGCTCAGAACCTTCCAGTCGACACTGTCGAGTCCCGACGACACCAGTGTAGAGCGAGAAATGAGAGGCCTTTCTCTGTAACCCCTCCTCTCTCTCTCTCTCTCTCTCTCTACACTACCTTTCTTCGTAGCCCCACAGGAAGCATTGTAAGAGAGAAGATACATCGGAAACCAGGAGAGAAAGATATATATGAATCGCCTAATTACTAGAAAACCCAAAAAGCTAGAAGAAAATTGTCAATAGACCTTTACAACATAAACAAGTGCCATAATATCCAACCGACTATCGGATTCAAGCCTCTGTGTGGGGAGGAAAGAAAGAAAAAAAATAAGATGGGAGACTTCAATGATGAGGAAAGAAGGGAAGAGTATACCCACTGTGATTCTACTAAGCCCAGGATATGAAGAGAGACAAGAAAGAGAGAAGAAACCATCTTTCGGCGGTGCCTAGATTTCTTGTTTCAGGGAGATATCTTTGATCCCTATCGTCGACTTGGGGCGGTAGTGTTCATCTGTGTCGACTTCTTCGATCTCCTGAAACCATCGATGAACATCGGAAGAGGGGGAGAAGTTTATTCCACAACACTTCGAAAAGCATAACCATCTCGTTCTAAGAAATTAAGTAACGGCAGCGACAGTATTTTCTTGGTCAAATGGGCATTCTGAAAGTCAAACTTACGAACAAATATATAACATGAAATCTAGATTATTTATGACAAAAAACAGCACACACTCTGATGACCCAACAAAACCAAAAACTTAGTTATTATTATTATTATTATTCAGATGGCCTCAATAGGTGGAGGGCACGGTCAAGAGGATCTCTCAGGGGTTGACCTATTTAAGAGGCACTGAATCATTATTTGACGCCATTATTCGTGGAGAGTAAGTGCTCATAGGCATGATTTTTGTTCCATAATTGAAGGCAATATTTAAAAAAGGAAGCCATTTCCCAATCGCCTTTCATGTCATAAAATATAGAAAGAGAGATTGCGAGATGCAATTAAGAGCAATTTGATTTCATATTTACAGTTGGAAAGGGTGGGATTGTAATGGGTACCTGAACAACGTCCTCCCCTTTGACAACTCGCCCAAACACAATAAGATTTTCACTTAGATCCGAGACTGGCGTTGTCGTGATGAAAATGTCGAAGCTTTTATCATCGTACTTAGCCTTCGACGTTCCAAGCATAAAAGCCTCGTGCTTTGGACTGGCAATCCAATCAAAAATAGAGAAGGAAAAAAACCCATTTAATGAGAGCTCGATCTGTGTGTGTATGCTCAAAACCCGATCCCGAAATGAACAAAAAAAGTCAACCACCGTGAGGAATATTAGTGAAAGGTGCGATTTATCTCGTTTTTTGAAGCCACATTACCTCGCCTTGATCTGATTGTGGGATTTTCCCTTTGCAACCCATTCATCTATGGTACCAGATGCCCGGAAATTGCCTCCCAGGATGACATAGTTTTTGATTACGACATAGAAAACCGTCCCATTGAAGAATCCCTTCTTGCTGCATGTAAAATAATGTCTCAGCTTGGATATTACGAAGAGAAGAAAGCGAGACAAGAACACGCAGTGAATGAACTATTTAGGCGTAGCATGAAGAGTCAGTCAGTCAGTCAGTCACTCCCCCGCTTGCAAGCTTTTCTTGAGAAATTTCTCAGTCTCAGAGGAATCATACTTGCACCAGTGAGACAAAGCAGAGGAGTAGAAAAACCTAGGAGAACTAGAGATTCATGGACACAGCCAAGCAGTTGCAGACGAGCCAGGGAGTGAATGGATTTCAGATGTATTTTGGGAAAGCAACAGGCGAGGCGGTGTCCATGACTCTCTGCAGATGGATCTTCATCTTTTCCGGTATCAGTATGTTCATCACAAAGGTGCTGATGCGACTTCGTTCGTATCCAATCCATTAGTACATTAGCACATACAGAGGTGCATGACTCCCATCAATTATTTCCGAATGGAACGCCAGAGGGAAGCTTATTTCCAGATTAGGCATAAATTGCCATAAATAATCTCGCGGCATGTCGCCCCTCTCCACATTCTACCAACTTGGTTTCATCAAAATCCCAAGTCATAAAACCGGCAAAGAGCTCTAATGCCGGCAGTGTTGAACCGCGGAGAAAGAATCGGATAGCAACGAAAATTAGAGAATGTTAACGCAGGAGTGTTTGAGGTTTACCACAATTTAACGAATTTCTCCAGAACATCAGATGGTCCATCCTTATAGAGCTCCACAGTGATTAGACCCTTGGAAGTCCTTAAAAACTATTTGAACATCGGCAAAGACGAACAAATGAGGAAATTAAAGAAAATGTCCAGTGAAAAATAACATGATATTGAACGGAGCAATCGGATATCAGAATCTTTTTCATACCAATAGTCTTAACTATCAAATGAGATTCAGCACATGAAGCTTACAAGAAATACCAAAATCAACCCAGGTTGAACATCGTTTTGACGGTAAAAAGACAAATTCAACACACGAACTCGCACATAGAAAGATAAATGCACAGTAGTGAATGTATCTAAAACGACATCAGATCAAATAAAAACTCCACATCAACCCCAACGTGAGGTAGAAAGAGGTTAGAATGAGCCTCATCTACAGCAGCCAATCATGGAATGCAAATGCCACAGTAAAAATAATCGGCATAATTAGAAATACGAATGGAAGCAGCATGCATAAGAGCATTCACAGCATAAGAAAATATGAAGAGACCGTAAAGGCCAAACTATCGAGATTTATTTTTTCTAGCAATAAAATGAATCCAGATTCTTGCTAGTGGACTGCATCATATCAGCACACCAATTGAAAATTAAGAACGGATCTGGAATTTACAGGAAAAGAGTTAACATCAGGAAAATAGGAATCAACCCTGTCGGGAGCTTCATAAGAAAAACATAAAGCATCTCCGCTTCTCAGAAAATTTATGGAAAAAACTGACACATTGTGAACTTGGCACGTCATGTGACCATCTGAATGGGGGAGATATGGGAACTTACTAACTCATAATAGCATAGGAATTAAATTTGACAGGATAATTTTTGTATAAAGTCAAAGAAGGAATAAGTACACCCACTAAAAAGAGATGCATTCTCTTCGTTTAGCATATTTACAATTTCGACCCCGTGAGTTAGGACAACTATCTCTGCAAAGCTCATTCTACCGGACCCTTTGATCAATCCCATCTTGTCGTATCATAAGGGACATCCATCACCCGTGTTACAATATCAATTACTATACTTGTCGTGAACAGTGGTACAAACCCTAGGGGAATATTCGGAGGAAAAAACTCGACTCGTATTCACATCATAGAGGACCGTCATATAGAAGTACTATGGCCACAAAATAAGGAAAATATCTAACAACTAGAAACCAGTCCAACTAAGAACTGAACTCCTAGTTATAAGTTCTTCCCCACAATGTAGAAACTAGATTCATAAGAAATCTCGTCTCATGTAAATTGACAAGGGCTTTTGGTTAAAATTATGAGTAACCAGATTAAAACATTTAGTTATACATTCATATGAGAAATTATTTTTTAGACAAATGGTTCAATCACTCCATCAGAAGTTGACATAAATCGGAAAACACTTCCCCAAATATTATGAGAAAGATGACACCAAAATCAGCAAATTTTAGAAAGAGATGATCTTTCGAATAGCAATACCATGGCTAATAGAAATATAACAACTATATAGGCATTTCGTGTACCGAAAAATTCTCTCAGTTTTTCAGTACTTGTGAACGTGGATAGAGATAATCCACCTTCATTTCTCCATCTTCTACCTTATCTTGGACCTAGATTTTTCTCTTTATTGTAAATTAGTTAGAGAATAGTCCCAAAGGCCTACTAGCCCACCAACTATCTTGTCTTATTCTTCTGGGCAGAGAGGAAGTGGACACCACCTAATTCAGTCACCATAAAAAACTTACTCTTATGCCAAAGGCAAAGGTTATTCATCCTAATTCAAGATCAATAATATCACATAAGCCCATGTTGCCAACTGAAGAGTTTGGAAAGAAAATTGAAGCAGAAAAATTAATCGACGCACAAATCACGATCACATAATTAGCAGGCCGTATTTATTCCTCAACGTCCACTATACTTTTCACAACTTGAAAGACACTTCAGATTCTTTTTCACGATCTAGACCCATTACTTTGCCTTGAAACTTTTAGCATCATCTGGAATATCAGGCGCCCAATTCTTCATTCACAGATTAAATCAATGTAATGAAGATTGTTAAGCCCATATAAAACCAACTAATACTTAGTAGCTTGTACATGTCTAAGACTTCTCTCCCCTCAATTTCAACAGAAGATAGTGAGTACCAACACTAAAAAAGAGTGCAAACTTTGATCCAACAAAAAAACTGCTGCCAAGCGCATTTTCTGGTGTCATTCCAGGCAAGGACTGTATAGCAAAATAGTAATTTGAAATCAAATAAACGAAAACCAAGAAAACTATCCAGTAAAAAAATTGCCAGTTATGCTTATGCCACAAGGCATAACAAGTTAGAAAAGTTCTACATGATCATGCTGTCAAGGCAATTTATAGGCTGCCTACAAGGTAGCCATTAGTTGCCTCGGCAGGCTCACAATGCAGCTTGAATGGGCAGGTTGCCTCAAAAAGACCCAGGGAAAACCCACTCGTCGTTTCTTGCAACTCTCTTCTTCCTCACCTCACTGCTATGGCGCTGCCATTGCCCATTTTTTGTCTCTGTTTCCATTCTCCTCCCCAATGGATGTAGTGGAATGTTGCCAATGGAATCCTGTTTCAGCTCTCTCCCCCTAAGGTATTGACATTGAGAGAGATGAAAGCAACAAGAGACAGCAGTATGTAACCATTTCGGTCATCTCGCGCTCTCACCCATGGGCCACCCCTCCATGCTCTTCCCCTTTTACCAAAAACTTTGCTGACCTCCTACCTTCCCCTTGCTGACCAAAAACTCTTGTTGACTGCGGCAAGGGGAATCATTATGAAGCAGCTCTAGTTGATCCAATACGGAAGACTCACATCCACATCCTCGCAGAGGAGGTGCAGATGAAGACGGAGAAAAAAAGGAGAAAAAATAATATTCATGGTAGTGAAATTCCCAATTCGGATCAGAATCGCATTAGTGGGATGGATCAGCCAATTTACAGGCTGAATCAACCAAATCTGGCCAATTTTGGAAAGATTTTCCTCACAGCATTCTTATTGGCGGAAGAATATGGAAGCATAGCTCACCTAACTGAGATCGTAGGTGCACACTGACAATCATCCAGAGCGTAATGAGATCAGTAATTCACTACTAGGACGCATGAGTTCAATGATCAGCGCATGTGATAAACGATAATCCACATTTGTTGATAGAGTATGGTTGATTGTAACAAGCACCGAACACAGGGTGAATGGAATTGGAGTTACTTGAGGATGCACAGGATTAAGGGTGAGAAGACATAGTGATGATCACTGTGAGTCATTCAGGTATGGATGGGATTTCATCACGTTCCTTTCATGGGATGTACAGGAGACATTGTGATGGCAACCGAGATACGGATGGGTTGTTCGCAGTGAGCTGATAAGTGCAGAATAATGTTGTAATGATTATGAGGACTGTTGCATGGGACTGGAAACCGATGTTGTACTTTGTTTCTTTTATGGGTTTGCAAAGGAAGTTAAGATTACACGACTCCATATATTTGAGAATTTTTCATTCTAAAAAACACCTTTGATAGGGGAAAATATAGGATGAAATTCTCTCCCATCAAACTCCTCTTTATAATCGAAACTTCTGCTTCTCTGAAGCCTCTTACTAATTGAGGACGCCAACATGACCCTCCAGATTATATTTCACCCATGGATAAATTAGCCTTCTTCCTGGATATTTGGTAAACTTGGCAGAATCTCTGTTAGAAAGAAATGCCAGAAAGATAGACCTTCCTCAAGCCACAAAGAACTTTCATTACCAACCTGAGAAAATGCTGGCATGAACACGAATATGCCTCCTTTCAAACATTTCTCTAGATGCGCGGAAAGGAATGCAGATAGCGCCATAAACATCCTAGGTGATGCCTTATCAGTTCTATTCTTTGATAATGTTCACCCGCATCAAATTTTCATATCCGATCTCAGTTTGCTTCAGCACAAATTATATTTTCCGGAAATCAACAGTCAATTGTCTCAAAAAATCTCACACATTGTTTACTAACTTTTATTCAGACATCCACTACTAAACGTACATGTGCATCCATATAGCCGCACCATTGTTCCATATCAAATTTGTGATTCTCATGTCCAGGTATATATTTGACACCACATGTGAATGTGTCCCCAAAATCATCATTATCAAGAAAAGGCAATAAAAATTTCCCTCCCTGAAGAGAAACAAGGACAGTCCATTTTCACTTTGGTAATGGATTCCATTTAAAGCTGCTGAAGAAAACGAAATCTTCCACTACAAAAATGGAAAAGGAGGAACCCTTCACCTTATCAAAGAATAATGAAATCGTAACAGTATATGATTGTCACGTAGGCTTTATCAATCTGAAAGCTTACGCAACCGATTCTGCAAACTATTGATGTTATGTAATCCCATGGTCAGTGCAAGTTATATGCGGAACATTTCTAGACATTAGAACTGATTTAACCATTTAAAGGACAGAGACATACATCACGTTTTAAAATGTACTTAGCTGTTGTTGTTGAGTAATTTTTCAATTAAGAACTGACAAGATTATCAACAACTCATCAGCCTATCTACAAACCAAAACCTATAAACGGAAAGCCTCTGAAAGACCCACTCAGAAGTGCTGATAAAAATACTCTGGTAGATGGTAATAATGATCTTTCAAATAAAAAAGAGGAAAAAAGTTAACATAATTTTTTGCATTTCAGGATAGCTGAAAAGATATAATCAGAAATATGAAAAATACATTCACAAATCCTACTTCAAAAATCTGAGGAAGAAGTCAATGCATAGAAAAATGTTTGCATAAAAAATTGAATCATTCAAAATAATCATAGACAGAAAACTCAAAGATAAAAAAAAAATTTCAGTTAAATAAACAAAATCATTATGTTAACTAGAAATACATCAGCAACTACACATTTTAGCTAAGACTATATTCCCTTGGGCAAAAAAACTTACAGCATAGCTGGGAAGATTGTGTTTCACTGTACCTCCAAGTGTCTGAAATTCCTTCAGAAAAAGGAAGAAAATAATAGATGTATGATTAAGAAAGATATAGTTGAGAGGATTAGATAAGAAATGGATGAGCAATTTCATATTAACTGAGTTGAATAGAAAAATCTAGTACCGAAAAATGAACAATCGAAAATCAAAGTGACCAAAAAAGAAGTTTGACTAGAACGGCCAAAAAGAGGAATGCTATCATAACATAAATGAGTACTTGAATATACCTCAATCCCTTGCACGTTGATCTCGTGTTCGCCAATTGACCTAAATATGGAGCAAAAATAAAAAGAAAAGTATTTAAGTTGGAGGCGAAAGGTATGACCAGTCCAATGAGAAAAAATAAAAGCATGATGCCAAGAACAGAAAAGGAAAGAAAATTAAATCTGTAAATTATTCCATTATCATGATTCAAGTAAAAATAGTACTCCTAACCATTGCATTCGTGGCTAGTCATGATTGCTCACCCTCTTTTCCAGTACTTGTAACTTGCATAGAGAGAGAATGAAACAGCAATGATAAGTAAGACCACCGTAATGATACTTCTCAAACTAATCCGGGCTGGACCCTTCTTTTTTTTGCTCTGGATTAACAGTGCCTGAGGCTTGATTCTCGCCATTGTTGAAAATAAAGCTTAGGAGTTCCTTTTGACAAGAAAACGTAGAAACACAGTCAGTGACAGTGTTCATGTTAAATGCTTAAGGTTCCATGGTCTCTAGAATCAAAAATTTGAATCTATGTTACATGGTACATGTTTGTTTCCAACAAAAGTCATATAAGGCATGAAAATTACAATACATGTTTTCCGAATTATTAGCAATTATGTGTTGTAACCAATAAGCCAGTGATAAACTTGAAAATTATTTTATAAATAAGGGAAAATTGTGTTCTAGAAGATGATCTAAATTAAAATTTTAATATGCAATACAGTGGAATTTATTAATAAAAATTCAACTTAACTCAATAACAAACCGGATATGTAAATAAAATACAAAGCACGATAAAAAAACCCTAATTAAGTCAGCATATGAGGAAACAAAAGAGAAATCAGTAAAACTTCAAAATATAGTAGCTTACTGTACAAGGGTCCACAAAGTAAAAAAAATTCTTTGAATCACCTGACACAATCTTTGATGTTACTCTAAGGAAAATTAATTACACATGTGACAAAAATACCAAAGCATGAAGGATCTCCACAACTCATCCAAAGGTCAAATATTTTTTCCTAAAACAAGTCGTGAACCCAAAAGATTATGCTGTGGCAACCATAGATTATGGTATGAACATTCAGTCATAAGAATACAATACACACCGGTAATCATTATCCTCAGCTCTCAATCTGTCATGAAACATAGATCTATTTGATTTCAACAAGTCACTTGAGAGACTCAACAACTTCCCCGCATCAAATGGGTTTTATAACCGTTAAGAAGTTAGATGATGATACAAGGGGTTATTCTAGGCTATCACAGATTGAAAACCGGGATGTCCATGGAATTTTGTACCATTATTTAGAGTTGAATTTTATATCACAACTTCATGATGCTAAAAGTGGGTCGCATGTAGCCTCGTGTGGATGCATAGTAATGTAACTAAAATATTCATATAAGCCATGATAGGACTTCTCTACCATCCAGAAAATAGAACACCTTCAAAAAACTGGCAAATTGACTAAACTTTGGAACAACAGTTCCAATGGCATATAAAACAACATAGCATCTAGCTCATAATTTCTAAGGCAAAGATGATAGTTGACTGTCTTATTCCAAGGTGATAAGGCACTCAGGCAAGGCTTTTTTCCAAAAAAATATTTTAAAATTCGAAAAATTGCAGATATTATAAGATAAGAGAAAGTATATCCATATAGAATATCTGGATATCGTAAAAATAAATATCCAAAAAATATATAATTTGTAAAAAACTTTAAATAAAGGTCCCAGGCGGATAACATATGCTCAGATGTGCCACCAGAGTTTCCTCATCTTTCAAAGCCATTTAATTATCAAGATGCAGCTCGCATTTCCAATGTGGGAGGAACAACTTCTACAAGGCGAGCCAGACTGAATCCTTACCATGTACCCCTCCCTCTCTACTATCTAAAGCACTATCTTCAGTGGTGTAAATTTTGTGGTTGACACATACAGAGACATTCAGATAGTTTTGCATATAATACTCAATAGATAACTCTGACAGACACTCATTTCCGGTGATTATTAGATGCATATGGAGGCATCCAGATATTTTGTTCACATAACACTCAATAGATAACTCTGACAAACACTCACTCACTTCCAGAGATTACTAGATACATATGGAGGCACCCAGATCTAAATCTTTCGATAAAACGTAGCTTTACTTAATTGATGACAAGTACACTGACGTTATAGATATTGTGCATGAGTTGTATTGATGTGTCTTACGATAAGAGTGAGGGGGCCATATATTTCATAGATATATTTAAAAGCATCACTTTAACCAATCCCATATTCCATTTTTACTTCATCATGTTTGAAACGAATGCCATCTTCCATTTTTCACTTCGTCTTTATCTGTCAATGATCATGACTAGCAAAGTTATTTTCATTCGATATTTATATTGTATTTGGCTCGTCTACAAGGCAACACAATGGAGAAAGTTCAAACTAATGAAAGACAACACGAAACTCTTCAAGGTCGTCACACAAAACAGGGAAAAGTTCTGGGCATGTACAGCCCAATCCGTGTGACTGGATTGAGTTGATTCACTATGAACAAATATGCACAGATTCAACATATGGATGTGGCAACCGATATCAATAAGTAGAAACTTTGTCTCAGAGATTTATCACGCAATAAAAAGACAATGTATAGAGACAAAGGCAGCAAGGGATAACATAGTGACCAGAATAAGAGATTAGGAGTCATTAAAGAAACTACTCATGGCCTTTATTTTAAAATTCAAGCAAGATTAGGCCAGTAGGCTACCTCAAAATCGAAGAAAACTTAGTCATCACTGCATTGTGTCTAATATACTTTATAGATCCAGGTTATCAGCATCTAAAAACAACAAAAATCGTTTTCCAACCGTTTCCCACTGCAGAGACCATCGTAAACCACGTACTTGAAACGGAAATACTAAGAATTCCAGTGTGGTGGTGGTTTACCCATGCAGCAGGGGAGACAAATAACGACTGGCTAATGACCGCGTATAAATACAGCTAAGTGCCCCGATCGATCAGTGGTGTCGTCGCCGCCACTTTCCTCTTACGATAATACAACAACCCTCCTAACACCGAGATGGAGGCGCATGAATACAACCCTCCCAGTACAAGACGGAGACGCGATCGCCAGACAACCCCTTTCCTGTTCAGCCCACGAAAATGGTATGTGCCCAACAACCGCGCCTAAACTTGCACTCAAGTGCCCCTCAAGCGAATCCCCACCTCCCCAGGACTAATCGATATTCTAAATCCATCGCAATAATTAGCGAACGAGTGAGAAGAGAACATACCCGAAGAAAACAGGAAACAAAAAACTGGCTGAGAATCGGCGGCGGCGCTCCCTTTGAGGAACTGCCTCAAACCTCTTCCAGAGGCGAGCTCTCCTCTCTACCACGGACCGGAGAGAAGGCGAGCTCCTTAGAATTGCGGGCGTGGGTCAGCGAGGACGGGTTTCCCATCTACTAACCCCCACGACGCCACTATGATCTTCTCTTAAATCCAATGTACCACTTCCCACGAGGTGACCCATCGATGAAAGAGGAATGAAATGGGCCTGCTAAGCCCGGTAACACCTCGGCCCATCTCTCTCTCTCTCTCTCTCTCTCTCAACTTGGCAAGGACTTTTATCCCGTTAGATAGGTTCCTCCGATCTCGAATAGAAAAAGCTACTCTGTCGAAGGCTGAAAAAAATATATTATTTATAATTTAATTAATTTATTTATGGAGTCCCAATTATGCAGTTGGTATAAATTATATAAAAAAATATTCAATCAGATGGAAAAAAAAGAGGGGCATGCAATCAATTTCCCATTATTTTAGAGTAAATAAGATATGATCCGCTCTAAATAAGATATGGAATATTATTGAAGATATTGTTGAAGCCGTGGAATAATATAATTCAGGAAAATATTAATAAAACCCATTCAAGAGAGAGGAGATTTCTTAATTGACATCGGTTTCCCATTATTTCATAGTTTCCAAAATACATTAGTTTGTCAAGAATATATATTTTTCTAGATGGGAAAAAAAATAATTCCCATTAATTTTGATTAAATAAGATATGATCCACTCTAAAAAAGATATGGAATATTATTGAAGATAATGTTGCACTTGTGGAATAATATAATTCAGGAAAATATTAATAAAATATCCATTTAAGAGAGAGGAGGTTTCTTAATTGATATTGGTTTCCCATTATATAATACTTTCCAAAATAGGTTATTTTTTCGATAATATTTTTTTTCTTGGTGTGTAAAGTTTGGGTTGATTATTGTTTAATCTTTTATATATATATTTCATGATGCGAATAATAATCGGGTATGGTAGAAGGGGATGCGTTCAGAATCGGAGGCGCGGTGTGACGGAGTCCATGTAGCTTTAGCGTGTCCCGCAGGAACACGCTAAACATTTGAAGATTACCCGGGCTCTCCCATATCCCATTTAGATTCTTGCTCACCACTCCCTCCCTCCACTGCGACGCCCGCCAATTCTCTCCTCTCCGCCATCGTCTCCTCAGAGATGCAATTCACGGACAGTATGGTCTTTCAAATGCAGAAGAATGCGCAGTTGCTGCTACCGGAGCTCCCATGGTCTCCTCGCGGCCGCTTACATTCCATCTCCCCGAGACTCCATATGCTTCGCCTGAAGTCTCGGCGCTGCGGTCGCGTCCGATGCATTGGTGGCGTCCGGCCGCAGGAGAAACAGGTGCAGGAGAAGCAGGAGGGAAAGAGGGTTTATCCTTTTGACGAAATCGAGTCAAAGTGGCAGAGGTATTGGGAAGAGCATAAAACCTTCCGCACCCCCGATGAGGTCGACACTTCGAAACCAAAGTTCTACTGTCTCGACATGTTTCCCTATCCCAGGTCCTAATCTTCTTTCTCTCTCCGTGTATCCGAGAACGTTTCATACTGTAAATTGATGCACTCTCTTTAGGAGAGAATTCAGCATTGCCTACGTATACCATCTCGAAATTTAACAGTTTTAGTTTGAATCTATGATTCTGGCCAATTACTACTGATGCCTTCACTAGCTTTTGTTTTTCATATGATGCCTTCTGTGTCAAAATGTCTCCTGGTTCCTTTTACTCTAGTAGTATCAATCCGAAACATGTTCTCTGGCCTTGCGTAGATGCACGCAGACCGCGCAAATTTCACATATAGGCATCTCCCCGTAGACGATAATTGGTGAGTCGTGTAACATTGGCACTGTGGGAACGTGGTATCCAGGGATAATTATAGGAAATCATTCCTAGCATTGTTACGAGTAAGCTTCTCAGTAGATGTGAATCCTGCTTGTCCATTTCTCCATTTCAATAATTTTCTAGTCTTATATGTCTATGAGAGGAGTAAAAGAGCCTTAAGAATCATCAGGACCAAAAACTAATAACCCTTCTTCGACTTGATCATTGTCATATATGCAGGGTAACATTAAATATAAAAAAATTAACGTTAAAAGTATCTTAACGAGGAATGAATTTAATCATACTATCCTGATGTTTTGAACTCACTTGCTATGGAAATGAGATTATTGCATGGGCTTACTAGAAAATCATGCCAATACCTGAAACGAGTCAAATTGCATCAATCCTTTTCACTTTTGTAGGGTTATTGATACCCAGTGTGTACTTGTGAGTTGGTGAACCGCTTGTGAGAGACGCCGATGAAATCTTAGCTTGTTGGTTTTCACTCTTATAATTATTCTTTCTGCAAAAAAACCGCCAGCAAGGCTTTCTTGTCATCAGGTAATGGAAATCTATTTATTTTGATTATTAACACGGGATAGATTGAACATTTAATCCATGATATGCTGTTTTATTGACATTAACAATACAGACTAAGATGAAACTCACTTTTATCACGTTACATTGTGAAAATGTCAACCAGGGGGTGGAATGTCCAATTAACGGAAGTGAGACACAATTTCAATTTACGAGGAAGATGATCCTTTGAGATTGTGATGGCTTTGGGAGATTTCAAGGGAATTGAAACTAATTTAAGAGATATAGAGCCGAGTAAGATATAGCGATAGAAAAAAAGGGAAAGTGAAGGATATCATTTTTTGGAAATTAGAAAATTAATTATTTTACATTGTTTTGGTAGTATGATAGCAACCAACAAATCAAGAATCTCTTGGATCTAGTACGGATAATTAAACTTTTAGTCTGATGCTTTGACTGTATTCATGGTATAATCAAAGAAACTTACTTCTATGTAAGTGATTTGTCTGATGATTGATAATAATTGTGCCCCTCGTCACAAATAACTCTTTTTTCTCTTTGTTTAATTCCTTTGGACTCTGTTTCTTCGATCTGTTAACAGAAGGCTACTTGATCTGATGAAGTTTTTATCAAGTACAGTGAAGTCTTAGCATGGTACACGGCTAGAAAAATTTCAATCACAGTCAGAAGATTAATAACTTGCTATTCTGAGAGAATTTGCATAACATGGCGAAAACTTCCTTTGCATTTCACTGGTTGAGCCAGGGAGACGTTTGAAAGGGAACAAGGCCCTCCATAAGACTGAAAGAGAGCTCTGTGAGCTCAAGGAAATGATGCAAAGGAAACAAAGAAAAGATTGGGGTGGAGGGAAATTTCTGAAGTGATGCCTGTATATACAATCAAATGTGATAAGAGATAAAGATATGGACATAATTATATACATATTTTAGGGGGCATACGGGGTGGAATTATAATGAGCTTTTAATACAGCAGTGTCTTCATCTAAGAAGTGTACACAGCCTTGGTCAATCACAAACATAATACAAGGCCACATTTAAATAATGTTGTATCAAATAGAATAATTTGATGAATATAGAATAGAACACATTGGATCTGGACATCGCTTGCGTTAATTTGTAATATAATAAAGTATTAGGGAAGGATTTTCTATGAGTCAAATTTACTCTCTAATTTGTAGTTTCTCCGTATGCTGTATATGTTATAGAAGAATATGTGGCATCAAAATTTTCTAATTACTTTCCAAAGTTTCTATAATTTAGGACATCATCAAGCTCTGTCTATAGGTAAACAATGGGGATCACAACGAAATCGTTTCTACTTTGTACTTTGGCATCTGCCTCATTTTAATCACATTCTGAATTGTTTACACAGTGAGATGATTCTCACTATTGTTTGTGAAATTAAACTATGTTTAGTGGAAGCCTGAAAGAGAAAGGTTATCTCAATGTCCAGTCTGGGTTAATGGAAAGGAAGTGATTGATTGAAGCTGGAAAGAACTCTAAGTCGTACACAGTCTGAAAAAAATGGACGTAGAAACTTTTTTTGAGCCTTCCACCCAGATGTGAAAACTGGATATCCTTGATGACAATTGTGGATATTTCTTGTATTTGTTTTCTCCATTTCTCATTCAAGTAGCTATGGTTCCGTCCTCTGTTTATCCATTGCCAAGTAATTGGGAATCAAGACAAGTAAAACTTGATTATCTTTGACACCTTTTGATGCTCTCATGCATCTACTTGTCATGCTTCTCTTGTCACCCGATTTCATCTACCTGTCATGCATCTACAGACGTCATTATGTGTCCGTTCAGATGCTACTGGTATGTGACTATGCTGCCTATTCTTGAATGTCTCGTTTTTTATGTTCTTTTATCAATAGAAGTGGCCTTATCGAATCTTGTGCAGTCAATTTCATAATTTAGGTTCAAATAGTTTGTAATATTCGTAAACGGATTTTTTACCTTAGTACCTTCCTTGTTTAACTTAATTTAAATGTTTCAGTGGTGCTGGGTTACATGTTGGTCATCCTCTAGGATACACAGCGACTGACATTCTATCTAGATTCAAGCGCATGAAAGGTTTCAATGTCTTGCATCCAATGGGATGGGATGCATTTGGTCTTCCTGCAGAACAATATGCCATTGAGGTATGCAGGACCATCGAATCTAGTGGTTCTGACTCTATGTTGAATTAGCTGCTAATCTTCCATGCTTTTTTACAGACTGGTACCCATCCAAAGATCACAACTATGTGCAATATCGAGCGCTTTCGATCTCAGGTTCTTGAAATCCAATGCTTTGTTTTATTGCTATCAAACGTAGAAACAAATTGTTAGAATAAAGGGCCTTTTGATCCGAAGTTTCATGTTGTTATTCTTTTACTGAAGAAACTTTATCTGAGAAACATCTTGCCAGCTATCTTTATTAATTTTATAAATTCACTTACAGATTCTAATCATCTCATATCCTCGCACAAGTGATTCATGTAGTCAATAGGATTAGGTGCATAATTATGTTTTGGGAAATTTCTAATCTGTGGCCTGGAAGTATCCTCCCTCGCTCCTTTCCTCCAAAGGGAATAAGGATACTCCTTTATTGGTTATCTTGTCAAAATTTTGCATCCAATTCACTTTCTGATGTTTCAATTTTTAAATTCCATGACAAAAATACCTGATTTGTCATGCACGAGGCGACCATCTCTACCATATGATCGAAATATTCCTGTGAGTGGTGGCGATGGTCATTTGATTTTTACATCCCAAAAGCAGAAATTATGTGACAAGAAATTTCATCCCATTGAGAGTAGTCTCATTTCCTGTGCCCATGCCTCTTCTAATCTATGGATTTACTCGTGGCTAACTTCAACTGGAACCTTTTGACCTGGTTGAAAAAAACACCCTCATGATTGTCACAGATATAACGCTTTTTTTGTGCAACTCATCGTTTTCAGTAATTGCAACCGAAGTCTATTTGCTATCTGGATAGTCCCAAGCATAAACAATAATCTGTTTATACAGAAATCTGTCTGAATATTCCTAAGTAAAAAAAAGAATCTATCAGATGTTTCCTCAAAAGCCAACTGAAAGATGTTCAAACCTTGAAATCATGCTGAATTTTTTTTTCACATCATGATACTTTCAAATTTTCACCTGTCTCTGCTGGTCTTACAAAATTATGAGAACTGAGACCAACATAATTTTAGGAATTACACAACATTCTGGATTTTTGTTGATTATGCTATTTTTTAGTATCCCTTGTTGATTCTTAAACTAAAATGAGACTATGAATGCTCAAAATCGTATTTGATTCGATCATAGCATGAAAACTTGCATTTTATTGTGCTCTTCCTGACGTTTCTCTTGGAGTTTCATATTGAGATTATATTCTGGTGTTTTGCTTTCAATTTCTTGGTTGAACTTATCGTCTGCCAGAGGCAGGAATTTCATCTGAATTTTTCTCATGAGTCATTTTATCGTATATTAATGATATGCACGTAAATATTTCTACAGCCAATTTCAATAATGATTTGCTTACTAACTAAAAAATTCTTTGCAGCTTAAGTCATTAGGTTTCTCATATGATTGGGATCGTGAAATCTCAACCACAGAACCTGACTACTATAAGTGGACCCAGTGGATTTTTCTTCAGATTCTGAAGAAAGGGCTTGCATATCAGGTATCTGACACTAGTTTCGGTTTTTTGACCTGCAATGTTGCCAGTTTACGGCGCCAGTCTTTTTTCTAGCTATGTTTATCATTCTATATATTAGTAATTGGTGTTACTACCTTTCATCTCTGATTATTTGAGGTCACATTTCAGGCTGAGGTTCCTGTTAATTGGTGTCCAGCGCTTGGTACCGTTTTGGCCAATGAGGAGGTGGTGGACGGGGTAAGTGAACGAGGAGGTTACCCTGTAATAAGAAAGGTATGTATCATCATCTAATTATTCATATTAGCGAAGGTGTTTTGAGTTTTACTTTAATTTTAAAATCTTTTATACATGATTGATAACATTTTAGTTTGCCATATATCCTTGTATTCTCCAACAGCCAATGCGTCAGTGGATGCTCAGAATAACAGCTTATGCTGATCGTCTTCTTGATGACTTGGATGATCTTGATTGGCCAGAAAGTATAAAAGAAATGCAACGTAACTGGATAGGCCGTTCGGAAGGTGCTGAATTAGAGTTTCCTATTGTTGGTAATCATGAGCAGGATCAAGGTGTGAAGCTGTCTGTTTACACAACCAGACCTGATACCATCTTCGGTGCAACGTACATTGCATTCTCTTTCTTTGGTTTATCATTTTGAACATAATTCACTTATTTAACATTGATATGTACACTCTGGTAATTGCTGATGTCTTTCTATAAAGCTAATAATATATATTTTTCCCAGATATCTTGTTGTTGCACCCGAGCATCAATTGTTGCCATCTTTAATCTCTGAGGACCAACGCAAAAGTGTGGGTTTTACTACTTATTTTCGTACAAATTATTTACCTGCATATTCTTATGCTCAGATGAAGATTAATCCATGAAAAATGCAGGTTGATGAATACTGTGAGATTGCTGCAAGAAAAAGTGATCTCGAGAGAACTGAGCTTCAGAAGGAAAAAACTGGGGTTTTTAGTGGTTCGTATGCTAGAAATCCAGCTAATGGAGAAGTCATTCCCATATGGGTAGCTGATTATGTTTTAGGAAGGTTTATATTTCCTATTACCTTCTTCTATTTCAGATAACTGAAAATTCCAATTTCTCATTGAAAGTGTGAGGCGTATGTTTTCTTGTCACTTAATTGTGTAAACAGAACCTCATTCACCACATAATCTGGGATTTTAGCTAGTCACATTTTTATGCTTGATCTTTTATACTGGCCTAATTATGCAAAGATCAGGTGGCTGTAATATAATTTCTATTGTTGTATCTTCATGTAGATGGAAGTAGCCCATCACCTTTTCATCTAAATTGTATCAATCTTCATTGATAATATTTCCGAATCGTATGAATGTAAACTGTCATCAATGGTGAAAATATGCACGAGGCTATGGTTTTGAAGTAATCGTTTGAGTTGTAAAGCCGAATTTTAACTTGATCAGAACACAGATCCTTTCTATTCGTCTTTATTATTTAGTACGGTGCCCTGAAATCGTTGAATATTACACAATAGAAATAAATAAATGAAGATAAAGAAACACAAATTTGTAGCGGAGGTGTACCAAACATCTGTTTTTGAATTATTGGTGCCATAGTAAAACTTATGCTAGCACAGGGATGAACAAACTGTTATGAAGTCAGAAAGAAGTCAAGCCATGATGCATTTTGGCACTGACACTGATAGATTATTTATGAGTAAATACATTCTTAATCATCTTCTGAGAAAACAATTGTTAACATATCAAGCTATCTTGGTATTCTCGTATATTCACGAAATGTGACGATCATAATCTTTGTTTTTTTATTCTACAAGAGACACGCAGAACATGTTTTTACCTTTTTCTGTAGGTTGTTTTTCTAAAATGAACGCAGTGCAATATCAAAAGTATCTAGTGATTTTACATACAGAGTACGTCCAATGTGGGTTGCTCACCACTGTTTCTGGAGGTTGTTAGTTACAGCTATTTTATTCCAATGAAACCGTTCCGATTGTCCATGCCCCTACTCATTGTGCTCTCTTCCTTTCTGCTTCTGTCTCTTTCTTGGCTATTATTTTAAGACGACAAAAGTAGTGTATACTTTTAACAATTTTATTTTATTTTTTTCTTATTTCTTATCGAGTATTTTGGGTGTTTGTTCAACTATCCACTTTCAAAATAAAAATCATATATTATTGCTACTACCATCATTGCTTTCGCATGCACTTCAATTAAGTTGTCAGAGGTTTTTTGCGTCCGCCCAATGTCATTTTCCTGCAACTACTTTAACTCTATTGTGAGAATATATACTGTAGATTTGTGATGAATAATTCAAATATGCACTTATTTCATCCTTTTTATATGACACCGTTATTTATCACAATTATTATTATTCTGTTGAATTTCAACATGAAATTATGTTACTGGCTCTTGGTCTTCTGAGTGCGTTTTTGAATTCTCCAATCTCCTTTTGGGCCAATAAGATTTTTTCTTTCTGGCCTGTCAATGGTAACTAAACGTATTGGATATATTATGGGATCATTTTTTACTGATTGTGAAGAGTGCCATTTCAATAGAAGATATATTTGCTTAAACTGTCTATTATTTGACACTTTTATACGTTATTGAGTGATTCACGAAAATTGAAATCGCTCTTGTCGTGAAACATGTAGACACCTGGCTTGCTCGGCTCATGGACATAAAATTTTGACTATCACTTCTATTCTGATGTTTTTTGTGCTAGAACATGTAAACTGGGAAATTTACAATAGCATGGTCACAGTTGTAATTTTGTGATGACAAAACCCCTTATAATATTGTTTCATGTCTTATTTTTTTGCAGCTACGGTACTGGAGCAATAATGGCTGTACCTGCTCATGACTCTCGTGATTACGAATTTGCTCTGAAGTACCAAATTCCAATAGTTCAAGTTGTGGCTCCTGCGAGTAAATCTTGTGATGATTCTAATGAGCCATACACAGGGGACGGTCTCATAGTAAACTCATCAAATTCGTCATCTGAGCTCAATATCAATGGCTTATCCAGCAAACAAGCTGCCTCAGAAGTGATAGATTGGCTTGAGAAGGCTGGTTTTGGCAAGGGAAAGGTCTGCTAGTGATGTTTTGACTCTGTCATGTAGACATTGCCTTTTTGTCTTTTGAAACAATGTTCATTCTTACTCGTGGGTTTATTGTATTAGGTAAACTACAAATTGAGAGACTGGCTTTTTGCTCGGCAACGCTACTGGGGTGAACCTTTTCCTGTGATTTTCCTTGATGAGACAGACGAAATAGTACCACTTCCGGAAGATGAGTTGCCCATTACCCTTCCAGAGTTGGCTGATTTTACTCCTACAGGAACAGGCGAGCCACCTCTGGCAAAAGCAGTGTCTTGGGTATGCCCAGATTAAAATTGTTTGCTTGACTGTTCGTCCCAGAATAATGTACCTACCTCTGAAATTTAATTGTTCTATATTTTTAAGTGAAATATATAAGACTTGCATTAGATTATTATTTTTCTCTGTTTCTAGGTTAAAACTGTTGATCCAGCATCTGGGAAACCGGCAAAGCGTGAAACAAGTACAATGCCACAATGGGCAGGATCTTGTTGGTAATATGTTGTTTCTTGTTGCTTGTATCTCTAGTTTTTTTTCTTGATTCTAGCGGCTTACAATGATATGATTTTTCTTATACTTTTCATATTAGGGGATCCTCTATTTTTTCTTCTATTTTTTTAAGGTGATCCCATGCTCTTTTGTAAAGCGCTTGTCCACACAAATTTGGATGTTCTAGTGTGTTTGTTTTCATATTAGGGTATCCTCTATTTTTTCTCCTATTTTTTTAAGGTGACCCCATGCTCTTTTGTAAAGTGCTTGTCCACACAAATTTGGATGTTCTAGCGTGATTTTTCTGATACGTTCCTCCTTGGAAGGAACGGATCTGAGTGAATCCGGAGACAAACAATTGTATTGATTCTCAAAATTGGGGTGATGTTGTAGGATAGAACATCAGGATGACAGTTCTATCAGGATACAAGGAAAGAAAGAGAGAAAGAAGAGTAAAAGGGGTGGGGAATGAATTCGAGAGGATTCCCCTGCCTCTCCTGGTTCCGACTGTTCTCCCCTTGATATGATCCCTCTCATTTCTTCTGGAGCTTGCATAAAAAATATTTATTTCTCAGCATATCAAAGATAAAAGTTTTTTGTTCCATAAAGAAAAAGTGGTTTTGTATAGTCCTCACATGTGCTGTGCACCTGTCCCCCTCTTACACCTTCTATATGTCAGTGATGGAAATAGCTTGAAGAATATTACTGATTAATGGGGGTACACATGAATGCCTGATACATAATACATTCATTTATCAACCTTAAATTTAGGAGTGCTTGATAATGAAGTGTCACTCAATTAGCATCAGCTGCTTGCAATGGTCTGTTAGAGAGACAAGGATTCATTATTTTTATTTGTCGGTCTGGCAAACATGCTATCCGAAGCATGTCCAAATATTTCATGTCAAATTGGGAAGGACTCCTCTCTTGGTGGTCCGAGTACAAATACTCAGATACTTGCTCAGACCAATTTTTAAAGTATAAGTTATCATATAATCAATTGGGCTGACAAAGATTCTGGAATGAATCGAAAATTTCAGGTGATTCACTTTATGATGTGTTTGGATTCCCTAGTTGTTGAAGGTTATACAGACGAAGCTAAAAGTCTTATAGTCTTCTCTGTAGACGATCTCTCGTGGTTAAAAAATTAATACATCCTCTTGCATGAGTCTCAAAGTGCAAGTTTTCTGTAATCTCTTTTCTTAGCAAATCTTGGCCTCTGAATAGTTTTTGTACCTAGGTCCGAAACAGAACCAATTACTATGCTGTCTGTCTGAGATTTTTAATCTACTATCTGGTGAAATTTAGCAATCTGAAAATACACACTGTAGCATGTATTTTGTTAATTTTGTATTCTCACAACTCCATGTATAAAACCTATGAGGTAATTTATGTTGAAAAGTCATTATTCTGTAGCATATTGGGAGATGTAATGCAAATTTATTTTGAGGAAATTCTGTATGAGTAATTGATTGTTTTCCTCTTTTAGGTATTACCTGAGATTCATGGACCCAGAAAATCCAAATGCATTGGTGGATAAGAGAAAGGAAATGTAAGCATGACCTGTATCAACATCATGCATTATTGAACTTCCACTTTGATATCCACTGAGTAATTTATAAAGTGATCTTCAATTTGTAGGTATTGGAGCCCTGTGGATGTTTATGTTGGTGGTGCTGAGCACTCTGTTCTCCATTTACTTTATGCAAGGTTTTGGCACAAGGTAATCGTCAAATCATTTCCATGTTAATTTCTTGCCATGGTTATTGGAGTGATAATTCCATCTTACTGTGTTGTCCAAGATGTGAGAAGAACTTGTGGATATCTCATCTGATCACAAGTAGTTTAAAATTGAGATCACACGTGAAAAAACCAATTTCTGAAGAAATTCTATCACCCCCTTAATTAAAAACCCAATTCCTTCTGGCCATTTCTGAGCATAGTAAAAGCATTAAGTACCTGACTCCTGATTTAGTGGGATAGGATTTTGTTGACCAGTATAATAGATCATCAAAACAAGAGACGACTCACTGTTTCCTTTTAAATTCAACATATGATTTGGTACTCATTCAGTTAAGTTTTGGAATTTTGTGTGATACACGATAAAAAATCGTTTGAATGCAATTTTCCACGGAAATATCTAATCTTTACTGGTGCAAATTCATTTCATCTTTTATCATCATCATCAAATATACTATAGGAAGGTCGCACATTGAAGTGACCCTTGATTTCTAAACTCCAATTTCTTGTTCCCTCTCTCTAGTTGTCGATTTGGAACTGAGATACCAGATTTATTGTTCTGGGAAATAGTTCAGCTTCAGAATCTGTAAGATTCTATCGAAGCTGAATGTGACATCCTTACTCTGAATAATACTGGGTCTGATTAATTAATGTCAACGGTTCTCTCGTTATTTAATACGAGTTTACGAATCACAACAAAAGGTTATTATGACCACCAGGGATCTTTCAGAATTAGATAACTTTCCAATACCCTACCTGATATGATGCAATAATTTTTTTTGCTTGTTTTCCTATTTTTCAGCTAACAGGTGAAGATAGGATTCAGAAGAGGGTTTATCTATCACCGTAATTTATGTAGTCATATTCTTGATGAACTGCCATTCAATTGTGCGAAATAGTCATACTCCTTGTAAAGACGCTCTGATCTTTTCCATCTAGCTGCCCCGTCCGTCATATAGAGTTTAAGAAAATAAGTATGATCCTGCAGCAAACATTAATCATTCTCATGGATTAGAAATCTGACATATCTGCGTATGCCTTAGGAACTAGGGCCAATTAGGTCAACTGTAGGACTAACTAAACAGAGCACCATTTTTATCCTAGCTTAATGCCCAGAATTGTCTTTATCCTCATGATGCCATTTGGATCAGGTGATCTATGACCCTATAAGATGTGAAAGTTTTTCTGGTACTGTCAGGTGTTTTAGATACACTTCTACAAAATGTGTATTCGTTGATAGCATACATAGATCATATATTCCGCTTTCGATTCCCATTGAAGAAATTATGAGGCTAGTCACGGGATTCCTTCATTATATTATTACAAGGTTATTCTATGCCAGTATTCTTGGCCATTGAGCTGCAACGTCAGGGACTTGTCTATTGGTTTTAAAAAGCACCGTGTCAGTGACATAACTGGTTCCTGCCCCTGCATGTCCTTCTTGATACGTATTCAGGGCTATTCGAGAAAGCTCTGTATTTTTTTTTACTCGATATCTAGTATTGTAGATTTGGGACTGAGGATGGCAGCCGGAGTGATTTCCAGGTTTGTATATCAGAAGACACTAGATCAGAAACTTATAGAAATGTTCTAGATTGAATCGTGCAATGCTTAATACGATCCAATCTTCTTATAAATTTCTTTCTTCTTGACTCTTGTTGCTTGTCTCAGGCTCCCCAGTGTGTTTGCTTCCCAAAATGGCCTGAGCTTTTCCAGGTTAATAATATTTTTCATAGTCCCTTGCGGTACAATATCCTGTAACATTTCCACCGTGAACATTGCCAACGATTTTCAGAGGCATACAACAAAGCCCGTTGTTCATTGTTCATTGAACAACGATTTTCAACGGACAAGTGCTGATAGCTCATTGTCTACACGGCATTGTAAACAGCAGTTTACACCATACAAATTCTTTTCTTTTTCTTGTGGAGCTAGCTTTGAATGATTCTTATTTAGGCTCCTTAGATTTACTTGAACTGCTTCGTCAATGGCCACACACAGGTTGCATGAGCTTTAGGATCAGCCTGAGGTTAGCCTGCACTGTCAACCTAAGAACTTGATTGCATTTTTTCATTTCATTTATAAAATCAATTGATGGAGTGCACCTTAATGTTAAATTATAAACACTACGTTTTGTGGCAGAAGTATTTATTGAACATATTTTATTTAGACACTCATAACAACAGTTTTGGTTTTGTGGCAACATGTTTCATCCTTTTGACTGGCATTTCACTGTAACATGGGCTGGTTTTCTTCCTTACACATTTCATTTCTTATCTAACAGAAAACATGTACGCACTGCATAAAAATTAGGCTTTTGGATAGCTTTCCAATTGATTGTGATTTTATTTGCCTGACACCAATCCTGTGGTTAGAATTATTTTATAACATTATGTTTTCCGTCTCCTTTTTTGCAAATCTTGGAGTCTTTCCTGTATTTTATACATATTTATTTGTATTTATATTCAACAACTCGCAGCATGTTGGCGAATAGTTCTTTAATTTAATCATCCAGGCTTACACAAAGGATTTTTGTTTTAGGTTCTCTATGACATAGGTATTGTTTCAACGAAAGAACCTTTCCAGTGCCTGATAAATCAGGGTCTCATACTCGGAGAGGCAAGTATATTTATGTGTTGTACCGCCGTCAGTTATGGTGTCACCTCCACAAATTTCTGATAGTTTCGGTAGCAGGTTGAATATATGGCATATAGAGACAAAGACGGAAGACTGGTTTCAGCTGACGCTATTGATAAGGTGGCAGAGCACCTACAGGAAAGGATACCCCCGGAAAATGTCTGTTGATTGATATCCAGACTTTCAGAGATGATACGTCTTGCTTATCAAGAGTGTTATATTCAACTGAGCATTTAATGTTATCTTTTTTCTTCTAGGTCACAAAAGATGGCGATTCCTATGTGTTGAGAGAAGATCCAAGCATTCGTTTGATTGCACGATCTTACAAAATGAGTAAAAGCAGGGGAAATGTTGTCAACCCTGACGATGTTGTTGATGAGTATGGGGCAGACTCTTTACGGCTGTATGAAATGTTTATGGGGCCATTGAGGTATGCAGCTTTTTGTGCATACAGAAAAATGCTCCCTAGCATTAATTTTCATCTAGCCCTTCCTCTGGTACTCTTGATTTCTCAGAGATTCGAAGACATGGAGTACTGGTGGGATTGAGGGTGTTCATCGGTTTCTAGGAAGGGTTTGGAGACTTATTGTTGGTCCTCCCCTTCCTAATGGAGCATACAACGACGGAACAATTGCTACTGATGATGAACCTACCCTGGAACAGCTGCGTACTCTACACAAGTGCATTCAAAAGGTTGTCTCCTTTACAATCATCATCATCACTTTTGATGATGCCTTTTCTTTACTATGAAATGTAACAGTCTGAAACTGTAGAATTCATATAGATGATCCATATTCTTCCGTTTGATTTTTTTTGTATTTGACACTGTACCTTTTGAAATGCGTGTACTCTTCTTCTAGTTGTTAATCACTATCGTTTTCTTCTCATTTGATTTGATTTTGTACGATATCTAAATTTGTGATTGGTTAGCATCATAATGCGATGTCCTAAATATGCAGATGTTTTATGCATTTTGGATCAGAACTATGTCATAATCTTTCTAGTGCACACTCAAGATTCTGCGTCCTTCAGATAAATTTATTCATAACAATTCGCTGGATTTCGATATATTCCTGTCGTAGTTTTTTCATTTCCCGATGAGAGATACAATTCTTTTTGCATTGAATGGCTCCACAGATATAATTCCGTTTAGTGACTAAATTTCTGGAGACCTCTTTGCTCTTCTCTTCAATTTGCTGTCTGGGAAATTCACTCATGTGCGTGTTTGGATATCCATGTTTAGCGATTCTGTAGTAGTTGTGGATGCTGCAGAATATGCTATTTCATAGAGCTCTGTTGCTTGGATTATAATGCTCCCTGGGTTCTTATGACTGACTCGTTAGGGCCATCTTCTATGTCATCGAAGAGGAACAAATTTGTCAACTTGGTCATCGCACAGGCTACTCCATCAGAGCATTTTCTGCAATACTTGGCACCTGCTTGGCACCTGCTTGGCTATTCTTCTGCTTTGATGTTGGTTTTGTTTTTCGTAATCTAGAAACTTTGAGTGTTAAATTTTACTAGCTATATTTTCATTTCTTCTTATCAGCTGACTTAATTTAATTTAATTTAATTTAATTCCTCCCTTGTAATGGCTCGCTTATTAACAAGATTCCTCATTTAAAATATTCTTACCACATCGATGAGTGAAAAGTTTTGTAGTGCACAGTGCTTAAGCTTTATCCTTACTCTTTTTGTTCTCACTTTCAAGTGAAAACACAGGGCGTGCATTTCAAAAGCTGCAATTGTCTATGCAGGTCACAGAAGAAATTGAAGATACTAGATTCAACACTGGAATTTCTGCAATGATGGAATTCACCAATGCCGCGTACAAGGTTCCTTAAATATAAAATACAGTTTGATTTCGTTCTTTTTCATATTATATTGCATGTGAACTATCAATTTTTAAAATTCACGTCAACATCTGTTCAGAAATTAGGGAAAAGACGGGTAAAGTAGGCTTGACAAAACCAAAGAATGTACAAAGATTCTTTTCATCTCACTAAGGCCATGAATATAATCTGTAATGGTGTGGCATTACGGATGCCCATACATTTTATTCAAAATTCCCCCCATTAGGACATAAATTCCAGACACTTTAGAGAGCAATACGAAAATGGCCTGGACTTGAATCCCACCACTGTCCTTGAGCCTATGGATGAGCTCGCCTCCAACACCTACACTTAGCAGCCGTCCAGCTGGGCAAAGTTCCTCGTAGCGTCAGCAAGTGCCACTTGGATTAACTAAAACAAGAATAAAAGCCCTGGAGAAATTCTCCTGCACTATTTTCGTCGTCGTACAGTTTTATCTCATCAATATAATTCAACATGGATAGCAATTGAGATATTCTTATCCGAGCAGGTTTTTACTTATAACTCTAATTCAAGAAGGTTGTGGTCCTTCCAATGATGAACATTAAAAGACTACATGACATGTGTATTTTCAGTCAAATCTTGTTGAAGGCTTAGATTTCATGTTACCTGTGGTGTCTTGGAAAGCCTACAGCTTGAGTTTTGCTGCACTTTTCATTACATTTACTTCCTTTTAAGGACCTGCAAGGTGCCTATTGATGTATTCTCTTGTTGATTTTCTGGTCTCATCTGGATGCATATCAGAGTCCATACACTTGAGTTTCTCATCTGGGTGTTATCTAGTGATCTCAATCGCCATTGTGGACGTTGGTTTTTGGAGTAGATTCCTTATCCATCTGATTTCTGCTTCCTGGTTTCATTCTTTTCAGTGGGAGAAGCTTCCGAAGTCTATCATCAAAGAATTTGTATTACTGCTGTCGCCTTTTGCCCCTCACATCGCTGAGGAACTCTGGTCGAGACTCGGGCACACAGCATCACTGTCGTACGAGAGTTTTCCAGAGGTATGAATGCCTCCCCCCCTCCTCTCCCCCCCTGAACCGCACAAATGTTGGTAGGATATCTTCTCCCGTTACTTCCTAACCGTGGTCTACCTCATCCATTTTGCGTTGACTATTTTATCCAAATTTTTATTCTAAATTTGGCTTAAATATCTCGTTGACCCCATTGACTTTCGTCATATACCTGCCTCAACGAGATACTTTTTAGATCATTACCAGTAACCTCATAGTATTGGTCAAATCCTTTGCACAGCGTGACACTCTAGCTCGTCTGATTGTGTTTTTCTTTCTTCTCACGATTCCTCTGTACTCAACGCTTATGAATCACCATCGAACATCTACATCTTTGAAACAAATTGGCCGAGGTAGAGCCGCTCCCCCCACCCCCAGAAGAAAACACACACATACGTGCATATTTTCAAGGAAAAATTATAGAAAGGAGAAGATCATTATCATATTTTCTCATTTCCGTAGTTTCTACTTGATTGTGACTCGGATCATCCCCTTTCTGTTACTTCTACTCGATTTTAGGTATGGTTATCTCCATCCTTCGGGCTTTACTTCAATCATTTCGATGATCATCTGCTTCACATAGTTCTTACTTTGTTTGGGGATATGATTATCTTTTCACATAGTTTTCACTTACATATGCTCATCATTAATCTGCTCTCTATAGTTTTTAGTCCTTGATTATGATTATGATTATGATTGCGATTAAGTTTATCTCCTTTGAATGACCGATCAGGCCAAAGACGAGTACTTGAGAGACACCAGCGTGGTGCTGCCAGTTCAGATAAACGGGAAGACGAGGGGTACTATCCTGGTCGAAGAAGGATGCTCGGAGGAGGACGCCTTCAGGATGGCTTCTTCCGACGAGAAGCTCGCCAAGTACATTCTCGACCAGACAGTGAAGAAGACCATCTACGTTCCTCGGAAGATTCTCAATGTGATCTTGGAGCAACAGAAGGTGGCACCCAGAAGTAAATAGTAAGTTCATGTGATTATTATTCTTATTATTGTCATCATCATCATTATTTTCCTCCATTTGTATTCCCCCTTCACCATCATGTAAAACTTTTTCCGAGGAGGACCGGGATGAAGAGTTTGAGCAACAACCCAGAAAAGTTTCAATTGGATCCTCACTAAAGACACCCCAATACATTCTCTCTCTCTCTCTCTCTCTCTCTCTCTCTCTCTCTCTCTCTCTCTCTCTCTCTCTCTTCCACTCTCTCTTCCTCTTCCTCTCTTTCTCTCTCTCTCTCTCCTCTCTCTCTTCCTCTCCCTCTCCCTTCCTCTCCTCTCCTCTCCCTCTTCTCTCCTCTCTTCTCTCTCTCCCTCCTTCTTCCCCCCTCTCTCTCTCCCCCTCTCCCCCCCCCTCTCTCTCTCTCCTTCCGCAAGGTATTATCTACGTGATTATTAATAAAGCGGACTCGGCTGGGCTGCCCCCAAATGGCATCTTCATCCCCCCGGGATTTTCCTCCGTCTTCTTCCCCAGCTTGCTTTTCTCTGAGAAGGCTGACTGTATATTTCCTGCATGGTTCCAGGACGGACGGAGAGAGAGAGAGAGACGCACAGAACAGCCTCTGTTACAGTGGGGTAAATCTCATGAGCCCCCGTCCTTCCCACGCATGCATGAGCTAAGCAGCCCATCTCTCTCTCTCTCGCTCTCTCTCTTACCTAATGTACAAGAGTATAAGGGGCACGGCTTTCCTGTCTGGCCAAGCTAGCTCGTCGTATTCAGACAGCCCGGAGGTCTATTCAACACACACAAGACAGGTGTCTGCATCATTCTCTATTTAGTTCGTGCATGGAGCACGTCCGCGTCTTCTCATTCTTCGCACGCCAGACCACCCCATTTTCTTAATGAAGGCTTATTTTCTACGTAAATGGCAACAAAAAATATATATGAGGAAATATCATGTAGGAAAATGCTTCCCCTATTCAGAACAAGACCTGTAGACGTCTATGTTCTTAACTACACTTCAATATTATTAAACTAAGACCATTTTTCAAATCAGACAAAACTTCAAATGATAGTCAAACAAGGTGGTTTCTTCAGCATCACCATTTAGTTGGGCTTGCTTTGGACCACATCGAGTCAACTCAGCCCTTTATAAGCATTTATAAGATATAGATCAACATATTGCCAGTGAGAGAGAGAGAGAGAGAGAGAGAGAGACTACGAGATTCTTGAGGAAATCTGAGAACCCGGGTGCAAGTTTTTGGCCTTATTGCTGGGATTCAACCTTATCGGGTCATACCATCTGGGGTTATCTTAAACCACGTGCAGAGCACTACTAATCTCGGTCTGACCTGTTCTAAGTCTTGTGCTGGAAGGTTGAAAATTACTGCTGACCTGCGGAAGTCTAACCAGAAATAGTGAACGTGTGATTTCTTAGCTGGCAGCAGGTGGGGAGTTGTAGGGGCAACAAGGATCAATAGGTCAACGCGGTTCCTCAACCAAAGCCTAGCAAGCCGAGCTGTGGGGACCGCCCACTGCCAGGGTCAACTTGCGAGGTCAACGGCTGCAAACCAGACATCCTGGGCTAATCAGAGAGAAATAAATTTTATCGTCACTAAGAATTTTTAATTCGTGAAAATTCCAGGTCATAAATGAAAACTGTAGGATTATCTTCCGGGCAGGGCGTCATCCAACAGGGAAACTCACCCTTTTTAGATAAATAAATTACTATAGTGCCGAAAATTATGATCCCTTGTCTCTCAATAAATAAGGAAAATCCTGACCTTTATCCGAATGCCATGATATGACGTTGACAATTTTTTCTTGAAAGATAGCCCGTGTAATTATTTTTCTTTGGAGGGTTTTTCGAACAATTCTAATTAATGGAAAGACATCCTCCGTCTATCGACACCACCACCACATCTAAATCGGCTGATCTTCGTCATTCTGGATACGTTAATGCTCCTCATTCCACAAAATGGGTTCGGCAGGCCGGTACATATATATACGTAGAGAGATCGAGAGAGGAGAGAGATAGAGGGGGCGAGAGAGAGAGAAAAAGATGGATACAGATAGACAGAAAGAGAGAGAGATAGGGAGAGAGATAGAGGGGGCGAGAGAGAAAGAGAAAGGTAGATATAGATGGACAGAAAGAGAGAGAGAGATAGGGAGAGAGAGAGAGAGAGAGAGAGAGAGGAGAGAGAGAGAGAGAGAGAGAAAGATGGATATTGATAGACAGAAAAAGAGATAGGGAGAGAATACAAAGAGAGAGAGATAGAGGGAGAGAGAGAGAGAGAGAGAGAGAGAGAGAGAGAGAGAGAGAGAGAGAGAGAGATAGAGAGGGAGAGATAGATAGATAGATATAGAGAGAGAGAGAGAGAGAGAGGGGGGAGTTACATGGGAGAGAGAGAGAGAGGGGGGAGAGGGGGGGAGAGAGAGAGAGAGAGGAGAGAGAGAGAGAGAGAGAGAGAGGAGGGAGAGAGAGAGAGAGAGGGAGAGAGGGAGAGAGAGAGAGAGAGGGAGAGAGAGAGGGAGAGAGAGAGGGAGAGATAGATAGATAGAGGGAGAGAGAGAGAGAGAGAGAGAGAGAGAGAGAGAGAGAGAGAGATGATCAGGTTGAGGGAGCAACTGAAGCCTTAAGGCGGGGGTTGGGAATCGGGTTGGGGTAGGAGCTGGAGGGCTTCCAAGAGAGTGAGCCTGAGCCTGCTCAGGTGAGGCCTCAAGCTCCGATTATCAATGTACAGAGATTTTATGGGGTCCTTCAGCACGGGGTAGCTCTCCGCGAGGGAGCTCTCGTCTTCCTTCACCCTGTACTCCAGGTACCGGAGCCCCATCCCCTCTGCCGGCTCCCTGAAGCTGCTCCTCGCCGGCCAGTCCACGCCCCCCGGCGGCGCCGCCACCTGGACCACCACCGCCGCCGGCGGTAGGAACACCATGTTGGCCAGTTCCGCCTCGCCGGCGGCGATCATCACGTCGGCGGTGTTCACCAGCCTGGCAAATAGGTCGAGCTCGCTCCTTCCGTCTAGATCTCCGGTGACCACCTCGAAACCCAAGCTTCTGGCCATCTCCGCCATGCCCCGCTCGTTGTGGAACTCCCTCGCCTTCTTTCTCGATATAATCAGCAGCCGCGGCTGGCGGCAGCGCCGCCCCTCCGCCGCCCGCCGGCGCAGCCCGAAGGACTCCACCAGAAGCTCCCTGAAGTCCGCCATGGAGTAACCCGACCGCGTGAGGGAGGCGTCCACTCTGAGCTCCCTGCGGAACACCGGCCCCAGGATGACCTTCGGGAAGCAGCGGACCTCGTCGGCGCCGATGCTGTCGCCAGCGTCGATGACCTCGTACCTGGAGAGCCGGCTCAGGAGGGGGAGGTACCTCGCCACCCACCATGGCTTGTTGTCGGAGACCAGGAGGTGAACCTCGCTGTGGAAATGGTAAGAGGTTATGAAGAGCGGGATGAGCACGTCGGTGAGGTCGTAGAAGATGTTGCCAGTGAAGCCGGCGGCGGAGAAGACGACGGCGGGGGCCGCGTGCGTCGTCGTGCAGGCCGGCGCCGCCGGGTCGCCGGCAGCAAGTTGCCGGATCGTCCACTGCTTTACGTCCGACTGGGTGAGGCTCCCCTTCCTCACGTACGGCCGGATCAGCCACACGGCGGCGGCGCCGCCTCCCGGCGCGGTGGCGGAACGGAGGAAGAAGATGGTGGAGTTGGCTTGCACCCTGACATCGCCCTCCACCTCGCAGATGTCTGATCTCTTCCCCGACGTGTCGCAGATCGGTCTCTTTTCCCTCTCCTTCTCGATCATCTCATCGTCATAGTCCTCTGCGAGAAGAAACACAGGATCATGGATTCTAGGAAGACGAAGAAATCTTTGAACAATGGACGATGCTCTGGTGATTACTTACCCAACGGTGGCAAGTTCTCCGTCGTCTGGTCATCTTCCACCCTCGCCGGTGCACTTAAAGCTGCGGAGGGAAGAAGACGAACATCTGTTAGCGAGCGAGCGAGAGAGAGAGAGAGAGAGAGAAGGGATTCGACAATAGTCACCATGAGGAGCGGGGCAGTGACGGGGCTTGATGAGCGAGAGGACACAGAGAGACAAGGCGAGGAAGGCGACAATGAGAAAGCTTCCCATCTTCATGGGTTCTTGCCTGCCGAAGCCCCTCAGATGTTTCATCTCTCCCTCCCTCTCTCTCTCTCTCTCTGGCTGATTTATAAAGCGAGGGAAAGAGCGAAATAAACCCACTCTCTCCTACGCTTCTCTGTTTTTGATGGGCCACGGTGGCGTTGACCAAGGCTTGATGGGCCATTTTCAGCACTGCTCACCGGGCCCATAATTATCCGCATTATTGCCCATACAACTGTGCCCTTCTTTAATTGGGCCCATAATCATTTGCCACGTGGCATCCCACTCTCTCTACTCAAACAGGATCTCTCTCTCTTTCTCTCTCTGATTTATAAAACGAGGGAAAGAGTGGAACCCATTTTCCCCTATGCTCTCTTTTTGATGTGCCACGAGGGCGTTGACCAAGACTTTATGGGCCATTTTCAGCACTGCTTACCGGGCCCATAATCAGCTGCAGTCGGCCCATACAACTGTAACCTTCTTTGATTGGGCCTATAAACAGGCTCTCTCTCTGTCTCTCTCCCTCACTATGTTGGCAAGGGTGTGTGGGAAATATGCATATTAAATAAATAAAAGGTGAAAATGTGGTTGGGACAAGTCTATAATAATTTTTTGGTCCCTCTGAAGAATATCAGAAAGGGGGTGAAATTAGTGAGGGGATGGGCTGCCGCCCTTCCCCGACTCGCTGAAAACCCTTCCCATCCGATCATCGACCGTTGAAAGTTGATCGGTCGGCTGGATATGGCTCAGCATTCCAAAGGCGGGGGACACTGGTTTCTTCTTTCTCCTCCGAAGAGGGTAGGGGGTTCTAGGAGGGTTTTTCGCCCTTCCACCCCCGCACGCCGGCGACCGCCGCCAAGGCATCCTCCATACATCCTTCCTTCTCTGCGGGATCTTCTGTGTCGGATCGTTGATTCTTCGCGATCGCCGCGGGATATCCAGATTTTGATGTGCAGCAACGCCGCCTTCAGCGTCTCCGCGAGCCGCCATCCCTTCGCCGTCGAGAGCGCTGTCCTCGCCGCCACGAAGGGGATCGTCCTCACCAATCCGTCGGTTCCAGGATCCCAAGACATGTGGAGGAGCTTCACCAGGAGGGCCTCCTCGTTGCCGCCGCCGTGCAAGTTGAGCCTTGTGGGAGAATCCTGCCCCGCCCGTCACACGCCGCTTCTCCTGGCGGTCCCCGGATTCTCGGCTGTTTCTTCTGGGGAGCAGCTAATTACGAACACTGCGTCGGAGCCAGGTCGCAGATGGTTGGTTTGCGTCGGCCTCCGATGGAATGGGCATACGACTACAGAGTCCTCTGGATCGTCTAGGAATCTGGCCGGGAAGAGTTTCGACGTGACTTGTCGTTACCGGGGTTTTGCCAGCGTTGCCGAGGAGGTCTCTCCAACAGATGCGGAAGAGGAGGCTGCTTCCATTGAGGGCCTCCAGGAGCTGATGGAAGAGCTTAGCAAGGATGGGAGCGAGGGTATAAAGCGGCTCGAGAAGTCTGAGGATGTTCAGCTGATGGTATTGACCCCACAGCCACTTCCTGGACAGCAGCAGATTCATCGGCAGCATCAGAAGCAGATATCTGGAATGGGCCAAAAGAAGTATTTTATGCTTCGACGTAGACAGATAAAAATTGAAACAGAGGCTTGGGAACAGGCTGCAAAGGAGTATAGGGAGCTGTTGGTGGACATGTGTGAGCAGAAGCTGGCCCCCAACCTACCGTACATGAAATCTTTGTTCCTGGGGTGGTTCGAGCCATTGCGCAATAGGATTGAGGAAGAGCAGCAGGCTTACAGAGAAGGAAAGAGTAAGGCAGCTTATGGCCCTTACTTTGATCAGTTGCCTGCAGAGATGATGTCAGTGATAACGATGCACAAGTTGATGGGGCTGTTGATGACTGGAGGTGGTGATGGTAGCACGCGGGTGATCCAAGCTGCATGCCAAGTTGGTGAAGCCATTGAGCAAGAGGTGGGCAAGAAATAGCTTCATTTTTAATAGGAAGCTGTTTCAAACCTACTATTCATTGGGATAAGTTTTTAATTTCCATTTTTCGATGATTTCTTCTACTTTCTGTTTCAAATGGGCATCTATGCTACGGAGTAGCAGTTCTGAAAGTTTTTGTTTAACTTTTTATTTATCGGATTTAAACCAAGGATCCCTTTCTTTACAAGGGGAAATAGTTGATGATACATAACATATGTGAACATAACGTCCAAGAACTCTCTCTGTCCTCGCCCTCCTACACAGAAAACGAAAAAATGTGTTTTTCATTAACCTACCCGGTAGAAACTCTGCCAACCTGTCACATATTATTGCTATTCTTATCTTCATTACTCTATATATTAACTATGGTATTGCTGGGTGCTAGAATGCTCAACTGCTCGGCCACTTAGTGAAGACATTCATGTTTATGTCTCAATGAGGAACAACTGGATTTTTCAAGAACATGCTTCCTCAGTTAAGAGGGTAGGCAGTGCCATATGTGATTGAGTGCGAGAGCAGTCCATAAACTTTTGTAATGAGTATGGGTAATGTTCGAGCTGCTTTGATCTTGAGGGGTTTTAGAGGTTTAACCTGGGCTCATATCTTGACATAGACTGTAAATGTGTTATAAATAGGTTCGAGGTTCTTTGAAAGCCCAGTGGATGTAAAATATCCTATTTATTTTTGCATGTTTCATTCACTAGTGTTACCCTCCACATTTAAGAGAAACGTTTAGATCTGTGATTATTCCCAAAAGAGTACACGCCGATGAGATGAATAAATATAGATATGTGACATTATTATATTCATGGTAACTATCACCTAGTATAGCAGAATTGGTTGAAAGAAACCAATCAACTTTTGTGGAGTTAAGGTGTATCTTGGATTAATTTTATGTCAACTTATGCAGGCATTCATTCCCCGATGGTAATTGGGAAACGTGCAGTTACTAATTTGGACATTAGTAATGCTTTCGATAGGGTAAGCTAGAATTGGACATGAGCTTCATTTCTAGAGTAAGAATTTCCATCTTCATTAGTTGTGGATCATGTGGATATTTCAGAGTTTCTGGGGTTTGAGGAAAATGGATTCTCTCCACTTTCTCTTAAGTGGTAATTATTAGGGGATTCGTATTTTTTGGAATGGCATTTCACTTACCCTCAATCTTTAAAGGACGTTATTTTCCTTGAAAAAAGTTGATTTAGAGGGCGTTGAATTTTTTAAATTGTTGGTGATTTTACGCATGGCACTGAACTATGCATACATCTAGGAAAAATACAATTTCTTGAGTTTGAAAATTTGAAGGAAGTGATGCCCAAAGGTTTTATTCAATCTTAATATCAGTGTTATCAGGATTGAGGCATAATGGTTGAGGCGTGGATAATTTATTGAGCTCAGCTCAGATTGGAGTTCGTATTTTAAGATATTGATGATCCTTTGCAGGTGCGCACTAACATTTTGGAATCATCAATAGATCTATTAAGCCGGTGGATAATTGTCATCAGTAATTGAAATTTTGATTAACGTTGTATTCTCATTATTCTTTTGCAATTTTTTTGGAACTTGGTAGCGGCTTCAATTTTAGTTTACCACTTGAAAGATGTAGCTTTTCTTTTTTTAATGATTACACGGAGCCTTTTACGAGGAAATAATATGATATTCGACATCTTTTTCTTTTGGGGAAGTCAGTTCTTATTTTAGAAATATTGAGCTTATACACCTTTATTACTTTCTATAAAATATATAGAAATTCATGTTGCATTTGTTCTAGTCATTCGTCTATTATATAACCTCAAATCTTTTTTTTTTGTTTGGTAACTTTTTGTTTCTCTTGGTATTCTTTTGTATATTGTAAAGTAAAGATTGTCTTTTGTGCTTTGTGTCCGTCAGACAGAAAGTTGATTTGTATATGGTTTGAATTAATCAGGTTAGGATTCAAAGATTTCTTGAAAAAACGAAGAAGAAGACTGGGAAGGCAAACGGAAGTGATTGTGAGGAGGGTGATGCAAAAGGGCAGCAAATGCTAAGAAATAGAGTGACCAAATTAATGAAGAAGCAGAAACTGCCTCAAGTGCAGAAGATATTAAAACAGCAAGATGATTTGAAACCATGGGGCCAAGATGCTCATGCAAAGGTTAGAGTTTCCCCAGAAATTATTGGGCAGAACCCTGGCTGTTGTGTTGAAAATATATGATCATGACTTGCAGTAATTCTCCTTTTTTTTATTTCTCTCAGGTTGGAAGCCGCTTGGTTGAATTGCTGATAGATACTGCCTATATCCAACCTCCTGTTGATCAGCAAGCTGATGGACCACCAGATATACGGCCAGCATTTCGTCACACCCTTAGAACAGTCGCCAAGGAGCAGCAGTGCGAGCTTTTGCTCTCCTTCTCAGTCTTCTGCTTTTATTTAGTCCAAAAATTTCTTGTCATTAATTTTTCTATTTTAAACAGGAAAAACAGCAGACGTTATGGGGTTATTGAATGTGATCCACTCGTTAAACAAGGTCTAGATAGAACTGTGAGTAGAATGACTAATTACGAGCTCAAGTTGTTATATGCCAATGGAACCTTTTTGTAGGGATTCTTGTGACATGCCAATCTATTATCTTTCAAATGAAGGATGTGATTATTGAGTGGATACATTATATGTTCAATTAGATGTGGCATGGAAGTAACGTGATTTATTTGACAGGCAAGGCACATGGTGATCCCTTACATGCCTATGTTGGTTCCTCCAGTGAACTGGACGGGGTATGTTGTTTTACAAAACACTCTTTAAAATCAATTTTTGGTCTCTTAGGTTTTATTTTGAGTTTTTTTTCCCAGGACTACTAGAGTTTTTTGACTTGGACAGTGATCTATTTTTATGCAGCACGCTGGATAATCCTTTTCTTCTCTTCGGTTTTGCCTTTTAGCTTTCTGTATGAGGTCTGTACAGGGAGATGCTTGTGTGTTAGTATAATTGTTAACGTTATGAGAATGGGATATGATAGTTTGATTACTGTTACAAATTGTCAAAGTCGATGGTCTAAAACGTGGTTAATCGACTGACACCATCTGCCTAATTTTGATACATGTTAAATGGTGCACTTAAAAACTATTATTTGTTCTTTTGTAGATATGACAAGGGAGCACACCTTTTCCTGCCATCTTACATCATGCGCACACATGGATCAAGACAACAACGTGAGGCAGTCAAGAGGGCACCAAAGAGCCAATTACTAGAAGTTTATGAGGTGCGTTGACCATTAATACTTACTAGAGCTAAGACTTTTTTGCTTTCATTTCATGTACTTTAGGTTACATCGTTGTGTATAGAGTTTGAAGTAGATGACCTCACTGTTTCTTTTCATATTTTAGAACTCAGGTCTACATTGGATTTCAACTTGTTCTACCATATGCATGGACGACAAGCTTAAACAATCTATGCACGGATTCATTTCTATGAATAAAATTCTTCTTCTGACATTATATTGTTTTTTTATTTACCAGAAAGTTACAACCCCTGTGCAATAATTCTATGCTTTTGGTTTTTTTTCTCGTCATGTTTTCATCCTCTGTTTAAATGTTGGAAGATAAGGTTGCTCCTTGTGGAATTGATTGGATGCATTTGATGAAAATCAGCACAAGTTATTTAACAGACATTTTAATGGGAAGAGATAGAGAAATGTAGTAATTGGGAATTTTATGGCTGGTGTAGCATTGGTATTGGGATACACCTGCTAATATGTTGTAACTTGGGATATACGATCTGAATTATTGTTTTAGGCCTTGGCTTTTTTTCGGGCCACACATCTGGGCTTTGTTGATGTATACTTTTGTTGATTTATGCGCTACTTGTCTATTAGACCGATGCAAGTGCATTATTAGGAGGCTGGCGAGAGATTATTAGAGTTAATTTGATAGCCCCCCCCCCCCCCCCCCGGCCCCCTGGCATGAACAGAAAATACCAAATATGTTCAAGATCTTCTGGAAAATTTTCTAAAGGCATGTTGACTTGTTGACTTGACTTGTCATTTGATCTGAAAATGGCCATTTCCAATGCAACAAATAGGCATGTTGACTTGTCATTTGATCTGAAAATGGCCATTTCCAATCAATTTGATTGCACTGATCTCCTTGAAGTTGTCTTTTACTTTCTCTCCAAATTGTATTGACTGTGTACTTATCATGTTTATATTTAACAATGACCATTTTCTGTCAATTTGATTGAACTAATCTCCATGAAATTGTCTTTTATTGCCTCCAAACTTATTGACTGAGTACTTGGCATGCATATATTTAGCACTGGTTCCCTAAGAAAATCTTCCTCAGGCATTAGATACGCTTGGTATCACAAAGTGGAGGGTCAACAAAAGAGTACTGAGTATCATTGACAGAATATGGTCCAGTGGAGGGCGTCTAGCTGACCTGGTTGATCGAGATGATGTAAGAAAATCTTGATCATAATCATTATTTGCCTTCTTTTCTCTTTCAGTCTTTCATTTTAATGGTCGTACCGCTCTTTTATCACAGTGAGGGTTTTCTTGGAAGATGGAGATCTGTTATAGTTTGTTTGTTACTGAAACATATCCTCATGTTCCAGATTTATTTATTAAACTGATATGCAGTATGAAATTTGTCGAACTTGTGTATTGTAGATTCCTCTGCCAGAGAAGCCAGAGACAGAAGACGAGACTCTTATTAAGAAGTGGAAGTGGAAAGTAAAGGCAGCAAAGAAAGAAAATAGTGAAAGGCATTCTCTACGTTGTGATGTAGAACTTAAACTTGCCGTAAGACTTTTATACAGAACTTAAGATATGCTTGTTAAGGTTTAATCAACAAAAATGATGATTAGTACTGAATTTTCCCAGGTGGCCAGAAAAATAAAAGACGAGGAAGGTTTCTATTACCCACACAATCTGGATTTCAGGGGCCGTGCATATCCTATGCACCCATATTTGAATCATCTTGGTTCAGATTTATGTCGAGGGATACTAGAGTTTGCAGAAGGAAGACCTCTTGGACAATCAGGCTTGCGCTGGTTGAAAATACACCTTGCTAATCTTTATGCTGGTGGTGTAGACAAGTTGTCATATGAGGGTAGACTGGCATTTACTGAAGATCACTTAGACGATATTTTTGACTCTGCTGATAGACCACTTGAAGGCAAACGTTGGTGGTTAGAGGCAGAGGATCCCTTTCAGTGCTTGGCTGTTTGCATCAATCTTGCTGAGGCATTGAGAAGTTCCTCACCAGAAACTACTATTTCACATATTCCTGTGCATCAGGTAAGTTTTGTATCTCAGGATATTCCAACTGTATCCATGACTGGCGACATGAGCTTTCTCTTCCTGCTGAATTGATTTTTTTACATTATATTATTTTCATAATTTCTAAAAAACCTTTAGCCATTGACTGGTTCTGTTTACAGGATGGATCCTGTAATGGTTTGCAACATTATGCTGCTCTTGGGAGAGACAAGGTCATTTTTTTTATTATCATTTGTTTTGTTATTTCTTTCATATTCTGTTTGTCTCATTCTAGATCGTTATCCATGAAACTCTACATCATTGTGAAATGTCCTCTTTTGTGATGTCAGAGTCTTAGGTGTCTTATTCTTTTTGTACGTGCAGGAAGGGAAAATTCATGGTCACTATTTTTCTGTCTTCTGTAGAATAAGGTGTTATTAGCTGTTAAATGCTGTTTTCAGTAATATCTGATTTTACTAGTGATAACCTATATTCAGATCTTTACCAAGGACACCTTAGTATTCTGTTATGGGGGAGGGGATTTGTGCCTTCGATTTACATGTTGGACAGATACAGATTTAAATTTACAAGCATATAAATTTAAATCTGTATTTGGAATTTCTTCTTTGGTACGTGGATTGGTAAATTGTTGATTTCTATAAAACCCATTGAATGCGGCAATACTCACGGTTTACAAATGTTTGCTGAACTCGTTGGTCGGAAAGAGATAGTAGTCCTTGTTGAATGGAGCATACCAATCTACATAGGGAGCTTAAAACCGTAAATGGTAGAAAGAATGCTCTACGAGCTGATTTCCTTGTATTTTGCACAATTTTGCCTGGTTAATTCCACCCTAATGTTGGACCATTTCTCGATTTGTGCGTGTCATCCTTGCGCAGGGGCCATGCTAATCTTCTCTGTATCGTTCCAATTTTATCGGATGCCCCCGAAGGGACATCCTAATGTTGGAAGATGTTCTTGGGTTGCGTAGGGTCTGTAAGTAGGTATAACTTTTCCTTAACAAAAATCCGAGCTTAAAAAGAGGTTACCAGCTCCTCGCTTTGAAGGTATCCTTTTCATCGTTTTACACTTTCATCACATATCAATGTGTCATACCTACCATTTAAGTTCATGGCATGAAAATAAACTGACTGGCTTCGATCATAGCTGAATCGTTGGAAACAGCATATCCCAAAGGATCTCCCCAACCTCTTGAAAACAAGATGGACCTGAATGCATTAACATACCCTATCCCACTGGTGATCACTGACTTATTGGGATGCAGCTAGACATGATAGCATCTTCAGGGGGATGAGTGACATCTGTTAGTCCTTTCAGATCAAAAGCTGTTTTGGGCGCAGGGATAACGTTGGTCTGGGGTGGTAGGCCACCTCTTTTCAGATATCTTAAATGGTCATTGGGGCGCCATTGCCTTCTGTTTATGGATTCCTTCAGGTTACCCAAAAAAAATGGAGAAAGATGGCAAAAAGTTCGGGGGGACTTCGTTGGTGACTCAAACAGGAGTACGAGGTGTGATGATGACTGGTCCAAAATGCATTCCAGGACCTTCAATCCACAGATCTTTCAGCAGATAGGGATGCAAAAGTGTCAGACAGGCATAGGGCTTTTCAACGGTGATCTTAATTAAGTATAGGAATGTTATACCATACATTGATGAACCTAATGAATATCAACGCACGTTCACTTTAGATACGAAAGCAGACTTTTATAGATAAAAATAAAAAATAAAAAAAAAGTATTTGCAGGCCATTCGATTACATCATCCACCAATAGATGAATGCTGTGATCACTGGCATTGAACAGTAGATACATTATCATGGGTCTGAAAGAATGTGGTATAGGGTGTAATAATATTTTTGTAAGCCACTATGCTAGTGGAAGACTCCCAACAAATTTGCCTGCATGATTCTGGCACCTTTTAAGCCTGGAAGACTCGCAACAAATTTGCAGTTATTCACGGTTAATTATGTCAATTTCTGTTAAGAGGTGCTGAAGAGGGTTCTTGCACATTTGTTTACAAAATCCAAGCGTAGTATGACATTCTTCTATCCGCGGTCTTTGTGAGATTATATGCTTAATTGTATTCCATATAAGCGATAACTTTTTAATAGGGTGTTTGAAGCTATAAAGCCAATTATCATAGTATATCTATGACGATGGATCATTTAAGATAAATAATAATTATGCCTATCTCGTTATATTGTGTTGATTCATTTTCTAGTAATTTAACTTTAAATTCTAAAGAGGGTTCTACCGTGATAACTTTTATAGGACGCTTGTCTTTCTTGATGATTTGTGGGACTCTTGATCAATTTTTTCATCTCCTCCTTCCTCAGTTGGGAGCGGTTGCAGTCAATTTGGTTGCTGGAGAGAAACCTGCAGATGTCTACTCTGGGATAGCATCTAGGTATGATCGTGGCTCATGATAATTTTGGAATGCCTTCATGCTTTGTAATTCCACTTCTCTGAGAATTTGCGTGGACTATCTGTTACCTATCCGAATTCCTGAAGATTTGAGAATCTTTCTTAAAGTTCCTTAGGTACATAAGCCAAGAACGTGAATAGACATTGAAATCCGATTATGGAATTTTATTGGAATCTTTTTGCGGCCATGTGTTGTGATACATAATTTTCTAGCTTGCATGTTCGTTTTTAATGCATCAAAGGGCATCAGGAAATTATAATTTCTTTTGCTTCTTTGCATCATAATTGAGAAAAATCAATTGAAATGCAACGTAAAAAGTCAGTGCCACATCAAAATTAGGAGAAACCGAAATATGATGGCATGTTCCTGCAATTGGAGAAGAAAAACAACTCAGCGATCTGTTTCAATCCCATAGAGAGTTTCAAAAGAATCTCTCATTTTCAGCACTGATTTTGTCTTGAGTCTTAGTCAATAAGATCCCCTCTGCCGCCAAAGCCCGTTTTTTGCTTTCAAAGTCCCTGGTCCAATGTGCTAGAATTAGGTTTTACATGATAATTGATGTAACGATCATTGCGTTATATGCTCAACTTTTAATTTGCTTCTGTTTGTCTTGTATGCGCACGAATCGTGCTTCTACCTTTCTTTTTTGTTACCACCATGATAATATTGATCTTAATATCCCCTGCCTCAAAAGGTTTAATTTTGTATTGAACATTTTTTTCATAACGCATTTTGTATTACATTGTTTACTGAATGATGTGCAAATTCATAAGCACCCAAGTTTTTGCACTGCATTGCTTCATGCTCAGTAGCAAGTAAGAGAGACTTATCTTCCGCAGAACGTTGGTTCTTTCTTGCTTAGTATAGTGAGAAACCTAGTGATAAGTTGCAAAACTTTTGAGAAATCTCATGAGTACAGACTTTTGATAAACATCCTGAGAGGTTACAAATTTATGTAGGCCTAATTATCAAAAATTGTGGAATTATACATGATTATATTGAAGTTGAGAATGAAATATCATAATTTTGATAACTCTAAATATGTGAAAGTACCCCTAAATTATTGATGAGATCTCGTTTGAATTCCTTCACCAAGGAAGATCAGGCAGCTTCACTTTGAAGTGGACCATACAGATGATGAAATCTGAATTTGTGCTACTTCATCAGTTAATGCTGTAAATTATTGAAAGTTATGGAGATTATCGAATTTGGAGATACAACTAAAAGCGAAAGTTCGGTTTCAGTTCTTTTGTTAAAACATATGGAAATGGTTGTTTTAGAGTTTTGTGGGAGCTCTAGCTGTGGAATAATAAAGTTTCTAGGGAAGTTTAGATTTATTTGTAGAACAGGTGAATTAAAGGCGTCCTACTTGTCATGTGGTACATATTTTTAAGCCCGATACTTGAGTGGATGTGCTATCTTTTTGTTTGATGGTTCGTCATTAGATCACCTTTTCTGGCGACATAAGCACATTCTTCTACGGAAGTTTTGCCCTATTTTTTCTTTAAAAAATGATAAGCTATTATTAGTGATACAATTTCATTTCATAACAGCATTTCCATCTCTAGACCTTTAATGACTGATTCTACATTTATTCTTACATTACAGAGTTCTTGACATCATGAGGAGGGATGCTCAGAACGATCCTGCTACCGATCCAAATGCTGCTAGAGCGAGACTTTTAATATCTCAAGTAAATCGCTGTCTTTTGTTTTTCCCCGATAAGCAAGCTAGTTCGAGTGTTTCTTAAATGTGCCATGTTTTAGATGGAGCATCTTTGTCGTTCCTGCAGTAGTTGCCCAGTTATCTGTGACGCTGTTCTAGTCCCAAACCTGTATATCTTATGTATCCTTTGAATACATTATGAGAATCTCGATGCGTACCCGCAATTTGGTAGTGAATGAATTGCTGGTATTTCTAGTCAAGGTCTTTCAATTTCATTATGTGCTTTAAATAATCGGGACCTAATTTCATCCGAATTGACGATCCAGGTGGATAGGAAATTGGTGAAGCAGACGGTCATGACATCCGTGTATGGTGTTACCTATGTTGGGGCCCGTGAGCAGATAAAAAGAAGGTTGAAGGAAAGAGGTGCCATTGCAGACGACGCGGAGCTGTTCAGTGCTTCTTGTTATGCAGCCAAGGTATTTTCCTCTCTTGTATCAGAGCGTTATTCCTTCATTCAGTAGCTATTCTTTCTATTTTGTCATATCCCATTGGATGCTGAAGCATTCGACTGTTCTTATTTTCGTTGGTCAATCAGGTGACCTTGACTGCCTTGGAGGAGATGTTTCAAGCTGCTCGTGGAATCATGACATGGCTTGGAGATTGTGCTAAGGTTTCCCATTCCCATCTCTTTTTTTTTTCTTCTGCACAAGACATTAATAGTCGGCTTACTACCTCTTAATACCGTTTATTGTGGTTGTGTTCTTATGGATTCTGGATTTTAGACTAGCTGAGCACAGGAGTCTCACGTTAGTTACATGATTTTGTGCCTGCCTGCTGTGGTCCCATTGCTAAGTGACTTTGAAACAGTTGAAGTCCCCAGTTCATAAGCGACTGAGGCTAATGAAATATGCTTCTTATTACTAGCCTGCGTGTTGATTATGGACACATCTGTTTGAACCCGATAGCTGTTGTGTTCAGTCCATACACGATGACAGAATCAATTTGGTCAGTTTTCTACTATCATTCTCTCTTATAACGGGCTCTAGCTTTAATTATTAAGCAGAGAATCCTTCATTCCTTTAAAATCCTCTGCAATATCATCGCATTAACTTGTGTTCTTTCTTCTGGATTTTATCTACTCGATTGAGTGTTCAGGAGTTCTGTCGGCCATATCTTCTGCAACTGCATTTCTTTGTGTATCCCATAAAAGATGGTTCCTCCTCCGTTGTAAAAAGATGCTTGCTTCTATGGTGTGTGACCTACAGTAGACTGAACACTTCAAATCAACCAGGTGATCGCGTTGGAAAATCATGCTGTGAGATGGACTACGCCGCTGGGTCTCCCAGTGGTTCAGCCCTACCGAAAGTTAGGGAGGCACCTTGTATGTCACACAGGAGAGCTTTCACTATTTTTAATGGAAAAAAATATTTTACTCTTCTTTTTTTTTTCATTCCGTGCTTATTATTATGCAGTCTTCCTTACTATTTAACTTGGTTTTCATGGATGCCGTCTTCACAGATTAGGACCTCTCTTCAGGTTTTGACATTACAAAGAGAAACTGACAAGGTCAACGACATAATCCTTGATTTCATTTTCCATGGCCATTTATATAATTTTTTAATTGCTTTATTTTATTTTATTTTACTTCTTTTGTCAAAAAAATTCTCAAATCTTTATGTACCGCAGGTCATGGTCAAGCGACAAAGATCGGCTTTTCCACCCAACTTTGTCCATTCCCTCGATGGATCTCACATGATGATGACCGCTGTTGCCTGCAGAAAGGCAGGCCTCAATTTCGCAGGTTAATATTCCTTCCTCCCCGATAATTCAATACTTTCTGATTTATTTTTTCTTTATTTTCCCCCCGTTGCTCTTCAGTTTTTCTTCTTAAATTAAAAAAAATGCTATTTTTTGCAGGAGTTCATGATTCTTACTGGACTCATGCATGCAACGTCGATGAGTTGAACAGAATACTAAGGGAAAAGTTCGTTGAGCTCTATGAGGCCCCCATTCTAGAAAATGTGGCTCATCCTTATCCCTAACTTTCTTTATTTACTAATTTTCTCTGCAAGTACCCTTCATTTATTTAATAACTTTATTTATTTAATAATTTTTTATTGCCCATCACCAGAAATATTTCCATTATTTAGCCGAAGAAAGTAACAACCCTGTGCGGGCCTTCCTGTCAAGGCCCATGCGCATTGTCGGAAGCTCTCTTTAAGATCAATGAAAACTTTGCAACCCAAACTTTCCTTTCTTGAGCATTTTACTCTGGCATAAATCTCTCTCAGCTGCCTGGAGGCCGTGAGAATTATTCTCGGCATTTTTGATTTATTTCATATTATAACATTTTCATATTCTCCATTTATTTATTTGTTTACTGGTAGTGTAATTATATATACCTGACCGTTTATTTGGGATGAATAAACCATGCAGCCCAAACTTTCCTTTCTTGGGCATTTTCCCTCAGGCTTCTGTTTTTTCTTTTTTTTTAATTTCGTTTTATAATAATTTCATAGTCTATTTATTTATTTATCTATTTATTTGTTTAGTGGTAGTATAGCTATATACCTGACCGCTTATTTGGGATGGCGTGCAGCTGCTGGAGAGCTTTGAGAAGTCTTTCCCCACGCTAAAATTCCCTCCTTTACCAGAGCGGGGGGACTTCGATCTCAAAGACGTATTGGACTCCCCGTACTTCTTCAACTGATCTTCCCCGGCCAGCGCCAGCCCCTTCTAGCGATTGGTCCGTTGGTCCGCTGGGCTGTGGGGCCCGCTCTCGAGGAAGAAGTCGGAGTTTGTGCCTGCCTGCGTTGACCTCCCCCACTGGGGAAGAACAGGATGATGACGACGACGACGACGACCGTCTGTGAATAGGTGTGAGAGCAGCCCCTCGAGGAGCAGGGCCCCAAAGAGTCGCCCGCCACCAGTCTGTGAATATCTGCGGCGGCCGTCCACGAGTAGCTCCGAGAGACGGCGGCTGGTCAACCACCCTTTGACTTGGTGGACGAGAGCCAGAGGATGGGTCAACGCCGGGGATGGGAATTTGTGCAAGGAATAAGAGCTTCGAAGAAGGTTGTGTCTCTTCTATGGGTCCCCTCCCCCGCCTCTCAATGGCAAGCGTTCTTGTCCGGAAAATGTAAAAAAAGAAAAAGTGATTATCATTTTTTTTATATTGATGGATCTCACCCCCTCCCCCTCATTTTTAGGGTTTGACCATCCATATGGTATGTTTTTTCCCTGCCTTCGTGGGTCAGATCTCTCTCTGAAGTGGAATCTGGGCTCAGAGTCAACCCTGTGCATGAAAAGGGGCATCTCATCTCGTTGGAGCTCCGTCTCAGGGAAACCCACGTTCATGGGATTGGTTATATTGCAATGGATAATACAACGTTAGAATGCGACGATACCCCTTCTCGGACGATAGTCCACTGCAGATAGATAGCGAGAGAGAGAGAGAGAGAGATGGGTGGACGGGTGACGTTGAGGCGATGCCTGTATACTGTAGACAGGAGGAGGGAGTTTCTGCACCGTCCGATCCGAAGGACGTAGGAACACGGAAGAATAAGAACCCTTGGGAGCGGCTCAGACTGCACGACTTCTTTTCTGTCCTCTCTCGCTTGTCCCGCCGGAAGATTTCTGTTTCCCGATGCTTCATCTCATGGTGGCGATGGTTGAGGCGACATTCAACTTCGTCACCTACTTGGCGTGGTTGACGAGGCTAAGACCTCATCAGTCTGACCTTCCATTATCATTATATTAGAAGCTCCATGTCAAACCAACTGTCCTTGGGATTCACTATATTAGAAGTGTTACAGTTTTTTCCTTCAAACCCTCAGTCACCAAAGTCGCCGCTGAAGGATCTGCTGCTGGAAAAATAAGAGATCCTTCTTCATTTATCATTCAAACCCATATTATATAATGGGTTTCAAGTGGATCATATTAGTTAAAGGTTGATGGCCCATTATGACAAGCTATTAACACTAACTAGATCCTATCATATTATAGAACTAAAGTATAAAGAAAGATTGGCATAATTTGACACTCCCCCTCAAACTGATGCATGAATATTTTCCATAAACAACTTATAAGTTAACTTGCGGAATGCAGTGCCTAAAAGCCCCTTGGTAAAGATATCTACTGCATGTATGAAGATTATTTTTTATACATTTTGAATGATCTTTTGTGCCATTTTATCTTTGATGAAGTCTTATGCACATCAATGTGTTTTATTCGGTCATGTTGAACATGATTATGGGCAATGTCAATTGTTGACTTGTTATTGTAATTTAACATAATTGTTCCACAGTGTTAGATTCTAAGATCAATCAAAATACCTTCAATCTATAACCCCCCATAAATTTCTTATGTCATTGATCTGAACTTAGCCTAGATATTAGTTTGTACAATGACATTTTGTTTCTTGCTTCTCTAGGTAACTAAATTTTACCCAATGAAAGAGAAATATCTTAAGGTTGACCTACGATCAATCATTGAGGTTGCATAGTCTGTATATGTGTAGATTTATATTGAAGTTTCGTCATTTCTTTTGAATACTAATAATTGAGTAGTTGTACCTTTTAAATAGGCTAGCAATATGTATGCAACTTGAAGATAGGTTCTCGAGGATCATGCATAAATTAACTAAGGATCCTCATTGTAAATATAATATTTGGTGTTGAATGATTCAAGTAGATTACTTTGTCAAATAATCCTTGATATTGCTTTATGTTGACTAGACTATCTTTCTCACAAAACTCAAATTTTAGGTTCATATTCATAAGTGTGTCAAACAATTTACATGTTGTCTTTTGAAAGAGAACCAATGCATATTTTTGTTGAGAAATGAAAATTTCTTACTCTAAATGAGCAATTTGTATACCCAAGAAGTATTATAACTATCCCAATAACTTAAGAAGAAGATCTATATAATTTTTTTCATCTAAATGCTTATGGAGAAAAGTATTCTTCATGTCATATTGATCAAGATACCACTCGTGACTAGTTGTTAGTACAATTAAATATATATATTATATTTTAGTCAGTGTGAAAGTCTCCAAATAATCAATTATATAAGATTGAGTATATCCTTTGGCCACAAGTTATCTCTTTAAAACTCCATCTAAGTTATATTTCATAGTTTACATCGACTTACAACCAATTGAATTCTTTTTATGAGAAAATTAGAATATTTTTCATGTGTTGTTTTTCTCTCATGCCTTCATTTCTACATTCGTGGCCTTCTTCCAATCTATATCTTTGATGGCTTCTTCCACAGCTTTGAGAATAGATATAAAAGTTCAGCTTGTAACAAATGTCTTGTAATAAGAAGAAATACATTCATATGCCACAAAATTAGACATAGGATATAATAATTCTTTGTGCAAGTTATAATCCCTCTCTACAAGGCAATTGAATAACCAAGTCAATCTTCTTCAATCGATATTTGTGGGTTTGAAATATTCTCCTAATTACCTAGTGAAGTTTTACTAGTCTAATTGATTCTCATATCATAGTTGACATCAAATGTATGTATGTTCTCTAATATATTGCCTTTATCTTTTATACATGTTGGTATTCAAATATACACCTAGGTCACTGATTGAATATTTTTTGTTGTTATAAAGAAAATTCAGCAAAATTTATAATTCATAAATTCTGGAAAATAAGCCAATTTAGAATAATTTAATTTTAGAGGATTTTCTAAGTTGAAGACAAGGAAGATAAGAAATTAGTTAATTATATTTATAATTTCCAATTGATAGATTAATTTTTAGATTTTTTAATTGAAAAAAAATAAAAATAATTTAAAATAAGAAATTAGGGAGTATGACATCAGTCGACATCAGCTTGCAAAGAACACCCCCAAATTCGAGTCACCAAAAATATGTCAAGTTGTATCTCTCAAAATCAAAGCCAAAATACTTTAAAAAAGTAAACTTTGATTTTAAAAGAGAAATTGTTTGTAACATAATGTAGAACTGAATTGAACTTTTTATTAATTAAAAAGAAAGTAAAATCGTGCAAAGATTCAAGTTTTACAAAAGAATTAGATTGAATTTGTGTAGACACGATACACAAAAATAGAACAGTCAATGATTGAATTTTCACCCGAATTAGATTGATTTGTGTAGACACGGTACACCAAATGGATTCCCATACAATCTCCAATCGATGAATGATGATCCCAACAACTGTCACTTGTTGGAACTAGTTGACAATAGTGGTTTGATTACGAGCGTGCTGCAGTGTTCGGAAAAGGATCTACAGAAAAAATCCATCATTTGTATTGGATAAGATGATTTGGGCAAATCCGGCATTTGTCGCAGCTGGAAGAGAGAGAAAATAGTTATGTAGAGTAATAGATCGAAGATGCCTCCATCCTCTAGCATTTTTTCATCTTCCTATGTGTTAATTCTGTCAATTTCATTGAATCATCCACCAAACTTCTCACTATATTCGTTATGTCAGTCATTGATGTGGAAAACCTAAAAAAATAAATTATTCTCTTTTTTAAATTTCATTATTATATTATTATTATTTATCATAATAAGCTTAGGAAAAATTCAGAACTAAATGCAATTAACATAGAATATTTTGATAATAATATTAATTATTGAAAAAACATGTCAAAATATTTTATGGCCAATTTCATCATGTAAGTTTTAGAAATTAATAATATAGCCATATAAATAAGTTTAATATTATTTTTTCTAGATTAAAAGAATTTATAAATATTTCTATAAAATTAAATAATAAATTATAAAATATGAAACATTTTATCATGTAATTAATGAGAGTTGTCAGTCACCTCTCACCTGTGAACACTTAGATCTTTAAGTGGAGATGAATTCATCATCAACAATGGCTCAATGTAGATTACAAAAATGTCCTTAATAAATGGTCTCTTGACTTCTATTTTTACCCCTCTTGTAGATGAGAAGTAATGTTTCTATTCATTAAATATAACATCAGCTGAGACAAAAAAAACTTTTTCAATCCTAGATGCTAGCATTTATATCTTTTATGAATTGTAGAGTAGCCTACAAAAGCACATCTAATCACTTTTGAATTGAGTTTACCTTTTGGATGTTGCACATAAACATAAGTTGTGCATCCAAATATTTTTAGACTTAAGTTTGTCTTTCACTTAAAATTGAGATATTATTGAGACACTAAATCAAGTGGGGTATGATATCTTCATATCTTAGAAGGAAGCATGTTGATCAAATAAATTATAGTCAATAGGACTTCTCCCCAAAGATACTTGAGAACTTGATAATAGAACAATAGGGCTCTTGTAATCTTCACTAAGCTCTTAATCTTCCTCTCCATCACTCTATTATATTATGGAGCATTGATAAATGATGACTCATAAATAATTTAATGTTACTTGAAATAGGTTGTCAAAGTATTATTAAAATAATCTTTTGCATTATCATATCAGAATCATTTGATCAACATTCCAAATTGATATGTCATGAAGTAAAGTACTTGAATTACTCTTGTTATTGGAGATCTATGCATAGGAAGATAGGCCAAAGTGAGTCTTGTGCAATCATTTATTAATATCACAATACAGCATGCTTGAAATGTGGTAGTCATTTGACATGAGCTCACTACAAATATGATAGAATGAAGATTTACTTCTCTCACTTTTCTCTCTAAAATCGATTTACTTGTATATGGATAACTAACATACATCACATATGAGTTTAGTCACATCACATTGTTAAACATGAGAAGGAAATATTATTTTCAAAAGCTTAAAAGATAAATGTCCCAATTGACATGAAGCAACTTGATTTGGTCTAGTCTTTTAGAGTCATCTCCTTCCCTAAGTATCGAGAACTCAAATATAAGCATTGAGACAATATTTTCTTCAAAATAGACAAGGCCATTCCTCTCCTCAACAGGTCTAGTCCTCTTATTTGATCCCTTATCATATATAAAACAACCAGCTTGGTTAAGTTCTATTCGATAATTGATGTCTTTAATTAATTTCTAAGGAAAAATAAGATGTACCTTGAGATTAAGGAAATGAAGAGCATTCTTCAATGTTTCTACATTCTTGATCTTAAGGCTTCCCTTACTATTTATTGAAAGTATCTCACCACTTATAATAAAAACCTTATTCTTTCCATTGCAAGTAGAATATGTAATGAATTTTGACATAATATCTAAATAACATTTAAAAGAGAGGGATGTATACCTAAAATACTTGATATTCACATGAACGTGGTAAGTGGAGCCAAAAAAAGCTTTCAACTCATCAATCTCCTCCATGAAACTAGTTTCATCTCCATCATTTTTGACAATTGTTGTGTTCTGGTCTACCATAGTAGACTCAATTGCTTGTTTTTCTATTCTTTATGTTACCATAGCATACACTTGTCTTTGTCTTTTAAGTTTTTCATGCAACTTTTAAAATTTCCTTTGGCGTGATTCCTTTTTGTGCAATAAGCATACCATAAATTGTCCCTTGTATCTTCTTTATGAAACGTTCTTATGTCATTCACTTGCTATTATTACTTAGTTTTTTATTCTATTTTTACCGAAGATGTCTTTGATTCAGGGTGGAAAAGGGTACACCAAATCCTTTAATGTATATGTCCACTCTTGAGATTCAAGGTTCTATATTAGCCAATAATTGATCTATTTATCTTGACTTGTAATTCATAGGTATATTTAAGTATAGTTCTCTCACATTGCATGAGATTTGTAACCTTAGTTATCATACATGTCTCTCAATTTTGTGCCTAGGAGCTATGTATGGATGATAGTATCATCTGCTTTCCATACATTATATTTAGAAGTTATGGATTAAGAACCTTTGTCAGATAACTACTTAATCATCTTTTCAAGAGGATTAACTCCACATATTGACTTCATTTAATAAGATTACTTCCATTGTCTTTGAATTTTTCTAGAATACTTGAAATAATCTAGCCAATCTCTCCCTATTTGTAATTGATGTGTGCAACTGAGGAGGATGACGCATTGACATGATGTAGTTAAATGTCAGTCTCCTCCATCTTGGGTTCCACATGCTACTTGCTCTTAGTAAATGCTCTTTGTGTTCTCCTTTCGTCTTGATTCCCTTAGCCCCTTAATTAAGGCTCAAAGAGTGTGTAGAGGTAGTAGAAACTAAATGGAAGAAGTGTGTAACCTAATTTGATTAAGCGAGGTTTGATAAGCAGAAAAATAAGAGTATTCTTCATTCATCATTCAAACCCATATTATATATGAGTTACATGTGGATCCTATTAGTTAAGGGTCAATGATCTATTATGAGGATTCATTATAACTAACTAGATCTCATAAGGGTATAACTATAATATTACATAAATAGAGTCTAATGATAGATCTACATAATTTGACAAAAAGGCCCGAGCTTCATTATTTTTCTCCTGGGTGGGAGGAAATGCACATTAAAAACATCTATCAAAGTGTATCTGATGAGGTTGAACATATTTATTTACAGCATCAATTGCATGCATGTCTAAGGCATGCATGAAGAAACCGAGCCATATCTAGAGAGAGAGAGAGAGAGAGAGAGAGAGGGTAACTCATGAAAGAATTTTATGATTGCCTCTAAATCTTGAAGGAAAAGAGCCCATCCATCCATGGGGCTCTCCCGCATAACTAGGTGCCTATACTAGTGGTTCATACCTAGGGATACCCACTCAACGGTCTGCCCCAAAAGTCAATGCCGAAGGGTCGTCGCCTAAAGTTTCAACCAGGTGCGGTCTCAAAAGTCAGCCACCTCACCGCTCCCCCCAAATACCCGCTTCCTCGCCTTGTTCGCCTGCAAGAACAAAGAACAAAATCAATCCAAAGAATTATAATACAACCAGGATCTTGATCGATCCATCCCAAGCGCACCCCACAATCCAGGTCAACTTCTCCTCCCATGGCGTTGACTTTTGGGGGGAGGGGGACTGACCTGGTGCTCCCAGTTGATGAACCCAGTGAGGAGGGAAAGGAGCACGGTCTGCAAGGTCGACCCGCAGAGGATCCCCGTCCAGAGGCCCCTCCCTTGCAGGTGCAGTCGGAAGCCGAGCACCAAAGCAACCGGAATGCCAAACAGGTAGAAAGACGCGAGGTTCACAGCGGCACCAAGGTGCTGCCACCCACATCCCCGGGCCACTCCTGCAATGCCGCCAGACACAGACGAGTAATTTTCAGTGAGAGATCAGGCGCTGAAAGTGCTTGCCTGCTTTCTTTCCCCATTAATGTTAAACCCGTTGACTTTCTTTCAGAATGAGATGGGACGAATATTTCTTGCGTGTAGAAAGTTTTTTGTGGCGGTGGCGGCGCCAACCTGAGATAACCCCCTGGAGGGCGTCGGTGATGATTGAGGCGCAGACCAGAGGCGCCATCTTCACTGCGTAGTGTACAACCTCCTCCACATTGCTGTAGGCGTAGCCCCAAGATCTTCGCATGGAGAAGAGAGCCAGGCTCACTGTGGCGCCCTCCGTGGCGGTGACGAGGATCGCCACAAAGACTGACGCCTGTGCGCCTGCTGGGTTTCCTGCTCCCAATTCATTCGACACCCTTGTGCTGAATCAAAGCATAACAAACAAGTAAATAAATGGGTAAATAGATGCAAAGATCGATGGATGAATGTTCAACAAGAACACAAGAAGCAGGCCCGTTGACCATTTACCTCACGGCAGCACCAATCCCATAGGGGATGGCGTAAAGTGTTGATATGGTACTGAGGCTGTTTCAGAAGAGAGAGAACAAATTAGATAAATTACTTACTTCGAGGTCTTCTTATGGATCATTTCGCTGGAGCAGAGATGAAAAAAAAAAAAAGTCAAAAAGAAGAGAAGCACCATATGGACAGCACAGATGTCTCCAGCTGTGGATTGGGTAGAAGCCCGGACATCAGAATGAGCAGCTCGAACGACCACCACTCGAGGCTGGAGAGCGCCAAGTCAAAATCACGGTCGTCGTCATCATCATCATCATCAACATAAATTCGTGAATGGAGATGAATAATGGAATGGATTAGGAGGTAAGCACCATATCATCAGGGCAGATGGGAGAGCAAGGCGGAGAAACTCCCTGACGTTCCAAAAAGCTTCTCTGGTCAACGGTGCACGAGTCGCCTTGCAAGATGACGAATAGTAGACGTACAGCCCGAGGATCAGGGCGTTGACCCACATTGATATGCCGATGGCCAGAGCAGCTCCGGCATTGCCCAGGCAGGATTTGAAGACCAGCGCCCAGCACAGAGGAGCGTGAAGGCACAAGGTGAAGAAGGCGGCCATCAGCATGGGAAGAATCAGGCTCTGAGCCTGGAGGAACCTCATCAGCGGCTGGCTGACGGCGAAGGCGAACAACGCGGGGATCATCCAGGCAGCGTATCTTCCTGCTTCTTGGGAGATTTGTGGGTCCTGGCCGAGGAAACAGAGGATCCTGTCCACTGAAGCCCAGAGGAGGGAGACGGGGAGGCAGACAAGGAAGAGAGTGAAGATCGCAGTATGGGTGTGTGTCCCCAGCTTCTGGTACTGTTCTGCTCCAAAGGCCTGCCCGCACAGCGTGTCCAGGCCGCTCGCCATGCCCATCTGTTCATCCAGAAAAAAATTCAGCCACCGATCGATCAGTTCATGAATGGATGCATTCAAATCAAGTTCATATGATTGACTCTTGGGGATTGATCCAGAGTCAACGTGCTTCATCATCACTATGCACATCTGCTCATTCATTACCAGATCGAAAAAAATTGGAGTAACTTGAAGCAGATTCGATGGATGGGGACTGTTGAATATTCTACAGGGCCGGCCGTTCTTCCTGACTCGTGGGGAGAAATCGGGGGAGAAGGGGACCACCAGGAAGAAGGAGATCGATCGATCGATCGATCGGAGAGGGGGAAGACGGCGTGGGAGATGAGGAAGGATGATCGGAGGGGGACTTACGAGAAGGCTGATGCCGGTGACGCTGGTGAAGGAGGTGGCGATGGCGGTGCCAGAGAGGGCGAGCTCCCCGAGATGGCCTACCATCATCATCGACATAACCATCAGCATGAACAGCGACAGTGACACGGCAACCATGGGCGCCGCCAGCCACCCCAGCCTCCCCGCTTCCTCCACCAACTGCGAGCCGGCGAATAATCTCCTCCTCTCATGCTCCTTCCCTTCCGACGCCGGCCGCCGCTGCAGCAGCCCTTCCTCCATCTTCTCTCCCTCGCTGCGCCTCCAGTCGCCGGATCAGAAGGCCAGAACCAGATCTTCCCCTTCCCCTCCAGCTCTAACTATATAGCAGGGACGCCACCGGCGGTGCTGGTCAGAATCAACCAGGTCAACCGAGTCGCGATCGGCGTCCTCCAGGACAGGGAGGACGGCGTGGATGGCAGAGATCCAGCGTCCTCCGCCTGGGAATCCCTCTCAACTGTGTGAAGATCCCCATCCACGGATTTTCCTCGCATGCCGTTCGGTTCCGCCGCGAGTATATTTGGACTTTTCCGGCCCCCGCGGCGGAAGGAGCCGTAGCTGTAGGAGCATCAGCCCGTCAGCCGTCAGACTCTTGTCCGAACGCCACCAGCCCAGGGGAACAGCAGGGGAAACCACTTTTGTCCCTTCCTCCAGCTGTACCAGACGCCTCCACCCGAAGGTAATGTCAGTTGAAGACAACGACGGGACGAAAGAAGCCCATAATAATCCTTCCTAGGCCCGGGGAGCCCAGTTGCCAATTCGGGAGTCTGAATTACCAAAAAAGGAGGCAAATACACATACGGGCAGCTGCAGAAGTCAACTAAAGAGTCGGAGGAGGCGGATAAATAATGGAGATAAAAATCACATTTTTTTTCTGGTCAAAGTTCTGTGGTTGTCCCACGTCCACACAGACAAGAACACTAGGAGGAATGCCCCGGCGGATATCCAAAAATCCGCCAGCCACCGAGGCATCGGATCGGGGAAGAGCCCTGGTCAGAGTGGTCATTATGATCATCAATTTAAATAAAAAAACTCAAAAATAATTTAATTAATAATAAAATCATTATATTCGGGGCCATCGCCTCACCGTGACCAAATTTCATGCAGATGAGAAGCTCCACTATGCAGATTGCGAGAGAGAGCCAGCAGAAGACCCCCACTTTCTTCCCCGGTGTTCTAGAGCCCCAAGAAGAGGGGAAGAAAAATAATCACAGTAAAAAAAATGAAAAATACGAAGAAATAAAATAAAATAGTTATATATATATATATATATACATATATTCAGAGAGGAGAGGAGAGAACCTGTCCTGGAGATAATGGTTGTATTCTCGGATGGTGGGTATGGCGACTAGCCACCAGAGAATCAGTCTGTAAGTGATCAAGGGGTTTCGAGGAGGGATCCAGAGGCAGAACTTGAGAAAGAACGTGTTGAGCTCGACGGTCATGAACGCCACACAGAGGATCAGAACCTGGATGAACCTCCAGGGACCCAGAAACGGGTGCCACTGGTCCTTGTCCCACTGGGCAGGGGTGAACTGGCTCAGCGTCCTCTTCACCTTCACAAGTCGACGAGATTTCAGTCCGTGAGATGAGCCAAGAGTAAGAAAGACGGTGCAAAAAAAAAAAAAAAACAATTTTTCTGCGCAAGGAACATAAAGTAGTCGAGAATTTACCATAATGCCGTTCAAATGAACATATATGAATGATTTGGGCAAGAAAATATGGCTTACGGTGAATAAAAAAAGATTAATTAATTTCTTACTCCAGAAGTCTGCCGAAGCATGCCCTAGGCCCAGCTTACGGAGCTCTAACTCATATATGCGGGGATGATTCATGTAAAATATAGCTGTTTTTAATCAATGGAACCACAGAAAACATAGAACTTGTTACATAGTTCTTCCAACCTCTTGTCATATTTCTGAGTGGTTGACTTCTCTCCATCAAACACTTTTCATCCGAAGGTGATGATATAAAAAAAAATTATATATATACGATAGAAATAGGAGGCCAAGAAAAGGAGCATCCTAAAAGCCCAATCTAGAACCCTGTTACGTTGAGGATAACCCATAACTGAGGGAGGAGGGGATGAACTGGCATATCTAAGGTGATCCTGCGGAGTACTAGGAATGGAGTTGTGAAAATGTTATGGGCCGAAAAGTCGAGCAGAACAAAGGTTTAAGAACTGATCACTCTCTTCAATCATCACTGATCACGTCTCGTCAAAGTATTACCACATAAAAACCTCATAAATGCTAGATGTTCTAGCATTATTCTAATTAATTGAATCTCCTCCTTGGATGGGTTGAAAAGCCGAGCATAACAATGCAAAGAGATTTAAGAACTACGAATACTAACCTCATATCATAGAACTTGAGGACACCTAAATGTCGACCCTAATATGATGGGAATAGAATACCATTCCGATGATTATTTGAGTTGTTGGAACAATGCAAATAAGGCTTGATCTATAATGGAGTTGAGAGATAGATCACTCACAATGCAAATTCTGTAGCAACGGATTGATTCTCAAACCTAGCTAGGAGCATTATTTACAAGATCCAATATCTCTCTCTGTATTTTTTTTGTTTAGGGACGACAAATGGTAAAAGTGAAGTGGGTGATGCAAGATTTGCCTAGTTTAGAACTTTGGGAAAGGCCTAATGGAGGCTTGGTCAAGATAATCTGGGTCGGCAAGCATTGTCAAAGAGAATACTAGAGAAAAGCACATATTCCATTCCTCACATGGTTTCACGGTGATATTGACATAGTTTCAGATCGAGCCGTTGGTTGCACCCTGAGACTTGGGGATGCTCAGGTCAATCTTTGAGTGCGTCAAGAGATTTTCAATGGGCAGGCATTGTTTCAGAAAGGTACTTCAGACATGGTAGAAACAACAGTATTCACCCACCGCCTTTTCAATGCTCTATTTCCTGCATCTGGAAAAAGACATAATACAAGAAGAAAACGTCAAAATAGTTTCGGCATCTTTTAGGGTAGGCAATGATCGTGGCTTGAGATCCAGGGAGGTCCTTGGTTTTATGCTCATTGAGGCCAGATTACCAGGTAAGTGCAAAAATTTCAAAGCCAGTTTCCCTTGGGCAGCAATTCTTTATCAGCAAAGACAAAGATAAGAGGATGATACTTCTAAGTTAGAAGAATCTCTGAAAGACTGAAGTCGAATTGTTTACTGAACATTCACCAGTCAGCATTGAAAGTGACAGAGAAGATCAAACATTTTCGATGTTGCCACGCTGAGAAACTTTACCGTGATTTCTTTCAAATTGAGAATGCACAAGAAAATCATTTGCATTTTCTTCGGAGAGGCTAAGGAAACCATTGAGCAATGTTGTATGAATCTGGGCTCACTGAAGTCATTCAAACTTATTACTCCAACCCATTATTCATCTCTCACCAGCCTATGTTTCATTAAATACATGGCCTTAATTATTGGTGGTCACTCTGGTTGTACAATTAATGCTTAAGACAGTTGGTGGTAGATGCTTCTTACAGTACTGATTTGGCACATTATGGATACATGAATAGGAGAAAATATCAAGAAGTCTCCGAGTTCTTGACATACAGCCCAACATATTCTCCGAAAAATGATTTCAGAAATTCTCCTAAATCTAAGAGAAAAGCTTTTGCAACCGGAAATATCCTTTAAGAGAAGTAGTCTAAGCAGGAAACAAGGCCACAGGAAAAATCCGGTCAACAATATAAAAATAAAATAAAAGACAAAAGGATCTACGATGACATACCTTACAAATGATACTTGGTTGACGGCTTATGCCAACCCATTCATATGTTTTAGCATCAAAATATCTAACTGTACGCATTCCAGCCCAGATGCCTGAGGAAAAATAAAGGGAATATTGAAGCAATAAGAAGACTACTATAGTTTTCACCCGGTGGATTAAAATAAATCATAGATTAGTTATCTTTCGTCAAAACTATTTCTTGCAAAACAGAACCTTATGTCCAGGTTTCCATTTCTGAAACCTTATAAATTTTACTTTCCATACAATAGTTTCCATGTAGTTAACCTGCTAAATTTACTTTCCAAATCATTTTCCAACTCCCTGAGTTGAAGTTGAATGTCGTACCGGATATCAAAACTTAAATTGGAAAAAAAGGATACAGATATTAGACTGCAACATAAGTATGTTCCAGAGAGCATGAATTACGCAGCGTAGATCAGAATTTATAGCCTGACTTATGAGTAAGAAAACATCACAAAGAAATATATGTAAAATATACACAAAACAGAGCTGGCATGTATCTCTGATATTTGATTAAACTGTGCTGACAGCCCAGATATTTCTGGGCTAATTTGTTATTCCCTTGTTATACATCTGATATCAGCATACACTCATAGACCCGGCATGTTTCACGGTGCACAGTCCACTATAGTAACAAACTGGCATTCCTTTCTGCTATCATGTATTGCGTTCCTATCTCAAACGCATATAAGTTAACAGTGGCTCACAAAAATATTTCCAGTGGTTTCCCTTTTTTCCTGAGATCTTGGTCAGCTTAGCTTCTCTGGGCATGTCTCTTTATGTTAATAAGTTACCAGAGTTCATGACATTGAAGAACTACTACCAATACCATTGGTTCCTTGCATTCCATGAATACCAGTCTGAAAACCTTAGTAATTCTGATTCTGGTTCCCTGAATGCCAGCTTGAAAATCTCAACAATTTTGGATTTGTGACCGCTGGTTCCCTCCGACAAAGATTTTATTCTCCTCGCTTTGTTCCTCTTACTGTCTGTCTGGAAGGAACAAAGCCACGATAGGAGAAAAAGGAAATCTATTAAGCTTTTGAACACTATCTTCATTTCGTAAAAATTTACACAAACTAGCAACTTATCCATCCGGCAACTCTTCAGAAGAACATAAGACACTCCTGATCTATTCCACACCTAAATCATTCGTGTTCAACATTTATTGGAAGAAAACTACATTGAAAATAACGTACAATCCTAAAAGCATTACACTCTGGAGAATGCGACTGGAAATCCAATTTAAAGAATCCCTGATCTATAAAACGTCTGACAAAATTATTCATTGTCTGCAACAAATCATAAACTAGGATCAGGAAGGTTTTCACGAACAAAGGAAGGGAAGTTCCTGATACTGATTTAAAGGCGAATTCCTCGTGGTCGAAATTGGGTTTTGATAAATAGACGTCTGGCCTTTCATAGTGTAGAAAACGGTTTGATTGAATGCAACCCTGTCGTGACAACTGTGTAAAGGAAAACTGATTTTAAATGGAAAAATAGATCATTTCAGCATTTTGGTCATTCTAGAAATTTGAAAGTGCTTAAAGAATGTAATTAGTAGTAAATTTTGGTCATTTGAATAAATTCCAGGAAATGTAAAACATTAAATTGAAAGCAACGAAGAAGCTAATATATTAAAATATTTTTTTTCAAAATGTGAATAAGTTCGTGCGATACAATGTATATTTAAAATTAAACCCATAAGCACAGTTTATTTTTAAAAAAACTACCGCATGTCATAAAAAATGCTAAAAATATAAAGCAAATGAACTGACTCAAACTACGGTTACGTATCCATACAGAAGATATTATTTACTAAATCAATATATCTGAGAACAGATTAATTTAAAATATTTTTCCAAGAATCACTGTCTTACCAAACCAGTTGCAGACTAAAATATCCAAGATAATGCTGTCCCACCAGCATTCGTTGAAGTTTGGTAGCATATGCCGAAATGTCAACTGCGATAACTCAAAAAATAAATAACTAGAACGTTTTAAATTGAAAGTGTCACTCAATAGAGAATGTCGGACCTCCATCAGCTCAAAGCCTATGGACAGCACCCATAGAAGGAGGTGATTTCGGATCATTATAGCTTTTCCCCACCATCCAAGAATATGAGCGAGGACAAATTCATCAAATAAAGTCTCCTAGAGAAAACTAAACAACTATCAGTACCTCAAGGACCCCAATGTTACAAGATGCATGAAGCAAGAATCAAAATTAGTGGGATCAGATTAAAGACATCATACATAAACATTGACAAATCTGCTTTTAGGGTTATCTGGCACATACACACGGCAATCAGATCCATATGATCTTTCTGGTAGTTCTGCATTAAATCAAAGACAACAATTTGGATTAGATAAATTTAAAACTTCTTAGAAACGTATTTTTGGTAAGCCCAGAGAAATTTTCAGCCTAAATATGTACCAACGCCTAGATCTGGATGGAGAAATTTCATGAACCGTCGGGCATCATCACGATTCTGAGAATGAGAGGTTTGATAATCAAGACATAAATCAAATGAACGATAAATCACAAGAATGCAAATTTTATAGAAACATGATTATCCAGAGATGGAAATAGCATGCAGGGATACAACATATTTTAAATAAATATGCAATGTTAAGATTAATGAAATTATATTAAATATTTAAATTTTCATTTTGTAAATGTAACGTTCTTGATAATAAAGAAAGTTATAACGAAGTAAGCAATATAAAATATGACGATAGAAAATATAAAATTACATCAATAGATCATCATGATAGTACGTCCAAGTACAGTTGGAAACACTTCAAGCTTTCAAACGTCGAATATACACAACATTAGAGAGTAATAACGAATAACTTCAACAAATTTTATGGTGAAGATGAAATTTAGTAGTCAACACAAACACGAATCAAATGTGTGGAGGTACAAACCTGAAAAAGCAAAAAGGTCAGTGCAACCAGATAAACTACAGCCATCCCATGGACCAGGCGCCAAATTGCAGGGTGCGGTCTAATAAGCACCCTAGAAGAAGATTAAAAAATATTGTTATTAGTCATTTACCAGTTTCTGGTCAACTTGTAAAGGAATTCCTACTAAAAACTTACCATTGTGCAACTAAAAGTTACCTTGACGTAGCAGAAAATATATCTACAATCGCAATTGCCTAAAGTAACCGTTAATTTTGATTTCAAAGAGTCTACTTGTAACAATTAAATCCTAACAGTAGCACAAAAAATTTACTGCAAACAATCTCTAGCAGAACGGTATTCCTAAATTCATTAAGTTTATTTCACACATCCACTTAAACTTGTGATGCATAGTTTGAACCATCGGTACACGTGAAATGCACTTTAGGCCATACTGAACTAGTTTGATATAAACAGTCGAACCAGAATAAGGAATACTCATAGAACAGGAAAAGGGTTTTCCATGTTTTGTTTCATAGGAATAAACTCACAATCACAGAAAACTGCTTAAGATGCATCTTAAACATTGAAGAGTAATAAACTCACAATCACAGAAATAAAATGGATACTATACCATCCAAATTAAATGATCTAAGCTTTCTTTGACACTTGAACAAGAATAAGGGCACTTGAATGTCAATGCATGGGTCAAATTGTACACACGACTCATAGGCCTCTTTCGTCCGAATGAAAATGGACCAAGAAAAACGAAAAAAGAAAAAGAAGGGTAGGATCTGGTAGTAACTTACGTTGAGGGAGCTTGTAGCAAGCAGTAAGTGAGAAAAACGGAAATCATTGCCCACACTCCCCTGCACGAGAATAAAGATGTCGTAGCCATGAGCAAGCATGGTTCATTGGGGAATAAAACACGATGCATACCTCTTCACAGAAGTTGCGCGATCATTAGATGCAGTACTTTCTGGATCAAGTGCTCCACTTGCCCAACTGAAATAAGTACACAAACGTTGATATCGATATGTTCTTCCCCCAAGTTTTTACAGAAATGTAGCAAAGATATCGCAGCAGAGATTCCGACGAAACAATTTGATGTGGGTTAAACTTATCCGATAGTTCAATCAATAATTTCGCGCTGGTTACAAAAATTCCACAGCAAAGAACCTATTTCATGACAAGAAGGTGGGAACAAAGTACAATACGCAACACTGGCACAAATCTACGGCAAGTATTGTTGTCCTATCGCATCATTCGTGTTTAAACTGATCCATATTAATTTTCAAATCAACCGTAAGTCAAAGGTATGCTCTACAAGAATGCCACCACACTCGTCAGCTAAAGATATAGTGAACACTAATTCTAACAGATCAAGATGGTTCTTTCCTCTGACCCGTTCTCTGCAGACACAGAGACTCGCTCTGAGTCGAAATAAGTCAGATTAGTTTTCCATACTTCTAATTGTTGATAGCTGTAGAGAATAAACCAGAGTCACATATTCTAAGCACTTCAAGGACGATTGTCCATTTAAAGAAGGTTCTGAACATGGTTAAAGAGAGTCTGAAATGTTACAGGCCACAACTTAGACAGAATAAACCAACTCAAACATTCAGGTTTCCAAGCGGTGATACATTACCTAGTTGGCCAACCTAGATCAAAGAAGAACGATATTAACATATCAATAAACTGGTAACATACCAAATAACTTCAATTTTCTGGCACATGTCAAAGCATGTGTAGATCCTCTAAACAACTGTGTACAAATAAGATACTCTCATTTAGCGGTAAGGAAGAAACATCTGACGGTAAACAAAGAGCAGGATATTCATAGAGACGATAGGGAAACAAGAACATGAATAAAGAAGGGAGCCTATGCTTATGAAAGCCTTGTTTTCTCTACTAGTCTTCCTTTACTGCATCCCAGCGTCATGCTTGCTAACCATGCAACCTTAATTCAAGGTACAAAGTTCCTTAGTCTGCAGGTAGTCTCCACAGTGTTACAGTCCTGATTTATAAAGATTTGATGATAGCAAAACAATTACAACTACCAATAAGAGTAAGTTGCACGTGCACGTACATTTGGCACACTTGGAACTCCGTATCATTGTTTCCTGAACTGGTTTACTTTCTTGATGTTTCACTGATTTCAATTGCACATCTTCGATTTCAGTCATTGTTCTAGAGAGCCTTTATAACATTATTAGTTGGCTTTTTCTTATAGATTGTTTCAGCATTGTACGCTAAATTATCATGAATTTAATCAATCAAAAAAATCAGAATTATAGAATGCACAAAATATCTGGTAGGAAACATAGCACATTTTTTCTTTTTTTTATCTATCCGGATGAGGACAGATAGAATAAGATGTACCAGAAAACGCTGTTGGTGCTGCTATACCAGGATGTACAACTTGGACTGCAATGTGATGGACGGATTTTTTAGGTAGGAATTGAAAACCTGAATCTTTGAGTTGGTTTATTCTGTACAACTTGGACTGCAATGTGATAGAGGTAAACGCAGGGAAATCCCTGGCCGACAGGATTCATCACCGTGAGGGTTTGAAAATATAAGAAAGATAATGAAACCGTAGAGAAGCTTTAAGATAAAACCTTTTTTCTGAAGAAAATCTATTAGAGTATCCTTGATCTAGAATTCTGACTGGAACTCACACTAGAAGGCATGCACCAAGCATAAGCAGTGTGATTGTCCTGGGTGTGTATGCCCATGCCGTCCAAGGATCATGATCATTCGGATTATTCATCAGCTTCACACCATTCACGCTTCCATCAGTGCGGTCAATTTTCTTACTTTTCTGTACCCCATTAACACCCATTGGCACAGATTGCAGCCCGTCCCTGGAAAGGCGAAAAAAACCTTGATTTTACATGAAGAAAAAACGCACTTGTAGGTCAACGGCCAGTAGCGAGTTCCCTTGACATGTCTATCTATGATGACATCAGGCCCTTCCTCATCATTTCGAAACAAGGATTCAACCGATTGAAGTGCAGTGCATTTAATGAATCACTCAAGCTTCCTGACTCCATATGGACTTAACGAATGTAAATAGAAAAACTAAAAAAAAAGGACAGATGCCTCAAGGTCTCCTCCTTTTCTAGAGACCTGCGAGAAGTCCCTATCGATATTTGAAAGCTGCGAGAAGTCCCAAGCTTCGCAACGCGGATAACAGAACCCCATCCCCCCCCCGCCCACATAAGATACGAGGACGAGAGCCGATCAGATGAAAGCATAAACTAGTACGTTCGCTAAATCTGTCTGCGATACATGTGTCACAAAACAGTTTATCGGAAGAAAACTAATCCATATCACACGTCCGAAACACTCCAGAGCAGCTAAAAAGAGGAAATAATCAACAAAATGTCCGACCTCGACGACGGCAACAGAGACCGGTGAGCACGTCAAAGAAGGAAAAAAAAGAAGAAAAAAGAAGAAAAGGAGATGAAGCCTGTAGCTCACGATGCAGAGGCTAGAACGCGTACAACGCGGAAGCCACGGACAGCACTCGCAATCGAGGAATGATCGGAAGAGCAGCGGCAGCGCGAACGAAGGATACAGCAGAGGAATGACCACAATTGTGACGAGGAGAAGAGAGGGAAAAAAATGGAAAGTATCGTGGGAATGCGTTCCCTCGCACGTGGAGGCGGAGCAGACGCGACGCAAGAAACGGTAAACATGCGTTCCTTTCTTCCAGAAAAACCAACTCGATTTCTCTGCGACGGCACAGAAGAGAGAGAAAGGGAGAGAGAGAGATGACAGAGAAGAGAGCAAACCACTGGAGCAGAGCCGTTGAAAGATTGATGGTCCAGAGATCAACACCGGCAACAGTACCAGCTCTGGCCACCTCCGTCCGCCACCGCCACCTGCGCAGCGGGAAGAGAGAGAAACATTAGAGGCGGAAGCACAGAGACGACACGTAAACAGGACCGAAACAGCAAGGCATACTCTTGTGGAAGCAACCCCCTAGAAAAACAATTTAATTTGTACCCCCAGGAAAACTCCACGTGTGTGCATGGTCTGACTAGTTCCCACGTCACCTGTACACAATTAAAAATGGATGAAATTAATTAACTAATTTCACCCACCTCATTTCCTGTCCAAAATAAATAAATAAAATTCATGAAGACTTAAAATTTTACTATTTCATTTTATATGCATCATAATATTTTATAAATTTAAATTATTTTTTTAAAAAATCTTGTATAATAACTTTTGACAACAGATTATGATCACGATTAGCGTCGGTGCTCGGGCAGCGGAAGGTAATGACCGTACTGAGAACGAAATAACCCCACACAAGTTTCTATTGGCGATGTCGCAAACGAGGGAAGGTAAGCTTGAAATAATCTTAAATAGGGGATTGAAAGTGAAACTTCTCACTTCTTGTGGGTTGAAAGTAAGAAGTTTTGCTCTCTAGTCCCTCTCCTTCTCCTCCGCCTCACCTTCAGGGGGGATGGGGGGGCCGTACAGCTAAGAGATAGTCAGAACGTCACGTGTCGCCGGCGCCTGGCCGACGAGCCCCGTCAGCGACCGCACGGGCACGGCGGGCCCCGAGATGGGGCCGCCGCCGGCGAGAATTAAGAAAATGGCCTGCCGGAGGAGGATAAGTTAGTCTTCCCTTTCCGATCTATCCGGCACATGGACCCCCTTTGACTACCTGCAGAGTCCCACGGGTCTGTCTAGAGCGAGAGAGAGAGAGAGCCAGCGGGGCGACCGTCCGTCAACGGGAGCAGTGACGGAGAATTTGACCGGGACAGAGAGGGGGGGCCACCGGGCTCCGGGGAAGGAAGATGACCGCCATGAGTTCAGGGAACAGGAGATTTTGAATTCAAATTCATCGCCAATCCTCGGAGCCTCCAATACGCATTTCTCTCTTTATTCTCTCTCTCTCTCTCTCTCTCTCTCGCTAGCTCGCTAGCTTGCTCTCCAATTGCGAGAAAGGTCGAAGTAGCCTGCCGGTCAAAGACCCCCTGCGGATTTAAACAAATCCCCAGGTTTTCGGGAGTACGGGTTCGATGCTTGCGGCTCCTTGTCCGTCTAGGAGAAGACCGGATCGAGACGACAGTAGAGGAATCTTCTCAAACGGTGCGATTCCCTACGCCGGCAACCTATCTATCTGCTTTTGGGTCAACGTTGACCGAGATGAAGCAGAAGTTCATGTCCAAAAAAGGCTACTGGGTCAAAGTTGAAAAAAAAAAAAATCATCATCTTACAAGACTGTCAGAAAGCCTGAGCCTGACTTCACTTGGGCCGAGCAGACCCCATGGTTCCTAGACCCAGCTTTCGTATGAGTCCATCTGAGAGAGAGAGAGAGAGAGAGAGAACTCGGAAGTTTCCCATCGAGGGTGGGGCCGGGGATCATGAATCTGTCTATCACGTTGAATCAGATATCCAGAACAACCATTCATATCAATCAGGATGTGGCAAATTTAGGAAGTTGGAACAGATAAATGCTGACCTGGCGAGCCCCAATGCGTCCCCTCCGACCACGATTAGAAAATCCCACTGCCGCTGGCCCCTCCAAGAACATGGGAACTGCTTCCCTTTGGTTCAGTATACATCAAAATATGTTAGAAAGCCGAGAAATCTTCGATATACATACAATCTTGCTTCTGAAATCTATCCATCATTACAACATGCATGCAGTAGAGGTCATTTGGCATGCTATGTCTTCTTCAGAGATGATATCCACCCTTACCCGTTGACCGGCTTCAGCAAAATGTCAACCCTCTGGCAAACGGCAGGGTCAAACAAGCTATGGAGAGCATTAGGAATGCCCTTTCATCGGCTTCAGATCCTTCTGTGGTGTTTTCTCTTGTTCTTTTTAAGTAGCATTGACACATGGTCAACATCTCGGTAGCCGGCAGGGGCCCCACCCATGAGCCATTCCAGTGCCTCTGCTGCAGCATCCTTCTCCGCAAGCTTCTTGTTGCTGCATGGCTGCCCAATGAATTGCATCCCGTTGAACTCAACCGTCGCCCTGAACTGGCTGTTCTTTGCAGGTTTTGTGCTGTAAGTGGGGGCGTCATGGCCGGCTCTGGTCACCAGTGTTTGCAGCTGGCTCTTCGGATTGTCACCGCCGCCACCTGAGTTCATCGGCGGGATTGACCTTGACTTCATGGGTTTCAGCTCCTGACGACCGAAAACAAACCTGCCGCTGCATGGGTCTTCTGTGACCAGCATCCGGACAGCTGACAACAGTCCTTCGCTGGCAATAATGTCCATCTTGGGATTCAAAAGCTGTCAGGTAGATAACTAAAGTCAACCATGATAAACTGGGAAAGGTGTAATGAAGCTGGTTGGAACACGGTTGGGAAAAAAAAATTCCAGAAATATTCAAGAGAATAGTAGAAATCGAATATTGGATCATATTAGACATCCAGTTACCTTGTTCTGAATGATCTCATCAAGCTCTCGTTTCAACTTTAGGAATGTTTCGGCTAGTTCAGGTTTCATGAAAAACTCCAAGTACCCCCCAAGCATCTTCAAGTGCCCGTCCTGTCAGAGAAAGTCAACGCGTTCCAGTAACTAGAGAAGATACCAGAAAAAGAAAGGAATAGAAAAGGTCGAGGCTTCTCCTGCAAATAAAAAACATGAGAACAACTTACAAGTCCGCCTCGAGAAATATTTCCCCCAAACAGGAGAACAACGGAGTCAGACACTGCAGTGGAGTCCCGAAGGAACACAGAGTTGACTTTCACCTTCTCATTGAAAACCAACCACGGGAAAGGAATCCTTGCCTCCCGAGCATTTACAGAGTTCTATCCGAGGAGAGAGAAAAAAGCACAGACACATTTAGAAGATTTCCATCTGCCATTTTCATTTCAATGTTCATGGTACAGCAGATTGCTCACCGAGTAAAGCATGACTTGGCCGTCCTCCATTGTCTTCAAGGATATGGACTTCTCCTTGTTCTTGAGAGTTGAAGAAGAATTCGTACTTAGTCCGATGAAGAAGGGCAATAAACAATCACAGAAGGTAAAGGAAGAAAAAAGAGGTAGAGACTCACCACAACCGAGCAAATTCCGGGATACAGGCCGGCACAAAGGACAGCGCGAACAAGGTTTTCATCTTGAGACCACCTGTTGCAGCAGCCGGAACTGTCATCAAACAAACCAGCGTCCTTCAGCAGAGACATGAACTGCTTCCGAAGAGAGTCAATGGCCCGAAGTGTTTGAGCCGAAAGAAAATTCCTCCAGCAATATTCATATCCGGATTGCTCTCTTTCTGCTTCCCTCCAACCTTCATAGGCTCGGACCAGCGCAAGGTGGTCACTATAGTCTCTGCAGGAGAACTGAGACTTTGCTGATTCTGCGAGCTGCATCAGAAGAACATTAATTCACATAAGATCAATGTGCAGGGCATCTTAAGAACTAAAATAACAAGTCAATGCAAAGATGCAGAAATGACATGGCGTTGACATGCAGAAAAAGACGGAAATATTTCATTGTGGTTAATATCGTTAAAGTAACCACCTTCTGAGGCATAAATAGAAAAACTTGAAGCTCGTGATATGACTAGAAACTGTAACAACCAGTTAGGATGCATGATGGACGGATAATGTTTCGATCATGGTCTCAAACAGTCTACTAATTTCACTGCACCTTGGCCATGCTTTTGAATCATTGAAGCAGTTTGCAAGCATTGTCATGGAGAACCTCCCAATCTTTTATCTTCCCTAACTTCTTTGTGTACATGCTATATACTTAAAACAGGCTATACACAATGAACTCTGACACAAACTGGGCCAAGTTAGGCAATTCCGGTCCCTGGTCAGAGGCTAACCAAGGCCGAGCCAGATTCCTATTTGGATTGACAAATCCATCTTGAATCGAGCCCACCAGAGAAACAGAAGATGATCGATTTCGTTTTGGCCGAATTAAATGCAAAATAGTCTGAAACCGGCCTCTTTGAGTTGTATGTTTTAAAATGAAAAAGTAAGCCTCAACAGGATTCGTGACGGGGGGTGACGACTCGTCATGAAATTCAACAAAATCTAAAGGTAATACTCTCATTGGTACCCTCCCTAAAATGCATCCTTTTGTGATTTTGAAGTATTAATGAAGGCAAAAGGAGATAAAGATCTCAATGTCATTGCAAAAATAGAGATTAATGAATGAAAATGTTTTGCTCTTTCTAAGAGCCACTTGTGAGCCGCTGTAATGAAATAATGTGCCCAAATCCCACTATCATAAAAAAAAATGTATTGTGGAACCAAATTCAGAAAATTCGAATTTTCTATGAGCAGAAATCAATCGCAATGAAACCAACAGCAAACTGTAGATCAGGTAAGCCACAGCTAACGATAGGTGCCTTTTGAAAGACAATTTGGAGTTAGTAACCAACAAGCTGAGAATATCAAGAGCACATGGGATTAAGATTACTATGTCAAAATATTCAAGGAACTCCAGATGGACCAGATAAAAGTCTCATGCAAGTACAGAATGGCACGAAATTCAGGCTCCAGAATAGACATAATCAGATGCTCAGCAAAATCAAATCTTTTTTGCAAGGCATAGATGAAAGTCAGTTTTCATATCTTACATCTTTTTTGTCAAATGGCATTAAAAAGGGATCTCTAACACTGAGGCCAGCAACAATAGTCAGTATGGGATCCAGACAATTGAATATGGCACCCAAAATAAGCATCTTTCCAAGTTTCGGCTCCACTGGAAGCATAGACAATAGACGTCCTGCCAATAGAGATCAACAAAATGAGAAGATAAATGATGCAAGGTTTTAAACGCATTTCATAGAAGATCCTGATACCTAGAACAGACAATTCTTCTTTCTCATCCAAAGCACCAATAATTTTCAAGTATTCCACTGCATTCTGAACCTGCACAAAGGGAATGCCAAAAAAGAAAAAAAATCTCAGTTGTCAAGAAAACACCGACCAAATCTAGGAGCAGCCTACAAGAGGAAAGAAATCGAGGTGACAAATAGGACAGATACAAGACGAACACAGACTATTACAAGACAGCAAGGAATCATGATATGGTAACAAGTACTAAAGAATCCAGACACACCGACAATGATTCTGGAGATTGTAGAGCCCTAGATAAAAATTCAGATATGCTTCCAAGACGTAGGCTTTTGATCTGCAAACAAAGAGATTGCAAAGGTGTCCGCAAAAGCTCAGGCAACTGGTACTCTGAGAAACAATCATACACACATCTCGGATAGAGATGGTAACATTCTCCAGGCTGAACACGACCAGCTCTTCCTCTTCTCTGCAGAAAGGAGCACGGGTGAGAGAATAAACTACAGTATCCTCTGATAGATAATACGCCCAAAAGCAAACAAAAGAGCCATTTTTAAAAAATTGTGATAGTTATATGAATAATTAAATCAAAAGTATTAAATTCGTAAGATGGGGAATCCAAGGTGATAGAGATAACGTACACGAGAACTGTAATCACTAGTATTCGAAGAAATGTCAAAAAGTTTAGTTCACATTTTTTCCAATGTTAAAAACAGTTTTGACTTTTAAGGTTCATTGCATGGCATAAACTGTCCTAGAAAAAAAATATAATAATATTTTAAGAAAAGGCAGTAGAGTCACCCATTATGAACCAATTCCAAATTGACCAAGTCCATTAAAGCCCCTAAACTATTTTCTGAAGTTCATAAGAATGGACGACGGTGGAAATACCGTATTGACACAAAAAAGCCGTTTGATAATTAAAAACATCGGCTAAAATAATATTTCATTGTCTCTGTATGCACGAATATCCACAAGATCGTGCGCGAGCGCATGCATACACACACAAACAATTCGTCTGATCAATAAAATACTATGATATTCAAATAATCCCAAAGGGGATCATTCACCAAAGAGAGATCATCTAGAAAGGTAGCCTTGCAAGTAACACTGGTCTTTGCTGGAGTACTTCATAAAGCAGGTTTCTAACTAAATCTAGTGGCTGGTGATGTACTCTCCATTCACACTTCCTTCACTCAAAAGCTTTTGTCAGATATATGACAAGCAAAAATAACTTTTAAAACTTCAAGCATGTATGGCAAGAAATACAGGTCACAGCAGCTTTCCTAGTTCTAAAGATATTGGTGATACATTCAAGGCGTGAACTCTCGTCACTCTAATCTTGTCACGATTAACTAACTTAAAATCACAAGAAGTTACAAGGAGTTCAATTAAATATCAGCGCACCAGTTGCATGCCTTGAGAATCAGTTGAAATATGATCTGTGATATATAAAAGAGACTCCATCTAACTTTCTTGGCTGTAGAAGCTCATAAATGGATCTAGTGACCTATGAGATGAGCTAAGTAATTTGTTGACTGAAGATAACGTTACAGCTCTGAACATCAGAAATTAGTAATAGTACTAAACGACATTGCCATTTCCTTCATTTAGTCTGGATCTAGAACTCTTCTTCGTGGTTGGCACACGAAAATTTTCACCACATGGCACATAGATCAAATTCAATGTATGCACTTGTCATTCTTCTTTATCAGGAGGTTGGGGGTAAAATCACTCAAATATATGGAATAAATCCTTACCTGTCGAGCAGAAGCTTTGGAGATCCATGTAGGAAGTAAACAAGGTGTGTTATTCAATGCATCATATGATGTTTCTTTTGCCTTCCCGCAGTCAACCACAAAAACCACATCGTTGATTGTGATGCTCGTCTCAGCCATATTTGTTGCAAGAACTATTTTCCTCACCCCATCTTGTGGCCTGTCAAATATTAATCTCTGCAAGAGACAAACAAAATTATGAGCACTATTAAACCACTTTCAATCCATTAAGTAAATTTTAAATACATATAAATACAATGAATCAATAGCACTCTTTCTTACTCTCTTTTTTTCTCTTCCCTCTCCTCATCATCCTACCCAAGCTTCCTTCTCAGAGTCTAAAACCCTGAGAATCAGCTTTACCAGCGGGAACTAAAAGCTGTTTTATTGAATTTACACTAGAAAAAAAAATCCAGAAAAAAATTACCTTTAAAAAGTCATGTGGATGTAAGAAAATCCAATTTCACATAATATTACGATCAAATGATGAATATTTCATTCACGGAGTACAACAGGAGAGCTCAAATAACATCAGATATAAGTATATACTCGACCATAGTGTACTTCAGTATCGCGCCAGTATACTTCAAAATTGTCGAATTACAACATGTAGCAAAACTACTAAAAGCTCATATGAGTTTACAGGTCGGAGTACAAGTCAAGTACCTGCTCTGAGCTTGCCATTGATCCATGACATGCAAGTAATAAAACCCTGTTAGGATCTCCCAGCAGAGGGTGAGCTTGTAGCTGATCCTTTAGAGCATTTATGTCATCCCACCCAGTCATAAAGACCAAAACAGCTCCAGGCCTTTCTTTCTGACAAATATAGCATAGAACATCTTCAATAAGGTTAAAGCCAATGGTGTCTGGGTTCCAACATGATAATGACTCGCGAGTCCTCAAGCTATACCCCCTAAAATCCGCACCTTCTAAAGCATCCTGTACAATGGAGAAAGAAACGGTGACCATGGAATTTCAATCTACTCTTTCTTTTGCCAGGATTAGGTTCTTGATACCTCCACAGAAGAAGCAATTTGACTCTTCCTTTTCCTGAGAGCTTGTTTCTGCATTTTCCACGACTTCTCGTGTCCATAGTCATCAATCTGATTATATGATGTCAATCTGTATCCAGTCATTTCAAGAACATCCTCAAGGAATCGAGTTCTAACTGGGTAAGTGAAGCCCTACAAATGATCCCATAACCCAGAGAGTGAGAGCTTCATCCAATACAGTAATCCCGTACAATAAAATTAAATTGTAAGCTGAAGACAATTAAATCCCTCCATGAAAGTTTGCTGAAGAAATTGATGATGCCAAAACAACAATCTTGCTTAATATAAATTGTGAAAGGACGACAAACATCAACTCCTAAAATATAAACACAAATGCAACACTATAGTTCTATTAAAGAAAGCTCTGGAGAACAAATAAACTGCATTCTTTCCATCTTCATCTCGAAGCAAAAGTATCAACATAAAAGAGAAATTCACAAAGAGATCATAACTGGAACAATGGCTTGAGATGAAAGTAAACAAGGACGCTTGTATAAGCAAAAGTCAAAGAAACTCAATGATGGAAGACATAATTACTTGGCAGATGCAACGTCAAAAAACAAATAATGGAAACTGGAAAGAATATCAAACCTATCAAGCAACATGCCATGTCTTGAAACAAAAAGATAAAATAATGATGATGGACCAAAGGGAGGGCGCACTTTTTCTCTAGGATATCTCGTGTACAACCAATTTAGAGTAGCAATTGAAAAATATTTAAAATGATCTTTAATGAGCCAGAGAGAACGAACCTTTTAGCACAAAACCAACTGTTATGAAAAATGTAACAAAATGAAATAGAAGTGCATTTAAGTTAATACATCTAAACAGATTATGCCTTAGCTAGAAATTATTGCAATGCCAAAACTTTCTAGAAAAAATATTGAATCGTGTGTGTCGGGCAGAGTCGCCAGGACAATGATTTGTAAAAGGCACCATAATGCATTAAGAGCTAACGAAGACAACTCACAGGAATGTGTATAACAGGTGCTCTCCCAAAATATGAAGAGAATAGTTCGGCGTTCAGAGTTGCACTCATCAAAATAAGCCTTAGCTCTGGTCGACGAGGAAGAAGGTCTTTCAAAACAATTAGCAGGAAATCTGACCAAAAAAATCAAGAAATAAATTCAGACTTCACTACGCACACAAAAATCTCATCCGCAAAAGAATATGGTCAACTAGTTGAACTATTTTTACCTTCATTCATGCCTCGCTCATGAATTTCATCCACAATAACGTGCGTTACACCTTTCAAATTTCTGTCTACTAATAGTCTTCGGAGTAAAATTCCTGTTGTACAAAACAGAAGTCGGGTATCCCTACCTTTTATCCCTTCCAGGCGAACTTTATAACCAACCTATCAGAACGAAATAAATTTTAAATTAAGCACATAAAAGCATCATATACACATCCAAAACCTTCAGTAATGCGTAGAAAGGTTAAACATACAGATTCACCCAGCTTTTCACCCCTTTCCGCAGCAACTCTTTCAGATACAGACATAGCTGATATCCTTCTAGGCTGTGTACAAATGATACTGCATGCGGCACCGCGAGCAGCATCTATCTCAGACTCTAAAATGTATTGTGGAAGTTGAGTAGTTTTACCACAGCCCGTTTCACCTGAAATTACTACAACCTGCAGATAAAGAGAAAGAATCACTACCTTACATATGGAAATTATTCCCAGTACGTACAATACATGAATGAAGAAGACAGATGCACTGATCCATCAGTGTAATCAACCATTTCTCCTCAAGCAAAAAAGAGCAAAGCCCCCCTCTTACAACTAATGCAATAGGAGAAGCAAATGCCCATAATTTACTGTAAGGTCCCGATAAGTGACCTAATGTTCTACTTCTGAAAACATGGTACCGCAGTTACAGGGTTGAAAAAATAGGCATCATTGATTCAGGAAACTCTGCAATTCATTTTCTGCATTGCAGGATGATAGAATGAGAATTGATCGCCTGAATTGATTTCCAATGATCATTATCAGCAATTTCTTAATCAAACATGTCGCAGAAACTCTTAATAAACAGAAATTCATCAATCAGCGCCTATATAAGATCCACTAAGCCAAAAAATCCTTCTCTTTGATGAACCCAGTATCCTACTTTTTTGGTTCCCTTTATGAACAAAAAATATCTGGAGATGCTCATTTCAGGAAAGAAAATCTAACTGGGCTTTGAGGTACATGGAAGTGAAGACAAGATGCATCACAGAGTCATGAATTGCCTGACACGATATGATCCAATAGGATTTTCCCACATTTAGATTTTCCAATGGTAGCAAAATCTCCTCAAAAAGAATGTAGGTCTGCTAAACTAAATATAGCTTCTTGTTCAAAACTTTAGGAGAAATAGTATACTCCGTCTGCACACTAGGAAGTTGGAATCATTGATCACAAAAGCATTCCATTGGGTGGTCCTTAATATGAAAGTAGCCTTCAGCAATAATTCTCGTTCTCCTGGGAAAGAACCTCTTCTCCATAGAAAACATTCGAACAATACAGGATAAATAACAGCATCAAAAGTAAAAGGCTACGATGAGTGGAGTAAACTACTATAGATAAATCCTAGCAGGACGTTGCCAAATTAAGGGCTTCTACGTACAACATGCCAACTATTATCTTGCTTATTCGTTAGTCTCAGTTAAAAATTATGTCGACAAAAATACTGTTACACTTTAAATGTCAATAGATGCTATAATGTCATGATAGAAATATTAGAACATCCTTTATGAGAAGAAACCTGATTCTGTGAAATGGCAGACAACAGTGCATCTCTTGTTTTGAAAGATGGAAGGCTTCTGCGAAATTCTAACATTCTCTGACCTTCAGGTGACTCCTATAAAAGAAGAACATCACAGCACATATGAGATAATTGGATTAGAAAGCACCCAAACAATGAAAGGTTAAAAGACACTTCGAGATAAAACCAGAGAGTTTCATTCATGAATCGTTCCAAAGTATGTGCAAATCAAATGTCACTGCTATGCAAGTAGTCAAACTTCACTTATTTGAATGCAATCAAATCCCTGACTTCAATTAGCCTACAAGCTCAACACTTTTTTCCACAGCTAAGTTGGTAGTATACCCTTCCCTAAACTAAAAAATTGCATAAAATTTCCATCCGCATTCCATAAAGAGAATCAAACGAAAAACTCAAAAGAAATGTATTGTGCAGAGGATAAAATTGTAAAATTATGGGGAATAAATTTTTAAAAAAAAAAGGCTCACTAATTAAAAAAAACAAAAGCAGAGACAAAGAGGTTCAACACAAAAAAAGAATGGGACGTAAGGGGGGAGGGAGGACAAAAGAAAGGAGCGACATTTGAAAATTCATGGAAGTAGAACCTACCAGCCAAGCTTGTTGTTGATCACGCAATTGCAAGCTTCTTCTCCTGAGGATCCTCTCCATGACAGCACTAGTAGATGTCTGAGATTCTTGTTGCTCAAATGATCCGTCCTCAGTAGTAAAACTGTCAGTACTGCTCGACCTGAAGAAGGCAGCACTAGGAAAGTTATCTCGATTTGTTCGCTTCTGAGCAAGATACTCCCCAAGCAAAGCATCAACCTCTCTGTGCAAGCCAAAAGGAAGAGACACCTGCGGTGCAAACGAACCAATAGACTAAATCAATGCTAAAAAATTCAAATAGGGCATCAACCAGAAAAATAAATCAAACGCTATAGCATTATTCACTGTATTAACCAATTATTATTTTTTATTAGAATGTATTTAACAATTCACTCCATAACCAAATCCGCATCACATGGTGTTTAATGGTGAGACCTTAGAAAGATGGAGAGTCATTTTAAATAAGACAAAAACGATTCAATTAGCTAGTTCACAAGTTAACCCATCGTTGCTCCTTCAATAGATATCTATTGCGGAAACAATAGATATCACTTCAATTTAAAAATAGAAACAAATGCACAATTTATCACAGCAGGTCAATAGAAATTGTATGAAAAAGAATTTCTACTCATGCTCTTTTGAGGAGTCATTAATAAATTCCCTATGTACTACTTTAAAAAGTCCTCGACTTTATTATAACTTTTCCAATAAAACCTAAAGGGATGGCTATAGATTTATTTCGCGATTATAAATTATAGCATGGCGAATCAAAGAATCTATCTCAATGGAGTGCAGGGATCAATCAAATTTCATGATAAGCTACCTCCCGTTGTGGTCGTTTATCATCCAGATCAGATCTGTAGTTTGGTAAAGGAACCTTGCTGAAAACTATCACTTTAGCATACTGACGACTGCAAAATGTCAACATTCAACAATAAGGTCTGCACTGAAAGATGGAAGATGCCAATTCCATGACCGCACAGTGAAATCATACCTAAATAAACCCATTCTAGAGGCCAATGCAGCAAGCTGCTCATAATCCCGTCTGTCTTTTCTCTCCCTAGACACCACCTCTTGTTCATCCACATTACGCAGAAGCATGCTTAACTTCCATTTCCACTCATCAACATTATCAAGTGTAGAGCCCTGAAATGAAATGTATGTAGAAACTCAGTACGAAAAAATTCCACTAAAAATCAGTAGAATATGGATAGGTATTAACTTTGTTTGGATATCAGACTGAAATAAATTTAATTTGTCTATGGAAATTTGAACAAAGACATGTAGAACAATCGAATAAGTTCGTTTCTGAAGAAACGTCAAACCCATTCACAGTGCCCACATATAAAGAACAAATATTGATCACGTCCCTGCAGGGTGTAAAATCGTAGAAGTTACTTGGAACAGCATTGACAGAACTGTAGACCTAGCAGAGAAAGTTTAAGAGAATTTTATTTTTTTAAAAGTTTTAGGTTTCTTCCTGCATGTTCATTCAAGGGCACCTGCAAGAATACCAGATCATAAACAATAATTTCCCGAAAAATGTTCATCACTGAATCCCTTAGAATTTCCAAGTTACCTATAAATTAAGAGTCACAGAAGACTTGACTGTGCTTTTTAGAGGAAACTATAACGTACTTGTGCCTGGTCTCTTACTAGGTCAAGAGAGCTAGGCTAAACTGGTGGAGAAAGGCTTGGATGCCCAAAATGAATATTATGCGTTGATTTATAACAGTAAAAAAGCGGAAAAGTATTGTCTAATGCACACTTTTACCTCAAAAGAAAATATTGAGGGAACTGAAAGCGGCTGCTATCATATCCGCTTAAATCAGCCAGAACTCACATGGGGTTTCAAATCAGTTAATGCTTAGAGTTAAACGGAATCAAACGAAATACTAGAATCTGAGCAAAATGCATACGAGGAGCGTATGAGAACCAAGAAATTTCGTTATTGCTTGACCCGCATTTTTCTGTTCGCATGAAACTGGAAACGAATCCCACAGCAACTGTGGTCCACATTGTTAAGGGACATTGCCATGTAATTTTGAGGATCACTCGTTTTCTTACAAAAGGTAGCTAATAGCAACTATTTGGTCATTTTTTTATCTTTTGTTAAAATATAATTTTCCTTGTCAAGCTTAGCAGGCTTTACGAATCACTGGTATCCATCATCAAAGACAATCCTCATAGACATACTATCACAAAAAAAGTGGACACAACCAAAGCATGGCAACAATATGTTGTAGATACAATTCTAAAAAGCACATCCATCATCTGATGCTAGAATCACATGCAACCACAGACATACATACCAAAAGTTCAAAATATAGTTCAAGCCTTCCCCAGACATCTCCATATTAACTGTTTCATTTATCTGATCACAAGTTTTAGCTCTCTCCACCTCGGCTTGGGGAACAGTCGAGCTCAAAATCCCATCTGAACAAAAACTAATAATACTAACTGAAAGATAAAGGAGCAGTATTTGTTTCTACGGCTTGGGAAATTTCATCGAGAATAAGAGACGGTAAATGCTAAGTAAGCACTCACTTTATTGGAGGACGTCGATGACGTATCCATGTCCCTATCAGAATCATCTTCCGAGTAGTCGTCATAGGCAAATCTAGCATAGCTCGATGACGGCTGCCGGAAATACCCGTACGCGTTCTCACCACCTGCAGGATTCAGCGCCGGGCCCTGGTTCCCTCGCCAGTCGTAATCAAGAGAATGGGAGGCAGTGGTGGAGGACGATAAGGAGCCACTGGCAGAGGCGATGACGGAGCGAAGCCGTGGAGCCATCATAGGTGGCACGTACACAGCGGAGCCGTAGCCAGAAGTCAATTGTTCCTTCATGACTCCTTCGACGGGAAGAAAGAAAAAACCCAGCGAAGGGGATCGCGGCTGGAAGAAGACACTCCTAGGGCCTCTCTTGTAGACACCAGTGACAGGAGAGCTGAGAAAGAGACCCCTGCGGACGGGATGGACCGAGCCGATGCTGCTTCTCGCGCTACCTCCCCAGGAGGGGGCAAGATGCATGTTAATGCGAGGGCCGAAGAAGAAGCAGCCCCGCAGCAGAGCAGAACAGGGCATGTTCCGCTGGCGACACCCCCTCCCCTACATGTAGCGGAGGGGGCCGCAACCTGGAGAGGATCCGCTGAGAAACAACAGAAGGAGAGTAGGGTCAGGTGGCGGAGAAGGTCGACGGCGACGGCGGAACGGTGGCGACAGAGCAACAGGAACAGTCCCTCCGCCCAGACGCCGCCCAGGAAGGGAGGGAAGGGAGAACGGGGAGCGGAGCAGGCAAGTAATACGGCGCCTGCTGCGAGGGGGGGATCAAAGCTGATTCTGATCGGACGGCGGAGGATGAGCCTCTAGTTAGTTGAGCCACGTAGTCCTTTTGCCTGGCACCTCCAGGAACTCCCCGAAGTATTTCCTTGTGATACTTTTTCGATCAACAATTGTTTTCCCAAATGTTAGTCTTCATTTTCAACATAAAATTTAAAAATTATATAAAATTATAAATGTATTTTTTTCAAATAATAAATTTAACTTGAAAAATGATGTCACGTAAGCTGATATCATCAAAGATTGTAATTATATGTCTTATCATTATATAATTGTATAAATACTTTTTTCTTTTTATACCATTGCAACCAGGTTAGGAATAAATGAAACCCATTAAGGTGTATCTAATCAGACTATGGAGTCACATATAATGTTTGTTTCTATTTTTTCTATTTTAATTAAAGGAGTTATTTTTTGGTTTCTTTTTCTCTCTCATCAGCCCTTTAGGGCAACAACTATCTTCCAACCTCATCTAAGTTTTTGGAATGCTCCCTTAGCCATATGACTCTTCATTAGCTATTGAATGCTCATTGTCAAGATTATGTGTCCTAGTTGGGGATCGGCCTCATCAAAGAGGATTTCTTGTTAAACCATGTGTTGTGTGACTATGATATGACTGATTTGTTTATCTAATTGGTTACTCATACCCCATTTGTCCCCCCTCTCATATTTTGTCTGATTTATTTTTTTCATTAAAACCCTTGTTTATAATAGATAGAAGTGCATCATCACTTAATGAGTGCTCTAAATTATATTTAGAGTTACCTAAAATTCATATTTAATTCAAATTAGATGAGAGAAATGTACTTGGTGAAATGAATTTATTGAAGTTTTTTTGGTGTGAATGAGAAAGCTTAATTACCTTTGAGAAGTAATCCCCAAACCAACAGAACCACGCTTTAAATTTTGGAAAAAAGAAAATACAATAATAAAAGCATGACTTTGGATAGCAATAACATATGAAGTAGATAAAAAATATTTATTTCAATAAATAATAGAAAAATATTTAAGAGAAAATAGTAATTATTTCTTGAAAAAAGATGATGAAGCTCGAATTTATCAACTCATTACTAAAGCAATATCATTGACATAAGAGAGTAAATATATCAAGGAATATGTTAAATAATTATAGTCTTTATAGTAAAAAGGTTGATAGATTTTGACCAATTAATAAAACAATTCTAGATGATGGAATATTTTTCAGAAAATATATTGAGAAAATGTTTGTATGATAATCTTGAGTTGATCTTAATCTTTTTTTCTCAGTCTTAATCTTGAGTGTTATAAAGCCTAAGCCCAAATCTTGAAGAGAAAAAGAATTTAAACTCTTGAAGAGGTAACTATGAACATAAGAAATGAAAAAAAAGGAGAGGAGTCATGATAAAACTACAAAATAATAATCATTTAATATTTGTGATGAAACAATAGGGGAGAGAATCATCACCACTAAAATATGATCAAAGAAAATAAAATTACCATAGAGACCACTAAAATAGGGGACAGCCTATGGTAAGACATATCCATAAGTGCTTCTATAAGTTATATGGGAGGCCTTGAATAGGTGGACAAACTCATTTGTCAACCTCACAACCATTGGAGTGAGTCTCAACGATGGACCCAAATACTCAATATGAGATGAAAAGTCTTTAGAGTTGACAAAAGCTTTGAGTTATTCTAGTGAGATTCCACACTCCCTAGTATTATAGGTAATATATGATTCATTTTTGTCATCTTAGATATCATATAGAAGGGTTACTGACCATATAACCAATTCCTCCGATCATTTCCTAACCTATAATCATTATCTAAGTAATAAAAAAGTAGTAACTACCTATAGAGTAATTATTGTAGTAGATATAAAGGATGTGAAGATATAATCTACTAGCATATGTAGAAACATTCCATGTCCCTAAATTCTTTACAAATATTATCTTAACTAATAAAATAATTATTAAAATAAGTTTTAGAGTGGTTATTGATAACAATCTTTGTGATAAGGTCATCAATAATATATAACATGAGGATTGTGTGAAGGACTCTAACATCTCATATTATCGAATCAAACTTGTATTGCAGATCACATGACCAGTTTAGACCTAAAACTTTGTACTCAACATAGTTTTAATGATTCTGATTGTATCATTGTCATTTTAGACATCCATCTCTTAGAATGATGAGAATAATGTTTCAGCATTTGGTTCTTAATTTTTTTTGGAAAAAAACTAAATTATGATATTTTTGAGGGTGCAAAAAATAAATATACCTCACTTATATTCAGTAATAAAAAATCATAGTCACTTTTACTTAATTTATAGCAATGTTTTAGGGATCATCATCCACTCTAAATATCTTGGAAGTGAGATGGTTGATTATTTTTATGATGGTTGATATACATTAATTTTCTTATGGAATTATAAATAATAGTGTGTAAAGTCATCTAAATTTTTTATTTATTAATGACAAATTATTTTGGGATAAAATAAAATAAAACCAAATGAATTATTATAATTTTTAAAGCGAAATTTGTCATTTATGAAACTTCATGCATCAATACTCTATTGTAAAACGAAATAGTAAAGAAGAAAAGCAAATACATATGAGTGATAACAACATTCATATTTTAAAATCATGCATCTAATAATGGGACAATCTTAATTGCCATACACCTTGTTAATGGGTTCCCAACTCAAGTTCTATGGTTTGAAAGCCAATTAGAGATTTTATCTCATTTTTTTCCAAACACTCAAGTTAAGAACATTTTAGTCCCTAAGATATTGAGTTGTGTCTATTTATGATGAGTCATATGCTTCAACTTACGATAAGCTTGTAGATGTAGCCACTAAAGAACTAAATGAACCTACCTTATAGAGACTTATATCACAACTTGAATTGGATAGTATCCACTTACTAGCTTGAGAGAAGATTTAGAGATTACCATTATATTCTCTGCCATTATATAATTGTATTTTTCATATTATTTTCTCTAAGTTTCAAATAAATGAAATAAGTATATGTATTTCAAATATTTGTATCCATTTTTCTTTTGAATTAATGAACTTATTTTCCCTACCCTTTTCTCTCCCATCACCATTTAGGGCAACACCTCTCCTTGGCGACAACCAAACCTCCAATGCCCAAGAAGCTTTAACAAATATCACAAGCATTGGTTGCCAAAAATCACATGTAGAAAAATGTGACTTCATAGTTGGTGATGATGATTTCAAACTTTAGAAATATCCTAATTTTTTTTGTTCAAGAAAATCTTGAATCACTTTGTGAACAGAATTGATCATAAAAATTATTTAAAAAATATACAGTTTTTTTAATACAAGTCTGACTGATGTTGATCAAGGTTAACTAGTTAAGAAAAAAAATGAATTTATGTAATTAAATTTACAAGTGTGAAGCTAATATGACGAGGGTTAAGTACAGAATGTGCTCAAGATACATATGGGAAATATCTATGAGATTTTCAACATATGGGAAATTAATTTATGGAAAAACCCTAAGATGACATACATTATTTCCGATATGTTGAATAAATGTCTGTTGTTGTGACCTTTTTGTATTGAGGATGGGATCCGTTTAGTAATCATCGGGATAAACTGCTGATGGAACCAAGGCTAGGCCCAATTCGGCCAAATTAGTTGCCTAGAGTCCGGTATCCAGATGGGCCCATGCCCCCTTCTCATATGGTCATCATCTGACGAGTTTTAACGTGGACCGTCCGATTCGTTTCTCTCTCTCTCTCTTTCTTGTCCTCCAAGGCCACCCGGGTCTGCGAATCGTGAGGGTGGCTGTCTCCCTCCTCCCAGTTCTAAAACCCTTCTCCCCTCTTCTCACTCCTCCCAAACCCTACGGGCTCCTCTCCCGATCGCCGCCGGCATGGACTTCAAGAATGTGAAGGTGCCGAAGGTGCCGGGTGGCGGGGCGGCCTCTGCTCTGGCGAAGTTCGCCGTGTTCGCCGGTCTGGGCGTGTACGGCGTCGCGAACTCGATCTACAACGTCGACGGTGGTCACCGTGCCATTGTCTTCAACCGGATCGGCGGGATCAAGGACAAGGTGAGGAGATGGCCTCTTCTTCTTTTCTCGAGTCTCTGTTTTTGATCGTTAGCTTATTGGTCCCCTTCTATTTGTTGCTAATGTGTACGCATTTCTTGCCAGGTCTATCCGGAAGGGACTCACTTGATTATTCCGTGGTTCGAGAGACCGATCATCTACGACGTCCGCGCACGACCGCACCTCGTCGAGAGCACTTCCGGGAGCCGCGATCTGCAGATGGTAAACTTCATTTAGGCCTTCCCGTCATGCGTGCAAGCTGTTGGCTAATTAATCTACACTCGCAGCAGTGGTGCAAACTCTGTGGCATCCATTTTTTTATTGTTGAGAAGTCGAAATATTGGCAAGCATGATTCATCTTGTTGTGTCGATGAACTTTTTTTTTTTGCTTCTTTTCCTGAGCTGATTTTTTTTGGGTACAGTGTTCTCTGCTCCGTCTTTATATATTATACTTTACTCTCGTCAGTTGAACATGCTCTCTGCTCGAGGGGTCTGTCTCCCCTTTGAGAAATGGATCACAGAGTTATGTTGATTGGATTCAACTGAAGAACAACTCAGCGATATTATATTAGATGGTCACTTTCACTCGTTTTTCCAACTCAATCGAGCGTGGGCTTCTCTTTTCTTCGGTCACAGTTTGTCCTTGAATATTCAAGATTTGTTAGTTCCGCTTAGCACCATGGAGATGTATCATGCGTTCGTTCTGATTTTATTTCACATTTCTATTCTTCTATCATCTGGTTCATAGTTTCCTCCCCAAAAAGATAATCATTGTTTAGTGAATATTAGTGTATTTCTAGTTCTCATTAATTCTAAATCTTTAGAATTACCAAGACCATGTGTGCTCGCCCGCTGTGGCCATGTCCCACAGGCCACAGTGGGGCTCTGACCCACTGTGCATCATGCCTTTGCTGTGCTTGATTGATTTTTTTATCTTATAATATTCCTTCATTTATTCGTTATCCGTTCTACTATCATGCAGTTGGAGTCTAGAGAATAATACCATCTATCACAGATATAAGCATCCCTGAAATAGATTTTTGACCTAATCTAGATTAATGCCTGTTTTGGGGTTTCAACAGCTCATATCTCATGGAAATGTGGGTACTATGTTACGGTAACTTATGAAACTTATTCATCAAATTTTTAAGGCTCTTCATGAAGCACTTCCTGGTACCTTTGGCACTAGGGTGTTATCTCTTCTCTTTCTTTCTATCAAATCTAATAAGGGTTGGGTTCTTATCCTACAAAAACCCTAGACATGAACATATAGCTCAATTTTGCCCGTTGACTTCACTTCCAACGGCGTACCGACTGTTCACTCGTCTTTACCTCTTTTTGCGATTCCATTGAATTACCATATACTCATTGAATTCATCCGAATCACCTCAGTCGGATCCATGTTACTTTTCTCGGAATGGAAAGAAGGTGAGAAAGAGTAAGAGGAGGATTGAGGATCTCCTTTTCAAGTTCTTTGTTTTTGTTCGAAGAGTATGACTACTATGAATCTATGTTTATCTGCTTTCTATATATGCAAATATGTGCAGAGGCTTGCACTTATTTCCTTATTATCACTTGAATTATCCTTGAGATAATTCGTGTTATGCTTATGGACAGGTGAGAATTGGCCTTCGAGTTCTCACTCGTCCTGTAGCTGATCAGCTGCCTACTGTCTACCGAACACTCGGGGAGAACTACAATGACAGGGTTCTGCCATCGATCATCCACGAGACGCTCAAAGCAGTGGTGGCACAGTACAATGCTAGCCAGCTCATCACACAGAGAGAGGTACGAGCCCGAGTAGCAGAATCAGTGTACAAATCTCCTTGCATGATGCACTGCCTCAGAACGTTAAAGCCGATGAGGTTAATTAGTTTGGTGTTATTGTTTGGCAGGCAGTGAGTCGAGAGATCAGAAAGATTCTCACCGAGAGAGCGACGCACTTCAACATCGCCTTAGACGACGTGTCCATCACATCTCTGACTTTCGGTAAGGAGTTCACCAGTGCGATTGAGGCCAAGCAAGTGGCGGCACAAGATGCTGAGCGGGCAAAGTTCATCGTGGAGAAGGCAGAACAGGATAAGAAGAGTGCCATCATTAGAGCGCAGGTACTATGAGCTTCCATCTCGAGTAAAGTGATCTCTATCTCTAGTTACTCCCATAACGAAGCTTTTTTGGCAGATCTTGGCAGATCTTGGTAAAACCATATGCCCACATGAACATAGAGCCAAATCCATTTTTAGGTAGCTAGAAACCTTAGAAAAAATCCATGGGTTAATAGGTAGAAGCTATGAACATAGTGTGAAAGCTGGGAGCCTCTTCCATTTTCTCAGATTCTCACAAAACTCTTGGCTCTTATCAAAGCTTCTATATGGGAGCGAGTCACTTGTGATTCATTCACCTTCAGACATTAATCGTTTCTCACATGATCTTGATATATATATCAAGAGCTAATGCTTGATGAATAGGCCTAGAATGTGATCCTGGCAGGTCTGTCTCTTGGCTTCTCAAGGTTTTTAAGCGTCTTATGAATGGTATTATGGTCCAATAGGGAGAAGCCAAGAGTGCACAGCTCATTGGCGAGGCAATCGCCAACAACCCGGCCTTCATCACTCTGAGAAAGATCGAAGCAGCGAGGGAGATCGCTCAGACCATCTCGAACTCATCCAATCGGGTGTTCTTGAACTCCGACGACCTGCTGCTCAACCTTCAGGAGATGGACTTGGACAGTGCAAAATTCTCAAAGAAGTGATGACGATGTGAGGAACCCCTTTTTTTCTACCCCTCCGCCTCTCTGCGTTTTGACTCTTTTGTAATATTTCTTCTGGAGGAGATGCCGTCCGCATGACATTTTCACTGCCTGATAATTTGCACCCCCCTTCCCCCCCGGGGGTGTCTGAGAAGTATGGGAGATCTGATCTGATCTTCTCAAGTGGCTCTCCTTTGAACCTTTAAAAGAATCTTGCATCTTCATCCATGATGTGGTTATCAAAACATCCCAATTTAGAAAGATATCGATGATGATAATCTAGGTTTCTCTATTGTTGATTTTATTTATTTATGCTTGGTTCATATCTTCTGCCCCTCCACATATTGCCGGAATAAATTACTGATTGCTCTTTTTTATTGTTCAGTCAAAGTATTTATGCCAGTTACTATAAATAAGTAAATGTAAGTAAAGAGGTGAAAAAATCCTGATGCTGTCTTAAGCAGATGAGATGGTTCTGGTCAGTTCAGAAATGGAGATACTAACTTTAGTCTAAGCTATCAAGAAATAATTAGATGAATAAATAAAATAAGTAAAATGCATTATATTTCACTTCTTGTTCAAGTAAAATGTATCTCCAAGCAGACCAATACAGAATTCAAATAGTCACATCAGCTATGGAAAAGGAGCCACCAAATAAGGGCATGGAAAATAATAAATTCTGCGGAAATTCGCTAAAACGTGGAGCAATTCCGTTTTAGAACACACAGGAGGCCGGGGGATTTACTTGTCCTTGAAGACGATAACTATGACCGTGCAGTTGTCCTTGCAGCGTCTCTCACGGACAGCTTCTCTCACTAGGCGCCTGGCCACAGCAGCCGCAGGTAGGCCGTCCTGCGGAGGGAAGAGAGCGGTTAAAACCACATCAAATCTTGTGAGATTTTACAGCCTGATCACGAGCCATTTCTCTCACTAAAACCAGGCAAAAGAATGGAAGCTTGAAAGCGGCATGCTATGTGCGCATACCTGTAAATGTCTGTGGATGAAGTCCACCGCATCACTGGGTCCAAACACCTGCAAGGAGCAGAGAGAGATCAGCGAGCAGGTCCGTAGAACAGCAGGACGGCCAGGAGTTAGGAATGAGCACCCCCCAGAGGCCGTCGCAGCCAAGGATGATGAATTTCTCTCTCCCTGTGAGCTCGAAGGAATGGATGTCCGGAGTGGCAGTGACCCCCACCTGCAAGAAGAACGTCCAAACCCGGAAGAGGTTTATCTACTGAGATCACAGACTAGAAGTATCCCATCTCATCTCCTTCCGAGGCAAAAAAAAATAGTACATTATAAGAAACTAATCGCTCAGGAGGATGTTCCAGACCCAAAAACTCGTTAATTTTCGTTTTATTAGATGCTATTGAGTGAGTTCCAAAGAGGTATATACCCTGTGGTTCCGAATAGGTATAGGTAAGCTGTTGAGTGAGTGAGAGAAGATACGCGTTCATGGGCGAGAGAAGATACGCTCCCTGAAGAAGCTTTGATAAGAGTCAAGAGTTGTTTGAGAATCTGAGAAAATGGAAGAGGTTCCCTGCTTCCACACTATGTTAATAGCTTCTAGCTATTAACCCATGGATTTTGATGAGCTTTCTAGCAGCCTAAAAATGTTTTAATCAATACTGACTAGAAAAAATCATCAGATCACTGCCAAAAAAAGCATCGAGTACATATCTCGAAGGGAAGACGAATACTATTTTTATACGTCGAAAGCATTCAGTGGGGAAGAAAAAGAAATTAAAAAATAATAAAAAATCAAGGTAAACGAGGAACTGAAGATAATGCTCTGCTTGGCTGAATCCAGAACTATCCAAGGATCATGGGGAGGCACTGAGGTTTTTTCTCAGCCCGTTTCTCAGGTAAAACGTGATGAAGCAGCTAGTGAATGATGTGTAAGATCGACAGTGGATCATATATATATATATAGTAGTAAGGAAAAACACCTTCTTGAATTGGCGATCCCCAAAAGCTCTAGAAACTTCCAGACGACCCTGTAGACGCCCATTGGCACCCACTGAACCGCCGGCCTGGAAGAGAAATTAGGGAGAAAATCATGGTTAAAGTAAAATCTGAAGGCTGCTAAGAGCCTCACCCAATTGATTGAAAGCAATAACATCAAAGGTCAAAATATATGCATACATGCTTATGCATTGGAAATTTGTATTTCTACCTCTTTCATGATCTATTTTTTTAATATATCCACGCCACTTTAAATTTCTGCAGAAAATATCGATTCTCAATTTCTCAGCCATATGGTCGTCTTATCTTTTAGGTAATAAATACCCTCATAAATATGAAAAGTCTCGTTCACCGTCTATAAATAGTAATATAGAGAATAGTAGTCAGCAGCCATTTCCTCCGCTACAAGGAAGCAAACGCCAAATCCTGCGTATGGGCAAGGCTACAAGAGCTTGCGAGGTGTATACCAGCGAAAGAATGATATCTTGAGGGTACAAGTAAAAGGGTACCAACCAAAAACTGTCTGACATAGGAAGGGTACCAATCATATAAATTAGAGCAATACAAGGTATAGAAGCGAGAACATAGTCCCTATATTACTTTGAGAGTACCAAAGACTGAGGATCAAGTAAAAAATGGAAAGAAACCCTTCACTCTTCTTCACCAGCAGTAAAGAGAGAAGAAAAAAACATCATGTGGTTTACTCTGTATTTACAGTAAACACGAAGCTAAACATAGAACAAGATAAGATACTCAATGACTGCGTTATAGCGATTAATCTCTGCATTATGAAAGAGATCATGGCCTCAGATTCAAGTATTTGTTAATATATATTGAAATTTGTAAAATAAAAAAAGATTAAATTTTTTCTCACTGGAATTGATAGGGTTGATGCATGCATTAAATATATGATTATTATAAGGTTCTAGAAATGAGACTACATAGAGGGTTAAACTCAAGTTTGGGGTTCGTTTTCAAAAGAGAGGGGTCAAGAAGCAATGGCAACATGTGACAATTACATTTACGTAGATCTATTGCAGTATGCAGCTGGAAACTATTTGAAGTGACATCACCCTAATGAATATTTCATTTTGGAAAACATGCCCATCAACAACATCATTCATTACCTTCTGAATACGAGCGCGTTCATTTGGAAAGATAGCTTTATGTTCTCTTGTGATAACAATTGCCTTCAGAGGAGCATCATGGGGCCCATCTGCACGAGACGACCGTGCCAATACTGCTTTTGCATCTCCAATATTTGCAACCAAAACCTAACAAGTGATTTTTTAGACAAGAGATGGAAAAAATTATGTGAGTCAAACTTCGTGGATACAATATCACAACTGATGACCACTGTCACAGCTATATTAGTCAATAAGTCAAAGGCCCAATAATGTCAAAAAGTTAATATTTACACGACATGGCTTCCTTTTTAGGCCTTCATTGCATAGAGACACGGAATCTGAAACTGACATTGGGATGAAGATGCCAAAGCCAAAAGGAAAAATGCGATAACACATGAAACCATCTATATAAAAAAGGAATCCAGCCGCAAAACCTCATAGAAGCGAACATTTGTGCAAATGAAGGTCTATCAGGCTTCTTATCTTTTTACTAATTGATGGTGGAAAAGACAAGAACACAATAGAAAACCACTATGTGGCGATCGGTAAGTAATGGTGTCATTCGATACATTAGAAACATCCCTTACACCAATCGCATACAGCAGAGCTCATTAAGCACAAGTATCCGGCAAAAAAAAATTATACAAAACAGACAAAGGGGTCCTAGAATGCAAGGCTTCTCTGCAAATCAATCTTCCTGATAAAAGTCCAAGCTTCACCTTATCCAAGTTTGACGGAAAAATTAAGAAAATTTTACTAGCCGTTGGATTTGATTTCTTTATTCGATATGAAGCCGGGAGCCTTCTTGTCGACAGTTTCCAAAGATATTTGAAGGCTTCTGCAGCGCAGGAATAACATTCCATACGAAGCTTTCTGGGTTGGCTGCCTGATTCTCAAATTCCCGCATTGATGGCTTCAGTGTCCTGTTGCAAACCTCTGGGACTTCTAGAGCATACTAGGTTCTTCCTTCCCTCATCTGACCCAAATAATCCTTCAGTATCATGACCACAAGTGCAAGAGAGATTGTACAAACTCGTAATAAAATGAAATATTTCAACCAGAAATTTTAATCTTTAATAAATTAATGGTTCAACAAGGATGTTAATTTGTAAAGTCGTATAAATTCTGGCACTTAAGAAGATACTTGCCCAAGAGGATACATTCCATAGAGATCCCTGAAGCGGATGCATTCTTCTGAGTTGATCACTTAAGTATAGTGAAACTAAAGAACACTACTAGTAACCTCAGGCAGTAGTGAGGTTTCATATCTGGCTTTTATCAAAATATTGTGGCCATATGACAGTAAAGCAGACTCAATGCGTAGGTGAGACCGGAACATAAAGCATGTTTCATTGCTCCCTGATAAACAATTGAATCTTTTTTTATCAATTAGGAAAAATGCGATCATGAGTACATCAACGTAAGAATTGACAATGAGACATCATGTGCCAGATCTAATACGTTTCCATCAAATTGTCCTCGGATTATATCAATGGTTGCTCATTCGAACGTGATGATGTACATAAAGCTTTGAACAGAGAGTGAGACTATTTATGGAAAGCTGTAATATAAGAAGAATGGTAATTGAAATGTAAAAAGAGTAGCATACTTACCATTTGGCCCAACACCCACAGGCATACAGCCGTTGCACCATCCTGCCAACCCCCTGAAAAAGATAAGAGATAGGGATATAATCTTGTTGGATGTTTATATGTGATAATATAAAATCACTTTAGTACATATCACAAAATATCCATGTTTGACTTTGTAATACTAAGGAATCTATTTATCACGGAAAAAATCCTCTGGAAAGCATAAATGTCCAGTGAAACAAAATGCTGGTATCATTCTGCTTTCCATGAAACAGAACCATTAATGAAGAAAAATATGAAATCGATGTTGGGAACTCCATAAAACAAAAATAAGGACAGACAAAGACCCTAGTAAAATTTGACTGTTCACGTCGGTGCCAATTTTTTGTACATTTTGAAAAGATTTGGGTCTGGCAAAAAAATAAGGTGCTTACCTTTAAAAAAATGGCTACAGGTTTGATGGAATAAACTGCATGAAAATTACTACACTTATTGGGACCATTAGCGAGCTCATCCCAAACATTTACTGGCACATTTTAAAACGCGTGGCAAAATACAGATCGTGTTTGAGAGATACTAATGCCGACTATTCCTGATTGTGTGGAGTTTATCGTTGCCCAAGTCATCTCCTAAGGTAACAGCGTGTAAATTGATCACTTTTGATTCATTCCTGGAAGCAAATAAGGGTATTAGCAGGGAAATACGTTTAGTCCATTAGGAGATCATTCCTTCTCCCAAGTAATCCTCTCTTCTGCCACCATAGCGTACATTAGTCTTGAGTTGTCTTAAACACAACTGAAATGCAACTTACCTGGAACATTTTTCCATTCTAGGTATCTTATTCTCCTTGAATCTCATAGCCACAAAACCATATAAAAAAAAGCTTCAGTCAACTCTATCCTACCATTTTTCAAAATATAATTTCAAAGCATATGGCCTTCCCCTGATCGTTAGCCACCAATCCTTCTTTTGACAACTCATAACAATCAGGTCAGTTTACTCCATTATCATAGATATTCATTCCCAAGAAAAATCCATCAAGACGAGGTAACCCGTGCCTCTTCGAATCAGGAGGGCCTCATTTTACTCATTCCGACAAAAAAATAAAGTTAGACAGGTCTTGGAAGGCTTCTTGATTTTATTCACGGATACTGTTGAGCCTATGAAGTAGAATCAAACCACTATCATGTTTGGACTGGTAAGAATTTCTTGATAACTTTACAAGTTTTTATTGTTTAGTTTAGGTGATTCAAATAGATTCTCAAATGAGTGACAAAAACAGATTCCAACCCACCTGATTCTCGTTACCATCACGATACGTATTCAAGTCATCCATAAATGTTCCATGTTTGAGTATCACTTCTTGTACTCCAGTTCCAGATTCAAACCACAGGATATTCTGCCCTCTTTGCAACTTTCTACTTCATCAATGCTTCTATTTAAATTCAATGTAACAGAGATTCACATAATAATGCCAGTCCAACCTGATGACTATTGAGTATTTCATGAATTACAAAAAGCCAAAAACAATCAATAAGGAAGGGAATTGTTAAAATTATTCAGTGAGCATGATTACCCGCAGCACTTTCTCGAAGAAGGCGTTCATCAGTTTTCTGAAAGCCTGAAAAAGCTCACCACAAAAAAATTGAAGAGGATTAATAAAAATTCCAACAGAGAGGGATAAAACAACAGTAGTACATAACTAGGGCATAATACAACAATATTGCACAGACAAAAACAAACTCAGAAATACCATCATGTAATCTGAGTTATTATATTGCTTTAAATACGACAGTGTGATTTTCAACTTGTACATAGTTTTCAGAAAGTGGATAATACTGCATCTTAATAAAAACGGAAAAATGCACCAGTATATCCCGTGTCCTTAAAAACACCGTGCACAGTATATAGACGACATCGAGATAGTTCACGCAATGGTGGCAGCACAAAGTACCGAAAATGGAACAATCATGCTTTTCCCCCTAAAAACAATGCCTCACCTTCTCTTTCACCTATCTCACGGAAAATTGAAATTTTTTCAGACTACATGCTCATTCCCCTAACTCTGTATAGCCCATAGGGTTACATGAAGGATGTGTCACTAAACAATCCATTTTAAGGACCCAATGCCAATTCCATTCTGATAGTGGCTTCCCTATGTATGAGATTGGCGTAATATGCCTATTCAGTGAAGTAAGTTTTTTTTTTCCCAAATATAACATGATAATGAGAATACTAAGATCAAGAGCTCCGAGGACTAACCTGCATGACATAGAATGCTGGCAGCAGTAATTCTATCAATGCATATAGCTAATCGTGATATAGACCTATTTATTAAACAGAAAGGACCTCAGCTCCGAAACACAAAAGAAAAATGACAGTCACTCTGATGTTAGAGAAACAGATGACATCAAGCAATAGACTCTCTGAAAGTACCATTGGTCCACCATAAAAACTGTTGAGAAAAAGTATAATTGAAATTTATTACAGAATAAGCTGTAAATATTCAGTTACCTTCAAGGATCGCTTTCTTGGAGGCTCTGACATCCATCTGCAAGTTGCAAATGGATTTTTCCACATAAGAAACAGCTAAAAGAGCATACAAAAGAGTAACAGCTTAAGAAGCTTTTGAGGGAAAATCTATAAAAAAACCAGATAAAACAATTAAAATAAAGTCAGTGCAAACAGAACTCCATCTAGAATAGGACTTTCTATGAGAAAAGCCCCAAAGAGAGAAAATGGTAGATTTACTTTACATAATGATGTTTTCTCCTTTTTTATGAGTAGCACAAATTTTGCCCCTATGATTCACATAGTTTTGGAAGAAAGCACCTGGGTGCCTTAAATTGGGTTACTGAAAATAGTAAAGCTGCTGATCTTATAATTAGTTAAAGATCCATCATTTTTCGTCAATGATGAGTCGTACCACTGTGGTTTCCAAAATCTATTGTTCTCAAAACGTAAAAATGTGGCATTTTAATGCTGAACAGTTGGCAAGAAGTGGCGAGCCATCAACTATTGAGAAATATATTAATTTGGTTTCTAAATCCCTTTTTCAAGTCTAATCTAGGAATGAAGATTATCATGGTAGCTCTTACGACTGTATATACTTGCTACCTTCGACCATACGCACTAAATTTAATCTTCGGCCACTTCACTTAGTGAGTTCTGCCATTACCTGAAATTTAATCTATGACACCAACCGAAATTTACCACCTTTTTATTGTTATTCCTTTCAATGTCTTAAGAACCACTTACAACATAGTTCGTATAACGCTGCTGTCTGTCTAACATCTGTAAACCATTCTGGTAGCTGTATTCACGATGCTATTAATCAAATGAAATATAAATATTTTTCAATTCATTAAATGCTCATTAAACCATTTTATGACTGAAATCTGCATCGATTTTAAATAGACATTGGAATGCATCCTCTATCCAGTAATTGATTCTTCACTACTATAACCACAAAAAATAAGCAGAACAGGCAGACACACCAACTCACGTGGTAATCCTGCTGAAAGAACATTTGCGTGTAGGTGCTTTTGTGCGTAATCAGCAGCTAGTCGACCTCCATGCCCATCATAAATCGCAAAATGTGCACATCTGTCACGAAAGATGCAATCATAGTATAAGGGTAAAACCAGGAACAACAATGAAATCTTTGGCATACTCTTTTTAAAATGGGAGGCATAAGGCCACAAACAAATCAATGGACTTCATTTCAGATGTGATACGTGCGTTGATAACTAGAATATGATTCTATAAAAATTAGCAAGTGAATGTGGCTAAGAGTAGCAAATGAAATGTTACTGTCAGTAAAATCGTAAAATAATATACCATATAAATTTAAACATAATGGATGTGGTAAAAAACTGATAATGTGGAATGCCAGTCCACATGAAATTCACATTGCACCCATATACGTTTCAGCCAGGGCTACCATAATCTCCTCGAACAAGTCAAGTACCCATGCCATGTCTACTCGAGCGCAGTGACTACTGTTTGAAACAGTGATAACTAAAACACTCGGCTACATCATTGAAATCATGAAGCCCGTTTGTGCATAATCTACTTTTACATTCACTCTACACAGTGAAATATGGAGGTTGTCTTTCCTCTCTCCTAGGTTCCCATTTGCTGCGCTTCCACTTCATATAATAGTGAACACAAATCCCAACAAAGCCATTTGACAGTGGTGAATGTAACGGAGGTCAATATACAGCAATCAAGGAAAAACTGACGCCACAATGGATGACACACGTGAAAACCATGTTATCATCCTTTACATGATGTTTGATGAAGAAAAATAACCTATTAGGTGAAACGATAAGTGAAAACTTTTCAAAATCTTCCAGTTTCACTCGTAATTATTTCTAGATACCATATGCACAACCACAGTAATGGATCGTCTACATGCACCGCAGGAAAAGAAAAAAACCACTGGATTTTTGTGGTATCTGACAACACAGAAGAAAAATTACGTGATACACATGAAGGAAGAGCATAAGCACCTCAAAGTTCCAGGACATTCCATGCTTGCATCAGGAAGAACAACCCATGCGTCTTCCATGCTGTGCCTAGAACCCTTGTCTTCTGCTGCACTGGCTTCAATTGGGAACACTTTACTAACACATTGACTTGCAGCTCCCAAGTTAGATGAGGGGATGCCCTTTGCAAGAATCCTTTCCCCAGATTCTTGATTCGAAGTTACTTCAGAGTCGAATCTACCATTGTCATTTTTCCCAATGGAGGAGTTAATTTCCTGAGAAGCACATGTCTTCGAACTTTCCACTTTTTCTGCATTTTCTGTAACTGAGGAAGTGACTTTTAGTTTTTTTCCAGTAGAATCTTCACTATCAGATATGCTTTCCCGTTTTGGATGACTCCAATTATTCATATCATCAGCTGCAATAACACAAAAAATAGAAACTTGGGTAATTGGATTAAAATCCTTGAAACATAATAATTCATACGAAGCAAGCGATCACCAAATATTGTGGGGAATACTATTCATGATGCAAGCACAACGAACATCAAGCTACACAGTTAGAGTTGCATGTCCATAAAAGTAAAAAATAAAACTTGCTCAAATTAATCAACTACAAAAATAAGGGACTGCATTACTTTTGACTGAAGTGATTTCCTTGTTAAAATAAATCTTGATTATTGGTGAAAGTTGTCTATGTTTTTCTATTATTCCTTCCCAGAAAATTTAATACAATTCACATGACTGAACATAATACATCTATCAGCAGTCTCTGCACCTCAATATCATAAGACCAATTAATACCACACGGCTTAAAACGGTTTGGTGGATTTCCTCCAGCTTGGCCGATACAAATGATGCCAGTATAATATTCCTTTGACATTAATATTGTCTGAGTGATTTGGAGGAGGGGAATAATAGGTTTAAAGATGCTTCTGACGGGATCAATCATATTTTCAAAAAATAAAATATTTTCTAACAAAAATTATCAAATCTTCAGAATCCAGCTATTAAGATCACCCCCCGTAGTGCAGGTTTTGATCCTTTGTTGATCATTATAGAGTGCTGATCCTTCTCAGATAAAAAGATGCCACAAGTTTTCCTTCAATAACAAAAATCATGGAAAACAAGTCAACGCTAGTCACTAAAATCTTTTGTTTTTATCATTGAGTCCCAGGAATCTTTTCCAAGAGCCAGGGGAGGTGAATATACTTTTATACGGGTTTTCTAATATTTATGTGAGGATTTTAAGGAGTCTCTGTGAACCTATAAATTTATGAGGATTACAAGGGATTCCACATATCCACATCTCATAGTATGATTCTAATGGAGAAATTCCCAAAGAGAGCTACAATTTCATTTTTTATGTTCCTGGACTGTCTCATTCCACCATAATCTGCTATCTCTCTTGCCTTAGACTAGGCTCCAGTGCTATGTTTTTCACCTTTATTGTTAGCGAACTTTAGAGAAACTGTTGTACTGGGGTTTTGGAGCGAACACTAGAATTTTAGTAGCCTCGTAGAAACCAGCAGTTGATAGCAGAGTTACACATTGTTATCCAGGGAAATATTTTTTATTGAATATACGGAAGATTTTTTTTTATCAGTTACACAAAACTAGATCAACCGATATGCTGATCTGCTCATTTGTTTTTCCAAATGTAGCGAATTTACAAGTAGCGCTAGGAAAGTGGACATAGACCAAGGATGAGGTCACATAACTAAAACGAAATATATAGTCAGCCTTCGGCGCACATTTGCTCTTCCCAGTGTTTCATTGTAGTAGCTTAGATTCTTAAAATAAATTTCTAGTTGCATTTCTAAATGTTTCAAATCATCCACCTCCAGGCCATTCCATACACACGCACTCTAGGGTTTCCCACAACTTTGAGCCAACACGGTTCAATCCATCCACGGGGTCGTCAGAGTTGATAGACGAGTTAGCTAGCTCCACCAGCACCACCTCATCATCCGCAAGTCTCCGTTTTCATGTGTTTCTTTCGTTCTAACACGGTTCTGTTTTTCCCACAGTTATTTACAGCACGCAGAGGACAAGCGGTAAGATAAAGTTCTCATCCCAAAAACGGCAACAGCACGAGGCGCTACTGCCCAAACCTCATGAAGATTAAAGGAACCTGGGGTTGGAAAAATCGCATGAACTATGTCGAAGAGTCAAGACGAACATATTTTGTAATCTGCCAATAAATTAAACGAACTATCCAGGGAAGGAATTTAGAACACCGCTCAATCGGCGAGCATAAAAAAAACTTTGATTACCTTCCGACATTGCCGAGAACGAGAAAAATCTACAATCACCAGCCGCGTGCCACCGCGGTGCGGATTTATCGTGAGCGCACGCAGAGAGGAGGAGAGAGAGCGGAAGAGGGGAGTGGAGCGGACGAGGGAATCCCAGTTGAAGCTTGCGGGTTGGACGAGAGAGGAGTCCACGTGTATAGGGCCGGGCTTTCTAGAAGAGGCTTTCTTATAGATGTCAATAGGCCCGTCTGAGTCAGAAGGAAATGGCCTATTAGGTTTATCCCCAGTGACACGTGTCACATAATGTCCACGTGGTGACAAGACACGTGTCATACCGGTCCTGGCAAGAGGTTTTGCTTCCTTCGCAGAAAAGCCCTAACCCAAGCACCATCGCTCTCTCTCCTTCTCTCTCTCTCCCTCCCTCTCTCTCTCTCTCTCTCTCTCTCTCTCTCTCTACCCTCTCGGAGGGCGCAGCCGCCGGGGGCCATCTCGCCACTCGTCTTCTTCCATCTGTGTCCATGACGAAGTTCCGGAAGCTCGGTCGCCCTGCGGCCCATCGAGTGTCCATGCTCAAGTGAGTTCCCATCTTCTTCTTCTTCCCTGACTCCTTTTCGCTTTTGATCATTTCCTTATCGTTTTATTTTATTTTCAGAACGCTGGTGTCTCAGTTGGTGAAGCACGAGCGGATAGAGACCACCGTTGCCAAGGTTTCTCCTCCTATTCTACGGACGCTACATTTTTTCTCACACGTATGAGTTTTGCCATTCCATTGCGTGAACCATATTCTTCCCTGTTTATTTGTTCTCAGGCCAAAGAAGTTCGTCGGGTTGCCGATAGAATGGTTCAGCTCGGCAAAGAGGTATGCACGAACGTTGTGGGCTTAGCACTCATGGTCTGTGGAATGGCCAGTCATTTCTTTTTACCCTGGACTAGATTCGAGCTGATCACGGAGAATAATTCCTCGGTCTCACTCTATCGTTCACTCGCACATTTTTGTTTACAGTAGTCGACATACTGTCCAGCAAATAGATCAAGAGATGGCGTCGTTCGATTAGTATAGATCAGAAAATAGTCCATTGTTTTTATGAGACCTGGATAACATGTGAGCTAGAGCTCTGTGTTACACATCTGATGAATAAAGGTCAAATAATGAATCTCATGGAGAACAACGCGTTAAATATCGACGGTGCCCAGAGATGGAAAAAATGCGGGAAATTCTTTACTTTGACTAAGTTTGCTTCCTTTTATTTTATTGATTGGTATGCGTTATGATGAGGTTTTCCTCCACGTTTTTTTTTCTGTTCCTCGTTTCTTGTGGTCCGTCCTGTTCTACATCAAGATCTCTAGGAGCAATCCTTGTAGATGGGGAGAGATCCGGCCCACTTCTGGGTTCTCGGGAAGGCCATTCGTGTTAACTGACATCCAAGTTACGTCTCTGTTGATCAAAACCTTCATTACATTAGGTATTTCAGAATCAATTCCCTAATCGGTTAACATGACAAAGTACTCTAATTCTGATAGGAAAACTACATTCAGTTCTGTGTCTTTTTTTGGGATAGTTGGCAAAAATATACACAGTCTAACGTCACTGGGTTCTTGTTTTGACAACAGCATGTCCGGTTGTTGAATCAATAACAATATTATTATTGCTGAATAGTATATCCTTTTACCATTATTCTTTTATTGATTTATGATTTGATGTTGTCCTGACTTTCGCTCTGTCAGATCTTAAAGTCTAATCGTTTTTGGACATGGGCTCTTATTTAGTTATCCAACGCCTATTCTTTTGAGACATGCTAATTAGATTTCAAAGTTCCCTCATATGCTTCTATGGAACTGTTGTCATTTCTTTTCCTTTCTGTCAAATGGACCTTAATCTTTACCAAGGAGTGAAGAATGAGACTCTTAAAAGTAAATTAGACGTGGAAAGGATGTGAGATATCTGTGCCCACTTTTCTCTCTTGAACAGGCGACTATCAACTATGGTGGGTAGTAATGTCATTTTATCCACTATGGTGGGATAACCTTTATCCCTTAATGCATTTACGGCGTTCTCATGATTTTCTGTGGGTTTGAGTCATTATGTTACTAATTTCACCAGAGAATGTGAACAGAGAAATTTGAGATAACCCCTACATGTTATTCTGGTAATTCCAGTCCCACATTGAGGAGGCATGATGTTCATATACACCAGTTAGGAGTTTTTCAATACAGAACAATACGCCTGTGGCTGATTCACTAATGCAGTAGATTCTACGACTATGCTTTTTGAGCAGTTCTATGCTTTTTAATTTTGTAGAATAGAACATGGTCCAGGACTCTTAAGGTCACATGTCAAAGCCCATGTATCAGGCCCTAGATGAAAAGGCATGAGAAATCTAGTACCAGTTTAACATCTTCACCAGAGCATATGAGGCTTGTAATCGGTAGATGGACCTGTTGACTCGAGCCCTATTGAGTTGGATGCCTCAACAGCGTTAATATAGTAAAATGTGTTGTATTGTGGTTAGGGTAGTTTCGGTAGTCATGATGGACGATTTGCATGGTTCTCTGGCTGGCACCCTGGCTTCCATGCTGCTAAAAAGAAACACCGGATCTGAAGTAACTGTTTTTTTTTTTTTTTGGGTAATTATTTGGTAAGGATTTGTTACAATTATGTGAAACATTTCAGATCATTCAAAAAATCACTTGAAAAATGTAATAATTTTTATCACCCCAATGGGACCACTGCAAATGGCCTCTCCAGTACCTTTGAGTGCCTTCTGACTTCTTTCTCCTGCCAACATTCAAGTAACACATGCTTTTTAATGTGAATTAATTCGAAGTTTTTTTTTTTTCTTGGTCAGTAAAATGTGTATTCTTACTCTTTCCATTTAATTTTCATACCTTGGTCATTTTACTTCCGGAAATTCGGCCATTTATTCCATGCTAAGCAGTGTTCGTCGTGTTCCAGGGTACGCTTGCAGCTGCCCAGCAGGCTTCTGCTTTCGTACGTGGTGACGATGTTATGCACAAGTTGTTCACAGAGTTGGCATACCGCTACAAGTAACCCTGCCAATTCACTGAGCTCTGCCCATCTTGCTGATTAAAGATCATCTCCAGAGGCATAATGGATGCATTATATTTACAGGGAAAGGGCAGGGGGTTACACCCGGCTCCTTCGGACCCGCATACGGATGGGAGATGCTGCACCTATGGCCTACATCGAGTAATATTCTCCCCTAAAATCCTTCAAATCGATTCCCTCTTTCAGAAGCTCAAGTGAGATTCCACCCGTTCACAGCATTTGATTCATGTTGGCCGTGATATTCTTCCTGGTAGATTTGTTGACCGGGAGAACGAGCTTCGAGAGGCAAAGCCTCCAGCACCACAACCCCTTCAGAGACCCTCAACGGATCCATGGGCGAGGTCAAGAGCAAGCCAGCAGTGGGCTCCTCCCAAGGAGGACACAGAGACTTGACGATACTCGTTGCCGATGGTCAAATTGTTTCAGGCTTTTTCCACACCAGATTCCGAACTTTTCAAGTCAACGAAGATGGTTTTCTATTAATATCAGTCTTCAAGCCCATCTGGAGCAGGTAGGGCCCGCTCTCTTCCCCCCTTCTGGGTATTGGTTGACTCCGTTTCAAGATTCATGGGTTTCTGGGGGAATCCAGGTTCATATATTCTGACCACGGACTTCCCTCTGAGTAGATGATTCCAATAATGTGCCTTACATGCAGAGGAAACACTAGTGATTGAGAAAATACGGCTCTGATTAAATATTTTTCTGCCCGAGGAGTGATTTTATTTAACATAAATCATGTAAAATAAATTAGTTGTTTGAGATAATATGGCTCTGATTAAAGATTTTTCTGCCCGAGAGTGATTTTTATTAATAGAAATTATGTAAAATAAATTAGTTGTTTGAGAAAATATGGCTCTGATTAAAGGTTTTCCACCCAAGAGTGAGTTTATTTAATATAAATAATTTTAAATAAGTTATTTATTTGATCGGTTGGCTTCTATGACGAAGCTATTGGTTCCCTCTCTGTGAAATATATTATGGGATTATTTTATTTTTCGTTTTTATATTTCTAATTATGTATTTTTCGTTTGAGAACACCAGGAGGCCGTCAAGTTTTTAAAGCCCTGCCAAGCCCAAAAAGGGCCTTTTTTTCCTCTGTGGGCCGACTTTTGGCCCAAAATAGGAAAAAAATAGGGGCTCCGATTTTAATTAAAAAAGGCGTAAAAATGCCTCGATTATAAATTACAATTATATATTATTTTAAAATTATTGGAAAAATGTTGCTGCAAGAAGCTGGTGACCAACCCAGGGATCCCCCCTAACCTACACTTTCACATTTCAGAAAATCATTAAAAAGGGTTATTATTATTATTTTGTTAATTAATCGAATTGGTGCGATAAATTGTGCATGATCGCAAGTAAATATAATAATGTTTTTAATTAATAAAAAAGACAGAAAATGCGTTGCGTGTGTTAAAATAAATCATTTGAACAGGAGGGTTAAAATTAGTCTGGAGAAAATAGCGGCAAATTATGACGCAATTAATGGGTTGAATTAACATCAAATTAAAAAACGTGGAAAATGTGTTGTTGTCAGTGAACTACGATTAGGGCGCTCTGACAACCCTGGGGAGCACCGGAACGGGACGTCACTACCATCCTCGAGGAGCCCTAGCCGTGGAAAAACCCTAACGTGGGGAGGATTCAGTTCAACAAGCAGGGCGATGGAGGCCTGAGCTCGCCGCGGGGCGGGCCATTCTCGTAATTTTCATGGAGGCAACGGCGTTTTCGCCATAAATTCCCCTCCCTCATGCTGCGCAGGTAGACGTTGAAAGGGGGAGACCAGCCACAGAACCCAAACCCTAATTCCCAGCGATCGCTGCTGTTGCCCCCGTCTAAGATTCGAGGATCTGCTTCGAGTGGAAGGAGGGATGCTCCGGGGACATTGAGTTCTTCAGTGCTCCTCTCTGGTCCCTCCCCTCCAGTTCGCCGTCGTCGCCTCCTGGCCGGGTTTCGCGCAGGATAACCATGTCCTACGATGGAGCCGTGGAGAAGAGGGAGGATCCACCGCAGCCGCCGGCGGGGAACGGGGGCGGGACCGGGAATGGAATGGTGATGGCGTCGGCGCCGGGGGCCGGCACTGGGGGGAGACCGTCGTCGTACGGGGACCGACGGTTGCGGCTGAATCCGAACAAGGATCACAAACCGGAGCGCTACGACGACGTGCAGACGGAATTTGACCCCTCCATCTTCAGCTCCCTCGAGCGGCACCTCCCTCCCAGCATGTTGGAGGTCCCTCGCGATGCCAAGATCCAGTTCATGAAGGAGATCCTCGCCAGGTACCTTCCCGAAGGCGAGCGCACACGGGTGAGCCACCTTCCCGATCTCTTCAACCAATCTCCCTCCGTTGATTTTGTCGTCGGATGTGAAAATTCGGTACTCCTCTCCTCTCTACGGCTGTTTTCTCTCCAGTCCATCAGATGCCAGAGATCACGGCCTACCAGGGAATTGTGAAATGACGGAATAGCCCTCGATACCCCAAATCTCACTTGCTGGGCCCTTCAGCTGGGTGGGTGCTTGTCGTCAAAGTATCAAGTGCTCCGCGTTTAACACAATTCGGATCCCGGTGATCGAAAGCGAGACGCGAACTCATGGAGACGATCTTTTATGGTTAAGGTCTGCTGATTTCACGGTCAAAAGTTGAGCCTACCTCGTTTGGCCTGCTTTTCCCTGATGATATTTTGAACGGGTCAGATGGCAGTTTATCGACTGCCTGTCTGATGCGGAAAGCTGGTGGTTTCGGAGATTTGATCCAATCTTCACATGCAGGTGGAGGGTAACCTTTTTATTTGAAAAAGGTGTTGGGAAGATAGCCTGAATGATGGTAATCGTGGGCATTCAGCAAACTGAGAATTATTGCTGGCAAAAAGTGGTGAGAACGGCTATATTGTAAATCAAAGTCGTTATTGAAAATGCTTTAATGAGATATGGGCTGTGAGATGTGACAGGGAATCTGGGAATGGTAAGCCGAATCTCATGCGTACAAGTGAGTAAATGTACTCTAGATTACTCAGCCTAGGGAACATTGACAGGCTGGCTGCGATAGTACTGACAAGTTTGAAGAGGAAGAAGGCTTGACCTTTTTTTCTGCAAAAAAATAAACTAATTTATATGTTTGCTCATTCGGTGGTGGATTTTTTGGAAAGTGATATCCGAGAATGTGAGCATAGATGGGACAGCGATGCCATGAAAATTAACTAGAACATTGAACTGCCTTTGGGGTAAGATTCCCCAAAATGATATCCGAAAGATGCTCAATAAGCACAAACCGAAGATGATATGAGGTAGATAAGGATGTGCATATGATTATATCATACTTGAGAATGTTCAATGACAGCATGGAGAATTATCCTATAAGAGGATTGTAACTTTTGGGCGAGGGAATTTCAGATACCATAAGGTAGCATGCTTAGGTGTTTTATGTGAGCAAGCACATTATTTCTCTCCTCATTATTATCTCCTTTATATCCAGTTTTGGTAATTCATCTTGGGCCTAATTATATAATGGTACATTCTCTGTTCCTCTTTAATAACCTTTGAAACTTTCATGATATATAGATAATATGGATAAATATATAGATAGATAAGGGGAGGGAGAGAGAGAGAGAGGGTATGAACTTCTGATGTGAAGTTTCAAGGATTACAAACTCTCTTGGAGGCTTGTGCTATGATTTTATATTACTCTTTAATATTAAGCTACCTTGTTTTTCGATGTTGTGAATTTGCTTTGTTCTTTTCCCAAATTAAGCCCAAAAAATTTTGCAACTACGCTTTTTTTCATGTGATTAATGCTGTAATTACACTCTCTAGCCTAGTTTCTGGTTGCCTTTGTGATGGGTATCTTTTTATCATATCCATTACGAATCCAGATTGATAACGTGATATTATCCTCTTGTATACGCTAGATGTGTTTTTGCTGGTTTTTATAATTCTATGCACATTTCTAATTTGTCTTCCTGGAACATTTTTGTCCGATATTTATATAATATTCTTAAATTTATGAGGACATATTTTCGCGTAACAGTTATCTTTTCATGTGCGAAACTTTCTCTGAGTGAAATGAAGACTCATTGTCTTTCCTTGTGTTTCAGGTTCAGAAGCATAGGGAGTACAGAAACAGAATATTGACCGCATATCAGGTGTGTATTTGCTTCCTCAAGGTTTTGCAAATTTTGGTGTGGAAGAGAGGGGTTTATAAGAGTTCACTGAAGAGGATGTAAAAACCTAATTCTTCCAAACGATTATGTAGTACTCTCTACTTCCAAGTTTTTTTTTTTGTCTCGGCTAGTGTAAATGTTACACTATTTTGATAATTCTGTCACCAGGGACTGGATGAAAAGGCTATAATTGTCTTTCAGTCTGGCCAAAAGTGCTCTGCATACAGTTATAGGCTTGGGAAGTCAGGCGGAAAAAACATTATGAATCGGTAAAAAGGGCACCACCTTACACTGATTATCCGTTTAGTGAAAGATTGATGTCGGAGTGTGTGTGAGATTGCCTTGTGTCCAGATCGTACCTCTCGTCTTAGTTCTGCCAAGTTCAATTACAGAGTCACTAGATTCTTAGTGTGGAAGACGATCATGTTTGGCAATTTCGTTGACAAAGTTGCTTGATGTAATCGTTTTTGTTCTGGCTCATTAGTTTTTCTGCTGCATCATATTTCACTTCCATCCGATTAATATACCATTTCTCAGTAAACCAATATCCTCTCATGTTGACACTTGGCCTAACGATTACTGGAAACCTGCTCGTTCAATCTTACTAGATAACCATGATCTCGATGGACTTAAAGCGTTACTTTCCATTTCATCATGGTATTTAAATCATGATAATGGAAAGATCATTGTGGTAGTTTTATCTAAAGACCATGATTTATGTGCAATTTTTCGTTCTAGCGACAGTTTTAACCATGCAATCTACGGTTTTAAATAATTCCACGCTGCATCTAGCATGATGTTCATAGTCCAACCAGATTTATTCTTTCCTTTCATTTTCTAAAAGGAAGTTCACGGATTGTCACAACTTGAAAATTGTATTCTACTTTTAACACTCTATGTTATCTCGAGAATCATGTAACTGTTTGGTTAATTTAGTCATTCTTTAGCTGAAGGTATGCCTATCTGAGAATTTAAAGTCCAAAAGTGGGTGCTGTCTATGTTACCTATGGATACAAAATTATTGTACCATGCTATTTATCATTTGTTTCTTTTCAATGTACAGTTTTCCCTACGGGTACCAGATGATTTGTAACTCGTTATTTGTCCCTTTGTTACTTATCCTATTACAGCCTCTACATGAAGAGCTCTACAACAGTCATCCTTCTGCTTTCTTGGTTCCATCTTTTATCAAAGCAGTCAGTGAGAAGACAGAAGAAAGCCTGAGGAGCATAATGTCTGAGCCTTCTCCTGGGGTATATATATTTTCTATGCTTCAACCGAGGTTCTGTGAACTACTTCTTTCTGAGGTATTAATCCCATCCTGTTTGATTGTATTCTAAAAAAAAAAATTATAAATCATGTTGCCCATGGATGATGCGAGTCTGTAGGTTTTGTTTATATTATTTTTTAGTGAATGATTGGTTCATCGACAATTTAGGTTGAAAATTTTGAAAGATGGGTACGGGAAGTGAAATTCAAGATCATGCGGCCAAACACGATGAATAAATATGGTGCTGTTCTCGATGATTTTGGTCTGGAGAAAATGCTTGACAAACTCATGGAGGAATTCATATGTCCCATATCTAGAGGTGAGAAAGTAAGCGTGATTCAATGCTATATCTTGTAGTTGCTGATCTCAACTAGCTCGGTTATTTCCCAATTTTTTATGTATTCAATTTCTGCGTGCAGTGTTTTTTTCTGCAGTTGGTGGATCATCACTGGACTCGCATCATGGCTTCGTTGTAGAATACGGAAAAGACAAGGATATCGATTTGGGTAGGTGTTCCCTTAGTCAGTTTGCTGCCATTTTCACGCTGACCATGCCATTAGCTTGAACACATAACCAAAGCTGGAATCAATTTACATGTCAGTAGTTTCTACGAAAAAAAATAATTAATTTCACTAATCATTTGACACTGAAAAAAGTCAACCAACGCTCAATGGATGAGATGTTCCGGTGTTATCTGGTATAACAGCACCAATATTTCTTCATGTGAAGTATCCCATTTCTTATATCTACCATTAATGGTGATGAGGGTATGGCAGTAGCAGACTAATTTGGCAACACAGCATATAGCGGCATACAAATTATGGGTTGAAGTAGCTTATCATATCTTTAAATAGTTAAAAAACTTTCCTTTTCGTCTAGCAGAGCTTGAAGAACTTAACATCGTCTCTTGCCTCTGATTATTATTCCTTTTCGTTATTACTACGCGCATCCTTTTTTTTTTGGTGCACGCTGGTAAAGACACAAATGACTTCCTCTTCGTTTCCTCTGTTCTTGATGCGCACCCATGACTCTTTCCAGTGTGATGAAGCCATATGTTTTAAATTACTGCAGTCTTTTTATTGCAGGTTTCCACGTAGATGATTCGGAGGTCACCTTGAATGTGTGCCTGGGCAAGCAGTTTTCAGGGGGCGATTTATATTTTCGAGGCGTCCGATGCGATAAGCATGTAAATGCTGAGAGTCAACCAGAGGTTCGCCCCTACCTTTGAGCTGATTGGAAGCAATGCTTTTCATAGTCTCTCACAAACGATATATCTATAAATGGAAGGAAGTATAGACAATATCCCTGTTGAGCCAATTGGAAGCAATGATTTTCATAGTCTCTCACAACAATATAGCTATAAATGGAAGGAAGTACGGACAATATCCCTGTTGAGCCAATTGGAAGCAATGCTTTTCATACTCTCACAAACAATATAGCTATAAATGGAAGGAAGTACAGATAATATCCATGTAGATGCTAGAAAATAAACAATAAAAAAGAAGTATATGGGACCCGTGAATCTCTTCATCAGTCTCTAAGATATGCAGACATTTTCTCTCTCTAGGAAGTCCTGGACTACGCCCACATCCCCGGGCAGGCCGTGCTTCATAAAGGCCGCCATCGGCATGGGGCTCGTGCCACAACATCTGGGCACAGGATCAACTTGCTTCTGTGGTGCAGAAGGTAATATCCTCTCGTCTCCTCTCCTCCCTTTTACTTTATTTATCTCATGCTATCTTCAAAGTTCTCTGTGCCTCATGCGATTGAAATCCCTATGGTTCGCCACCACCATGGGCCTCTCTCTCCTCTTCAGCTCGGTCTTCAGAGAGATGAGGAAGTACCAGAAGGATTTCTCCAGCTGGTGTGGCGAGTGCCAGCGTGAGAAGAAAGACAGGCAGCGCCAGTCCGTCGCCACCACCAAGCTGGTAATGCTCCCCTTCTCTTGGGTCGTTCTCCTCGTTAGTAGTTACTCTATTTGGCAAGAAATCTGGCCTCGTAGGGTTCATGAATCTAAGTAGCCAGAGATTGCAGGCGTTTCTCAGGAGAGAAGGAGAATCCACAGCGTAGAGAATAAGGGTTTCAAGTACCTGAAGAAGATGATGTGCCCACTGTGCTGTTCTTCTGGCTCTCAGTCGGGCACTTGCTTATTTTGGAAGCTTTCTTCTCCTCCCTCCCCCCCTCTGCCCCTACTGTAAATGCAAGCCTGTTCATGAGCAGCAGGGCCTAATTCTTCTCCTTCAAGCTCGGTACCAGGTTCAGAGGCCTCCTCTCTCTGTCTCTCTCTGTCTCTCTCTCTCTCTGTCTCTCTCTCTCTCTCTCTCTCTCTCTCTCTCTCTGCTTCAGAGATGAGCTGGCCCGGTGGGCCGAGGGGCAAGGCGGAGAAAATAACATATTTGGAGGTTAGTTTGCCATCGGAAGTGGCGGGATGAAGATGGGCGCGCCCGGGCATGAGCGCAAATTTTGAAAATGGTGGATCCCACAGCTAAAAGGTGCCGACTGGGGGGGGTTAGGCTTCAATTCTGGCTCTTGTAAGAAGAATTTTATGATCTGTGATGTCTTGATCAACTCTTATCTGGATGATATTGTGAGAACTATTGGATATAGCTGTAATATGCCACAATTATATGGGTATGGGCGGTTTCTACGCCAATATCTTCATTGCAGCTATGCCCAAATTCAATAACAGGAAAAGCTAGTATTAATTACCCTTTACCCCCTCCCATCATGGGTACGTTTACCATGGCCTCCAAATTCTATTATTTGATAAAGTATATACTAATGTGTACGAAATAAGGACCACACCAGACTACACAATGCCTTTGGGTTAAATTTTTTTATCATAATTTAACTTTTAATAAATACCTTTGTACGTAATAATTAATTAATTATCCACCCATTAATAGAAAAAATGTAACACTAATATGTTAGCCTATGCTTTCTACTCTAAGACATGTATTTGAGGAATGGGACCTAATACTTTTGATGAATAGTAAGCAATGTTTGGGTAAGATTGTCTCATAAATCATGCAGAGAAAAACGAATTGCACATCGTTTTATTAGTAAATTATGTATACCCATGACCTCCTTGAGCAATAGATTCTCACACCAAATTCTATTATTTAAAAATTCTATTATAATGTGAATAAAGTAAGGACCGTACATTATTACACCATGCCTTTAGATTAATAAGTTTTAGGGGGGAATATTTAATTATCCACCCATTTATTGAAAAAAAAACACAAATATGTTGGCCTATGGTTTCTCCTCTAAGACATGCATTTGAGGAATTGGACCCAATACTTTAGATGATTATTAGTTTTTGGGTAAGACTGTCTGATAAGCCATGCAGAGAAAAACGAATTACACACTATTTTATTCGTTTAATTAGTAAATTACGTGTACCCATGACCTCCTCCAGCAATAGATTCTCACACCAGAATTTATTATTTTAAACTATATATATATATTTAACTATGCGTTCGGATTAATAAGTTTTATTATAATTTATTTTAGTGTGGAATAAATCAATATCCACCCATTTATTGGAAAAAAGACATGTATTTGGGGAATTGGACCCAATACTTTAGTTGACTAGCAGTGTTTGGGTAAGAGGAGGAGGAATTTGATGTTATTTTATTAGTATAATTAGTAAATTAGAAGCTGTCTGATTTCAGTGAGGTAGCCTAATAAAGACCGTTTGGTGGTGAGGAAAGGGCGAGGGGGTTTAGGCTATAAATACGAGTGTTTCGGCTGCTTTGCGGGTGTCGCCCTCGATCTTCCCCGGAGTGGGTGGGGGATCCTTCACTGCTGGTCGGGGGCTCGATTTCTCGGTTGTCTCAGCCTCCTTCGACCTCTCGCTTGCGCTCCTCGAGTGGGACTCTCGTTTCTGATTGCGTGCAGAGGGGAAAAACCGCTGCGAATCCCGTGCGATTATCTGAGTGGGGGGAGAGGGGAGATTTAGAGGAAGGGGGCCGGGGTGCGGCGGCAGGAGGAGCATAGGTGGAGGAAAGGCGCGTCTGTGGTGGTTCACCGGAAGAGGACGTTGCTTCCCGCGCCAGCCCTCGTACGCTGTTTCTAGGTTTCTTGCTTGGTCCCTGCTTCTCCAGAAGATGAAAATTTGATGTCGTATTGTATTCCGAGTAAGAGGAGAAAGTTATACTTTGACGAGGCGGATCGTGTGTCTTTCATCTCTAATTGAAGCATCGGTCTGCTGGAAAGAGCCTGAAAGGATTTGTACCTCTTTTAATGAATTCGAACTGTTGACGCTGGGAAGCACTGTTCCGCTTTCTTTTATCCCCAATTTTTATTCTTTTTTCTCACTGCCCCTGAAATTTGTAAATTGTAATATGAATTACTAGAATCCCCAGATCCCGATATTTGGGCTGAAATGGGATGTCACGGGCCGTTATGCAATTCCTTTTAACATTCTCAAGTAAAATTTAGTTTTATCCATTAGAAACAGAATAAAAGAGGGGACCGGATTATACTGTAACAAAAAATAATCCGGTTGGCTTGATCAATGGGGAGCTCCTCAATTAATAAACGGAGCCGTGGGCAACACCTTGGGGTCACTGAGCCAATCTCATTGACTGGTCCTACCGAATCTGATGTGATCAAAACAAGGGAGCTTGAAAAGGTTCGTTACAAGTAAATTTCTTAATTTTTATTTCTGGAACATTTTACTGCACTGCTTGCTGTTAAAATAATTTTCTTCAATGGATCAGTATCTAGTGGATGCTGGATTGTATGAAAGCCAAGAAGAAGCTGTGGAAAGGGAAGAAGTTCTTGGAAGATTGGACCAAGTCAGTATCTGTAAACCATATTTGGGATTTAACAGCCATGTTCTACATTTCCTTACCCTAATGTTTTTGATTGACCAGATTGTGAAGGCTTGGGTTAAAAAGATCAGCAGGGCAAAGGGATTTAATGAGCAGGTGGTGCAGGAAGCAAATGCAAAAATATTTACATTTGGTTCTTATAGACTCGGGGTATATATCCTCTTATCCTCAAATCCATCTTATAGACTTGGGGCATCGTATTTCCAGTACGAATTCTTGTTTTTCTATGAATCTGCTGGGTGGTCTGGATGAATCCTAGATTTTGCGTTGAAATTTTCTTAAATCTATCATGAGTGAATATTGTTGCGGTCTGAAAAATGATAAAAACTATGGTGAACGATCTCCCCAAGTTCTCCATCCCTGTCTATGTCCTCTTCCTCCGTTTTTTGTATATTCTAGTTCAATATTTACAAGTTTTCGATGGATTTTTCAGTAATTCAAAGTTGATTCATTTGCTTCCAACATTTTCGGGTTTTTTTAGTTTAACTCTTGATGCCTGCTTTTGCTTCCCTCTTATTTTATTGATTCCCTCTTCAATTTTTTATTTTTTTTTCCTTTTTTGGTATCCATTTTAGATCTTGACCTCACTAACTCCTTTATTTGGAATCATGGTATTCCCTAATCGAAATCATTCTAGCTAGAAAAACAGAAATCTAGCACATGCTTTTTGCGTCTTGTTTCCTAGATCCAAGATATCAATCATAATCACGCCACTTTTGGCATATTTATTTGTCATACAAACCGTCTCTCTTAGACGATCTCTTAATGTTTAGGTGCATGGGCCTGGTGCTGATATTGACACACTATTGGTTGGGCCTAGACATGCCACGCGAGAGGTATTGTTGGCTAGTTTGTTGTTACAAATATTTCATAACCATTTGTCAATCTTTCGGCAGGATTACATTTCCTTTTTAAAACTTTGACCGCAGGAAGATTTCTTCACAGAATTTTACAGAATCTTGTCTGAAATGCCTGAAGTAACAGAATTGCAGCCAGTTCCTGATGCTCATGTCCCTGTAATGAAGTTCAAATTTTCTGGAGTTTCGATAGATCTTCTCTATGCAAAACTTTCACTGTGGGTTATTCCAGAAGTGAGTTTCCTTCATCTATCTTGGCATGTGAAGCAATTTTGTGTTCAATAAGCTCATTCCAATTGAAGCTCTTTGAAAAATTTATTTGACTAAGAAGTTTTGGTTGTTCAGCTCTGAAGAGCACCATAGATTTAGGCAAATGGCTCCTTTTTTCGGTGAAATAAAATAATGTAGGGAATACATTGTAAATCGGAATTACTGTAGTTGCAGACATTTGATTGGTCATGTGAGTGAGCAGACTAATTACAAGCTATTGTTAAAGGGGGCTAGCGGATCATTAAATAGCATAGATAAAGTATTAGGATTCACGTGGGAGGTGAAAGGTTTCAGTCATCTCTATTTTGATGAGAAAAATCAGGCAATGGGTGCCAGAAATTTAAAGTTGGTTTTTGTGAGAGGGGTTAAAATTCTTACCATGTTCTCAAAGAAACTATTTTATGGTTTTGAACTTGAAAGATACTAGATTCACCTGGGAGCACCAGAAGTGTGGTTTCTCTTGAAATATTTTATAATGGTCTTCAGTGCTTTTTTTAGTCTACAGCTCCGTAAGTGAATAGCATATGCTTTTTAGAATTCTCAGCTTATACCATCAAATGGTATGGATCTACAAAATAACATTGATGCATCTCCCAGACAAATAGGTGGAAAAAGAAACAAGAGAAAAGAGATCTGATGCATTGATAAACTAAAGGATATGCGCATCCCAAAATTATTCCTGTGGAATGAGTAAATTCCATAAACCAGTAATAACTGCACATGAAACTAAATTGTGGATGTTCCACAGTTCAGTTCTTAGCTGATTTTTTTAATTTCTCTAATTTAAGGTACAGAGTGTGGAATCAGTGTAACATTAGACACGTGTGGCAAAGCTATATTGATTGCCATCTTCTATAGAAGATGGCAATCAATATGTAGCTGTTGCCACCTGTTGCCACCTGTTGCCACCTGACAGTTTCTCCTGAGAATGTCTCCATTAATTATATCACCGGGAATGTAGCTTGATACTTCCAAGGTCGTTTGTTATGTAGCTGCTTATCTTGAATGAGCTCTTTGTTTGCTGCTTGCTTTCGGAATAAATTACTTCCCTTGATTAGATTCTTGTAAACTTTGCTTTTAATTGGATGCAGCTCTCTTCTTTTTGAGTATCTGGGAAACGTTTTTTTTAACATTACGGGGCCTTGATGTTCTGGTTTAGGACCTGGATGTCTCGCAGGATTCTATACTGCAGAATGCTGATGAACAGACAGTACGTAGTCTTAATGGTTGCAGGGTTACTGATCAGATTTTACGTTTGGTGCCTAATATTCAGGTGCTTTCATATTCTTGTAATCCATGCTAGCATCAATATGATCACCATGCTTATTATCTCACCCCTAATCTTCACTTGTTTTCTTCAATGATAGAACTTCCGTACGACCTTAAGATGCATGAGGTTGTGGGCGAAACGGCGTGGTGTCTATTCAAATGTATGATCCTTCTAGAGCTTGTGGTTTCTCTAACAGGGGTGTAAATTCATCTCTTGTGATTTACATGGGGAAATGCAGGTTTCTGGATTTCTTGGAGGCATCAACTGGGCATTGCTTGTTGCACGAATCTGTCAACTATACCCCAATGCATTTCCTAGCATGTTGGTTTCTCGTTTCTTCAGGGTATTCACCCAGTGGCGCTGGCCAAACCCTGTCATGCTTTGTGAAATTGAAGAGGGACCTCTTGGCCTTCCTGTCTGGGATCCAAGGAGAAATTATCGGGATAGACTCCACCAGATGCCTATAATTACCCCTGCATATCCTTGTATGAATTCTAGTTACAACGTATCGACTAGTACACTGCGTATAATGACTGAAGAATTCCAAAGGGGCAACGAGATTTGTGAGGTTTGTCATAATACCCTTTGGATCACCATTTTATTTCTTGCTGGAGTTTCATCGGTTTATTATAAATTTTGAATTAAATGTTCAAAATAACGTAGGCTCATATTTTGTGTGGCCTGATGATAGGGATTCTGTTTCGAAGCACATAAAACGCCACTTATTTTTTTTCCTGATATCTTTTTCAGATTATCAACGAAAATCTTCAAAAAAAATTATGACTTCACTGTTTATTCTTCTATGCTGCTTAATCTCTCCTGGGTTCATCACGTGGTAGTACTATGGTCACAGGATGCATTGTTCCTTGGAGTTCTGTGAATAAAAAAAGTTTACTTTTCAATTCCAAACTAATGGAAACTCAGTACAATCGAATGGCCATGCCCTGAGAGCGAATCAAAAGCTAACTGCTGCACTCAAGGGGTGATGGTTGGAAAAGCTTTAGCTATATAAAGAATAAAATTCTTCTCTCTGTCGAAAGTATTTTGTAATTTTTCGATCTGTTTTGTATTTAGCTAATTCAGAGATATTTCAGAAGCTTCAATTTATCTTCATTGCTTGCCCTTATGTATTTTCTTATGCTTGCTGCATCCTTTCTTCTCTGCTAAAATCTGTCTCGTTAACTTCTTCCTTGCTTCCTTGTTGGTCTCTTCATATTTTCCTGAATGTCTTCTAAATTTTGATTTTAGAAAATCATTTCCTTTTTCTACCTTGTTGAAAACCTTGATTCGATTACCATATCTCCTGGCAATGCATCTAGTAAAACTTAGGTTCTCTGTCAAGTCACACTTGAAAAAACATTGTTATCATTCCACCTCTCCGCTGTTATCTGCTTGTGACCTTTCAATTGCCTTCTGCTACCCTCATCTTAAATAATCCATTAGCTCCCTTTGAAATTTAGACCATCGTATTCTATGTTCTGCTTTAATAGTCTTATCTCTTTGACATTCTGATGCATCATGCTACGTTACCGTGAAAGAGGCTACCTTGAATTGATCTGTTTCTTCTTCATGAGGGAAAAAGCTCTCTTATATGATAAACTGCTGATAGTTGACGTTCTCTCTTTTTGATGAAGTTAATATCATGGTAAAATTTCATGTCAAGTTTAACTTAACAATTGAACGTTAAGCCCTGTTCTTCGCATTATCTCATCTTGTCATGCATGACTGAAATTTCTTATTTCAAACCTAGAGGCTATTTGAATTTACGACCAACTTTTTCGTGTTTCTTGATAATTGACAATGATAACTCACATGGCCTTCCTAATTTTTCTCTCTGCTGTTATTGCTGTGATTGACTCAGCATGAGCATTGACTATGTGGATTCTTTTTTCTCAAAAATTTATCGTAGTCAGTTCACTGTATTAAGGCTTACAGTTTACTCTGGCTTTTGTCCACTATCAACATTGAGTCAACCATTCCCCTCCAACATAACATATAATGTTAGTCATGCATCTGTGTGAAGCCTTCGATTAATTCTATTTCTTTTCCTCGAATTGGTCTCCATCTCTAAGAGACGAAACAAATAATGCTCTCAGGTTTTTTGTTCTCAGTATGATATTGTTTAGTTTTTGCTTCATCTGATCTTTGCTGAGTGGATTCCTCGTGGAGAGAAAGTTACTTGGCCGTTGGATACATGGTAGCACTACGTGTGGGGAATGCTCTAGCTTGATCGCCATTTTTTTTGTTTTTTAAAAGAAAGCTTTCGGGTGGATTCTTCTAGAAATCTTGGACACCTATTAGGGGCAGTAAATTTTTTCCAAAAGATGAAGCATGGTCCTTGAGATAGTTGTGTGGTGAGGCGTGAGCACCACTTATTAACGCTTAAATGAATTGGCCCTTTCCACAGGATGCATTTTTTTCTTCTAATTACACTCTTTACGGATAATTACATCTAATTACACTCTATTACAAATGTCTTGATGAATTTTTTTCGGTGTATTCAATCTTAAATAGTCTCGTGTTGTCTTTGTTTTCTAATACATTTGATTATATAATAATTAATTTGTGTACACTACACGACTTGCTTGCTTGACATTTTCAGGGTTTTCCCATAAGTTTAAACGTCAAAGACAGGAACTGAATGTTTTGACCGTCAAAACACTAGGCTCTCCATTTCTCTTTTCCTAGAATTTCCTGTTTGAATATCAAGGTTCTCGCATTACATTCACATGCATCTTTTGGATTGTGGGTCGGTCAATGTATTTATCTACCAAACCACCAAATTTCTGTTCTTTTGTTTTTTTAATTTTTTAATGATTTTTTTTATTGATTCTGCAGGAAATAGAGGCAAATAAAGCTGAATGGGACAGCCTTTTCGAGCCTTACCCTTTCTTTGACGCCTACAAGAACTATCTGGAAATTGGTATCACTGCAAAAAATGAACATGATCTAAGACAGTGGAAAGGATGGATCGAGTCCCGGCTTCGTACTCTCACGTTGAAGGTGCAGCGTTTATTTCATTCTATTTGGTCATCCTTCTAATTACTAATTGGTAGGCGACATGATGATAATCCTATTCATGAATGTTTGTGTTGATGCAGATCGAGAAAGCCACTTCTGGAATGCTCCAGTGTCATCCCCATCCAGGCAACTTCTCAGACAGCTCCAGACAGTTCCATTACTGCTTTTTCATGGGTTTAAGCAGGAAGCAAGGGGCGCCCGTTCATGAAGCTGAACAGTTTGATATAAGGACGACAGTGGAAGAATTTAAGAGCTCTGTTCAGTATACCCCGCTCTGGAAACCAGGGATGGAGATCCAAGTATCTCATATTAAACGTAGAAATGTTCCCCTTTTTGTCTTCCCTGGAGGAGTTCGCCCTCCTCGCGCCATAAAAACAGTTAGCACAGAAGCCAGACCCACCTCGAAAGCAAGAGCCTCAATCATGTCACAGGCAGCCTATGAGAATCTTGTAGGCCCTAATGGGGTTCCAAGTGTAGCGGATGAAGAGAGCAAAGTGAGGCGCTTTCTGTCCGATAGCAGGGAAGTTGAGGCTCATCTGTTATCTAACCTGCCCTTTGAAGCGTCCAGCAAATCTGAAGCCTCGGCAGAGACATCATTTGAAGATACTACTGGAAGTAGCAGTAAAGATACGAACATAGTTGATGATTCGAGAAAGAGAAAATTTTCAGGCGATTCCACAGATACTAATCCAGATGCGAAGCGGGTGGCTTTAAGTCTGCCTGCTGAAGGACCGGAAGAGGCTGCCGTGCATACCACAGGGCCAGCTGTCTCGGAAATACCCATGGGTTTGGGTGCTGAGACACTTGCAATTGAGAAGCTCACTGCTGTCCCATCCGCTGGTCTCACAGCTTTGCCAGCAGGAGCCGATGAACTTGAACAGTCCGAAATCCCATCACAGGTCAAAGACTCTGCGTCTGAGGCTGTTGAAGGGAGAGTGGGTGCTTCTCATGCGAGGTTCTGCCAAACTGGTGCCTTGGAAGAGCTTGAGGTACTGAACCTTTGCCTGGGTTCTTCTGCTGATAAAAACTGTGCCTTATCGTTTAGCAAGACGGGTAGAGATGCTTGTGTGCTTCTGTTCTCACAATCATCTGAATGGGTCTAATTATCTTTTAAGTTTCCGATTGCCAGCAGGTTCTCTTTCTCTTTCTTTACACTAGACTGATCCCCGCCATTGTTTTCCTTGTGTGAAAGCCATCGGAGTTGTCTGCCTCGTTCTCCGACATCCCCCCTGCAGCGCCCACTGTTCAGCGTAAACCAATTATCAGGTAATCTTGCTTTGGACGCTCGATTGAAGACGATCATGTTTCTCAAAATTCTTCTGTGATATCTCTCCATCTACTTATCCACTTGTTAAGGCGGTCATTGGAGGGCTTTGTCCAGTCAATTGAGCGGTCCTTTGTTCTAAAACTGACTGCAGGCTGAGCTTGACCACTATTGGGAAGAAGAACCCGTGATGAACGTGGCTGCTGCTATCCTTGGACTATAACAAGAAAAGGAAGGAGTGATGAAGAAGGCTGAGCCTTGGAGAATTCTGGAGTTAGTTGTTTTCTGTTACCAGCCTTGTTCCTGCGGCCAAGTGCTCTGCTTCGAAGAAAACCTTGCTATCTTCTTTTGGCTAGCTGCACAAACCAGTAGCCTCTTCTTCTTGTAGGCGGCAACAACGGGAAGTTTCTATCTTCGGAGATCATAATGAGAGATGACTTGATACGTTGAAAGGTTGACTTTTCTTAAGCACCTAAGAATTCTATCCGAGAGGGAGGGTCTTAACGAGATATCTCTATGTATTCACTATTTGGCATGATTTTCAATGGATTTTCATTCATATAAGGAGGGTGCCCATGTGATTATATTCCATCGATGGTTGCAGGAAAAATGCTAAATTTTTTCTCTTGATCTTTACTTATTATAAGTTGGTGAATCATGCGGGTACAGATCTAAATCGCTGACAATAATAGAAAGTTCTCTAAGCGATGAGCCCTGGAGGGGGAGGGGTTCTCAATGAGATGTCTCAAGGCGTTGACTTTGTTTCGCTCTTTTTTGTTTGGGTAGGGATTGTTGATTAAGAGGACGCGCTTATAGTCAAATCTTTTATGGACGACCGTGGGAAAGAGATTAAAGGCATCTCTAGTTGCTGCGTCCTAGAGATCATTTAAGGACTTGGAGACGTTAACATTTAATCGTTGGAAAAACAGATACCAGAGTAGAAAGATGCCCCGGAGAGATCCAAATAAGCTCAGCTGCTAGCCACTAGTGCACACGGCGAGGGGTTTAATAATGGCCACGTTTAGGATCGCGCCTCCTACCTTATTATCTTATCACTGTGAGATTATCGTAGTTTTCCATATATATCCTCCCCCATGGACTTGTGTGCTTCCATCTGGGTCCCACTGCCAGTACCCTCACCGCCGTTAAAAGCACGACCTTTACCCTGCCTCTCTCTCTCTCTCTCTCTCTCTCTCTCTCTCTCTCACACACACACACACACACACACACACACACACACACACACACACATCTCCATCCCTCCAGGAGCATCGGGGGGTTGTTGTTCAGGAATGGGGTTGCGTAGTGACCTCAGGGACATCTCCGGCGACTCCATCCCGCTGATCCTGCTGGCGGCCACCGCCTGCTGGGTTTCCTCCCTGCGGGGCTTCTTATTGAGTGTCCTTCACACTTTCGGCCTCCACCGCGGAATCGGCCCCGCCATCGCCGGCCTCATCGTGCTAGCAGAGCAGCTGGTCGCCCGGCGGCCATTCTCTGATGGGTTCGACGGGGAGGAGTGCTCGGTGTGCTTGGAGGGCGTGAAGGAGGGTGAGAGGGTGCGGATGCTTCCCTGCTGCCGTCACCTGTTCCACAGCCACTGTCTCGACCGCTGGTTCGGCCAGTGCAAGCGGAGCTGCCCCCTCTGCCGATCATCTCTGGTGCCCGAGAACCAGGTGATCGGCTCTGAGTTGGTTCATTGTCTTCATCCCAATTGACCTCTCTCTATCTCTCTCTCTGGATCTGGATCTGGCTCTGGCTCTGGCTCTGGCTCTGGGTTGCTCCCGTGTAATCGGCGCGGTAACCACTGAGAATAGTTGCTGTAAATGTTTTCAGATCTTGAGATTTTTCAGGTCTTTCATCTGCTCTCTTTTATCAGTTCGTAACTTTTTTTGAACTCATGGGCTTGGTTCATCAGGCAAAACCAACTCGCTTGTCTTCCTCATTGCACTGAACCCCACCATGGAATTGGGAAACTAAAAATAAATCAAAGAGGGTGACCAAGCAAACGATTGGTTCTTCCGAACGAAAACGAGGTCAGGTTGACGTAGTCTCAAGACCACTTTTTTTTATAAACTGGATTTCTTCCGGTGTTCATATTGCGGCTGAGTACGTCGGCGTCATCCATGACATCACTCTGATGGGCGGCGCCCAAAACAACTCCGGGGCGGTCGCTGTCGGGAAATAGGGAGTTATGGAAAGGGGAATCCGTGAGACCTGCGGGCCATAGAGCGGCCCCGGAGCTGGTCTTCTATATTTGTGTCAGAAAATCGGATTGCGTTGTGGAGACGCCATCAATGATGCTACTCTGATGGGCCGCTATTTGGCACGTCAAAGCGGACGATGCCGGTGATTGGGGAGTTGAAAGGGGCGTCCGTGAGACCTGCGGGCCGGAGAGCGGCAGCTGGGGATGCCGCCTCAGCTTCCGCCTGATGTTGACCAGGATAAGGCGCTGCCGACATCAACCCAGAAGAGCAATCGTCCGGAAGGGGGTTACATAGATAGATAGATAATAGATAGAGAAAGAGACGGAGATAGAGATTGAGAGAGAGAGAGAGAGAGAGAGAGAGAGAGAGAGAGAGGGAGGGGGGCGGGAGCGAGGGAGAGGGGGGGAGAGTGGGAGACAGAACGTGTCGAGGATTCCTCCACACAAATGGTCGGCAACGGGTCGCATCGCAAGGCGGCGGTGCAAGAGGGCTGCTGTGAGCCATTCAGACTAGGGACTATTGAGGTCTTATTTGACGTGACAGGAACCGGAAATTAAAGATCAGTAATGTTTTTTTATCCAAACGGGAGGCGGCAAACTAATATTCTCAATAACACATTTTTACCAAGGTGGAGTTACTTTTTAAAAAAAATACATTTTTGCACACATTTTATAAGAATTAATTTCCATAATTATGAAAATAAGTAGAGGTATATACCAAAAATATCATTCTAAAAAACAAGTGTGGATGAGAACGCTTATCTCATAGTGACATGCATGCAATTCTGGGGCAACCAAGGCGTGGAAGAAACTGTTAGACCCCAAACTGGTATCGGATAATACTCACAGGATCCTCTCACCCCACGTCGGGGAAATAAACTGATGGATAAGGTGGCGCCCACATATCTCCGGAAACCAACCGAAGGCTAAGGAAGATCGTGAAGATGGGACGGGTGTGGTAGAAGTGAGCATTCGATTGTGGGTTCATCAAGATTATAAAGGTTGGCCGACCCTCGACGATGTGAGGGGAGGAAGTATCTAGGTAGTTCCCTAAGACAGCAGCGGCTGAAGGAGAGCGGGGGGCCCTCTCGAACGTCCCCACTGACTCTAGGGTTCTTCAGAGCCCAAGCTACTCTTTCTATTGTTTTATCTTCTATTTCCCATATTTCTGTTCCCATTACCTATCCAGTTCTGGGTTCCCGTTATTCCTTCCTTGATTTACTGTCTTAAGGCCTTCAATTATCTTTTCAAAGATTGATTTACCCTAAGCTCAGGGGAAGGCTAACACTTGGAAGATCTCTAGCTGCTGTGGTTTTTATTAGTGTTATAAAAGCCAAATAACGGCAGAAAGGTTGATAGAATCGTGTGAATAAAGACAAAGGAAATCTCTAAAGAAAAATGTTCAACTAAAATAAACCTCTCAATGGGAGAGAGTTCATAATAGAACTAGAGAACAGACAACGAACTTTCTCAACAATGGTTTGATTCATTCGCTTTGCTACACCGTTCTGCTGCAATATGTGTTAGATTATGAGATGTCTTAAGATGCTTTCAGATTTGCAAAAATTCTGAAATTAATTTGAGTAATATTCCATCTCATTATTAGTTTGTAGAACTTTAATAGATTGACCAATTTGCTTCTCTATCATTAATTTCCATTCTTTAAAATGCTGAAGTGCCTCAGATTTATTCTTCAAAAAATAAACTCATACCTTTCTCGAGTAGTCATAAATGAAAGTCAAGATATATGAGGTTCTTCTATGTGACGGGACACTTGACAGCCCTCCAAAATTCTAGTAGATTTGTGCTGGCTTATTAGAAAATTGAAACGAACTTGTTTTCTATACAAGCAATGTTCACATAATTGTAAACTACTTGATTTCATTTCATCAAGTAGTCCACATTTACATAATTCAGCCATTCCTTGCTCGCCCATGTGTCCTAGCTACATATGTCATAATTTAGTAGTATTTTCTACAGAATGTGATGAGTTAGCCAAAGCCACATCATATGTAATAGTATTACCTTTGAGAACATATAAATTTTTCATCTTTTGATGACCTTTTAATATAATTAAAGAGTCTTTGCAAACTTTTAAGAATATCTCCTCTGATAAATTTGTATCCCTGAGAATCCAATATGCTGAGAGATATAAGATTTCTTTTCAGCTCAAAGATGTATCTGACATTGCTCAAAGTATGAAATTTATCATCAAACATTTTTATGGGAACATTCTCAATACCCTCAACTTTGCAAGATGAGTTATTTTCTATCAAAACGACATCGATGACAGATGAAACAGGCGAAGTAAATGCTTCTCGATTGAAGCATATGTGAAAGGTACAAGTAGAATCCAAAACCAATCTCTTGATGCATTTGATTCACATTCTGTCACGACAAGAATTTTTCCAGAATCAAGAGATGAGGTTATATTTGTGGCAGGTTGATTAGGCGAGGAAGGTTGATTTGTACCAAAGGTTTCCCTCTTGAACTTGTTTTGAAGCTTGTAACATTCTTATGTAATGTGACTCTTCTTCTTGCAATAATTGTAAGTTTTGTCAAGATGAGGTGACTTAGATCGACCTTTTGAAGTATTTTTCTTTCTCTCAAGATCACCTCCTCAAATGACAACGCCTTCAGCTTGAGACGACGTAGCCGTCTCCAAGAACTTGCTCATGTTTTTCTTGGATGAGAGAGCTTCATAAATAGTCGCAAGGGATAGACCTTCGGACCCATAAAATAGAATATCCCGAAAGCCCAAAAAGGATGGTGATAGAGACATAAGAAGTAGAGAGCAAAGATCCTCGTCATTTAACATATTTACATCAAGAGCTTCAAGTTCTGCCATAATATCCTTAAAAGCGGCTAAATGGGATTCCAAAGAAGTACCTTTCATCATATGTAGACCAAATAGTCGTTGTTTGGCGAGATTCCGTCGGGTGACGATTTTAGCTACATATCTCCTCAAACCTTGACCATAACTTGTGAGCTTTTGTCTCTTTTTGAACATCCTGAAGGATACCATTTGAGATATGACGTTATATTTGAGTTAGAGCTTTTTGATTTATCATTTTCATCTGATCCTCAATCCATGAAATATGCATCGTTGGAGAAACAGCATCCTCAAGATCTAGTTGTGTAAGAACTGACTTCATCTTGACTTGCCATAGCATGAAGTTTGTCTTCTTATCGAGTTGATGAAGTTTCACCTTTGTCGATGCCATTCCGCGAAGTAGCTTTGATACTAATTTGTTACAAAAGCTAAATAACATCAGAAATGTTGACAGAAGCATACGAACAAAGACAAAAGGAATCTCTAAAGAAAAATACTTGACTAAAATAAACCTTTAAATGAGAGAGAGTTCACAATAGGACTAGAGAACATACAACGAAAGTGAAATGCAGAACAAGATCAAGAAATAAGAAGAGAAAAAAATGGCAATGCCGATTCGTGTGCCTTCTACCCTATTTGTAACTGTCATGATCAGCGTCAAAGAAGAAAACTTCATGTCCTTTGTTCTAATGATAGCGCTTTATAGGAAACGGTCAAATTTGACCAAGTTTAATAGTTAACGATTTATTTACTTGATTCCTTCAGAAAGAGTCGTGCCTTAGACTAAAATCATTATGGCCTGGACTGCTGTTTCCCGTAGCCTCCCCCCTCCTCTCTCGAGTGATGGATGGTGGGTTGGGCGACTCTTGGTACTTCACAAGGCAGAACGAGAGAGATTGTGCCGGATTAGCATCTTAGCAATAGAATTTGGGATTTCACCAAACGGGCTTCTCATTAAAATACAACACTGTAGACATAAAAGAGAACCCTCAATCAAGTGAACTCTGACCGGTGAGATAGACACAAGAAACCATGAATCTGGTTTGACTTGTGAGATAGAAGGGACGGTGGGTGGGCCACGTATGAGATATGGCGTTGGGCAGATTTGATCAGATATCTAGAGAAAGCCTTTATTGGATGAACATTGATGATTGAAAAATTAGAGAGCTAGTGAAATGTTAGCCAAGAAACAAGAGCTTTAAAGGCTTTCTGGCACTGTCCTATGAAATAACCACTTTACCGTTCCTACCCTATATGAGCGACATTGGTAACTGTGGTAGATCACGCAAAGGAAGAGTATGACTTGGTAAATTATAGATTCTACGCTACAGCAAATTTGTGCTTGGACAGTGAAGTCGCCTTGCTTATTGCCGCTGTACACGTCTCTTGTTCACTTCTGGCATTTTTACTCCACGTTCTTCCACCACTATTTAAATTCCAAGTTAGAAGAGTCAGACGTGATTGTTCGCGTAGATGAGGAAAGAAGCACAACTACGTCGGTTGGTAAGTGATGGAATACCCGTTCTATGGAGTGGGAAGATACTGCGATGAAAGATGGAGGGCGAGCACATAAGAAGAGTGTCATATTTAGGAGACGTATTCGTGTCCGAGAGCGTATTTGATGACAACTATTTATTTCAGGGCTCGCCCGGAGATTACAATAAAGATATTAAAACCATACAGAGGTGCTCCACTGAGGGATAGGCAGCGGGGAGCGCATCTCCAAAGTACTATAGAGTAGTCGTGTTTCCTCCAAGTTCCTTTGTATAGCAAGAGGGACCCTGGAAACTCCTATCAAGGCTCCATTTCGGGCAAGCTCCATCTAGAACCGGGGCGGATGGTGAGAAACTCCCTTCAGCGGAGGCCTGTACGGGTGACGCTGCGGTCCGGAGGGCTCGACGTGTCTTGGCGGCGGCGGTGGCGGGGGATCGAATAAGCCAGAAGAAGGTGGCAGGGGAGGACCAAGAAGACCATGATGAATATATTCACGAGCAGGCGGAGGAGGTGCGCCAGGCGGTGCCTGCGGTGGCGCGGGGATATCAAATGGGGAGGAAGAACGCGGCGGAGGAGGGCCAGGAGGAGAAATGTTGTGGGGACTACGCACAGGAGCTGCGTCAGACGGCCCCCGCTGTGGTCCAAGATCGAACAGGCGGCGGGGAGGAGGAGAAGGTAGCGACGGAGGGCCAGGAGGAGGAGGAGAAGGGAAAGTGGGGATGCTCAGTGGAGCTCCGCGGGGCGGCCCAGGAGGGCCTGGGGGTGGAGGGCCAGGAGGACCCGGAGGAGGGGGGGGAGGCGGCGAAAGTGCACCAGGGGGTCCTAGTGGTGGTGCGGGGAGATCCAATGGGCGTGGCGGTGGTGGGCCAGGAGGACCCGGAGGAGGAGGGGGAGGCGGCGAACGTGCATCGGGGGACCCTGGTGGTGGTGCGGGGAGATCCAATGGGCGTGGCGGCGGAGGGCTAGGAGGACTCAGAGAAGGGCGAGGAAGGGAGCAGCGCGGAGGATGTTCTCCAGGCGGCTCCGGCGGTGGCGGGTGTGGTCGCTGGGTCATGTTGGCGAAGGATGGATGTTTCTACGAGTTCTGGTGTCTGGTTTGGAGGCATGTTGTCGAGGCGAAGCCGGCGTTTTATGAAGGATTGAGGAAGGTTGTAGAAGACGAAGAATGGGCGTTGGATTGACTCGCAGGTGGAAGCGGCGGTGCAGGATGGTACGGCAAACCGACCATATTTTCATATCGATCTTGTTGCTTCAGTATTAAGTTGTCTTCGCTTCTAGTTTAATTTGTTGAAAAAAAATAAAAAATTGAAAAAGTCCGCCCATTCTCCAATTTCTTTATGTTTGATGAAAATGATAAGAGGATGGTTATAATATGGTTGTACATGTTTCAGGGCATTTACGAACCAAATTATCCATACCTGACGCTATTTATTTAATTTTTTTTCCCCTTGCAGTTTATTTCTGTAAGCAGGCTCAAGATGGGTCAGTTTTGCTTTCGGAGCCACCGAGCCGTTAAATCAATGAAGTAATTTATATCTTGCCAAGGAGATATTTCTTTCTACTTGCACCACGGTTTAATTCTCCAGATGTTGGAAATGTTTGGCCAAAATCCTCAATTCACTCTTCTAGGAATAGCTCATCCGAAATCTTATGGAAGGAGATATATTTATATATATCACGGCTGTACATTCTCACCTAATTAATTGTGTAGGAGGTCAATAAAATAAGTCAAATGTAGGCCATACATCAATAAATAAAACATTATAAATATAAATCATAAAGTAAAAATCCAATCTTAAATGATTATCCGTATTATAGCCACATGGTAAAGTGCCCAAACTAGGACTTGACGTCGCCTATGACATTGTTGGATATAATATTTTGGTAGGGGTAAAATAGACCTAGTCTTTTGTGATGTTGAATAGTTGTTGAACTAGTGTATTTTTGCCTTAGTTTCAAAATTATTCTAAATACTTTGGTTTTTATGAATGTGATTCTTAATAGAATGAGCACCAAACATGATAGATTTTTTTGAAGCATAGAAGCTTTAACATTGAAAAATAATTGGCAAAAATGTGTCCAAATGCCATATTTAGGTTCATACCCACTTAAGAAGAAAAACTAAGTATTTGCCTTTGACTTGAATGTTCCGTGTTTATTAAATTTGTGGGGATATGCATATGTTGGATTGAGTAGGTCCCAATCACGATGTTCTTGGAACTTCCTTGGTAGGATTCTGAAGTCTCAATGGTTGACTTGTTTCAGTCTTTTATCTACTTGTCCTGAGACGAACTCAAAGAAGACAATATTTTCCCTCTCATCTAATATAAATATTGTTTGAAAAATATTAATAAATTAAATTATCTGATTCAAAGCCAATAAACGAAGTGAAGTACACATGTATTTAACCATGAAATTTAATACTAGACTATTGTAAGAAAGTAGTCTATAATGTTGACATAAACAGATGAGCATAAAGTTTCACTTATTTTATTTTAACAAAGCGTAACTGAGGAAGAAACAATATACAAGTCCCTAGAGGATATCCCTTCCTGATCGCCACACCTTATTCAATCCTTAAATCTCGGACAAGATGATTAAGGTGCTTGGCATTTTATTTTACCCTCTGGGTTTAAGAAGATTTACGCGCTACCCAACGCAGCAGAGCCTTTCTGCCGAGACGGAGGGTGAGAAGGTGGGGGGCGTATGCCGAGGCGGCAAAGGCCGAGCAGGTGAGAAACCTTGTCACGTGGAGACGGTGGGTGAGCCATCCTCTGAGGCGAAGGGAGGGCAGACATGACCTCTCTTTATAAGTGCAGCAGCCGAAATGTATGCGCCTGTGAAAGGCCTCACGTTTCGAAGTGGCAGGCATATTTCTGACCAGGGTAATGGATAAACGCATGGAGGGTAAAGTTTAGGGGGCATGGTCGATCAGATATAAGAAATATATTTCGCGGGAGGGATGATGAAGTATGCAGAGTAAGCTAAAGTTTCTGCTGTTAGGTTCCTCGGACATTAATTAATACTGTATAAGTTCGCCTGATCCTCATATCAAAAGTAATCTTCTCACTATATTTTACTCGAGAATTTTGAACCAATCACCCCATTATTCGCGATTTCAGTACACGAACGGCCTCTGCCATCTTTCCGGGAAACCATTCAATTCGTCTCTTGGGATGAAGTCATCCTTTGTAATGTCTGTACACTCACATAAAGAGCTTCTACTGAGACGTCATGTCAAAGTTTCTGATAGCCGGTAAAATACGTGAGAAATCCCAAGGCAGTGGCAGCTGCTAGAAACCTTGGTCAGGTATTTTTCGTAATTTCGTGTGCCTGGAGTCAATTCCTTCACCATGAATCATACGAAAATAACGATGGAGGTTGAGGAGATCGGCAATTTCAGCCTTACAAGACTCGGTGAACTGAGAAATAAAAAAAGGAAACGAAACGAAACGAAGGGACCTTTGAAAGAATAGCCTGTAAAGCTCGTAAGTGCTCATAATTCCTCATCTGACTTGGTCTTCTCGAAGATAAGGAAAGGTATACAAGGTTGAATTAGGAATCATCCCATGTGAGCCATTTGAGCATCTTCTTTCGCTTTTATCGCATGCATTGGTAACATTAATACGCACATATGTGTTGCTCTTTTTGATATGCATTCATCATTCATTAATAAGGGGCACATGAGTTTTGGGTTCAATGATAAGTTTATTTACTTCAGAACTCCTTTCTCATGGAGCTTTAAGATGACGAGAGTTTTTATCCGAAACTTGGAAATAGGATATGACATTTGTGTGAAATACAGAAAGTTGTGCGTAGAAAATTGTGGAACTTTTATTTTTAACATATGGAATAAGACGTATTGTTGTAATTGTTAGCATTTTGTGCAGTATCAAATACCATTAATAAATCAAATGAAGCATATCTTGTGTGGTTAGAGTCTTGCCTTCGTCATACAACACAATTGTACCTCATTATTCGACGTAAAACTATGACTATGCGAAGAACAGATGGACATGGCTCCGGTTTGTCTGATCTTCTTCTCTATAGAAAAGTCGTAGTCATCAATGCGTTATTACAAGTATCATATTCACGTTACGCAATATTTAATGATCTAGCATAAAATATTATGCTAGATTATAAAATAGTGCCCAGAACTCTTGGATAATGCTTGATTATTTTATTTTAGACTAGGAAAATCAGAAGCATTGTCGATAATTTATTGAAAAAAAGTAGTAGAACGCAATATGAGATGAGTACTAAATCATCGATTTTGGTTTGTCAGCAACGTTGGTTTCTAACGGAAAAGTTCCGTCTCGCTTGACGATCCTCCATCCGGTTTATATTAATATTTCAAACCCCTTTAAGGTCACTTGCCAGCAACATGACGCATATAACCCAACTAAAATAACCTTAATTTTTTCCAGTCAACATTTATTCATTAACACAAGAGGTACGACATAAGCTGAATAAAAGGCGTAGCACAAGCACATCTGTAGGCGTAGTACCAGATACGACCTCTGGCTATTGTTTATGGCGCTGAAGTCTCTCACCGGGGCGGCGGAGGGTACACGTACCTGCGCGGAGCATCATAGTGAGGGTTCCGCGGACGGAGCGGCGGCTGCGTCGACTGTGGAGGGCGGGTGGTTCCGTACGGCCGCAGCGGAGGGGGCGGTGGTTGTGATCCGGTCGGGTTCCTTGGCGCCGATGTCGGCGGGTCATATGTATACTTCTTCGTCTTTCTCCGGGGCGGCATTGGTTGAGGGCGAAAGGCAAGGGGCAGGGGACGAGAGGGAGGAAGACGACTACTCACCAGAAGCTCGCAGGAGTGGAGTTCGCTGGGAATGATGTTACCCAGTTTTATAACCAAAGCCGGGAGGATGGCCGCGGTCTACTTTGTTCAGAGACTTCTTTGATACCAGAAGCCTCCATACTAGGGAATGGAGTTCAAAGTGTCACGGCCCATAAAACAGAAGACATATCCTCTCTCCAAGTAGGGTTATGGTGCAGACTTGACTGCGAGGTTTTACCATAAAAGTGGAAGAAGACCAGGAGGGGTGGCAGGCGGAGCCATAAACGGACTTGAACGGACACGACGGCCCTCTCGGATGACCGAAGGGCCTAGTAAGGGTGGCTGTTTGTGACGATTCTTGCCCACTCGAGTTCTCCTCTTGAAGGATGGGAGTAAATGGCTGGGGCTGATGAGAGAGAGAGAGAGAGAGAGAGAGATAGTCCCGGGACACCGAAGAACATGGGTCGTAGTAAAAAGATGACCTACGACAAACGACTACCCCAAAATGCAAAGTAAACCTAATGAAGGATAATTCCAACTTATTGAGGTCGTTGTATACGTTAAGGATGACTTCAAAAGACAAGTTTTCATTAGGAAGGGTGACCTCTTTTGTTTTACTAGGGTGTTTTCTTTTAGGAGCATTACCCTGGAAAAAACTTGCCTGAGATCCCTCTTGGCGCATTGTTTCCACTAATGGGCCAGCGTGAGGCGCGTTCATCTCCATCATGCGAACGGAGAACGTCACTCCACTGCGGCGCAACGGGGATGATCGGGTGACGCATGCGTTTCCATCACAGAGGGAGGTTTGGGTTTCAAGATATGTAAACTAGGCTGCCCTTCCTAAGCGCAAAATGAATTAAAAGCTGTGGTACTTCATCAAGACTTATAATATATAAGTCGCACTTCTCAACGGGGGACATTCCTGCCATGTCCATGGTACATGATTTCCATGCAATTTTCTTCATAAAAATAACTGGAAACCTGATTTCAGATAAACTATCCTCTTAGTTCCTATGCAAATTTTGATATATATTATCCTACAACTGAATTTCCTGTTATCCATCACGGCTTGTAAGTGCAGGACAAAAGAGGATGCTTCTTGTAAAGACCGTCTGCCGAAGCTTTAAGAGAAATGCAGCGGTTTTCATGACTTCTTCGTTTCTGAACTCCTAATTCCTGCTGTTCACACTCTCTCCGGGGCAAGTAACATCTAATAAGTGTTTTTAAATGACGAGGAGATGAAAATGAATGGTGACAAGAATGTATATGTATGATCATGCGTAGATATATGACCAATGCACAACTTTTGGAGTGCAGAAAATTGAAAATTTCATAATTTGTACAATGGTCTATGATCTGGAATTAGTTCCATTTTATTGTATAACTCCCAGGTGAAATATGATAATAATTTCAAGGGATCTCTCTTTTATAATATACTAGATATACGAATAATTATGCCGAAATACGAGAAATTTTGAACAGATAATGCAAAACATGCCGCAAAAGAATAAGTTTATTTTCTTAATAAAAGTGGTTTTTTGGTAAATTTAAATCGATGACTAAGATGCCTATACATGATGAATTGATGTAGTTTATGAACTTGTCTCCATTTGCCTGTGTAAACATTTACATTGCATCACTCATCATGTCCAGATGTATGGTGTATAGTTTTTCCAACAGATAGGAAAACTCATATATTTTACATAGATCGATAGCAAGCATGTAAACTAGAAAGATATCCATCGACTCCATTTGAATCTAGGAAGAACATTTTTTTTTCCTCCCAACAACATTTATGCTTCAGCACAAATATGACGTAGCTCAAACATAGATGTTCATCGAGTACCGCCTGGCGTCGCCGCTGGAGGGGGAATTTTTTTTCATGATGTGTTTCCCCATAGTAGCGGCGGAGGCCTTGCTGGTGGATACGTTCACCGTGTAAGCCCGCCTTTCCAGCGGCCTCGCCAGCGGGAATGGTGAGGACGATCCTCTCTACCACCAGGCAGAAGACGTGTCAGCTGAGCCTAGAGCCGGAAGCGGTAATGCGGCATCGGCGACGGCGAATCATAGTGGCATATCTTGTGAACGGCGGAAGAAGACGCGGAGAAAGCTTACACTGTTACGTAAATCGTTGACACTTCTCTAAAGACGACGGTGGCCTAGTGAATGTTTAAATATTTCCTAGGCTCAATTAGGAAACCTTCGGGAACAAGTGTAATAGTTGTAATAATGTGCCGTGGACTTTGTCCATATACTTCGTATAACAGGGAGATGAAGCTCGTAACTTTGTGTGTATATATAACCATGCTACACCACAGTCTCAAGGAAGATAGAAAGGTTGGTGTGTAGGCCTAATTCCGAAGTGATTCTAAGGTGCCGACTTGAATGGGGAAGCTTTAGTGCACAGAGGGCGGCCGGGAAACGGGAAAGGAGCCTTAGAGTAGCTTTTATCTGATGGAGAAGGATAAGGATCCAGGGGATCCACGCGGGGGGGGAGGACGCCAGCTAGCTTTTATCATGAGCCTTATATCCTGTGAAGTGCCAAGTGGTCAAAGATGAGTGTTAGATTGCTTTTCAAGCCGCCAGTCATCAAATCAGAAGTATTAATTATTCTTGGGAAACCGAAAGGCCAGAGTGGGGAACAGCGACAACTTCCACTCACATCATCTAACCTTTTCTAGTGAGGGTTGTGGATTAAGTAATTCCCCAGTGTTACATAAAGGGGAAAAAAAGTGCTTACACCCCAAAAATCCAATCAGGTTCTGTACCTTTCCTCTAGCAGAGCAATAATGGAGCTCAGAAGTCGAGGATTTCTCTTCCAAATGGGTGTTCAGTCTCTGAAATTCGTTGAAGGGCGTCCATTCACTTGCTGAATCTTGGGTCTAAACCGTAGGCTATGGTTGCCTGATGATGATTATGAAATGACCCACAACATTTTAGTTCATCCAAATGTAGCTGATTCTTGATTAATCAGAAACAAAGATCTGCGTGAATATATGACGACGCTCTGTTAGTGGAAATCTTGAGACTGTTGATGAAGCAAGGATTATTGAAACCAAATCTTATATACTGAGGAAATATATCTTCTATACGCTACGTGACGCTGAATTCAGACTTCCAACCTGAAGCACGGCCCTACAAAATTTTCAAATTGGGCTTTCCATATGTGAGGTTCTAACATCGATTAATATGGTATTCTAAGAGGAGCGATAGCTACCTGCATTGCCAGTTGGAGTAGGTTGCTTCAGACCAGGTATGATGGCAATATATTCATATATATATATATATATATTATGATTTTCTTGTAGCACTTTGAAAAACAGTTGAAACTGGAGTAATCTGGGCTCCTTGAGTTTATCCGAGGTAACCCAGCTATCCGGGTCAGACAAGCTAGGATGGCTGAGTGAAGCTCATGAAGCTGAATCAGGAGTAAACACGGAGAAAAATCGTAAACTTGTTCGTTGAAACGCGGCAGCAGACTATCGACGGAAAGGACGTCGTCGAATTCTTGGACATTTGTGAACCACAAGGAACAGGCGTAGCGTCTTCCACAGCCTTCCATGTTTATGCCCAAATACAGGTGCAGGTCAGGAAGAAAAGATTACTCACGGATGCCTCATCTCTTTCTAGGTTAGCCCAAGTTTTTCAATCTCCCTCTCTCTATGCATCTCCAGTAGCTCTTTTTTGTGCTAATGTTTCTTTGTGCGACACGCCCACCCTCTCTCTACCTTCCTGGTACGATAGGAATAAGGTAATAATATCAAGTTAAATGTCAGGAAAACTAGTAATTGGAACTGATACTAGGTTACCTAAGTTAATCCTAACTTGTTATCAAATTGGCTCCTTATCTTTTGTGAGGGTAACTTTTTAATGCCCTTTCTGACTTATCTCTTGTACAATGACATGGAGTCTGATATATTTCATTATTTTGACATAACTGAGTCTGTATTAAGATATTAAGCTCGATGTGCTATTTTATTTTCTAATATAACTCGTTTTGTACTACTCTATTAAATCTGATATACTATGATATTTCACAATATAACTTCTCAAATACCAATATGTTAATCTTGATGCAATCTTATATTTCATGATTTATTTTCATATTCTAATGTACAATTTTGATATAGTCAACCATTTTGAAAAATAATTTTTCATATATTTTAAATATTAATATTAATTTACTAAAATTTGCATTTTTGATGCACTGTATTAAGATATCAATTTACTAACTGAGTCTGTATTAATCTTGATGCAATCTTATATTTCATGATTTATTTTCATATTCTAATGTACCATTTTGATATAGTCCACCATTTTGAAAAATAATTTTTCATATATTTAAATATTAATATTGATTTACTAAACTTTGCATTTTTGATGCACTGTATTAAGATATCAATTTGCTAACTAAGTCTATATTAATCTTGATGCAATCTTATATTTCATGATTTATTTTCATATTCTAATGTACCATTTTGATATACTCCACCATTTTGAAATTTTCTTTTTCATATATTGATTCACAAAATTTGTATTCTAAATATTTAAACATTACCAATTAATTGACCTAAGAAGAGACATTATTTAAAGTATTTTTGATTGATCTCAAGTTAATGTAAGATTTGTTTTAAGTTAGTTGCAACTTACATAAAAAAGACGATGTTGGTAACAATAAGGTGAAATGAATTTTTGACATGTAAACTTTTGCCATCTTCAAAACTTATTAGAATTTCCAATAAGGCAACACCCCTATCAACATGGGTCAAATATTTCAGACCATGGTCTTACTTTTAACATGACATTTAAAATAATTACTATGCTAATAATTTCTTTAATTATTAGACCATGGTTTTTCTATATCAGTATAATTCATTGTTCACACGTTTAATCTCATTGATTTGACTCTAATGAGTGGATCATAGTCTAAAAGTACCTTTCTTCATGAACCAATGGATCCCGAAATCTTTTTATTTTTTCTTACTATAAAAATAAAATAAAATTGTAGGACGATTGACAGCTAGTCCCACTGCCTTCATCCAACATCCGATGCAGAAAATCCCTGAAGCTGGGTAAATTTATTAGGCCATGATTGTACTCGTCCCTGAGATCCTTTGAAACGGACATATCCAAACCCTGATGGCCTTTATCAGATCCATCAAGCAATGTACGCAGGTGGCAGCCTCCTCGCTTGCCTTCCGGTAGAAGGTGATCATCCTGTCGTTACGCCCACTCTGAGTAACATGCCGTTACGCCTTCGTAGCCCGAGGGAGGTAGGAAGCCGGAAGAAGAAACGTGTCCCTACTATAAATAGTTATCCAGCTTGAGATGTGCAGGAAGCAATCCACCGGCCATCCTCCAACAGCCACCTCCTTCGTCTTTTTTTCCTTCCTTCACCGTCGTCGCCATCGTCGCCATCCTCGTCATGAAGGTCCTGGTCCTTATGTTTCTGGCGGCTCTTGTCGTCTCTCCGGCCGAATCAAGGATGGTCGTCAACTTCCGCCACCCCAAAGAAGGTACGACGCTCTTCTTCTCACTCCAGAATTAAATAATAATCTTTTTCTTCCTCCTCCTCCCTCTCCGATCTGGTTCTCCGGTCGATTGGACGTTGCAGGTGTGAAGAGGACCAGCGGCGCCGCCGGCGTCGGCGGCGCTCCGGCGCGCGTAGCCCGCGTGTTTCCTTATGCTCCTCCCGCGCCGAAGGCCAACGACCGCCCCGAGTTCCCACCCGGCCTCTGAACAACGTTGGAGGATAGGAACCGCCGAGGACTCGAGATTCCCCATGCTTCTTCATCTTCCTCAGGTCTTCTCCCCATCGTTGCCTGCGATCGGCCCTCTGCTTGCACTGCCGAAGGAATAAGGAGGAGCTTAATGTTCTGACGTTCTTTTGCTACCATCGGATGTGCATAGAATACCCGATTTCGAAGTCGGGTATTTTTATGAAATAACACTAATATCGTAAATCATTCCCTCTACGCCATTTAATGGCGAATTATATGTCTCCTAATCCACCGACCATGTGTAATGTACCATTTACTATGTGGGTCTGTAGTGCATCAAAGATCTTCGTAAGTTCTAGATACAACCTATTTTTTATGGCGCTCGGATGAGATGGACGGCTCTAATGGAGTTTGGAAGAGGAGAGAGTGAGTGGGCCCCACGGGACAGCGGGTAAAATCAGCGTCGTCAGGGCGTCGTCGTCGTCGTCGTCGCCCTCTCCTTGGGCGTGACCCAGTTTTGCGCGGGAAACGTCCCCGTGCGCGACGACGGGGCTTCGCTGCCACGTCGGAGGGTATAACGGGGAGGTAGGAGGAGCGCCTGACGGCAGCTCTCTCCTGGCTCAGGCTCCAAGTGCCGCCGTCTGAATCCCGTTACGAAATCCCAACGGTTTCCACGAACTCTCCCGTCAGGTTCCCTTCGCGCCCATCACAGGACCCACTGCCCCTGCCAGTGTGTATAAATAAGCACTTGTAGCTTCTTCTCGCTGGTTCCATTCCATTTCGTCGTTCCTTGGAGAAGGTAAGGACATAAGATTTTCTTTCTTGATGATTTTCTTTCTTGATGATTTTCTTTTCCCTAGTGTCTTGAATGCTGTTGCGGATTCTAAGCAAATCAAGATCTATGATCGTGAAGCACTTTACGACTGCTTGTACCGAATTTTCCAGCATTATTTTAATTTCCAGGCTCTTGTTCGGTAGGTTCTGTTCTGTGTACATCTTCTTACATCGGTTGATCGCTGTACTGCTCCGCAGAGTTCTCGGCTCGGTGACTTCATCGTTCCTGGAATTCTCTCCTGTTTCACATCTTACTTTTTGTTCCAGGTTGGCAGATGGAGAAGATGCCGCTTGAGAGCTCAAGGTTTTCCACGAGCGACGGGGCCTGAATTTTGTATATATTTTTCTTTTTCTCTTTTATCCTGGAAATTATGTTTTCGATTCTGGCTGTTGCTTTGTTCTGTTTCTACTACCTGTCCCTTAGGCTCTGAACGCTTCTGATCGTTTAAAGAGTTTGAGCGCTGGCCTGCTGCGAATGCTTTCATATGTCGACGGGAAATGAAGTTCCCCTTATCCTATTTTGTCCATTCCCAAATTTTTCCTTGATTAGACAAAGAATGATGTCTCACATTCTTTTACTGAACTTGTCTCCGCTCCTGCAGTTCTTTGTCCTGTTACTAGAAAAAGCAGCGAGTCCATCTTCAAATGCAGCAGGGCAACGAGTTCATAAATGGCAGAGTCGAACCACCTCCAGTTTCATCACCAATGTCCTTACTTACTCCTGACAGGCACAGCTCGTCACCGCCCCGATCCGTCGGTAACGGCGGAGAATTCTCAAACATCTGCGCCTCGCTATTCGCTCCCAAGGAATCTACTCTGTTTACCCCTCAGATCCAGTACCAGAGCTCTACGCCCATTTCCATCACGACTTCCTCTCTTTCCTGTGACGATGATTCCGAGGAAGCTGCTGCGACTGAGCATTGCCTAGGCCTTGCGCGGCTTACACTCCAGTATCAGGAAATGCTGGGTCGCTATGAACTCTGCCTCTCCCATCTCGAGGAAGCAGCTGAAGAGGCTGAGGCTCTTCGCCTGGAGAATTCGAACCTCCGGATGGCTAATGCTGAGCTTGCGAGGCGCCTAACCATCATTTCTCCATACGGCCAGTCCAGCAGGAGTACTGGTGGATTGTCAGAGGTGTACCCCGGTTTACCTCTCAGCTTGCTGAACGATTTTCAGCGCCTTGACCTGAACATCAGTCCGACTACCGCGGAATGGAGCCCAATCCACGACTGCCAGAATGATAATATACTCACAAGGAGGGCACAGGTCCAGGACCACAGAACCACCCTGCCGAAGAGCATCTCGATCCGATCAAAGGGTTACATGAAGCTCGCCGCCAGCAACCGCAACGGCCGAAATCGTTTCTCCGACCCTGCCATGCTTGGACCGGTGAGTTTGTTTCCCTTAATGAACCCCTGAATAGGAAGATACGGACACCCCTCAAGGTTCCAGTGAACATAGCACTAAACCCCAGACTTACGCAACCTGTTCTGCCTTTCACCAAGTTTTTACGCAAATGTCTTGTCACGAGAAAATTACTTTCAAGAATTCAAGGTTAAGAACCTTACTATTGGTTTCTAGATCTTGAGGCTGTTGGAGAAAACGCAGGAAGAAAGGGTGCTAGATGTAATTCTTTTTAATTTAAATTAACCGATTGGTATATAAGCTAATGATGGTGGTGATCGGGGAAGCAGCAAAAGGTTTACGTGCCACTTGAAGAAGACGAAAACAGCAGCAGCGACGGAAACAAGCAAGAGAAGGAGGCGGCGACACTCGAGTTCGATGCTTATGCCCAGGGAATGTTCAAGACTGAGCTATGCAACAAGTGGCAAGAGGCAGGTTCGTGTCCTTACGGGGAGCATTGCCAATTTGCCCATGGCATTGCGGAGCTACGCCCAGTAATCCGCCACCCCCGGTATAAGACGGAGATCTGCCGGATGATCCTGTCAGGAGGGACCTGCCCCTACGGTCACCGCTGCCATTTCCGCCACGCTCTCTCTCCGCAAGATAATTTTCTGTCAGCCTCTACCAACTGACAACAAATAACTTCACCGGTGATTCCACATAAGCTTTTTGGAGAGCGACGAGGAAATTGGAAAAGAAAAGACGAAAAGAAAATCGGTTACCTCTCCAGAAAAGTTCTGCTATGTACATGGCATACTGTTGTCCTGTGCAGATATTAACTATCCAGAATAAGGTGATCATAACAGTTTACCAATAATAATAAGGACGAGGGAGGACGTGCTACTTTAAAGGGATGATTGAAGAAGAAGAAGCTCACACTTCTTCAACGCAGAGGGAGACATCTTTGCAGGTTCACTTTGTCTTAGTAAGTTCTTTGTTATCAAGCTTAGATGGTGGGTGTGAAGGGTGACAGGCATATTATCAGTCCCCGCCAGCTAATTCTTATGCTCGTTCAGTTTTTCTTCGTGTTGTTTTTTTTTGTCACCATGTATCAAAAACATATTATTCCCAAATGGCAAAGAGTCGAACTACAATTCTTGCAGCTGTTAATGGTCACATTTTGTTTTGATTCCTTGATGCTGCTATGTTTGCTCCGGAGGGGTCGTGATTTAGGGCTGCGTCGCCGCACGTAGTGTAAATGCGTGACGCCGGAGCGAAGAGAAGCGGGAATATGGTGCCCGTGGGAGCCTGCATAGTAACTAGACCTCGAAATTATTTCTTCCATAAACAATGGCGAGGTACTAAGGTGGGGAGATTGCGCTCTGGAGATCGCGGCCGTCGAAGCATATTAATATCCTTACTGATAATTTCCTCGCTCTGCAAGATTTAAGCAACACGAAGAGGAGGGAGATATGGGTGATGAAAAATCTTTGCACGGGATAGGGCTCGGAAGGCCCATTAAGCTATTGGCTCATTCAGCCCAACTTGGTATCACCCGAACCCCATCAGTAGCGGTTTGATAACCGGTTAGAGCTGGAACAGGCTGAATCTGATCAGAAATCATCCCAGATAAACCGGCGATTTTGGTAAGCTCGGATGGCTGAGTCCCCACGTAGTTCCCCATGCCTACGATTTTTGTGTGACCAAGGTCGGCCCTCGCAGCCGTGTCTTAGTCAATGAGGATTCCTGTTACGGAGGAGGTGTGACGCTCGACTCTGTCCAACTCCATCTACGTTATTGCCGGTTGTGCGGCACAAGAACCAGGACTGATATCCTTCGGCACAAGCGACAAGCGAATCGAGAGTCTTTGATCTTTCTCCAAAATTTGAACGCATTGTAGAAGGGAAAATGATAGAGAGAGAAAGGAGAGTTTGTGGATTACACCATGTTCGGAGGAAGTTTGGAGGGCAAGGATAAAAGGTAGCTTCAGATGCATGCAGACCATTACTTTATGTACTGACAATAGTATGGTAGGAGCTGCTAATATTCATCTCATATTGATCATTTCTGATTCTCGTAAATCTTTAATTTGATGATGACAAGCATGGAAAGAAACCCGATTCTAGTCCCATTTTGTCTCGAACTTCCGATAAAAGGATAAATTGCATTACCAAAATAAGAAAAAAAAAAACAACACATTCCACACCATCTCATCTCTTATAACTAAAACAAAACAAAACAAAAACAAAAAAAGACCACGATTAAGTCTTTAATATCAGGTGACATATGTAGAAATAAGGAACAATACAGAACCGGAAGAACGCCCTTTGCAACATGATCTCCTTCATTTTCACATGGATGCAGCTACCCTTGGCAGAAAATAAGGAACAATGCAGAACCAGAAGAACGCTCTCCTCGAGCCATAATCCTCTCTATTGTGCTCACGATATATTCCATAGATTCATCCTGGAATTGGAAGGTAAACTTCGGATTGCAGTACGTTGAGTCCAGGAACACGGCGTTGGCCCCGACAAAATGACAGAGAAAAGGTATCCGACTTCATAGATCCGTCGGAAACCTCCTGTGTGGACATACTTCTCGCACGGCCGCCCCTCATCCCCATGGACATTGAACAGAAACTGGACGGCCCCCCGACAATGGTTCGCTTCGACAGCCGTCACATCGGAGTCGTCGATCCAGACGGTCCAACCGCGGGACAGCGAGACCACAAACAACGAGGATGCGCCCAGGGCGTCGGCGAGGAGGCGGGCGGTGAGCTCAGAACAGTAGATAACACCCCTGCACCAGGCGGCCCCAAGGCCGGCCGCCGTAGAGATCGGAGTGAAAGTGGGAGAGGAAGTAGGAGACTGAGAAGTCGCCAGGGGAGCGGAAACCATCCACGACGAAACGAGTTCCAGGGATAAGGTTGTGCCGAGGGAAGCTCGGCGGCACCGAGGAAAGGGCAGAGCCCGAGGAGAGGCGGCCAACGACAGAAGGTTGAAGGGAGGAATTCTGGGGGGAGCGCAAGGTGAAGGACCAGTAGGGCCTCGAGGAAGAGGGATGACTATGGCAGAGCTAGGGCTTCATTCTTTGATGACGAGGGGCCTTCCATGATGGACCGGAGAGCTAGGGCAGGAGAAATGGAGGCTCCGACGAGGTAACCGTTATTTGGTAACTATAGAGAAGGCGATTGAGAGAGAGAGAGACATCGGACCCTCTGTTGGTCGTTCATGGCATTGTGGGCCGGTGGGCGAGCGGAGCCCACTTGTTCGGTTGATTGACGACTTACAACGAGTAATGGTCTCACTGGAACCGAAATTACGAAGGCCAAGCTCAATCGAATACCAAAAAGGTTTGACCTAGACTTCTCTCTCACACATATATATATATATAGATATATGTACACAATCTATTTTATCTAAATGAATGGGACAACAATATTTATAATTTAATTTGGAATTTTAATTAAGTGAATATTACTTGTGAAAAACTGAAAAGAAATTGACAGAATGGTTAAATGTATAAATCTGTGTATAAGTCACCAGGGGAAAAAATAATGTCATTTGGATTTAATTTTATTTATTTCTTATCTAAATTAATGTAAGAATAATATTTATAATTTAAACTAGTATTTTTATTCAGACTAATTATTTTATAAAAATAGAAATAAAATTTACATAATAATTCAATATATAAGATACTGTGGATTCTTTTTCTGGTAATATGATTTAAATGTAATTTTTTAATCAAAATTAATGGGAAAATAATATTTATAAATTAATATGGTATTTTAATTAAGTAAAAGCAATTATTTGAGAAAAATCCGAAGGAAATTTGTAGAATAACTACATATAATGAAGAAAGAAAAGATAATTCTAATTTGAAAAGATTCTTTTAAAGAGTAACGTAGATATGGCATGAGGCAAGCACAAGGAAGGGAAATAAGTATCCTGGAGAGTATCTAACATCCACATCTCCTCAACTCTTCAGATACGAGATGTATAAATAAGAGTACGCATGGAGTTCGGACAATGACAGAAATAAAACAAGGGTAGGGTGTCCAAGCCTAAATCGAAAATCTACTTCAAATAGCACTCAGATGGCCTTTTTCTCGAATGGAATTTATTTTGTAATTGCACTCGAAATGAGAGCAAACGATCAAAAAACTATATGGTGCAAGAATATTGCACAAAAGAACCTGTTTCAGAATGCCCAATAGTTAATACCAGAAGATGCCCCCCATTAAACATGATATTGGACACTTTGGATTGGTACCTAAATAGCAACCCAAGATGACTTTTGTTTACATCAGCGGTCTCATCCCACCTATGGGGTGTGAAGACTACATAAGAGTAGGAATGATGGATGGTGAAACAAAAACTCAAAAGCATCAACGAGATTCTCCAACAAAGCCCAAAATTAACAATCAGCCATCTGGAGAAAATAATCCAATCAAAAGCCCATTGCTAGGCTAGAAAAGAAAAATAAAGGTTTTTCCTTCTTCTTTACTTTGATGAAATAATCATTTTCAAAGATTCTTCAGTTGATCACATTTGCAACTCTCTTTTCTTTTTTGCTGCTTTTTTAAAAATGCTGTGTCATTTAATTGTCGAGGTTATTTGTAGTCTCTGAGTATCTTTATTTCTTAAATTAGTAGATAACAATCAAAGATAGGGTAGATGACTTCTACTCCAAATAACACAAAATCTCACACCTAGCTTCAACATGAAAACTACAGAGAGAGCACAGTTTTGATAGGGCGTCGTTATACAAATCAATTATTGTCTTTTTATCACAGTACATAGAAGAATGACGAAACGAAATTGGAGAAAATCAATTATTAAGGGAAGGAAATGTCAAACTTATTAAAGTCCACGCAGTCCTCAAATTAATTTATAAAGATTAAATCAGAACGAAGACAACTGTATCTTTCCAGGCTAAAGCATTATAATATCCTGTAAGGTATAAACAACAAACAAATCCTACTATGTAAGTTATGACAAAACAATGCAAAATTGACTTACAGGACGACAGTCAAGTGGCATGAGAACCAGACACTCAAGGCCTCTCCAGGGTGCCTAGACGGGCAACACAAATAAGGCACTAGCCTGGACAGTCAGGGAATCAGGCACCAACCACGGGCTGCCTGGGGAAATCAAGATGGTGTCAAAGCATTAATGTTCCAAGAAAAAACTGATGCAACAGATAAATAATGATTTCAGCATTAGATACCATTATTTTCTGAGCACGTCATAGTGTGATATCTAACGACGTGGATACTGTCATAGCCCTCATGATGTGTTAACTCATGAGCGCAATCACAGTGTTTCTTATCAATGTGTATCACAGAAAAAATAAAATATTATCTCAACCGCCTTACTTTTGCAGGCGATAAACAATAGTTTCTCAAATGTGAAATAAACTCTCTCATAAATAATGAAATCATAATCCCAGCAGAGGATCTAGCGTATAAAAATGGGGAGAAAAACACCAATGTTACCACCTGATGAAAAAAATAACCCACCTCACTTTCAGAACCTGCTTTCTCATGCGAATGCGATACTGGGTCATTTTTTTGAGACGTTGCTTGTTCTTGTGAACAAGAAATTTTGGCCAATATTGCTGTTCAAGAAGATATATGTCAGTCTAGACATCCTTTCAACCACACATCAAATCTTCTAAAAGACTAAAA